GCTCCCACACGTGCAGTACACAGCACGAGACAGCAGACGGTTACTCGCCTCCCTGCACTCGAGTGCCTCGTCCATGGACCAAGGTTTCCATGGTTGGGCCGAGCGCAAAGTCTGACGGCACGGCAACTGTGCCAAAAGGGTGGGCGCTGGAGGGCGGCCCGTGGAAAAAGGCACGGCACCGAGAGACAGAGCTCTCCGCGAGGAGAAGGGGGATGGTAGAAGTGCCGTCCGTTTTTCCGATGGATGGGTGGTGATGGCTGGAACTGACGGCGTCTTTCTGGTCCGTTCAGGGGCGGTGGGTGACCAGCAGCGTTCAAATGGCAAGCCGGTGCCAACACAGCCGAGGGACGAGGCCAACAAAACATGCAGTCGGTCGGTCGGGCGCTGCATGAGATAATCAAACCGTCCAAGTATTGGATCCCCCGTCGCGGCGAGGCTGTACGGCGCTGCACACGGTACCTTCTCTACATTCACAAGGCACTTTGTGAGGGCCGTGGGTGGCTCATGGCGGGCGGGCGGCTTTGTTTGTTTTTTTGTCCGCTGGCTGTCCACCTAATTTTGGTCCCTTTCTTCCCTTTCATTTTGCTTCATCTCAACCACTCTCTCTCCGTGCATTCGCATTGACGGCACCGGAGATGCGGATACTCAGCATCCCCATCTTGGCCGCCCTCCACAACACACACCCAATTGACTCGTTCGTCTTTCTCTCTTCTCGTGCACATCATCCGTGCGGGAGTCACGAGTCAATCCAATCCCAAGGCACAGATCACTGCAATGCGGCGTGTTAGTTTTTGGCATTGTCTCTTCCGGGCCTTGCGTCTCCATTCGTTTTGCTTCTTCTCGTGCATGTGCTTGTACTTTGTACACCATGTCCATCTGCAACCACCACCAGCCAACAGCTGCCCTGCGGAGGCACAAGAGAGCTGCAAAGTGCCTACGAATACTCCCTCCCCGAGCCATGCATGGCTTGCCGCCGCACATTCGCCGCGCGCGCACCACACACACACACACACATCACACACACACACACGCACATCTCTCCCTCTCTGCATCCCCTGGCCTGCTGGACAGAGATGTTGTACGACTAGCAGCGAGACATGCAAGGGAAGGGCCGGGCTGCTCCAGACCATCCATCTCAACCCACCGATTCCCCGGCGTCGACGCAGGAATCTCCATGCCACACCGTCCTCTCACAATTTCGCAACTGCCCGCTAATGCCACTGAGCCCGAATAATGCGACAAGAAACTTGCAAGTATGTACGTACAATACAGTCCACCCCTGGCCATGCTCCCCCTCCCCAGGTCCTTACCGGCCCCACGCTTGGGTACCCGCCCCGGCAGTGGTACGGAGCGCGATCCATCCGCATTGGGGAGCGTCTCCTCGGGGTGGGTGTCGCCAGCACCACCACACAGATGTGTCTCTAACAGGTCTGAAGCCTGGGAAAAGCTATCCGGCTCTTGGGCTAAGCAGCGAGTTATACTCGTCCATGTAAGGAAGTCAGTCATGCACGTAATCTCAGCAACCGTCCGTTCCCTTTTCTCCTTGTTATTGTTGTTGTTGTTGTTTCCTTTTGCCATCCACAAGTGTTCAACGCAAACGAGGCTTGCACGGTATGAATGCACATGGTCGAACGTAAATTGGACAATTAGCTATCCGTGCAGACACCCAAAGGCAATCCGTTCTTGGGGCCCGGCCCCAAGATTTGGCCTCGACTGGGGGCGTCAGGCAGGCACCGGTTGGCCGGCTGGCCGCATGCAAGTCTGATTTCTGTACTTTACTGGGATTGGCACCGGTCTTGCCGTCCCAGATGCATGTCCCAGCTCGCCGAACGGCAACTCATCAGGAACAAGGGCAGGGCGTGTGTCGTGGGCTCCGCATGGACATTGCAGACTTGGACAGTACTCAGGGCACCGGGAAAGGGGGGGGGAGCCGAGAGCCTGCTGTAACCTCCCAGCCTCACAGCTACTGAGCCGCCTTAGTCGTGGACGTGGTAGCGGAGACGGAAGTGCCTGTTTCGGGAACTTGTTGCGTCTGGCTGACTTGCCATTCCCTTGGTAATCAGGTACCTCAGGCCTCGCTGCTCCGTGATACGCCCAAAGCAACTGCCGCCCCAAATGGAGGATGGATGGTAGACGAGTACTGGTACAACCAAGCCCGGGCTTCCACCCACCCCTGGGTTGCGAGGGAGGGAAAGGGGGGGCGAGTCGAGGAACGTGAGGGCACCTCCTCGCCTTCGGGCCGCGAGTAGCGAAGCGCAACATGTCGCGGTACCTAACGGGGCCAGGCGCGGGCGTACCTCCCTGGACGCAGGCGCATGCTGGGTGACTGCGCTGAGAGCCGTGAGCCGCCGGGTACCGCTGCGGTGCGTGGTGGTGGTGGCTGCAGGCGAGTAAAAAAAAGTTGGTCGAGGGCTGCGAAAGGTACCAGTACATGAGGGCGCTTGTGGCAGCTGGGTGAGAGGCGCGCACAAGTGCTGGAAAAGGCTTGGTGGGTCCAATTGCAGGATGGGTGGGTGCGTGTACTCGTACATACCCGACAGCCCGGTGCGGTGCGGTGTCCGACCCATGCCTTCGCTCCTTCCGCGGTGGCGCTGGCCCTGCGCTAGACAGGAAGGGGGCCACCACGAGTATTCGGATGTGTGGGACAAAGTAGACGGTACCTCGTTGATTAAGGTCGGATGGCTCATTCAGTTACCTGACATGTCGACGGATGCTTTGTACGCGAGTACGTACCGGAACGCGCACCACACTCATGAGTCTCTTTCACACACACTGGCACTCTCTCACACACACCAGGTACCTCGATCCACGTACGTATCCGTCTATCCCAGGGCAGATAGGTACCTGGACCCCTCGCAATGGAGCGCACGGCCTGGCAGGTACCGCTCCCATGGATCCTGCCATGCCCATTGTGCCCATGCCAATGGGAAACAACCCCCCCCCCCATGTCACTCGCCTCGTTCATTCAATGTCCCTCCTTTTTCCCCCTCCGTCCGCCTCCCTCTGCTCGCTCTCGTGCTACTCAGGTGCTTGGTACTGCCGCAGCTATTCTTACATACTTCTTCCTCTTTCCCTTGCAAGCGCCTCTTTCTTCCGCCTCCCCCCCTCCTCCTCGACCATTTGCTTTCTTTCATACTTTCACTTCCTTTCTTTCTCCGTCTCTTTCTCTGCCCCTGTCCTGCCTCGCTTCGCCATCCGGCATCTCTTCTCTCACTTGACCCTCGGACCCTTGTTGCTTTCTCTCAAGTAGTCGCCTCCGTCTCCTTCCCACGCTCCTTGCTCCGTCCTCGGTTCCCTGCCTGCCTGTGTGATCCGATATACAACAACACCACTCACTCATACCACCTCGATCGATTTCGTCGACCGCCTCTGAAGACTGCGCCCAATCAGCTCCATCCCCTCCCGTCTCATCTCACTTCAGCTCGACAGTCCCTGCCCATTGGGCCGCCATCGCCTGCATCGAGTCGACAGGCTTTGGAAAGCCTCCCCTGAATAATACGATTCCCTCTCCGAGCCCTTCGCCTCTCCGCGAGGCACGAGCCACATCCCCGGTCGAGGATTCTGACGGCAAACCGACTCAATACTCGTCCGTTTGCTGCTCGCCAACCCTTGCCTCATCATTCCATGTAAGCCACGGCAAACCACATCCACGTCTCCCTACATGTCGATGCCCAAGGTCGCTTTCCTTTGGCCATGTCTGTCGGTCTTCGGGCAGCCACATGCGGATGCATGCTGTGCCGCCGCATCATACCCCCTTTCGCTGTCCGAGCCTGACAAGCTTGCCCCATGACTATATCCCCGGTCCGGTCTTCTCGCTAACTACTTGGCAATTTCCAGACATCTTTCCTGCTCTCGCTCTCGAGAGCCCCAGGATTTAGCCTCGTCAAATATCCTCTTCTCGAGGCCGCGACGGCTTAGAATCTCCCGCCGCCCATTCTAATTTCTGAAGCGTACCAGTCTGGAACACCGCCTCTCGGCCAAGCCACTACACCCTCTTGCCCGGTATCAGGAGTCCTCATTCAGCAGCCATGGACCAGGGCTACGGGGGAGGACCCGTCGAGCGGTCACGACGGAGCCTATCTACCTCGGCACCCGTACCCAACAGCGAGGGCGAGTCCATGAAGGACACGGACGTGCAGATGCAGCAGGCGCCTCAGACCGAGACTGAGAAAAAGACGATCACACCATCCTCCCAAGAATCACCTCGACGGTGCGAAGCCGCGGTCCGGGCTTCGTCTCCTGGGTCGGCGGTCCTGTCGCGGACACCCCCGACTAGCACTCCTGCGAGCACGCCGCCGGCCGATGCATGCGCAAACCGTAAATCCAGCCGCCACGCGGCTCCGCAACCTTGGCCGGTGGAGCCTCCGGTGACCCGGTCTACCCTGAGCGAGCTCGATGTCTCCAAGATTATCCACAACCCGAAGCTCCGGCACGACATAAACTTTGATCCCGAGTTGCACTTCAGGCCTAACCTCGACGGCGAAAAGGGTCGCAAGAAGCAGGACAAGGCAAGCCAGTTTTGGAAGACTTTGAAGGAGGAATTGACAGAGTTTCTGACGGATCGGCCGGCGTTCGTCGCCAAACATGGCGAGAGCACCGACTGGACGTTGCCGTCTCTTCTCAAGGCCGTCAAGGACATTATTCAGACGCTGGTGCCCCAGCGCGACCGCCAGTTCCTCGACGAAGGACTCAACGTTGAGCTCCTGATGCAGCAGTTCTACAAGGGCATCGCTGACCTCGAGAAACTGGCCTTGTGGCTCTCTCGGGTGCTCAAATCGCACTGTGCTCCCATGCGGGATGACTGGGTCGACACCATGTATTCGCAGCTCAGCAATGGCAACCGCAACGCCAATCTCGACGAGCTTGTCACGGGCATGCGTAGCCTGCTCAGCGTTCTCGAGGCCATGAAGCTGGACGTGGCAAACCACCAGATCCGGTGCCTTCGCCCTGTGCTCATTGAAGACACGACTCACTTTGAGCAAAAGTTCTTCCTGCGCAAGATGCAGTCCAAGAAGGTGGATGTCAGCGGGGCCAAGCAGTGGTACAACGACGCCGACCGAAGATACTCTCCCGGCATCGGCAACACGACGCAGACGTTTGGCGACATGGGCGTGTTTTTCGAGGCACTGACCCACCTTGTCCTCCCCTCGACTGCCGAGAAGCGCGTTCCCAGCACCTTTCTTTTCGACGAGGAGCGCATCATGAAGCTGAAATCTGACATGCTTGATGCCGTCAACCTCGAAGTCTGCATGCGCATGTACGAGGACCTGGAGAGGGTGGGACGATTCAGCTCGAGAATGTTTGGCGCCAGCCGGGCCGTGGACGAGGATACGCTAAACAGGTCCATGTCTCCCGAGTTCAACTTCAACAGCCCAATCTCCACCTCTCGACCGTCAAGTCTCGTCTTCAGCACATCTGGGTCCGCGTCTTCGTCGCCCAGATCCTCCTTCGTCATGCCCTCGTACGTCGCCCCCGAGACGAGCGAGCCGCGGACCAGGACCCGCGACGTGTACAGCACACTCGTTGCCCTGCTACAGTCGGCGACACCGACGTCCCGCCCCTATGCTCGCTGGCAAGAGCTCGCTCCTGCCATGGCTCTCCAGATCTTCCGCTATACCAATGCGCCGTCGGAGATGCTTGCTGCCTTTGAGGAGAAGCTGATGGACAACGTGTGCAACGCAAACACACAGCTCTATCTCGAAGTCGAGCAGTCGTTTCACAGCCGGCTGATGGCGGAGCTCGGCAGCCGGGTCCGCGAATTTAAGGCCCTGTCCGGGGTGTCACTCTTCGCCGTGGCCACTGGCGGCCGTGTCCAGAGCGGCGGCAGCCTCCAGTCCGGGCGAGAGCGGGACATGGAGGGGTCGCCGCGTGAGGGACAGGAGGAGGGCGGACTCGAAGACATGGCCGTCCGTCTCGCTCACCTCGGCGTCTTGCACTGGCGCGTCTGGGCGCAGCTGGTGTACTTGAGCGATGCTGACGACGACATGTCCCTGGATGGGCCCTCGGGCCAGATCTGATGAACCCTCCCGGCGCAGTCTACGGGTCTCATTGCCGACTATGGCAGCTTGACGTTTCGAACGTCGCGCGTACCGGCGACCTTTTACAGAGTGGTTTTTTTTTCAAGAGTGAACAGCTTGGATTCCGGCGAGCAACTCGCGTTCCAACAACTTCACAATGCCGGTATATGGCTTATAATTTTGGACGCGTGGTTCTCATTCTCTCCCAAGGCACTCGGGCTCGGGGGTTCCGGCCACTCCAACCGATTTCCTCTACTTTTCCGTCTTGGGCCCCACTGGAACGCGACTATTGGAGTTATGCAAAATTGGAGTTTTTAGATTATTAGACTTGGGAGGCAAGGATCCCTCGGGACAGTGGGAGCACTGCTATTTGGCGTCGGCATATGCGCTGTGTCTTTTTCTGGCTTTTGGCTTTCCTATTCCAATGCACATCGGCGACTCGGCCGAACCTTTTCCATGTTATTTTTCTTGGCCTCTTACTTGCATGTCGTCATTTCGTGAATGGGTCGATTGCTTTTTTGCTCCGGTTCTACAGACATCTGGCGTATACGGGGGGTATGGGAAGAAGGACGCCGCCGCCGCTTGGCGAGCGTCGCTGCGAGTGTCTGATTCCGTGTCCGGCACCCACCGGAGAAGCCGTGTGTATCGGCCCACTGCGGCTTCGTCTGCTTTGTGGTGTAAGATGGCTGACTCGGGCTGAGGCGGCGACTGCAAAGATCGAGTCGAGGCTGGCTCAGAACTAGTAGAGCATTGAGCATTGAGGGCTGGCAAGGCTGTGATTGATACTCGTGTGTATCTTTAATTTTCTCCTTTATACTCGGGCGCCGCAGACTTTGGGTAGTGTACTTTGATGCGTCATTGAACAAGCACACACTTGGCCGCATGGCTGGTTCGGCATGGCTGTTGAAATCTCTGACAAGTAAGCAGCAGGGCTGGCTTGACGTTGACAAGGCTCGGAAGCCATGAGTCAGCCAGCTGTGTGGTCAGGGGCAGATCCGGGACGCCGACGATGGGGACGCGACGTGCTGTTTGACGCGTCCTGTCAGGCAGAGATGGCGTACCCGGCCGGCACCAAGCAAGCCACAGCCGGGTATCCGGTGGACCTCGTCCTGTCTTGTTGGCGACTTACTTTGCGCTGCGCCTCGATGACTCGCCACGGAAGGGACGGGGTTTCCACGACTTTTTCCTCTCTTTGACCACTATCCCTCCTCTTCTCTTCTCTTCTCTTCTCTTCTCTCCACCCCACACCCCTTCGGTCTTGTCATCCTCCATCTTGGTAAAGGCGGGGAGAGAGGCAAGAGGAAGGGGAGGGCGGTCATGGCGCTTTGGCAAGCCGAGGCAGGCGTTTGAGGCGTCGCGAGGCCCCGTGCCTTGCCGTGTCCTGTCTGTGCCACCCGGTGTGCGCCCCCAGCAAGTGTGCGTGTGTGAGCGGCTCGGGAGAAGAGAGCATACGATGGGTTCCTCCGCCTCTCCTTCTTCGCTTCTTCAGCCTACGTTGTTGATGTTGTTGTGTTGGTGATTACGAATATATATATATATATACATGTGCCTTGGAACTTGAGCGCCAGACACGTCGAGTCGGAGAGAACTCGACGTGGCGCTGGCCGGCACCTGTCCCCGCTCCTTGTTTCCTTCCTCCTCTCCTCGAACCTTGAATCTTCAGCGACAAGAAGAAAGAGTCAGAAGGAGAAAGGGGGCGTCGGCGTAGGGTCTCAGGAGGCGGAACGGGAAAAGGGCCCTGTTTGCCTTGCCTGGCCTCTCTATCCCACCCCATCATCTCCTCTCCAAACGCGAAATCGATATAAAAGTTTACATGAGTATGTATGTAGATGTACAGATTCATATGATATAAACCTAGACAAGCCTCGATGCGGGGAAAACCCCTGAGCCCGGGGCGCCGCGCTTCCGCCGCGCAATTCCCGTACCTACCTCGGTTCATCCGGCAAGGAGGCGGCGTTCCCTCGGTTGCCTTGCTTGCGTGGCGGCAGGCTGGCGGCGGTTATGAGACCCTGACGCAGCGTCCAACTCTCGACTCGTACGAGGCAACATGTGATTCACGGGCGCCGTCATCACGGCCATGTCAAGCCGCCGTACAAGCCACGGCACCGAAGCCACGCCGTATCAAGCCGCCATAAGCCACGGCACCGAAAACATCGCCATATCCAGCTGAGGCACGAACAAGAGCACAATGAGGCTTTGGCGGCAACAGTCAATTCCTGTTAAAAGAAGAAAAGGCCGTCATCGCCGACAGACGGGTACCTAAACAACTCCATCCCCATCTGTCCCCTCCAAACATGACTTGAAGAAGCTAAAGAGCCATCCCCAATACTCTCCAATCATCTGCCGTGCAATTCATCCAACAATTCGTTTGCCGCCTCTCCTTGTCTTCTCTGCAGTTTGTCTGCATTATCGTTCTTTGTCCAATGTGTAGTGTACAAGTCTATCAAAAAAAAAGGGGGGGTTGGTTGAAGAAGAATGTAACACGAATAAAGAAAGAGAAGAAAAAGATGACAAGAGGCCAACCCTCCGACTCATCAACGGCCCAATACTCCCCTGCGATCCCTTCTCCGTGAAGAAAAAGGCTATAGCCAAGGAGGGGAAAAGAGTTGCTTGCAAAGTATGACATGAGACCTGGCTTCCGAATGCAAGATCGTAACCAGAACAACTGGACAGGTTGGGCTGTGCTGTACAAAGAAAAAAGGCGAGTGCGTCTCGTGTCCATCATCGCGTGAGTGTCGAGGAAGAGAGGTGCGTATGGATACGGGCGGTGCGCTACCGGGGACTCAACGGGCCCTTGCCGGGCCCCTGACTTCGCTTCAGCCGGTTGAGCTCCTCTTCCAGTTTGCGGCACTTGGAACGCTCCTCCTGTGGCAGCCGTTAGCACTGCCTCGCCGCACCTCGTGCTCGACCATGGACGCTTGTTGCTTACCTTGAGGTCTTCCTGGAACCTCTTCCGCTCCTCCCTCATCGTCGCCCTGAATTGCTCACTCAGCATCGATGCGCCGGCTCCCGGCCTGCCTCCGGTTCCCTGGCCAGACGCGGCCTTCAAGCGCTCGCCATCCAGCTCTTCCTGTAGCTTCGACATCTGCTCTCTGGATCGTTGCATCTCGGCTTCGACCGCCTCCTTGGCTGACATGGCCTCGTCGAGCTTGACTTCGAGCTCCACCTTTTCGCGTTCCGCTCCTATTGTCTCCTTGGTGATGCCCTCCAATTCCTGTACCGTCTCGCCGAGTTCCTGCTTGAGCCTCGTCACCTGGTTCTGGAGTTTGACAACTTCCGAGTTGTTCTTGAGGGCCGCCACGTCTGCCGCCCGTTCTGCACGGGATCCATATGCGCCGTCCAGCTCCGCTCGGGCAATCGTGACTTCGGTCTTAAGCTCGGCCAGGGTCATGTTGAGTAGCTCCATCTCGTTTTCCTTCATCTTGAACACCTTCTCATTCTCTGACAGCTTCGCCGCCTTCTCCCCCAGCTCTTTTTCCAGACCCTGCACCTTCTCCTCTGCAGCCGCCTTCTCTTGCGTCAGGGAAGCGATTTGCAGGTCCACGTTCGCCAACTTTTGTACTGCACCGTTGCCCTCCGACTCGGCTGTCGCCAGGTTCTTTTCTGCTTCCTTCAACTGTGCCTCGAGGGCGTTGATCTTGGCATCGCGCTCCGTGATGTCGGCCGTGGCAGCCTCCGCGGCCCCGGCTGAGTTTCTGGCCGTCTCGAGGTCGTCCAGGGCCTTGGACAGCATCGTCTGGGCTTCTGTGGCGTCCTTCTCGGCGTTGAGGAGAAGCTGGCGGCTCTGCTCCAACTCTTCCTGCCTTCTGCCAAGCGCCTCGTCCTTTTCGGTGTCCGATTTGTTGTTCAGCTCGCGTTGCTGTTTGACTTGTCTCTGGAGCACATATTTCTGGTCCCTCAAGGTAGATGCCTGCGCGTGCAGCCACGAAACCCTTGAAGCAAAGGCGGCAAGAGAATAGGGCTCGGTCGTATCGAACCCCTCATCCTCGGACACGTCATCCTCATCAGGAAGGCTCTTGTCCGCCCGGGCTTTCCGGCGCTCTTCCTTGCGCTTCCTCGTCTCGGCAAATCCGCTTTGGATGCTGTCCCAAAGACGTTCCAGCACAGGCCCGGTTTCGGCGTCTAGCCCCCCCGACATTGCCTGGCCCAGTTTGGAGTCGGCCACACGTAGCGAGGCCTCGAGGTAGTTGATCTGTCCTTGAACGTCGGATTCGGTAGGTCTCTGAAGATGAGCGACTCGCTGTTATTCGGGGCGCAACCAGGCTTGCTGGCCTAAGCAGCTCGGCGGGGAGCTGCTTGAGGCTCCTGATAATCGCCGTTTATCTCGGGGTTGAATCTTATTATGGTCTCGCGGAGGGATGAATTGAGGTGTTGGAGCTGCTTGATGACGACGTCTGTTTGGCCGCGCAGCTGCATGTTCTCCTCTCGCATACGGTCCATCTCGCCGCGAAGCTGGTGCTGCTCGCGGATGGGCGACTTCATGGGAATCTCGATGGCGTTCTTCTTGGGTTGCCTGCTCACTTGAGGACCGCCTGGATAATCCAGCTGGTAAATACTGGGGTCGTCGAGGTAGTTGTCGTCGGCTGCTTGGTCAAGACTGCTTCCGCTGAGAGAGTACGTATGCAGGCTCTCCGGGCTGCCGGGCATGCCGTTGATGAGCTGGCCAATAGGCGGAGGGGGTTTCTTCTTGGAGGCCTTGTGGGTGAGCTGGAGGATGCCGGCAGTGTGCTCGAGGAGGCGGCGCTGGGGGCCCATGAGTCGTTTTTCCAGATTAAACAACTCGGCGGCGAGCTGCTCGCACTGGCGTTCACACGCCTCCCTTTCGCGCTCGGCTTCTATCGCGTTGGGATCGTCGGGTTGGGCAGGGCCGTAAAGCTTGGCCATGGACACGGCGGCGTCGCGATATTTGGACTGCATGGCAAGATTCTTCTTGGTTGACTCGACGCGTTGAGCGAGGAGCTGTGACAGTTTCTTTAGTTCGTCCACCTCTTCCTGAGACAGAATGCTGTAGCTTTTGCTGTCGGAGAGGGCCGTCTCGGTGAGCAAGTGAACCTGTATGGCATCTCTGAGGTCGACGCGGCCCGTTCTCGGCAAGTGGCCGGATCCCGTCTGAGGACGTGTTAGCAGGGCCGTTGCCGCAGACGATGCGCCGACGCTTACAGAGCCGAATGGCAGAGGGACCTTCTCGAGGCCATTGGGGACCTCTAGTCTGTACCCGTTTGCCATGGGTTTGCTATTAGGACTCGAGGAGGAGAGCGGCGGGATGGAGGCCCCGTAGTCGAAGGGGGCCCTCCCCGCCTGAAAGCCGTTCATGACGGCAGGCGGTTTGCTCGTCCTCGATTCACGCAGGCAGTCGTTACCATGAGAACGTTGAGAAGGCGAGGCAGGTATGCGCGGTGACGGATGGAAAAAAGTGAGAGGGGCTCAGCTCGCCATTAGGTGCAGAGGTGACGACGAGGCGGATGGCGGGGGAAGGGAGGCGGGAAGGGGCAAATATTCCGCTGAAATATTGTGTCGATCACCCTGTCGCGGGAGGCTTTGGTTTCCGTAGCAGAAAGCGGGGCCCAAAGGGAAAGTCTTGGACAGCGACGGCAGTGGGGGGACGCTGATGGGTGTCGCGTCGGGGCAAAATGTCGTCGAGGATCGAGCGCGGAGGTCGTGACGGAGACGCAGACGCAGACGTAGAACCGAAGGCGGAACGCAGGCGCAAAAGAGCAGCAGCTCGCTGAGGATCAGGGACGTCGGGTCGCAGGGCGGAAGAACGGGGATCGAAGACGTTGAGGATCGTGAGCGGCGATTGTGTGTCGGTGGGGAGGAGAAGTAGTGGCTGGCTGAGGGCGCGAGAGCCAGAATAGGAGGCCAAAAACAGGTTGGTGCATGCCTTGATGGCACGGCGCCAAAAATGGTGCTTTGGGGCGTGTAGGCACACTGTACAGCGGCTGCTGGCGGGATGTATTGGATGTACTCCGTACCTCCTGTCGCCAGCCCAAAAAGGGTGGGTCGGATATGTACTCGCCCGGGGCGGTTTACAATTGGCGGCGAGGCGCGGGGTGGGCCCCCTGCTAGCGGCCCGCCAGCTACCCTGGCCAGCTAATAACAGCGGCTCTTCAGGGGCGGAGGCGGCCAGTAGCGTTGCTGTTCCTGAGTGGAATTTGCACCGCGTCGAGAGTCGCATAAACCAAATCATGTACAGTACATGTCGCGCTACCAAGTACATGCCCGGCCGCTGTACTCGGCGCTTCGGCCAAGTACTTGCTTGTACTTGGTCTGGCAATCATCGACATGTCCTTTCATGTCTCATGTATTGGTCAAATAGCCGCTCTTCAAGCCAGGCCATCCCTCCCGTCGAGCAAGCATAAATGATGGCCCTGTTCGTCACAAGGCCAAGACCCTTTGTAGAGCAAAACCCTCCACCATCTCGGCTCCAGTGCTCTTCACCCGAACGCGTGGGCTGATGTCGCGACTCGTGGACCCTCAGCTCAGCCAGAGGTCAGTCACCTGCTGGCTCATGGTATGTGTGAGCGAGCCGAGGGACTGGGCGCGGACACGGTGGGACAGGATACCTTAATAGTAATCATCAGTCAACAAAAGCAAATCCTCCCGCTACGCACCATTAGCTGCCCGGTGAGGCCAGCTGCTCGGCGTTTCACGCAGCAACGGGATTTCTCACGCAGCAACGAGATTGCGTCTGACTGGGGACGATGCCTGGCCGTGGCCCATAGTAGCCAGCCCATAATGAGACTCTCGACTCCGCACCTAACTTACCCCGGGCGCCGATTGGCCAGTGCCGTCATCGGTTGCATGTCCATGGTCACCAAAAGACTCAAAGAGCAAAAAGGCAGGCTGCGCGTCAAGCCATGGTGTATGTTCAGGGGGCCTCTTGGAATACGGCTACAAGGCCTCGCGGAACTGGTCCATTATCTGCTGTCTCATGGTTCGTCTCCTGTCCACCTGCTGATCCCCCGACTCATCCTGGATCGCCGTGGAGACGCCCGTGGTTGAGTTTTCGCCCTCGAGCCTCCGGCGGAGGCCCTCGAATTCGGCGCTGCGCCCCTGGGCACTCAGTCCAACCATCCAGGCCGGCAGTCGCCACGACACGACCGAGGCGGGCAGAACGCCGCCGCGCCACGCGTGGCCTACGAGCCAGCCGATGGCTGCGCCGACAACGGAGCCGGGCCATTGTAGCAGCGACAGGTGGAAAGCGATGAGGTATTGGTACGACTTGTCCGACAGCGTGAGCCCGGAAAAGGGGTCATCCGTGGGCGGTGCCTGGGACGTGGCCACGCGGTACTTGTACATGTGCGGGACCATGGCGTAGAACTGGGCGAGGACGGCGAAGACGATGGGAGTCGGGCCGGCAGGCACGTAGTTGAAGAGGCTGGCCGACAGCGGTCGCAGTACGGCCATGGTGAGAGGGGGTACGATGGCGGTCCAGAGGTAGGCGACGACGAGGAAGGACTGACAGGCGCCTTGTTAGCATCACGAGCACTCCGGCATGGAGAGGGGAGACACGGACCGCATATTTCCGGGGTCCCCACATGCGCTCGACGACTCGGAGATTGTAAAGCGACATGGCGGCGAACAGCACCTCTGTCGAGTTGACGTAGCAGAACTGGTATGCCAGCAGCCTCCAAAGCTGCCGGTAGCGCCAGAGATGGGTGTCGATGAGGATATAACAGTAGTGCTTGACGTCAAGCATGCTGGCGGCAATGGAGAAGGAAACGAGTCCCAGGACGGCCAGGCGGGACACGGGAGCGTTTGTGAAGGTCATGGCGACGATTCGGACGGTAATAATTTATGAGTAGAAGAGGCTGCCGCAGCTGCTGTGCGTCTATCGACTCATGCTGCAATGGCGATGAGCATGCAGCGCGACCTGAACGTGGATAAAGGCAGCGGGCTTCGTCGGGCGCTAACGGTGTGACGACGTGGCAAGCGTATTTCGAGGAGGAGCCTTCCTGGCGCTTGAAGATTGTACTCGAACGTCGGACTTGTAGCCCTTCTGGGCAATGGCTGGGGGTTGTGGCCGCCAGATGGTTGCGCCAGGTCACCGGCCGAGGGATAATAATCGAAGCGCTGATGCTGAGGTGGCCACGATGGACGGGGACGACGGCATGACGAACGTCACGTGCACTTGAGGATCCCCGGAAGCCGGCTTCGACGGGTGGGAACGCTGGCTCAACCGCCCTACTGTACTTCCCCAGGTACGGATACGGTAAGTTACTGTACCTCTTCATACACAAGCACGGAGCAGGTACCTCCTCGGATGCTCACTCTTTTGTTAATGTAACCTCCAACTCTCCGCACAGACAGCTAGAAAAGGAGGTTTCGAGTCACAGAAAAAAGGGAAAACATGGGGATAGCCAGAGGGGCAAGGAACGCCCTCAAAGCCCTGCAGCGTGTCTGCAGAAAAGCTGGTGTTGGCATGCACGCTCGCATGCAGAACGTAGGTACCTACCTATCTTACCTTAGCAGACAGTACAGGAAGTGCCCCTAGGTACTTTGCATGTACAGTACACGCCGCTCGCTCACCCAATGCTTGACTTTCCCGCCTCACCACCACCAACAGATTAAATCTGCTGCCACCTACCTACTTCGTGCACCTACCAGAAGAAAGCTCAACCTCTTCCTCCGTCTTCCCGTTCCGTCCGTCCCGTTACGCACGCGCTGCCTCACAACTCATTTTGTGCGCTGCTGCAGGGGACGACGGGTTTGCTTTGAACTTCCCCGCCGCCGTCCTACAGCATACGACTCCTTTCAACTGCCTATTACCTTCGTCTTGCCGAGTACGACCAGCGACCACGCTCACTCCTCATCATCCGTCTCTCTCACCAATCGGCTCAGCTTCCCGTCGCTCATTTCATTCACCGCCGTCCTACTACCGGTCATCAGGTATAATCGACATCGACGACAGTCTTAACTCTCCCTGGCACTTCTTCACCTGTTCTCAAGTCTTATTACCTCCTGCTCAGCTATCTCCAAACGCCATCTCTTTCTCCAACAGCAGCCTTCGCCTCCCTCTCCTACAGGCCTCTGCTCACCCCCGCCCGGCCATCCTCGTCGACGAAAATGCCTCTGTCCGACGTCGGCTCCATTGTCCTCCACCACATCGTCTTCCTCACCCATCTCGTCTACATAACCCTGGCCTTCTCCCACGCCGAGCCCAGCCTGGTCGTTGTCCTCTACTTTATCTCGAAGCTCGTGGCCCGCCGCCCCGAGGACATTGACCCGGCATCCTGGCATCCAAACGCAGCCAAATGGTGACGACGTTCCTTCCCATACCGTCTATGACTCTCCTATACAAGACGGCCAGCAGCTTGTTGGCCATGGCCGCTTCGTCTCCGAGGATTGATCGCCGTTTTGAGGCCTTTACTGCGGCCTCTTGCACACTGCTCACATGGTTCAGGTGCCGTGGCTAGCAGAAGCATAGCTCGTGAGCCGCCCGCTCTGGGGCTGTGAAACGTCGACGGGGTTTCGCCTCCCGTTTTCCCCGCAGTCCAAGTGCCATGCCGGCTCTATATCCGTCCGCGCACCCCCGATCAGCACTGGTCACTGTCCCTCGTATATCTTTTCCCTGGGACGGCGGCCATTACACACCGCACCACCGTCATGAGCTACTTTGTCTAGGGTAGGGCCTTCCGGGCAACCACATCTACCCATTTCCCCCCTTCGACTCTGTTTTCGGGCCTCTTGTCATTTTCGGCGTTGGACAGTCTTTCGAAGTCTGGATCGGGAGCTTCAGCAAATCACGATACCCCCTTTAGCGTATGTAGGATTGTCAGCAGCGTGGATAGACGTGGCAATTCGCCGGATGCTGTCTTGATACAGTGGATTGCCAGCTCATGCACTACAGAATAGAAACAGTGCTGGTTGTACTAGATAATACAGCTGCAGAACCACCACCGTCTGCCGTCTATGTCACAGCCCAAATTCCCGCAACCCCCTTTTCCACCGCTCGCTTTGAGCCTGCCCACCGGATCCTCTTGGCACAACGCCCGAGTCTATTTCGAAAGAACGATAAAGCCGAGAAAGGCGAATGTGAAAAAGAAGAGGATAAACAGACGCTGGAGCCTTTTATAAAGCACAAGTAAGAAAAAGGAAAATGATGCCGCATGCGCTGGGAGAAAAAAAAAGGACGATGAGGCGCCAGACTCTCACGCCCAGCACAACGCGACCAACGTCGTCGAGAGAAGACCAGCTGCGGCGAACAAGGCCTGGCCATAGAGGGACGGCAGCAGCCATTTCCCGAGCCGGAACAACTAGAGCTTGGCCTTGGGCGCGTCTTGCTCGGCAGTGGCCTCGAGGTTGAGTGTCACCTCGCCCGTCCTCTCGCCGTTCCCAAAGAAGATGACCTGGACAGTCAAGTCGTCCCTGGAGAGAAAAAGGCAGGGTCATGTCAGTCGTTCAACGTTGTAACAAAGGGAAGGGGCTGGGAACCCAGGCTTACCTGTATCGCCTTGAAAAGGGCGCTGGAAGAGTCAAAAGAGCGCACACTTGCTCGTCATTTGTCCCGCCGAGGGCGTTGCGGACCAGATGCGTCGCCACGTTTTTGTCCTTGACGGTGAAGCGGTCCTTGGCTTCGGGATCAATTCCCCACTGTTGCAGCCGGATGGGCGTCTTCTGGCCATCCGGGCCGGCATCCTTGGTGTGCTCCACGGGGAGGGGCTTACTGTGTGACCCAAAGACCTTGGACCACGCACTGTCGAATTGCGAGCTCGACGAGGAGCCGGCGGCCTGCGTCTCGATCCACTGGCCCACGAGTCCTACCACCTCGTCGTTGGTCAACATCTCCCACAGCCCGTCGGTGGCAAGGACCAGAAAGTCACACTTTTCCGGCTCGATCTTGGTTGTGGTGATGATGGGCTCCGCCGTCACGTAAGGAGGCGTTTTGAGAAGAGGGGACGGGCTACGACCGAAGAAGCTCTGGCGCAGCTTGCCTGCAACATCTCTACTCCACTTGTAGACGGCGTCACCAAAGGCGCGGGATGGTTCCAGTCCACCCAAAACGCGGCCGTTGCGAACCACATTGTCCTCGCCCGGATGCTCCTTGCGCATGCGTGCGGCCTCTTGAGGATTGCTGCCCGTCTGATCCTCGGACAAGGCGGTTGCCGTCCATTTTCCCGAATCGGATCGGCGTCCCAGTACGGCCCGGGAGTCGCCCGTGCAGGCGACGCGTAGAAGCTTGCTTTTGCTGTCGTAGAAGGATAAGAGGGCGCAGGAGCCGGACAAGGCAGGCTGCAGAAGCTCTGCGGCGACGGTCTTGGAGCTGGCCTTGAAGACCTTCTCGACGCTCTTGTGGACTATCTCATGGTCCAGACGGTTGAAGCCCGTCTTGATGGCCAGGTCGATGGCATCGGGGGCGGGAGCGGCAGGGCTCTTTGCCGCCTTGTAGGTGTTGTTGAGCTCCCTGGCGACGTAGCTGATGAGGCTTTCACGTAGAGTGGCCGACGTAGTCCAGCCGCTAGAGGGGAAATGGTGAGCAATGAGGAACAGGACAGCCAGGTTGTGCGAGCGAGGCCACGTACGAATGGCCATCAAAGACGCCCCAAAACATCCAGTCGCTGCTCCCATCAGGGCCCTTGGAGCGGCTGGGAACCTCGACAATCTTTTCGGCGTGGTCGTCCTCGATGGGGTCATTGCTCGGCAGCTGAGCCAGGTCGTATCGGATGACACCCTCGCCACGGTTGACGGAAAAGGACTGCTCCAAGCGGCGCAGCTTCTGGGTGGCCTGGCCGGGCGTCAACATTTCGACGATGCGCTGGCCGTCGTCGCCCGTGGGCTTTGATATGGGCCCCTCGCCGACAATGGTGCCCTGCCTGAGCTCGTCCGCGCCGACGACTAAGACGGTGCGGGTTGGGGTGGCATAGCTAGCGCCCTGGGTCGAGGTGAAGCTGCGCGAGACGGCCTGGCCGCCGGGGACGGAGGCCGAGTTGAGAGAGTACCAGGCGCCGTAGCCGACAACGAGACCTGAGACGAGGGCGACGGGCAATCGGCGGAAGAACATGGAGGACTTCAGCGGCACATGGGCGCTGGAGTGTTGCTGCCGGCGCTTGGCGAGGAGGTCGCTGGCGGCAGACGTGGGGACGCGATGGGAGGCTCCGGACGGCGAGCTGCGGGAGAGGTGGCGGGCGGCGCTGAGGTAGGTGGATGTTGTCCGGAACGCCCTGAGGGCCGCGCGATGCATCGAGACTGAAGTTGGTGACGGGAGCAAGGAGCAGGTGCAGGGTGCTCTCTCTCGATAGATGCGCGTGGCTGATGAGGGCTACGGAGGCGAGGAGTGGTTGTCTGTCCAGTCGCAAGCAGAGTGAGGTGGTTGAAGATATGCAACGGTCGACGCCGGTCGCTGCTGTCGACGATGGTCACGTTTGACGTTGGCAGGAGGTGGAGGAGGGATGGATGCTTTTGGTGGGGAGAGGGATCCATAAAGAGGGATCCATAAAATACCCGGCATTGGGCTGGGGCCGCTACAGCTCGAGAGCACAGAGTCATGAGAGAGCACAAGAATGGGCATCGTAAAGCCACTGCAACGAATGCTTAAACATTTCACTTCAAGTAGGTATTCTTCACATGCAATGAAATGTACATCGATTTTTGATCCCCTGATCGCTGAGGTCTGATTCCTCTTTCACTTGACCAGCAGCATCCATGCGGCTGAGCCCCCTTGCCCTGCGGACCTGCACGTGCCCCCTGGATACTCCACTGAGGTACGGATACTGTACCGGGTGGATGAGCCCCGGGGTTTTCCCACTCGACTTCCTCTTGACTGTAAGCTTCATCCGTCGTCACATGCATCGACTTATAATTACATACATACCAGCAGCAGCACACACAAAAAGACACTCACCCGACCTTGTTCCACCAGGCCCGGTTACGCGCTGCTGCCCCAACTCACTAATAAATTCCGCCTCACGCTTCCAAGCAACCCATTTCCTCGCCTTTGAACATACATCTCCCAACTCCAACCCCGCCAAATGGCATCTCAGCCCGTCCCCGGCACAGATCGCATCCGCTCCCTCGACGACCAAGACGCCATCTACCACGCTTTTGACGCCTACCCCTGGGCAAAGGACAAGACTTTTCTGGTTAGACCAAAAGCATCTACTTCTTCTGGCTAATCTCGCTCACCTCATTTGCAAAAAAGTCCGGCCTGTCCGCCATCCTCGGCGAGCCCAATCCCCAGAACCCCCGAGGCTCCCCTGCCGACATCGCCACCCACGCCCGCATCTTCTACTACGCCCAGCGCATAGGCGTGCAAATCGACTTTGCAGACTACCACGCATGGCTCGCCCGCCACCCTGACCACCAACCCCCCCAGCTCATCCCTCATGATTCCCTCTCCCCGGAACGGCGGCAGCATGAGGCCCCATCACCTCTTTCATGGCAGCATGCTGCGCCCAAGGCAGACCTCTACGTCGATCGCAGCCACCAGTCGTCATCAGCCGCTGGCGGGGAGCCAAACTACCCCATGGGCTTTGCCGAGATGCTCAAGCTGCTTCAGGAGGGCAAGCCCGTACCGGGCATCAGGCAGATTCCCAACACCATTGCCAGAGATCCGGTGAGCTTTCTCACCATTCTTCCCTTAATCTCCCGGATTCACATCCCCACTCCCAAGTCTGACCCATCTCCGCAGTCCATCAAGCCTGTTGGCACGCGGGCAGCCCCCAAAAAGCCATGGGAAAAGGACATTACTCCTACTCCTCCTGAGATGAATCTTCCCCAGGCCCTCGACTCCGACTTCCCCCCAATCGATGGCGAGTCCCCCGAGTCATCTACTGAGGCGACGGGAGCAAGGGGCTCGTAAAGCCTCCGAGAAATAGAGCAGCATTACTCCCACGACGCATGGCGGGCATTGCTTGGCTTGTACGAGAATCTGAGTTGCCTTGACGCCCAAATTAGGTGAAACAAGACCACATCAGAGCCTCCCACTCACTCCTTGAGGTGACAGCTATTCGACTCTGCTGGCATTCTTCACCTCTCGCTTTGCCCCCCCTTAGACTTGCGCTCAAAGCTAGGAAAGTCCTTGTATTAACGAGCCTTTGAGCTATCTAACGCACCGAATCCCTGTATCCCTTCGCATCCTATTCTTGGGCGCGGACTCCTGAGCGTAAAACAAGATACAGACTTTCGCACAACTGGTACGGCACTTCCTACCGATGCTGGTACTTCTGCAAGGGCCCCGTCCACCTCACCAAACAAGCCATGCCTGTTTCAACCTCGGCTTTCACAGACCACCCAGCCTCCGACTGGACTGCCTTGCCCTGGCGAGTCATCCCCTGGTGATGGGCGCGCGCTGACCCCGTCTGGCATACAATTGAGCCCCCTCCCTTATTAAAAGCTGTACGCTTCCCCCATATTGCAAAATTCATAACCATGATGTGTCCAATGCACCCATTCAGGCAGTAGCCAGCCGGGCGTAGGATGACGTGTGATCTGTAAATTACCTGGGCGGGAAAATGTTCCTAAGAAAAAGTCGACAAATTCTTGCTTGGTCTGTCAATCTTGGCGAGAAGAGCGCGGGCCAAAACAGATAAGACAATCGACAAAGTGCCGTAATGAAGCGTACACCCAAGGCTAAGTCGAGGCCTCGTCGCCAATCGGGAGTTGCGCTGTCAACTGCCGTGCCAACGTCAGTCGTGCTCAACGATAGGCGCCTCCAAATCGCGGCCCCTGGCCCATACGGCTTCCCATGCCAGGTCCAACGCCAGGGCCAGGTCGGGTGGTGACGGCATGGTTCGTGCACAGCATGCCCACGCGCGAACCAAACTTGGATCCGCGCAGAGACACCATGTGCTTCCGGATGTGGGCCGCCACCATTTCACGGTGCTGAGGCGTGGCGTGGTTGAGGATCCACTGGACGAGGTAGTTGCCGTACTGGTCGCTGGCGATGTCAATCAAGGGGATCCGGGTTCGGTCCGGTCGGCCCTCGCAAACTCGATCCAGGTATCTGCCCAGGAAGTCCCCACCGCCAATCTTGAGGCACTTCTCCACCACCTTGGAAGCAAACTGATCGGTGCTGTACTCGGCGGCGTAGCGAATGACGTGGTCGATGGCCCGGCTTCTGTCCGGGGGGGCACCGTGTTCGCAGATGTGCTGGATGCACCAGTTTCCAAACTGGCCGTGCGCCACGATATCGATGTTGGCAAGGACCTCCTCAATGCAAGGGCGCTGCGAGACCCTACGTCAGCACAGAGTCTTTCGAATCACGCGGGGCGTGACATACCTTGTCTTCCTCTAGACAATTCTCAAAGATATTCTGGACGACGAGGCTGCCGGTCTCGCCCAACGCAACTTCGTGCCACATGCCCCTGAGTGCCTCGTTGACATACTTCATGATCTGAGGGGGGGACTCGGTCCAGCGAAGCTCAAAGAGTTTCTGCCACACGTGGCAGGCGTATCGATGAATCACCGTCTCTGGAATCCGTCGCAGAAGCTCGCGAACCATGATGCTCTTGTAATCTTCGGGGACCGAGTCAAACGCTTTCTGAACCACGTGGCATCCGAAAGGGTCCATGGAGAGGTTGCGCGTGTTGCCACGAATCGCTCCAGCGATCTTGATGACTTGCTCCGGAGTGCCGTGTTCAAAGCAACGCTGCACGAGAAAATTGCCGAACCTGTTGACCATCAAAGGATAGGCTTGCGCCACGATGGCCTCGACTATCTCGTACTTTTGCTCGGGGCTTCCCACTTTGAGCTTCTGCTGGAGGAAGATGGAGGCTTGCTGATCGTTGTTGCAAACAATCTTGTCGACAATGTACTTCCAGTTGGCGCTCACGTTCTTGTCCAAGAGTCGACGGTAGTTGAGGGGCTCGGTGGCGGGGAGGTAGGTCGGTCCTTCAGGGGGCATGGCCTCGAAGCTTGTTAGATACAGGAACACCGTCTCGGTCGAGCTGCTGGCGTGCTTACCTCGCTCTTCCAGCCAGCCTTCGACGTGAACTCGGAGGCGTGGGGCGAAAGAGTTGTCCCGATCGGCTGCTGCTGATACGGAGGATACACGCCCATGCCCATTGGCCCGAGCCCAGGGGCAGCATTCAGGGTACCCGAAGGCATGGGGCCTCCAATCGATTCGAACTGATTCACAGGTGCGCCCATACCGCCAGACCCGCTCCCGAATTGGTATGGAGCGCCCAGCCGATTGTCGTAGCGGTTGCTTCGTCGACCGCCCGAGGGGCGCATCAAAAGGTCAGGGTCCGCAGCGAGGCGTTCTCCCCGATAGCACTCCATTGTGTTGGGGTAGGTGCCGTTGGCCTCCACATAACCTTGATTGAAGCTACGCCCTGCTCCCCAATTTCCCGGCGATGCTTCGCTGACTGGAGCCGGGAGGGCGTTGTTGAAAGCCCCCTTTGAAGTGCCCCAAATCCCTCGAGCGCGATTGAAGGCCGTGGCGGATAACGCGTCGCTCGAGTCCGACTGAGCGTCATCAGCCGTCATCCAGGTGGTATCCCGAGAGATGGAGGACACGTTTCTAGGCACCCCAATGCCCTGGAGATCGGGCTCCGCCTTGGCAGTCCGAGACTTTGCCAGCTCCTGGTCCAGCTTGGATATATGGTTCTGGGCCTGGGCAAGCTGTAACTTCAATCTCAAAACTTCCTCAGCCTCGGGGCGAGCTTCGTCGAGAGCGGTACTCGCGGGGCGAGTGGTCGGGGCAGTGGCTGGAAACGCGTCTGTCGCCGGGGTCATTGGCAGAGAGCTGCTCGAGGAGCCGAGGTCCAAGTTTCTCGGATACATGATGTTGGCATTCCCGTCCTCGTCGCCGGACTTGAAAGCTTCGTTCTGGTTGTTGAGGACGGCCTGCTGCTCCGAGAGCTTGGCGAGGAGCTTGTCCATGGGGTAGGCGTCAGTAGCACCGGTGTTTTGAACCATCTGTGAGCTCGCCGCGTCAGCCTTAAGAACCTGGTCGCGAGGAAGGCCACGACAGCACGAACCCTTTGGGCGTTCTGGTTGGCCAGCTTTGATGTGGTCAAGGCGGAAACGCTCATCATAATCGATGAATCTGAGCCCTTGTCCTGTATTCGGTCTTGATTAGCGAGATGCCCAAACATAACTAGCTGTGGAGACCCCGGCAAGGAGAAATAGGGAGCGGGCAGTTGGCAGCCAGGACGAGCTGCGGAGAGTGGCTGGGACTCACGTTTCCACGCCCTGTAGCCGAGTCTCTGTCGGCGTCTTGTTTGACGCGGTCGTCGCGAGAGGCCCCGAGTGGAGCTGCCGCTCCTCGCTGGGGAGTCGAGCCAGAGGATCCAGGGGCCGACATGGGCGCGTAGCCACGAGGCGAGTGAAGGGCTGACAGGAGGAATCTCGCGTGGACAAGGAAAGTGAAGCCAGATGACCAAGATCACAGACAAGAAGAGGCCTATGAGATCAAAGACCGTGGTGGGTGTGGAAGAAGAAAGAGCGCCAAGAAGACGAAGGAGTCTGTGATGAAAGATGGTTACGGTGGATGGCCTCGGCCAAGTGACGGAGGAGGAGGTGCTAGGGGAGAGAAAGAGGAAAAGGGCAAGAGCTGGCAGCTGCAGCAAGTTGCTGGGTTGCACCCGAGTGGAACTTGCGCCGAGCAGGCGAGACGTGCGGCAAGGGATGCGGCCGTAGCGAAAGGCGCTGTTGGATGGGGGAAGGTTCAAGTTTTTTTGCGGGAGGGAGAATGCGGCGAGAGCAGAGCCCGGTGGACGTGAACGGACGGTGGACCTCCTGCTGTTGTTCCGGTTTCGAGGCGTCGCCAGGAGCAAGAGCTGGGGCAGTCAGTGACGGACGGAAGTGCTTGGGCATCGACTCAGCTACCTGCTTTAGGGGCTTGGAGGGGGCCCTGTAGCACTGATATGCTGAGGATGGGGCGGCAAGCACCTGAACCTGCGCAAAATGCTGCCGCTTCCAAGAGGCGGGAGCGACACCTCGTCGCGTCCCCGTCGCACGAACTCTTGCCCCCTAGCCGCCTGTCTGGGTACGCGCTCAAGGGACCCAACGAGCAGAGACAAAACGACAACAAGAGCTCCAAGGCACAGACTATCAGCCCAGCTTGCAGCCACCAGACGGTGTTGAGTTCGCTTAGTGGAAACAGACTTCCTGCGCCATGGCACGTGGCTAACCGAGCCCTGCCCCCTCCTCTTGTCAACGAAACAGGCCGACAGCCAGGAAGTCACAAGGAAGGAGGCGCCTGCGCCTGCAAGGCTCCAAGTACAGAGAGAGCCTGTGACTGTCGCCATAGAGGACTAACAGAGCCGCGCGCGCCCTGCAAGGAGAAGCCGTCAGCCTCCATCGCAGCATTCATCGTGCGCACATCAGACACGCTCGGGGGGCGACAAGACACATAATGTTCCTCTGCACGGTCCAATCGAGCTTCAAGACGTCGCCCATAGTACAGCATGTATATACAAGTTTGGCTCGACCTTGTCTCTTCCAGTCCAGCAAACCTGGCATCACGCCCTCCCATAAGCCGGGGCCGCCATCGTCTGCACTTTGATCTAGCAAGAGAGCAACATTCCGCCCAAATCGTCTGCAAAGGTCGTTGCTTGGTCCCTCTGCACTCGGAGCCCGTGACGTCACTTCCTCCTCCGAGTTTGGACTGTAGGGCGGTTAACCACGCAAGATCCCAAAACCAGTGCATGATGCACATACCAGGAGGGCCCTTTTTCTTCTTGGGTGCGCTCTTTCCACGCTGTTTCAGCCTGGAGCCCACGCATCAGCAAGCTTGTCTCTCCGTCCATGGGTGTCTCGTTCGTCCTTACTCTTCGATGTATTCGAGTCGGTCCTCCTCCTGCTCATCCCACGTCGTGAGAACAGGACCAAAACCTTGCTTAACATCCTTGATGGTCGCCGTCTTCCTTGGGTAGTAGGCGGCTACCGCGGGCCCCTTTAAGCGCTGCCGCAGGATCTTGTTGCCCATTCGGGTTCCCTCAGGATTGTAAATTGTCGCGAAGACCTGGCATTGCGCCTAAGGGGGGCATTAGTTGGTGGCAGGATCAATCGTGGTCGGCAGATGCATACCTTCATCAAGTCGAGCATCCGCGCACGGGGGACACTCATATTTGCATGGCCGTATGCTCAACGCGCGACTGGTGACGATTTTTCGAGTTCGGGTTGAGGTTGAAGATGACAAAACCGTGGACTGATGAAACGATGACGATTGGCCAAGAGCTTGCCTTCAGTGGGGCATGCTAGAGATGGGGCTCTGTGCCATAAAGTACGTACAGGGTACCGCGTACATGCAGAGCGCTCTGTACAGTGCCTATCAGCCACCACTCCACAGGAAACCAGAGATTCATCGTATGCGCTCGATAATCAGAAATCTACCTCGAACTCTCACACTTGCAGGCGTTCGACCCATACTTGGACGCCACTCACGGCCTGCCACTGCATCCAGCGAAAGAGAAATGACCAAGCGGCCAGCATCGAGCCTGGAGACGGGCGAGAGTCTTGGTGGTGCAGAGGCGCCGAGCAAACGAAAATGTTCGACAGAGAGCGCAGGTTGGGAATCAGCAACGCCTGCGGGTGAAGTCTCTACAGCTCTAGACCGCGCAGCTTCCGGGCTAGCTCTTCCGTCGCTGGTCGCCGTCACGCCGTGGATTTCGTCTGAGATATCTTCCGACCTGCCGCCTCTGCCCAAGATACTGGATCCCGAGCTTGAAGAGGTTGCCTTTACTCACCCTGGACTTGGTCTCGTGCAAAACTACGAGCGCTTGGAATGGCTTGGCGATGCGTATCTGGAGCTTATTGCCTCGAGCCTGATCTACCAGACCTTTGGGCGAACTCCATCCGGGCGTTGCTCTCAGCTGCGGGAGCTCTTGATTCGCAACACCACTCTAGCCCAGTATTTTCGGCAGTATGACATGCACCTGCGAGCTAAACTCCCTTCCGACCTGGTCAAATCTGGAGAGCTGGGAAGGGGGCGATCGAGTGACAAGGACCAGCTCAAGACACAGGGGGACATGTTCGAGGCGTACGTCGCTGCGGTCATCGTCTCGGACCCCCAAAACGGTCTGGCCAATGTCGTCTGCTGGCTAAAGACGCTCTGGGGTCATACCATCAGGCACAAAATTGTCGAGAACGAAAAGTTGCTCTCAGGCTTGCCGCCGTCCAATGTCAAAGCAGCCTACCTCGCGCCAGGCGCTAGGGATCTCAATGCCAAGGACAGGCTGAGGGCCATTGTTGGGGCCAAAGGCGTCTCCATCCGCTACGAAGACATTCCTGGAAACAGCAAACACAAGGATTTCGGCATGCCGCTCTTTACCGTTGGCGTCTACCTCGATGGATGGGGCGAGAAGAACAAGTTGCTCGGCACAGGCACGGCCATGCAGAAAAAGGAGGCGGGGCACAAGGCCGCGACCATGGCGCTGGAGAATAAGAAGCTGATGAAGTTGTACGGGGCGAAGAAGGAGGCGTTCCAGGAGGCGCTTCAGGAGGCTGCGAGGACAGCCGAGTCGGTGGACGAGCAGGGGCCTGCCAGCTGAAGAAGATGAAATTGTCAAGCAGCGAGGACATTGGCGTCTAGGATGAATTGGCCTGGTTTGAAGGCACAAATGGATGATATACCGATATACATAGATACCCAGACTGCAGCATTCAATGCTCTCCTTTCCCGGGCACTGAGGCTACGAGATGGCTCACTTTGCACTGCCTGCCATCGTCTGCCCCCGGAGAAGGTACGAAGCCAGCTGCGAGCCTGGTGAGGCTTGGAACATCACAGGCTTGCTGCAGCGGCTCGAACTAGAAACTCGTCGCGTCATCAGCTGGCGCTCCAAGACCTTTACATGATTGTGAGTCAAGGCACCGGTATCTGGAGCGAATCCAAGTTTGTTGATCGGCTGTCGTGCAATGCGGAGAATCGACCGCTAATGAAAAGTCGCGCTTCTGGGCTTGCCTCGGTTCCACGGCGATCCACCCCGCCAAAAATCTCGGGGTGCCGAGACATGTACTTTGTATCCTGGGGCCTCGGCTCGTGTGGGCGCTCATAACAGTTGCAGCAGCAAGCGTTGCAGGCTCAGGTACCAACGGAACTTGTCAGTACTCTGTTATTATCAGTACCCCAGATACACTACATCGTTTCAAGGCTCCGTAGGTAGCTGAGATAATCGGCTACTTTGACCGTCGGCATCGATTGCTCTGTCCGCCATCAATCCCATCACGACCCGACTGGTGACAGACAGGAGTAGAACCTCAATCCGCGCCTCGCTCACGATCCCGCCCCCGAATCCTCCGCCCTCGCAGCCGCCGCGCCAAGCACTCGATCTCCCGGCCCCGGATGGCGGCACGAGCCTGGCGGCAATAGCAATTGGCCGTTGCGCGAATACTGCCACCCGACTCCCCACCAGGCATCGTCTCCAACCTACAGGCCCTTCCTCTCTGACCGCGCCACCCGCTCACGTAGGCGTCAAAACCGCCCTCCATTTTGTCCCGTCGGGGCGCGGCCTTCTCCCTCGACCGCGCCGTCAGCCCGGCTTCCAACCACATCGCCACCATGGCCGACTCCGTGGGTACGTGCTTCGATCCGACCGGGCCGGTCGAGTGCTGACCTGTGCTGACCCGCCACGGGAATAGATCGAGTCTTTGTCCACGCCCTCAATACCGTCAAGAAGATACCCAAGACGGGCGCGTCACGGCCGCCGCCATCGGACCGCCTGCGCCTCTATGGCCTCTACAAGCAGGCCATGGAGGGCGATGTCGACGGAGTCATGGAGCAGCCCATACCCGTGCCGGGACTGACGGCGGATGAGCTGCAAAGGGAACGAGACAAGTGGCACGCTTGGAACTCCCAAAAGGGACTGACCCGCACCGAGGCCAAGCGGAGATATGTCGAGGCGCTCATCGAGACGATGCATCGCTACGCCACTACGTCGTATGCTCGACCGTCTCCGTCCGACACGGCCAAGTTGCTAACGCGCGGTTTACCCAGAGACGCCACCGAGCTCGTGGCCGAACTCGAATTCGTCTGGAATCAGATCAAGCACAACGCCCCCAGCTCCTCCAGCTCGTCCCCCCAAGCAGGCGGCTCTGCCAGCGCAACGCGCCGCTTTCAACAGCCACTGAGCGGCACTGAAGGCCCGATGAAGGTGCTCAGCCCGATGAGCGAGCACGACGAGGCCGAGTTGCGGTCGCAGCAACAGATGGGGCACGAGGACGACGCGCCGACGGACGTGGAGAGAAGCAGCAGCCGCTGGCAGAAAAAGATGGAGCGCGCCATGACGAACCTGTCGGCCGAGGTTGCGGCGCTGCGGGAGCAGATCTCGACGGGGCGGGAGTGGAGGTCGAAGAAAGAGCGCAGCTTCCCGGCCCGGTTCGGGTGGCTGGCGTGGCTCATGATGAAGCATCTGGTCGTCGACGGCGTCCTTCTGGCTCTGATATTGCTGTGGATGCGGAGACGCAAAGACAGGCGGCTAGAGGACCTGGTGCGGACGGCGCTCAAGATTGGCAGAGAGTACGTTGGCAAGGTGCTCCCCTCGAGGTGAGCGGCGGGCGGGCTCGCGGCGCACGAGCATCGCCGGCGGCGCCGATGCGCCCTGGGCGGCGACATTCGACCGACATTGAGTTTGCAAATGCGCGTTTAGACACGGCGAGACTCTCCCTGGAGGATCATGACTACGGTGGCATGGAGTGTTGGGCGCGGAGGCTGCTGGACAAATGTCGGCACATGAGGGAGTGCTTTTGCAAGATTGACCGCACCATGCGCGAAGGAAGGCCTAGATATGCATGTACTGTACAATATGTAAGAGACGACGGAGAGCAGTGTCTGCATGCTGGAGGCCGTGGACACGACAGACGCAACTGAGAGCCGCTGCAGATGTCTCTCCTCTGGCGACGCCCCGCATTGCGCCTTGTGCTTCGCCGGGAGCTACCGTCCGGGTCCGCGCAGGGACCCTCGTCATCATCTCTCTCTCCTTGTCACGACCGACGGCCCGACCTTGACCTGCTTCCATCATAAACGAATGCACCAAGCAAACCCCCGCCACCTTTATCCTCGCCGCCGTTTGCTGCCTGTCTGACCTGCCGACCTACCCACCCAATCCCCGCCCAGACAAGACGACGAAACGGCCGCCATCGACTTCCTCCGACTTCTTTGACGACGACCACCTGGCCGCCAAGCAACAAGCCTCCGCCACCACACCCCGTCATGCCGCCGCCATGAACCACGCACTCGTCCCCTCGCGCCCGCAACGCATGCGCTCGCCTCCCCCGCCATCAGCCGCCAACAAGCCAACCCACCACCAGGCCAGCAGCGCCGGCGGCCCGGCCACGCACGACGACGACGACGACGACGACGAGACCATCCCCTTGCTCCGGTCCACCGCCGCGTCCATCTTCGTGCCCATAACTACCGACCTCGCCGCCGCCTCGCCCTCGACGGCTCCTCCTCCTTCTGCGGCCGCCGCACCGTCAGACCGCATCGCCGACCTCAACGCCGTCCTCGCAGAGCTCGACACCCACGCCGCCCACGTCCGCGCCAACATCCGCGCCCTCGTCCGCCGCGAGTGCATCCGCATCCTGCGCCAGGCCGCCGCCGACGAAGCCCGCCTCGCCGCCACCCCCGCCGGGTCCAGCCGCGACACACAGCGCCACCTGCCCCAGCACCATCACCCGTCTTCTGCCTCCCTCCCGCCGCCGCGACCCCCCGGCATCCTCGCCCCCGCCGACCGCGCCGCCATGATTGCCAATATGGAGGCCTCCCACGAGGCCGTCCTCCCCGAAGTCATCCCGCTGCCCGACTTCTCCAAGGCCCGCCAGCCTGCCAACCCGCGCGAGTGGGCAAGCAAGGAGCTCATGGCCGCCGTGTCGAGAGCCCTCGACGAGCTCAGGGGCTTCGACGCCCACGCCGCTCACACAAAGGGCCTCTACCAGCACGCGCTCAAGCGAGAGATTGAAAAGGTGGCCCAGTAGTACAGGCCCAGGTCTTCTCGCCCCTTACCCGGCATCCTCAAGTCGGGTGCCGCGCCGCGCCGCAGAACCTAACGGCTCCTTGGCCTGCCGTCGACTCGTCTACCCCAGGCACGGCCGGGATCGATTACGCGTCAACCATGGCTTGCGGCCATGGCCGAACTCAACCTGCTTGGCATTCTGGGCAAACGGCACGCTTGCTGTTATTCAAGGGATTAGCCGTGGTCAAATGACTGATCCCCATTGCCCGCCCTCAATCCGGCATCCTATATGTACATATTCATACCCACTTCACAACGGACCCAAGGAATCGTCTTTCTATTTTGATACAGCCGCCATCCTCGTTCATACCCCGTACGCGACCTGGCCCATGGGCTTATCTTCCTCCATGCCCGGCGCCATCAAGTTAGTCCTCGGGTCTCCGGTGGCCTTGGCCGCCGAACACCGGGCCATTGTTGGTGAGCTGGCAAGGACCTTGAGTTAGCGCCAGGAGGCCCGCGGCAAAGGCAAAGAAGAGGGGGCATACCTTCTAGAGATGACGTCTGTGAAATAAAAGTTGTCAATGACCCTCTTCAGAGGCGAGCCGCCCGCCTTGGCTCCCTTGTTGTGGTCCACCAGTTGCACCTTGCTCAGTTGCCGCAGAGAGACGGGCTCAACCACGTCGTAGGCCGCCAGGGCCGGGCTGATTTCCGCCATGCGATCCCGGACGGCGGACACGTCGTCGTAGGGCAGGGGCGCGTCCAGGAACTCGCCGGCCGCGCGGAGGATCTTCCAGTCGGTTCGCGCAGCGCCGGGTAGCGACGTGGCTGCACGCGTCATCTGCACCCGCCCCTCGGTATTGATGTAGGTGCCCGCCTTCTCCGTGTAGGCGGCGCCTGGCAGCACAATGTCAGCAATCTGCGCACCGCGGTCACCATGGTGCCCCTGATAGACGACAAAGGCGTCCTTGGGAATGTCCGCCTCGCTGAACTCGTCGGCACCCAGCAGCCACACAAACTTGGGCTTGGTCTCGGCAACCGCCGCCGACGGGGTGACGAAGCCGACCTCGAAGGCACCGGCCCTCGAAGCCTCCCTCTGCAGGACATTGTAGCCATCCCATTCCTCTGTCATAAAGTTGGCCGAGTTCTTATCCACGAAACCACCGACCGTCTCGTAGAACGCCTTGGCATCGGCGTGGTCCGTCACGCCGGAGCCCACGATAATCATGGGTCTCTTCGCGGCCTGGAGCTTCTTGCCAAATGGACCGGCCAGGGCCTTTTTCAGGGAGGCGTGGTCGGTTCCGAAATGCTCAAACTCAAAGGTTGAGTCCCAAGTCTCGCCGACGACGCCAATCTCGAGGTCGGAGCGGAGCCACTGTTTCCGAATGCGGGCGTTGAGGACGGCGGCCTCATGCCGAGGGTTGCTTCCGACGATCAAAATGCAGTCAGTTTCCTCAATGCCCCAGATCCTCGAGTTGAACAGGTAGTTTGATCGCACGTCGATGCCGTGGGCAAGGGGCCGGCTTCCACTGGGAGTGTCCAGGGTGAGGTTGTCGGATCCCAGTTTGTTGGCCATGTCCTTGGCAACAACAAGAGACTCGACCTCGGTCAGGGCACCAGCGATAATCTTAAACTCATTGCCCTGGGGCTTCTTCTGTTCCCAAGCTCTGGCCACCTCGTGAAGTGCCTCCTCCCAATCTGCGGGCTCGAACTTGCCCTCTCGTCGGATCAGGGGCATCGTCAGGCGCTGCGTCTTAAGACCGTCGCAGGCGAATCTGGTCTTGTCGTTGATCCATTCCTCGTTGACATCGTCGTTGAGGCGGGGGAGAACGCGCATGACCTCGAGGCCTCTCGAGTCGACGCGGATGCTGGAGCCCAAGCCGTCGAGCACGTCGACCGACTCGGTGTGCTTCAGCTCCCAAGGACGGGCCCTGAAAGCGTACGGCTTGGATGTCAGGGCGCCGACGGGACAAAGGTCGATGACGTTTCCAGAAAGTTCGGAGTCGAGGTTCTTTTCGAGATAGGTGCCGATCTGCAGGTCGTTGCCTCGGCCAGTCGAGCCGAGCTCGGGGGCGCCAGCGATATCGTTGGCAAAACGCACACATCGGGTGCAGTGAATGCATCGGTTCATGGACGTCTTGATCAAGGGCCCAATGTTCTTGTCCTCGACGGCTCGTTTACCTCCCGTCTCGTGGAATCGGCCTCGATCGGCGCCGTAGCGCATCGACTGGTCTTGCAAGTCGCACTCACCACCTTGGTCGCAGATGGGGCAGTCGAGGGGATGGTTGGCAAGGAGGAACTCCATGACGCCCTCGCGAGCCTTGTGGGTGAGGGGCGAGTTTGTCTTGACCACCATGCCGGGCTGCACTGGCCAGGCACAGGAGGCTACGGGCTTCGGGGCCCTTTCCACCTCGACCAGGCACATGCGGCAATTCCCAGCAATCATAAGTTTCCTTGAGCCGTCGTTAGAGTCGGTTCAGTGGGGTGGGAAATGTGTGGTGGTTCTCGTACTCATGGTAGCAGAATCTGGAGTCACAATTAGCCCGGGTTGTCACTTAATAGATGGTGTCGGGGAGCTCAATCCCACCTAGGAATGGTAACGCCAGCTTTCTCGCAAGCTTGGATCAGGGCAGAGCCAGCTATCTCAGCCGTCAGCAACAGGAGGCGTCGGGGCTCAGCATGCATCGCCGGGTACCTTCAATCGAGACCTTTTTCCCGTCTAGAGCCGCGTTAGCACCCATGGAACTTCCAATGGGCAGGGGATATCGCGCAATGCTCACCAACTGTCAGTTCGACCTCGGCGTGGCGCTGCGGTGTTGTCGCAAAGGCCCGCGTAGGGTTGGCGGCCCGCCTGCCCGTCCGCCAAGCCGAACGTGCCAGAGAGTGTCGGAGCATCGTGTCGCCTTGACGGAGTGAAGGGAGTCGGCGATGCAGGGCACGGGCGGGGAGGGAGGGAGAATGGGGGACGGCTCAGTCGTTGACGTCCGTCTGCGGGAGAACTGGCTCGGACGGGCCATGGGGGGAGCTAAGCTAATCCAGAGCCTCGATTAATTTACAAGAGCGCTGATTGGCCAGATGTCGGCTGCCTCAGGCCAGAACCGCCCCATCGGCCCAGCCCGTCTTTTTAGTAGAATTTTGCTCGCGACCCTTTCTCTCCCTCTTTTCTTCCTTTCCTCTCCATAATTGTACCCGAGCACATTTTATTGTAGGTGAGCTTGAGCGGCTGTCTGCTTCTGTAGTCATGCCGCTACAGTCGAGTCTTCCTCTATCTTGTGCTCCAGAGCAAGTAATACGCCGATTATGGAAGCATGGGAGAGATTTATTCATCTCATTGAGCGTTGCCTCTTACCGCCGGTCGTTACATTTCCGATGCAGCAATCCGCTTCGTGACATTTCGTAGCACCATAGCACCGCGATGCGACGTCTTGATGGCTTCAAAGTCGCCCGCCAAAGCTCAAGAGCTGCAGCTACATTGCATTGCCCGCTCCGTCCGCGGCACATCGCCCGTCCATCGCTTCTCTTCCTCGGCATCGCCTTTCCACGCGACGCCATCTACCACCCTGCCATCCCACTCTTCCTCAAACGGATTGAGCGCCATGTGCATGATGCGGCCCAAGACGTCTCGCTCGCCCTCCTTCTCCACGCGCCGAATGACCTCGTCCAAGATCCAGCCGCGAGGGACAAAGCTGGGATTGACACGCTTCATGGCCCTGATCCTCTCCTCATCCGCGGCGGCAGGGACACTCCCGTCTTCGACGCCCCAGTCCTCGGTCACCCTTCTATGCCATTTCTCGAGCCACGCGCCAAGCTGCTTCCGTGCTTCCCCGTCGCCAACTGACTTCGGCGCCCCTTCTTTGTGGAAGAAGACGGACGCCTTTTGTCTCCTCGTGTCCGCGGTCGAAATATCTGCCAGCCGGATGCCGCTTAGCCGACGAAAAAAGTGATTAAAGTCAAGCTCCAGGGCCTCCATCGTGTCGAGCGCGCCGCTGAACAGCTCGTCAAAGTCGGACTCGTTGAAGCGCCGCAGCCCCAGCCGAGCAATCATCAACCTCTTGTACTCTGCCAGGAATACAGCCTTGTATTCTTCGCCCGCCTGTGTGATGAGCTTCTCGGCGCGGGCGACGATGGCTTCCTCTTGCCCCTCTTTGACGCCTTCATCGACAAAAGTAGGGTCGTCGACGTCGGCGCCTACGCCTATCAACTCGCCCACTGCTTCTCCAAACCGCACTAGATTCCACCAGATAATGGTTGGCTGGTTCTTGTAGCTGTATCGCAACATATGGTCGTCGTGGTTGGGGGTATACGACGGGTCAAAGTTGTCCATAAAGGCAAACGGGCCAAAGTCCATGGACAAGCCGTAGATTGACGTATTGTCCGTGTTCTGCCGCATTGATTAGCCACGCCTCGAAAGAGGAACGAACGGGGGACTGTACCAAGACGCCATTCATAAACCCGTACGCCTGCCAAGCGGCCACTGTTGCGGCATTTCTCCTCACCACCTCCCTGTACAGCCTGGTGAAGCGATTCTCCGCCGCATCATCGGGGCCCTGGACGCCGTCGGCCGACACCCCGCGTGTCGGTGTCAACGATGCGCCAGGCGCATCCGGGTCGTTGAGCCGGCCGGGCAGCGTCTCCCAGCCGCCAAAGACATGCTCGGCGATGTACGTGGCCAGCTTCCGGATCAGGGCTCTGTCGCCGCGGGCGCGCAGGATATCAAAGTTGCCGAGCCGTAGCCAAGACTGGGCGAACCGCAGGACTATCGCGCCAGGTTCGATGGTCTCGCGCATGACTTTGGAATGCGGCAGTAGGGTGAGCGACAGGGCGCGCGTGGTTGGAATCTTGAGCGCATTGAGGGCCTCTGACACGACGAACTCGCGGATGCTCGACCGCAGCACCGCCTTGCCGTCGGCGAATCGCGAGTAGGGCGTCAGTCCGGCGCCCTTGAGCTGCAGTTCGTGGCGCACGCCAGTAGACGGGTTGGTGGTCTCGAAGAGCGATATGGCTCTCCCATCGCCGAGCTGACCCGCCCACTGGCCAAACTGAAAGCCCCCGTAGCACTGCGCCCAAGGGTAGCCGCCCTCCAGCTTGTCCTCGTCCCAGCCGTAGAGCTTGTTGCCCGCCACGAAGTCCCCAAAGTCCTTGGTCGTGGCCTCGTCCTCGCTGAGACCCAGGTCTCGCAGAGCGGCCGGACTCACGGCCAGCAGCTCCGGGTCCTTTTGCTGTTCGGGCCGGACCCAGGTGAAGAGGGCGCCCCGAACCTGGCGCGGCGCGAGCTGGTCTCGGGGCGTCTTGTGCGACGCGGCCGGGGTCGGGTAGAAGGGGTCCGGAGGCAGCGACTGCGTGAAGCGCCACGACTTGTCCAGGTCTTGTAGTGACGGCGAGGAGGCAACCTCAGACTGCGCTCGCCGAGAGTCGGTGGCAAGGTTGACTGCGGCCATGGCTGCTGCTGGTCCGGTGGGTAGTCGCGGGCTGGCTCTTCGCAGAGCTGCTCTGCAAAGCATCAACGGCGGCACGATGATGGAGCGGAATACAACTTTAAAGAACAACCTCGGAGAAGCAACGCATGATTCTGTGCCCGAGAGACCACGGGCTAGAAATGAGGATGGCCTTGGTGGTGGCCAAAAGGACGCTGACATCACCGGTATCGACATTCGCGCCCCACATTGGAGCAAAGCGCGGGACACTCGGAACTCGGAATTACAAAGGTCCAGTAGGTAACTTAGACTACGGAGGATAGTGTCATCTTACAGTAGTACAGTAGTACAGGTTGCCTAAGAATTGCCTCATTGTCCCACTGAAACAACTTTTTGGCAGTAGGTGCAATTTGATCCCTTCTTCGCAAGCCTCCGTGTAATACACAGTGTATTCGAGAGTGCCTCAGGTCGAGAGGTGCTTCTAGGTGGGCCAACGGCAGAGGCTGTCGGCGCCAATGTCGTCATCCAAGAAGGCGCTGAACGAAGCTACCCGCTAACCTATCTTGTAGGGTGCTAAGTTACTCCGTACTAACGTTGCGTATGCGGTCTCGGCATATTTACCTAAATCCGAGTTTCAAACATGCAAAGCCGCCCTCTGGAAATGGTGCTACCTACCTAATTACCCATCTAGGTACTTGGGTAGTGGAGAAGAGGCAGGCGGGAAGTTACACTCATAGCTCCTCTGTGCGTGCGTGCTACTTACTCTTCCATCACCACTTGTGAACTTGATCCCTAACCATCCTCAGTTTAATTAGCCTCAACCCAATCGCGAAACCTCTCACGCTCTAGAAACCAGTCCAGCATGAACTCGATCGGCTCGACGTTCGAACCCGATGCTTCGGGCGACCCTCCCAAGCAGACCACCTCTCTCCCTACCCTAAAACTCAACGACGGCAATGAGATCCCCATGGTACGTGCCGCTTGCCCTACGTCCACGTCGCTCCCGAGTAACGCGAGCCACTGCGGTAGCTTGCCTATGGACTCGGGACCGCCAGGGGCAAATGGGGCGCCGCGGCCGCTGGCTCGCTCGACAACGACATTGTCCAGCTGGCCAAGACGGCCATCCAATCCGGCTACCGCCATCTCGACGGCGCCGAAGGCAAGCCTGCGAGAACACCGCACATACACACATCAACCTGCCCTTGCTGACTCGTGTATCCTGGGCAGTGTACGGGAACGAAGCTGAGCTCGGCGCTGCAATCAAGGCGGCCAAGGTTCCCCGCGAGCAGCTCTTCGTCACCACAAAGATCAGCGCCACCGACAAGAAGTCGACCAATGAGGCCTTTGACCTGTCCCTGAAGAAGCTCGGTCTCGACTACGTCGACCTGTACCTCATCCACGGCCCCTGGTTTGCGGATTCCGAGGCCGAGCTGCAGCAGAAGTGGGCCGACCTTGAGGCTATCAAGGCATCGGGACGGGCCAAGTCCATCGGCGTCTCCAACTTCCTCCAGGAGCACATCGAGGTTCTGCTCAAGACGGCCAAGACCCCGCCGGCAATCAACCAGATCGAGTTCCACCCCTATCTGCAGCACGGCCATCTCGTCGACTTTCACAACAGAAACAACATTGCCGTCGCCTGCTACGGGCCCCTCGCTCCTCTCACCTCGGCCAAGGGCGGCCCGGTTGACGCTGCCTGGCAGCAGCTGGCGGAAAAGTACGGGGTGACTGAATCCGAGATTGGGCTGAGGTGGTGCATTGACCAAGGGCTAGTGGTCATCACCACCAGCTCAAAGAAGGATCGCATGGAGCGTTATCTATCCAAGCTGCCCCTGATCAAGCTGACTCCCAAAGAGGTTGGCGACATATCCGAGCTGGGAAAGCAGAAGCATTTCCGTGGTTTTTGGAAGGACAAGTTTGGCCAAGATGACAGGCGGTGAGACTTGACCGTTCATGGCCTCTTTTGTAGAAGTATCTGTTAAGTCTGCACGCCTTGGCCAAGATGGTCATACCCAAAACAGGGCCCCCTCCGATCCTGTGCCATCATAATCATACCCAAGACTTGAGCTATTGTACAGGCCTGTTGTTCCCAGAACCTCGGCTGGGCAGCATCATAGCTCGTCATCAGATTCCGTTTCTTCGTCTGCTCGCGGTGGAGCAGTGGTCTGTTTATTTGCAAAGGGCAGATCTCGCCGAGGAGGGGGGCCTCGTGTTGTCTTTTTAAGAGGCGCCTCTTGTTGCCCGCCTTTGCTACCCGTTGAAGCCGAGCGACCTGGCTCGACGTCACGAGCGGTTCCTAGCTCGGCGGGGCTGTCGTCGTCCTGGTCGTCGCTCGCTGAAGCTGTGCCGTCACTGGTGTTGCCGGGATCCATATCATCTGGCTCTGACTTGACAGCAGCTTCATCCATGGCCTGATCGCTGTCGTCTGAAGTCTCTTCGGACACGTTTCTCCTTGCAGCCTTTCTCTTTCTGGCTCGAGACGGGGCTGGGTGAGGCGCCCGATTGTCTCCCGCCTGTTGCGGCTGCGAGGACGCCGAGTCTTGTTTTCTGAATGAAGACGCGGTGATAATTTTCTGTTGCTCGCGAATCTTGACCTTCTTTTCGTTGAGCAGGTCCCTGAATTTGAGCAGTAAAGCTGCTTCGTCATCTTGCTTTGCCTGCAATAGCTCATCCAACTGAGCTTGGAGAACGGCCACCTCAGCCTCCATTTCCCGGGCCTTGGCTGCTGAATCGGCCGCCTCTTTCCTGTGCTTGGCCAACGCGTCGAGGGACCAATCGCACCACTGAAACAGCTCGATCCGTTCACTCTGATCACATTTCAGGGTGACGGCACCGAGTCGTTGCTGTCATCGTCAGTACTTGTTCAAGGCGATGATCAGTGTGGACATACTGTGATGCCTTGCACTTGCTTCCGGACGGTGAGGGAAATGGATGATTCGGGCTGAACAGCGGCAGCCACCTGGATGTCCTCGACGGGCTCTTGCCGTAATAAAGCATCCAAGATGTGCTCCCACTCATCCTCCGAGGCCGGGCAATTCTTGACTCGGAGTGAAGACACTCGATCATGCTTCACTGTGCGTGGTCAGTCCGGAGGGTTAGTCCAAGGATAGGGGTACGACTCACAGACGCAGGCATACGGCTCGTCTCCCTCGGTGGCCGCGAGCTTGAGGTCCAAAGGTTTCGGTCCGGCAGAGGAGACGTTGACGAGCACGTGTGTCGATTCCTTGTCGCTCCGGGGGAATCGGAGGACTCGCATGGAAGCCATGGGTCCTGTTGGGGTTTAGCAAGAATAGGCCGATGCCAGTCGGCCCGCGGGAGAGACAGCGGAAGCTGATGAAGCAAAGGGCAGCCCTCCTTCGCACCCGGAGCGTGCACGCCGCCACCGAGAAAGTGAGCGTCTCACGGGCGGGTCAGGGTTCACGTTGGCGCCGAATACGATGGAATCAAACAAAGACTCGTCAGTCTTGACGTGAGCACTAGCGTTGTCACAAAAGAGAGGCGGCCAGCGTGACAACTTGGCAGAATTTCATTGAAGCTTTCGCGAATCGGTACGAGAGCACCTGCATGGACCGCCAAGTACCACCTAGGTAGGTACCTAGGTACCTTACTGTTCAGTACAAGTACTTTCGTAGCAGCCCCCCGATGGATGATGGCCCTCTTCCCCGGCTCACCAGCCACAGCTACATTGGCCGGCCCGAGAAAGAGAGCTGGAAATGATTTTCGAGCTATTCCCGAGCTGCCTTGTTAGCGTCTGGCGAGCCCGAGTCACACGCCGCTGACGGGCCATGTACCGTTAAGAAATACCAATGTATTAGCCAAGACGGGCCGTAGTACATGGAGCTCCGCGGTCAGGTGGCTCTTTGCGTTGCTGGGTAGACAACCGCTGCTCCCCAAGACCTGATCCCCGGTGATGATTCTGAAATAAAGCTCATCCGAGCATGCATACAGACCCCTGGCTATAAACTCTTCCTAATCAAAGGCCTTGTCGGTGGAAACGCAGAAAACTCAGTCTTTTAAGGTGACGAAAGAGAGTCGGCTTCAATTTCATATCCACTGCTAACTCTGCCGCCCCCCTTCCCCCCCCCTGAGCAACGCGTCACTCCCCAGCTCATGTGGAAATTAAAGAATGAAAAAGAGGAGAACAAAAGAAAGGGTCAATTAAGATTTGTCTGCACAGTCAGATGCTCGAGGCCAAAGGTATCATGTGCCGTGGACGCTAACATGTTGCCGCTGCTGTTCCCAGGGAATCGCTGCAAAGACCGAGTACAAAGCCATTGGTGGAGCATTTTGCGAGATTGCCTGCCCGGTACATGGAGCCACGGCGGGTGCAAAGCATGTACCTAGGTATCCAGCAAACGGGCCTGGCAGGTACGGAGTACCTTGCATGACTCCATCTCAGAAAAAGCAAAGCACTCTCCCGTCATGGTCTCGTCTAACACAAACAGGGCGCCTGCAGATAAAGTGTCTCCGTCGTACCGCATTCATCCTCATCCCTCGTTGGGATGGCCGATGCTCAACGCACCGTCGTCAGCCAGCAAGTGCGTCGCGGCAGAGAGTACCTCGAGTACTCGGACGGCTCACTGTGGACTCGCAAAGCCGACGACACGACGGGTCAGTGGACGCCAGTCGAGGCTCCAGTTGCTCAGGAACCGGAGCCCCCGACCCGCTACCTGTCGGTGATGGTAGAGCACCAAGCTGAAGGGGAGCCCAAGCACTGGTATCTCCTCTCCCATCAAACCGACCCGGCTGGGGCTGGGAAGGGCCAAGTCTGGCAGGTCACGGGCGACGCAGAGTGCATGTACTATCGGCACACTCCAGATGTCGACGGCTTCAATTCCGACTCCTTTGCTTGGCACCAAGTCCTCAACTCGAACCTCAGCCACTCTCAGTTTGCCACAGTCGACCGCATCGCCCGAGCAGAGCCGGCACCGCTCGCCGTGAACCGGGCCGCTGTGACGGAGAATTGCCAGGGTTGGGTGATGAGAGTGCTGCGGCGGCTCATGGATGTCGGAATTGTGAAGGAAAGCTCAGTCACCATATTGCAAGGGTATATGGACCCTGTTTAAGTGAGGTGGGACCGGAAGCAATCGCGGTAGAGTTTGGGAGATGCCGACGATAAACGTCGATTCTTAGTCTGATGTTGACTCGAAATAGGTTTCCGTCCGACGGGTATTTACCGGCGGCTCCCGCTGAAGGTGACACAGCCCACTGCTAACTGGAGGGCTAGAAGGACAAATTTTCGTAGCGCTGTTTTCAAGACACTCAAGTCTCAAGTTGCTATAGCTCTTCTGGCCTCGAAAGCCCCTTTCCAAAAATACCCGACTTGATGTATTTGGTGCTAGAGCCCAAGAGGCATCACGCGCGGAGACGTGTGGATGCCCCGATTACCTAAGGCCGGTACCGTTACTAGTACCTCTGCCGTTCTGCGTGGCGCGGCTTCCTTAGTACATGGGTACTATACTAGTGGGATCCACCGCCGAGACAGTGGCCCGGCCCAGCCTGCTGCAGCAGCCCCCGGCCGCCCCAGCAGCCCCAGCCCAGAGGCGCCCAGGGTCAGAACCAGAAACGGCGTACCTAAACATGCCTGGTAGTCGCACGGGGTGCAAACCTGCCAGCCACAGCCAGCTTCGCACTTTGTCCAGAGTGGCCCTTCTCGAGGCCCGACCCCCCCCAGCCTTTTGTCTTTCCCACACCACCCAAGGCTGGTTTGCACGATACATCATCGACATCGCATCTTCGCCTCTCTTCACTCCCCTTTGCACATCACTGCGCATCGATATTGAGCCTCGTTTTCCGACCCTTTTCGGCTTCGCATGCGTCTCTACTGCCAGCCAGAGCCGACCACGAAACCCCCGCCTTTGAGACTCTTCATCGCACTCTGATAACCCCCCTTGACGGACCATTTCTATCGACGCCAACGCACGCCTCCGCTCCGACGAACTGGCGTCTTCAACCTTGGGCCGTTCAGCTGCCATTCGCCATCGCTTCTAGCGAATCGCTTGCGTCGTCCGCTTACCGCCCGAGACGAACATTGGCTGTTTGGCGACTATGAATCCGCTCAACTGACCTTTCGCGTTGTGCTCCCCGGTCGCACATTGAGCAGCATCGCCCACGGCTGCCTCTCCGAATAGCTACACACCAGGCGACTGTCCGTCCTGGCCTCTTCGAGACCATGGACAAGCCACGGCTCAAACTGAAAGCACGCCAACCTGTCGACGAGGAAATTGAAAACTGGGACGATGACGATCTCGTCGTCGACGGTGACGAGTTGTCGTTTCGAAGCTCCTTAACCGCCACCACTGCCACCAGCACCCACGGCCCCTCTCGCCGCCGTGACTCCAGCTCCTCACATGTCTCCCTACGCTCCGATCTCGAATCGTGGAATGGGGAAGAAAAGCAGCTCCATCTCCCCGCAGACGATGAGTCGTCCAATGTTGACGCCATTGCTGCCGCAGAGCATGCTGGCGTCCCAATACCCAAAAACGTGCCATGCTCGGCACTCATGGGAGGCACCATCAAGCGCCTGGGAGGAAGAAAACTCAAGAAAATCATACAAGAAGACTGGGAAAATGACCTGGAACTGCCCGACGCCTCCCAAGGCTTGACGCTCAAGTCAAACAAGGACGCCGAGTTTCCCGACACTCTGCGCCAGGTCAGCGGCGGATCTGCGCAGACCAGCCCGACAAAGCAAAGGACCGCGACTCAGCACCCCGCCACCAACACCCAAGCCGAGCGCAGAACCTCTACCCAGTCCTCCACCAGCACCCTCTCATCGGCTCTCAACCTGGACAAGTTCAAAGACATCGACGACGACGACGACGACGACATCTTTGGTGGCGATACCATCAAAGTCTCCAGGATCAGGACGACACCGCAACCCGTGTCCTTTATCACGCCTCCGACCCCTCGCAGGGTAGAGAAGCCTAAGGAGGCCGACGACGATTTTGAAAAAGATTTTGAGCTGCCATCGGATGGAAAATTGAGCCTGTCGACTAGGAAGGCCATCCCAAAGACACCATCATCGCAACCCGAAGAGCTCGATTGGGGAGAGAGCAGTCTTGGCACCAGGTATGGCGGGACTCGTCGGGATGGGCGATCCAACAGAAGCTCCTCGGTTTCCGCGCTGAGCCCCAGCGTCTCGAGCTCAATCACTGCAGAGAGTGAGGACGAGACCGTGGAGGGTCTGATTCTCCCAGCCGGCCCTGTCAACTTTCAAGAGAGGCTTCAGCAGCGGAAAAAGTGCACATCACCAGAACGCATACCCGAGGAGCCCGAGCTGTCTCCCAAGGGGCGCACGGCTACCGAAGCAGACCGCCAGGATTTTTTTGAAGGCCTCGATATTGGTGACGGCAAAGTCTTTGACTCGGGCAAGCTCACGCTGCACCGAAACATCAAGGTCAAAGAAACTCGACCGACCAGCCCCGCTCGACCCAAGACGGCCATTTCTTTGACCTTTACAAACAAGCTCCCCGCGCAGGCTCGGCTCCCGCGACTTAGCCATGAGAGGGCGCATTCGACATCCCTGGAGCCCGTCTACGAAAGTGGCGGCTCGTCCTTACCCCAGAGAAGCCGACGGTCTCAGTCTCGCCTCGGTCACTCTTCCCAATCGTCCGTAACAAGCCTGCCGACTCCCACGACAACATCTCCCGGTCGGTCATTGCCTCCGTCGACTCCACAGCGGCGGGAAGTCGGCCCAAGATCGTCCTTTTCCTCATTGCGGAACGAAGCCCCCACGACCAGCGCGCAACTACTCAAGCAGAAGCGCTCGCTCCCGGCAGTACGACAATTGAATACCCCGGGAAAGCCACTGTCCAGCCGGTCCGAGCGGCCACCATCGAGGACCGACTCCAATCGTCCTCAGTCGAGCCTTCGACCCAAAACGCCCGTGGAGCGCCAGCGGGCAAGCTTCGCGGAGAGCATTGTTTCTCAGGCAAGGAAGCATCTACCATTCCTGCCTGCTGGGGCGTCACAGACGCAATCTCAGCACGTGAGCTCCAAGACGTTGCGCCAGTTTCGTCGACATGATTCGGATAATGCCATTGACATCAGGCCCTTCTCTCGTTCGCTGTCGAGGTCTGCGGCGAGGTCTCCGAGCCCTCATCGGTATAAGTGGGCTGCCGATACCTGGGAGCGGCTTAGCAAGCCCAAGAACAAGAAACAGTTTGGGGATGGCCATGAACTCGATGGATTCGACGATCTGCCGACGTCTCGAGAGACGGAGACCAAGTTCCTGAAGCAACCCGTGGCCACTGGATCTAAGAGTACGCTACGAAGCAAGCTTTATCAGCATATCCTCCCAGACAGGATGACTACCCCGGCGCCGTCGGGCCCTTTATCACCCGTCAAGGTGGCCCAGACACCTCGCTTTGCGCGCGACACGGCGGCGAGTCGAATTGCCCGCGAGACGGCCCTGGCGCAACGTGCCCCTAGCGGCGGCAACCACGCGCCCGTGGCTCCTCAGCGAGAGACACCCCTTGCGACCCGGAACAGCCATGGCCTACAGCCTCACTTGCCTCACCCGATGGTTCGCTCCAAGAAACATTCGAAACGCCCTCAACAGCTCAAGCCGCACCTCATCTCCAACCTCAATTCCGGCAAGGAATCAAAGGGTAGGCGTTCATTGTCAACCGCAGCAGCACTTACGCTAACTATATCCACCCAAGTCGTCAATGGGATGTTCTACAACGCCGATACGTATCGGTGGGAGGGCAACGAGAATGTGCTGAACGCGTTTGACCATGGCCCGGCGTCGACGCCGTCGACAACGTCCGCGGCGCAGCACTGGGCCAGGGATAAGGAGGCATCCACGCCGCGTCCTGCCCTCATCACCAACATCAGCGCGACAAAGGGCGTTCAGGTGGTCGGGGGCATGGTATTCGATCCTCAGAACATGTGCTGGCTCAAGATGGGCCTGCCGAACCACGCCAAGTCGGAGACCAGCGACACCATGGACGGTTTTAACGCTCTCGACGACGAAGAGGATGTGTTCAAGGACATTCCGGACCTCGAAGACAACGCCGTGGAAGAACGAGACGGCCGCGGCAGCGACATCAAGGACGACTGGCTCGTGGGTGAGGAGTTTGACGTTGGACCCGAGTTCATTAGGCGACAGCGCGAGGAGGAAGACAGGTGGCGCAAGAAGTGCGAGAAGTGGATTGGCCAGGGGTCGCGGGATCGCGATGTGTGGAGATGGACGATTCGGCATCTCGTCTCCCAGTTCGATGACCTGCCCATGTGAGACGAGTCGGCAGCATGCTTCATCGTTGTCTCTGCCGACCTGGGAATTGTTCCCCCGTCCATGACCAGGCTTCTACGCCGTGGCCAGGTGGTGGTCTATTGAATCAGGAAAGACAAGTTGGAGAGCCTCGCTTGGCTTTGAAGGGATTTGGAAGGGAAAGGAGAAAACAGGTCTTAAATGGGGTGTGGGCGGGAAAATGGCTTGCATGGCCCCCGGTGCACAGGAGACGCCGGTTTTTTCGACGACGCAACGACGAATATGATGACTGATGACTTTTTGTTACCTTCTCGTCGACATGACGCAAGGGTGGCACTTTTGCTGGACAGCTCGCAGTTACTACATTAATAACAGTTTTCTGTACCTATGTGTCAATATGAAATTGCATTTTCTCTCTACACTGAACGCCTTGGTATCTGTCTACTTGGTGGGCTACTTCTTTTTGCTGGCCCTCTTGTCGCTTCGCGGATCCAGGCCCCTCCGCCTCATGGCATTGCGTCGGCCCTTTTCCATGTACTCTTTGTCCTCGTCTTCATCCCAGCCGCCAAAGTCATCACCGGTGCGGGCCACGGCATCGTCGTCGTCGACTGTAATGGGCGACTTGTCGACGACATCGTCGGCGGCAGGTCGCGAGGTGTTCTGGTCGTGCAGGGCCGAGGCGGCCTTGGGGGGCGTGGGGCCAATCTTTTTGAACTTTGCGACGTAGAAGCCGTCGACGTTGTACGTGTGCGGGTAGTAGCGGCGGGTGAGCTTGAGGCTGGCGTCAAACTTCTTGCCCATGAAGCTGGTGAAGCCCTCCTTGCCAAAGGCGAGGCCCGTGTCGACGAGCCTGACGTTGGGGCGGCGGCTGAGGGCGTACTGGACGACCTGCTCGTTCTCCTCGATGGTGACGGAGCAGGTCGAGTAGACGAGGTAGCCGCCCGTCTTGCTCGAGTGGTTGACCGAGTCGATGGCGGCGAGGAGGAGCTGCTTCTGCGTGTGGGGCAGTTGCATAAAGTCCAGTTCCGTCTTGTTGGTCTTGACGCTGGGGTCCTTTGCGATGACACCGGTGCCGGAGCAGGGGGCGTCGAGGAGGACGCGGTCGAAGCCGCCCATGGGCCTGGGGAACTCGCGGGCGTCGTAGTTTGAGACGATGACGTTGCTGGCGCCGAGGCGGTGGATGTTGCCGATGAGGCCCTTGGAGCGGGCCTTGTTGGGGTCGTTTGCGACGATGACGCCCGTGTTCTTCATGAGGGCCGCCATGTACGTTGTCTTGCCGCCGGGCGCCGCCGCCATGTCGAGCACGCGCTCGCCCTCGCGCGGCTCCAGCGCCATGCAGGGCAGGAACGACGACGCGGCCTGCAGGATGTAGTGGCCGGCGAGGTACTCGGGCGTGGCGCCGAGCGGCACGCTGCTCTCGAAGACCTGCAGGCCGACCTTGGACCACTTGCCGACGGGCTCGAGCGTGACGCCGCGGTTGATGAGCGCCTGCGCCAGGTCGCGCCGGTGCGTGCGCAGCGTGTTTGTGCGGATGACGACGGGCCGCGCCGACTCGTTGGCCTCGAAAAAGGCAAAGGCCTCACGCGGCGTGAAGAGGCTGTACAGTTTCTCGGCCAGGTACTCCGAGTAGCCGTAGTAGGCACAAATGTCCTTGATCAGCTGCGCCGTGTACTCGGACCGCGACCGGCCCTCCTCGGCCATGTTGGCGAAGTCGTCGAGCACCCTGATGTTCTCCGTGATCCTCGTCCGGAGGAGCTGCAGGTCGGGCGCCAGCAGGGCATCCGTCTTGCCCCCGAGCGCGTCGTCGTCGTCGTCGTCGTCGAGCACGCGCGGCCTGTCCCCGGCAATGTTGGTCTGCAGGGCGCTCTCGGCCAGCTCGGCCTCGTTGGCGGCCGCTTGCTCGGCCAGCTGGCGGTCCAGTTTGCGGGTGAGGCCGGCGATGTTGGCTGCGGTAAGCTTCTCCTCGGGGTCCGACTCATCCTCGTCCTCCGAAAAGGTGTGTTTTCTCGGGCCGTCGTCCTGGTCCGAGTCGAAGACGGACGCGTCCGAGCCCGAGTCTGAGCCGAGAAAGTCTGCGCCGAGCGCCGGGGCGTCGCCGTCTGAAGAGTCCGCATTGTCCAGGTCGAACTCGTCGCCAAGCTCCCCGTCGGAAGAGTCTTCAAGCTCAGGCAGCACAACCTTGGCCTTTGACTCGCCATTGGCCTTGCGCTGTGGTTGTTTCTTGTCCGCCGGCTTTCTTCCCTTTGCAGCCATCTTCGCTGGAGCGCTCTTGGCTTCGGCACCCTTTGCTGCTGTTCTCCGCCGCTTCTTGTCCGGAGTTTCGGTAGGACGATCTGGGGGAAGGCCGGCTTTCCGCTTCAGGCGCGCATAGTGTGCTTCCGACAGGGGCTCAGGGGCACCCTGTTTCCTCGACATACGCCGTCCAGCACCCATTTTTGAAGATTAGTGCAAAGAAGACTGGCGAGAGAGATATCGACGTTGATGCCTCTCTGGTTGTCCGGGGCCACTCCAGTCGAAAAGATGATGCGCCCCGCTCCCAGCTTTTTTTCTTCGCTGCAGGGGTCCGATAGTCGGGAAATCCTCGTATCGGGGTGGGGCAGATTGAATTACATAATCATGACCGTTGCAGTGAGTGAGTGGTCTGGGTCTTCTTGGTCTTGGAGCTCCGTCACGGGCTCATTGCAAGCCACCGATCCGAATTGCAGTTCGCCAGCCTGCTGTCCTAAACCGACATCTTGCGAATTTGCTGGAAGTTCTCCCGACTGGGCGCCCTCTTGCAAGTTCTCAGCTAGCTGTTGGGACGAACCTCATCTACCCCGCAGATAGAACCTCTCAAACACCAACGACGAAGCCAATTCTCGGTCATCATGGCCGAAGCAGCGTTTGCCAGAACCTTTCTCTCAACCCTCGATGCCCGCCCCATCAAGCTCTCCGCAGACCATGTCGAGGACCCCAAGTACTATCCGGCACGGCCGCCTGTACGTCACCCCGCACTCTTGAGTTTCTGTGTGCTCAGCTCTGTCTGACGTGGTCATGATTCTTGTCCCTAGTATATCCTGCCGCGGATGGCCAAGCCCATGAGCAAGCCGAAAACACTCGCGCCCGGACAGGAGCGCAGCGTGACAGTAGTCTTAAAGTCACTGCGGAACCCACCTCTGGATATCAAGCTCACCTCGCAACCGCTCAACACCTCACTGCTCGACATCAAAACAAAGATTTCGAGCCAGACTAGGATACCCGTCGACAAGATGAAGATTCTTCACAACAAGAGACCCCTGACGGATAGCAAGATTCTCAAAGAAGTTCTGGGGGAGACCGACATGTCTGTCGAGTTTTCCGTCATGGTCATTGGAGGTGCCGCAGCCATTCCACCAGAGGAGACCGCTTCCCCGGCGTCGAGGCAGCCGACGGGGACTGTCGCGGTGGACTCCGACGCCTTCTGGGTGGATCTCAAGGGTTTCCTGATGCAGCGACTGAATGACCAGGCGACGGCCGAGGAGCTCTCGCGCCTCTTTCGAGCGAGCTGGGAATCAAACAAGTCAGGCCCATAAGCAGCGAGCGCGCAAACAGCACCGCAGCACTGAGTTCAAGAAGATGCAGGCAGATGAGGAAAAAGAAATCCACATCCATTGTCTTTTCATAATTTTTTTCTTCACGGTGTGGTATCATCGGAGTTGGCAAGCAGTCAGGTGTGCCCCTTGCAAACAGCACAACATGATCGACCTTTTCGAGAGCTATGCCCACCATATTCTTTACATCGCTTGCCGTCACCCTTGCCTCACCATTGTCGATTGCTCAAGCCTTGAGCCGAATGGTAGTATACTTAGTTCTTGGCCCATCGAGACGGTGCCTTGCCCGTGTCGCGACGACTAACTGCTAGCCAGCAAGACCCTTGCTGACAGTCTTGATGATGGAGTCGTATTCGATGTCATCGGGGTCGTTGGCCTGCAACTCAGTCGCGATGCCGGTAAGCGTGCGCTTCAGGGCCTCCTTGGAGGAAGCGTAGACCATCTTGGGCTGTTTGGGGTTGGCACGTCAGCTTGTGGCTCGCAGCGGTGCACCCGCCAATCTACGCACCTGGATACCAGCATCGTCGGGGGACCACGCGATGAAGGCGATTTTGTTTCTGCAAGTCGGTCAGCCGGTGCCATGGTTGCCAAGGACGAAAATTGACGCTGCGTACCGCACGCCGTCGCCGGAGGCCAGGCTGTATTCGAAGTCGTACACGGCGTACCGGGGACCCTTGCCAACCTTGCCCTGCGCTCTTGTCTATCAGTTGTCTGGACGAAGCGGGAGTGGGCGCATGTGATGACGGACCGCCTTGTTCACGGAAGTGGCGCTGATGAGCTTCTCGCGGAAGTTTTCCCAGTCCTTGTCATTCGAAGACTCTTCGACGACGATTTCCTTGTAGTTGTCCGACAGCTTGTAGATGATGTACTTGAACTTCTTGTTGAGCTTGAGGTCATTGTAGGCAGTTATGCACTCCTGAGCGACGCTCGCTCTGACGGCACATGGCAACGTTAGCGCCCAGACTCGTCCATCGAGCTCATACCAACAGGGTGCCCCAACAGTCGCATTTCGATGCCGGCGTCGAAAGGGGTAGAGGAGTCAGGGGTAGGGGAGCCGTGAGCAGGCGAAGCACTGGAACCGACGAACTGCAGACGCGACGGGAAGAGGGGTTACGAACCCGGATTGAGACTGGCCGTCACGGTTAGTTCGGCGTGCCTTGGGCCTTTTCGAGTCGGCGGGTGACCTACCATGATTGCTGTCGACGCTCCTGGGGGAGGACGTTGGCTGGGTGGAGGGGTGAGGGGCGACGGGGGCTGACGAGCTCATTAGCTATCTCGCGCGCGTCGGGGGAGTCGCGTGGACGTTGGCTCACGGTCCGCCACTTGCTTGGCCGACTTACGGGATCGAGAATGCCGACTCGGTGTCGTTGCAGTCCTGGGGGGGTTGCAGAGCACGGGAAATGGGAAAAGTGCCTCTTGACGGAACGGATCGGAGGTATCCAACAATGGAAATGGAGGGGATCCTGGCGGAGAAAAAACACCACATCATGGTGGGGTTCTCCGTGAGGCTCATCGCACCACGTGACCGCCCGTCACCACGTCCAAGCCACGCTCGGACACGACGCTCCTTCGTGCTGACCCGACTTCGAGGCCAGGCATCAAGTTGCCCACAAAACTTCGCTTGGAAGCGGCATCCAGGACCAGACCCACAGAGGGTGACTGAAAGCTTCAACTTTTTTTCTCCTTTTCTTCCAATCTAATGTTATACATGGTCCAGTGTTATTGTACAGAGATTCCAAGCTCCCTGGAAATCTGCAAAGTATCGGGGGCTCGAGAATAAAGGCAGGTCGGGGTAGGTAGAGGGGAGATTGCAAGGCTCTTAAAACCATCCGGTATAGCACCGAGTCCAAACCCCGTGCTTTCCTTTTCCTTTACAACGCGTCCAATCGTCCCACGTCAGCGCCCTACATCATGCCTCCCATGCCGCCCATGCCGCCCATGCCGCCCATTCCGCCCATGGGAGGGCCGGCAGGCTTGTCCTCGGGAGCCTCGACAATGGCCACCTCGGTAGTGCCCAGGAGCGAGGCAACGCCCGACGCGTCAATGAGACCGGTGCGCACCACCTTGAGGGGGTCGAGGATGCCGGCCTGGATCATGTCGACGTACTCGGCCTTGGAGCTGTCAAAGCCCTTGTTGAAGTCAGCCCCGTGCTCGTCCGTGAGCTTGCCAACAATAACAGAGCCCTCCAGGCCAGCGTTTTCGATGATGGTCCGGGCCGGGCGGGTAATGGCGTTCTTGACAATAGTGACACCCAGCTGCTGGTCAAAGTTGGCCGTCTTGATGTCGTTGAGTGCCTGGCTCGAGGCCTTGAGGAGGGCGGTGCCACCTCCAGGCAGGATGCCCTCCTCGACGGCGGCGCGCGTGGCGTTCAAGGCGTCAACGAATCGGTCCTTCTTCTCGCCGACTTCGACCTCGGACGAGCCGCCGACCTTGATGACAGCCACGCCACCAGACAGCTTGGCCAGGCGCTCCTGGAGCTTCTCCTTCTCGTACTCGGAGGTGGTGGGGTCCGCCATGACGCCACGGATCTGCTCGCACCGCTGAGTGATGGCGTCCTTGGAGCCCTCGCCGTTGAGGACGATGGTGTCCTCCTTGGTAATGGTGATGGAGCCGGTAGAGCCGAGCATGTCGGGCGTGGCCTTGTCCAGCTTGATATCGAGCTCATCGGTGAAGACGGTGCCCTTGGTGAGGACGGCAATGTCTCCGAGGATGGACTTGCGGTTGTCGCCGAAACCGGGAGCCTTGACGGCGGCAACCTGCAGCTGACCACGGAGTTTGTTGAGGATGCAGACGGCAAGGGCCTCGCCATCAATGTCCTCAGCAATGATCACCAGAGGGCGGCGCATCTGGGTCGAGGCCTCGAGAGCAGGGATGATGTCCTGGACGGCCGAAATCTTCTTCTCGGACAGCAGGATCAAGGGGTTCTCAAACTCGACCTTTTGGGCCTTTGTGTCGGTGATGAAGTAGGGGGAGACATAGCCGCGGTCGAAGCGCATGCCCTCGGTGACGTCGAGCTCGTCCTGCATCGTCTTGCCTTCCTTGACGGTGATGACACCCTCCTTGCCAACCTTTTCCATGGCGTTGGCAATCATCTTGCCAACGTGGTGGTCGCCGTTGGCACTGATTGTGGCAACCTGGGCAATTTCCGAGCTGGTGGTGATGTCGCGCTTGTTCTTCTGCAGGTAGTCGACGACAGCGTCGACGGCGGCCTGGATGCCGCGACGCAGGTCCATGGGGTTGCAGCCGGCGGCCACGTTCTTGACGGTCTCGGAGAAGATGGCTCGGCCCAGGACGGTGGCGGTGGTGGTGCCGTCGCCAGCAACCTCGTTGGTCTTGGAGGCGACATCTTGTAATAACCGGGCGCCGAGGTTCTCGAACTTGTCCTTGAGGCTGACGGCCTTGGCAACGGTGACACCGTCTGGGGGAGGGAATCAAGGTTAGCAGAGGTGTCCAATTGCGCTTCCGCCTTCGTTCTGAGGGCTTACCCTTGGTGATCTTGGGAGAGCCGAAGCTCGATTCGATCAGGACATTGCGGCCCTTGGGACCGAGTGTTGTGGCAACGGCCCTGGCGAGGGTATCGACACCAGCCAGGAGCGCGGCACGGCCTTCAACACCAAACTTGAGCTCCTGCCGTGATGGGTTAGAATACAGCCCCTTTGAATCGCGCTGGCCGGTTCTTATGCATCAATCTTACCTTGTGGGCGAAGCGAAGCTGCTGACCCAGGCCGGCTCCAGCACGATACCGGGCGGCGGCCGAGGACAGAGCTGAAGCTCGAGCTCGGGAGCTCAACGCGCGCTGCATGATGGATGGCGGAGCGGAGATATGCCAATACGGAACGCAGATACGAGATGGGGAAGGAGGATGAGGGAGGGAGAAGGATGAAATAGGAGGGGGAAGAGAGAAAATGGTCGAGAGCAGCAAGCAAGTCACTGGGAGAAGCTCTCGAGAGGCTCCAGAAAAATTGTCCCGACCACGGTCGGCAAAAAAATATGCCGCCGGGGCCAGGGGACGTAGATTTCCTCAATCGGCTTAGCGCCTCCACAGCAGCCTTCCACCCTCTTCCAACAGCGTCGGTACTTTCGAACTTGTTCCACCGAACGACGACGATGGCTTCATCCAGCCCGCAAGGCAATCTTCAGTCGAGTGAACATCTCGAACAGAAGCAGGCTGATATCTTTGCTCTCTTCTCACACCCGGTGTCCTGGGCAATCGTGATCCTCCTGTGCTCTCCTCCCTCGTCAACCCCCGTTCGTGCCCAGTCTTCAGATCCGCAGGACGATGAGGAAAGCCAGGTACTGTGCTCCTGCGCCGCCAAAATTGGAACGTGATTACTCTATACAAGTGATATGCTGCCTACAAACAGCCGTGGCACCCTTTGTTATTCAGGTCCAGGCTTCTGCCTCTTGAAGAGCAAGGCCTTGAATTTCCCAAACCTCCTAGGCGACCCCCCGTTGTCCTGCCGAATCTCCTGGTTTCCCCCCTGTGAGTGCGCCGAATCCCGTTGCTGCTGCTCCTGTTGCTGTTGCTGTTGCTGAGCCGCAGTAGCTTGACGGGACTCGAAATTGGCAAATTGGCTGCTCAAGAAAGCTCGGATACTGTCCAGCGCCTCCTGCTCGGCAGCCGCGACCCGACTCAAGGCGCCCTGAATGGCTTGGGAGACGACAGTCTGCACGACCTGGCTCAGAGACTGTGGAAGGCTGGCGATAACCTGAGACAGGTGGCCGACGAGGGTGCACGTTACGGCGAGATTCTCGTTGGCCGCCTGGTTGATTTGCGTGTGGGCGCTGACCAGGTTCGTCAGAGCGCAGATATGGGTACTGGCCATCTCCGAGTGCTGCTGGATGTCGCGGTAGTGGAGGTCGATCTGGCGGCTCAACGTGTCGTTCTGCTCACGCAGGTCCGAGTGCTCCTGGTTGGCGGATCGGATGGCCTTGTTCAATTCGTTGACGACGACGCGAAGTGGCGCAAGTGCGGCCGCCACCTGCTGCTCGACGGCCTCCTCAATGATCTCTCTGATCTTGGAGAGCTCGTCTTCGCTGGGATTGCGGTTGGCCGGCACGGCTACACCCTGTTGAGTCGTGTCGCTGAATGCACGTCTGCCAGGACCGCTCGTAACTGGGCGTCGAGGTGCGCCCAGAGCCGGGATACTGGAGCGGCCAGCTGCCTTGAACTCCTGCAGGGCACGCTCGAGGCCTGAAGGCAAGGCATTATTGCGAACCCTCGGGGGGGCTCCAGAACTCGCAGAAGGCACAGCGTTGTCAGAAAAGCCACCTGGCCGACCGTGAGCTGATACAGCTCGCTGACCAAAGGCGGCTCTCGGCGTGGCGGCCGTGGTCCGGGCACGAGGAGAGGCCTGTTGCCCGTCACGGGATTGGCTTTGGTGATATGCCTTGCCAGTCTCTCCCTGGACAGATTGGGCGTCGGATTGAGGGTGGTTATCTCTCGGGCCACCACTAGAGCTGTTACTTTGGCCGCTTGAGGGAAGCATGCTGGGCGGCGTCCCGAGTGTTGCGAGACTGCCTCTTCTGGTGCATAGTCAGTTTGACTCGGCGTGGAGTAGGCAGCAATTGATGCGAAAGAGACTTCAGGCTTACAATTTCAGAGGCGAACCAACTGGCAGATAACATGAGGTGACTGGCGACGAGTTGGAACCGTGCGCCCGGGGTGCACAAGGGAAAGAGGGCGCAAAAAGGCGAGGATATGGCGTATCAAGCTTCTGCGGAGCGGCGCAGGAGCGAGAATGTGAAGAGCAGAAGCTTCTGAGATTTCCCAACTGCAGAGAGTTGTCAATTAGGCAGGGCCTGTGTTGGTATTATCTGTTGAACACAATACCGCAGTCACCCGGGCGACTGCAGGCTGAACAGCTGCTCTCCAACATGGCCCGCCACTGGCTATGGCTCTCTCGACTTAAAGAGGGGAACATTTTATTTTGATAAGATAAAGCTCCCTGGTCTGATCTTTCGTCCCGACTCCCGAGTGGCGAAGGGGGTTTGGGTGATGCATGCCACACTTTGGAGTTGCCTACTCCGCCGCTATTGAAGCAACACGGCACTCAGTCCGACGTCTATTTAGGTTTTGACAAGCAGAGACCCGTGTTTGAGTCTGATGGAAAGCCTCCGTTCTCGACGCACTATTTGGAGAAATGTAGTGAAACTGGGTTATCTACGCCGTGACGTAGGCTGCAGGTTTATCCACGACACTGAACGCAATGTCGAGTGCGAATCCCATGTCAGTTCCGCAATGTGGAAGTTTTCAAGCATAATGTCCAGCACGACGGTTTCCTAGAGGCTAGAACTACAAATAAACAGGACAGGACCTGGCGAGAGACACTTTGTCGCGTCATGATTGTACGACTGCTGCCTACGAGGTAGATCAACTCGACGTATTCATGCACCGACCTGTGCTTCCTGTCATTATGTTTAGATCTCGAGTACTAGACGCCATGGCGAACCATCTGGGCAAGAACTCTCAAGTCCATCCCCAACGAGGCAGATATGCCCCTCCTCGACTCCAAACCCGCATTGAGTCTCATGCGGTTATATCAAAGAGACAGAAAGAGCCATGCCACGAAGAAGCAAGCAGAGACTAGGCGGATTCGTCTCCCGAGGCCGGGGGATCTGAAGACATTTGGTCTGGTCAGCACGAGTCCAGGTCGATAGATGATGCGAGGCGATCTGGAATGAGCAGCTGAAACTTACCGGTCAAGTCCGAGCCATTAAGGCTTGCCGCCTTTTCACTCTTGGGAATCTTGGCGTCCTCGTCGGAGCCCACGGACTCGTCGTCCTTCTTGGCCTTCTTCTTGCCAGCCTTGCCCGCGCCGGCGGCGCGAGCAGGCGCCTTTCGCTTCCCAGTCTTGGCCGGGACCTCGGGGTCCTCGGCGCCCTTGGCAGGGGCTTTGATCGGGGCGCCCACGCCGTGGGCCTTGAGAAGTCGCTCGTACCTCTTCTGGCTGCGAGTGCTGGGCGTCAGCGAACTAGTCGAAGAATAGGAGGAGGGAGAGCACCTACGCAGCGGCTTTAGTGACGATGCCGAGCTGGGCGGCGACAGCTTGGAAATTGGGCTGTGGGAAAGATTAGCTGTGGAGCTTTGCGCGGATGAGTCTTGCTCTCGGGCGGCTTACCTTTCCAGCGCTGGCATTGTGAATGCATGACACAAGAAACTTGATCTGCTCGGTTGCGTCCTGTGGCTTGGACATGTTGAAGACTTTGACGAGCTAGGACGCAGTAAGGGTTAGCATCAGGCGTGCTTGTCGTGACGATTTGAGTGGTGTCGCAGTAAAGACTAAGGAGCGGCGAGGTAAACGGTCTGCTTGGTATTTTGGTCTTGAACCGCGCTTGGGGGATTGACGGCCCTCGAGCGGCGGCGCAAGGGGCATGTCGGGGAAGCAGGGAAGACGAACGTACCAAGAGCTCGAGTCGAGGATTGCGAAAAGGCTCCAAGGCTTGACTGCGAGACGAGCGATGGGTCGAAACCGGAGGCTGAGAAGAAAGGGGATGCAAGGGCAAGTGGGTGTGGATGGAGAAAGTCGGGTCTGCCCAGGGCGAACGGGCGGAGAGACTTTATGCCCCGTACAAACGTGGCCGTGGAATCGGCAAATCAGTGGCTGGGGCACGAGGAAAAGTGCTGCCTGGGGTATCGACTCGTCTCTGCCGCGTCTGTTCGGTCTACCGAAGACAGGAAACTCCAATCATAGGGGGGAGAGAGAGAGCTTAGCACGGGAAGAAAGCTTGTACTATATGAAAGGAGCAACTTGCACTCTTTAAGAGAAGCATAAGAATGGAAGTAGCCGGTCAACATGAAGCGCACACACGACGCTGACCGAGTCTCTCGAGGCATATTTCCAAACGACGTCAACTCGACTGCGCCCGACTGGGCTGCGCGGGCTGAGGCGTGCATATAATGGATATGCTTGGTTTCCACGGTCCGTGCTCATGCCTCTCTCTGTCTTCTCCACGAACACGCAGCTCCCGAGTCTGTCTCAAGGACGCTGGCCAAAGGCGGCGAGACGAGGTACTGCCGTGGGATCACAGTGCTTCTTCATCCATCTCTTCCATCCATTATCTATCGGGCTGTGTACACTATAGAAGCAAATCGGTAGTTTGTTCTCCAGAGGCTCCAACCAAGCTTGCTTGCTTAATTTTACTTGGAGCTTTTTTTAGGTGACTCCTGTCAGGTTCACGACGCTTCAACCAGTTCTAAGCAAACACAACTCATGGGTTCAACAGGACTCAAGTCAAGTCGACTCGCGTCGGAGCTTACTTCCCTCGAATTATCATGGCCCTTGCTACCTTTCTGTCCTCGGTGTCATGACTTCACACCACCGCGCAGGGTGGTTTTCCATATCTAAATATGGAAATACCCTTTCCATGAATGGCATGGAATAAGGGATTTTCCGATGATCTGCCGGATCGGGTGATTCGCCGGTTTTTTTCTCCCTTGCATTCCAGTAAAGAACTGAGAATAACTCCACGAATACTATTTGAATTATTCTAAAATCTCATAAGAGAAATTAATAATGCTCAAAGATTTCACTCAATATTTTTTGAAGTCATCCAGTCATCGAGGTCGTCTTCTGTTACTCTCCGATCGCGCAAGTCCCCGAAATGCACCCACTACCTCCCGATCACTATCAACAGCTAAAGAGGGCCTTTGAGGACAGGATATGTGGGTTGAGGTTATCATTGCCTTGTTGTTTGCGTTATTATATAGTGGGTTTGGTACCTGCAATGCTATGGTCCGCTCTGGTGTGAACGGAAGAGTGACAATTTCTGCGGCGTGAGCATCCTGACTCCTCACGCGACCCTCAGGGGCCACCCGTCGCTCATTCTGCATTTTCTGGGGCTTTTCCATAGTCAAAATCTTCAGCTCTTGTTAATAGTGCCAATTTATCTCCATATTTTGCTTCACGGCCTCCGTCATCCGTCGTTTTCTCCCAATTTCCGCCTCTCATTGCTTCCTCTTCTGTAGAGCGAAAGCTTTTGCTCCGCCGCCTTCTTCTGTTGCTGAAACTTTCAGGTCTCCTTCTTCAGAGCCTCTTCTTTTTGTTGGGGTCCTTAAGCTGTATTTCTTTAGCGAGTTTGAGCCACTTTTGCAGAGCTAAACACCTCGTCTGCATTCCAATCTGTACAGCAGAAGAGATCATCTTTTGGAGCCTTACCGCCCTGCCTGCGCTGGTGCTTGTGACTACCTGTTCTCTTCTAACTTAAGCTCTCATATAAATCACTTAAAACGCACATTGAGGGCTTTCGAGGGTGCTACTCAGCCTTCGGCTGTTGCGGCCAGCATCAACAGAGGTCTTCTCGACTACTTCCTGAAATGCCTTCCAAAACACAGTCTAGAGCTTCATTTTCAACGATTTAATTAACCTTTTTTATTTGTCTGTACAATGAAGAAGATTATACATATACGCTGCTGAGAGAGGCTGAATAACGATACATCAAGGGTTGCAGCCGATGAGTGGAATGAGGAGGAAACACCACAACGATCATCTGGTGCCCGTCACACCACTCCATAAAATCCATACTAAAATGTTTAAGTGGCCATCGGTAACCAAAGGCGAAAAGCACGACCGTTTCGAGCTTCGCCTTAGTAAACCGGTCCAACGTACTGACGAGCTGCTCTTTTCCAATATTGTGATTCATCCACCTCGTTTTTGACGTGTTAAAAAATATTTATTGACGACTTGATTCACGTTTCACCAACCAAAAGTCCAGGGTTTGTGCTGGCTTGTCTTGGTGGATGAGAAATGGGGGCAGCGATGCCATCTCTTGACTGACGCACATCTTGAACGTAATGGAGGATGGGTTGCCATTTATTAATACGCCGAGCAATTTTGCCTTGTTTTCTTCTAATAAGAGGAATAAAATGTTCGTTCAAATGCTCGTAAGGAATAGAAATCCTTTTCATCCATGTTATACGTGTTTTAGGGCAGGGTGTCGAGTTTCTCAATTTTCGTGCGCATCTTTCCTTGTCAGGTGTGAAAGAGGAGCCTCGCGCACTGAAGTTCAAGCTAAAAATAAACCTTACATTCAGATGCATATGTAGGTTCTTTTCAGAAGATGCTCGTAGCGTCGAATCACGTTCAATCTGGCTCATTACGGGTGCGTAGAATGAGGTTATCTAGGTCGCCCTTCCAACCCCCATTTTTGGCAGTATCCTGAGCCAATTTCTGCGCTATGGATATAATAGGAGAATCCCACATGATTAAAGCCCACGATGAAAGTCAATAATGTTCTGTTTTTGCTGTGTTGGCCGAAATGACTTACACAATCTGTCGGAATCCTATTTTGGCCGTTGCTTCGTTTGATGTCAGCACCGCAGCGCATTGCCCCCTAGATAAAACTTCTAAATATATCCTAGACTTTCACTGCTTCTGACAATTCAGGCACTCAAAGGATACGTCAATTGGCACCGTGGATGTTGAGCTATCGTCGATTGATGTTGAGCGTGCGAAGTCGCCGCAATCCGGCAAATCGCCAGATCCGGCAGATCACCGGAAAATCCCTTAGGTATGGATATGGATCCATGTATTTCCATACTATTGGCTGAACCACGCCACTAACAAGGGTTCCTACAGGGGGCTACCTACAGGGGCTGTGGGCCTGGAACCCCCGCTACAAATCCGCACATCCACAAAATCAGCCTCACCACCAACCCACAGCATACCATTATCACCTGGCGACAATGGATTCTGAGCCTGTGTTAGTTATGTTTCTTCGATTCTGAATCCATTGCTTCGGATTCATTCGCGTCTATATCTCCCAAGACAAGAAAAACCTGCTTTTGGATCATGAAAACATGCTCATCTGGCAGTAATGTACCGGTAGTAAAAGGGTTAGGGGAAGCGGAGTTCAAAGGCAGGAACCGCCTCATATATTATCTTTATTGTCCCCAGAATGATCCCTACAGTACTTCTGTCACCGCCAGCTTTCGAAAACACCCTGAGGGCAAGAAAGTATGTCATCAACGTCGCAGAGAATTTATCTCCTCTTCAACCGTCCATCATCGAAGGATTTGATCAACTCTACGGGCAAGCGTGGGATCTGGGCCGTGTCTTCAAAGGCTACCTTGACCAAGAAATTATCAATAAAGAGAATTCGCCCTATTACGCCGCTTCTTTGGTCCTTCATCCAAGCTATCGCACGACGTACATCCACTCAAATTAGAAGAAGTGGCATAAAACTGCTTTCAAACGGGTCAAAGACCTTTGCTACTCTTACCGAAATACAAACGACGGTACAATTTCGTATCATGTACTGGACGAAGAAGAAGACAATGGCCTTGATGCATTTGATCGTATTTCAAGAAATCTGCAGAATTGTGCTCGACCTACAAGTCAAGACGAGTATGAAGATTACATCTCAGGTGATCCATATGAGATTGCGCCAACAACTGCTTTATCATGGTGGCTTCAAGAGCGACATAGGAACCGACGGCCGAAGTTATCACGAATGGCAATAGACATCCTATCAATGCCAGCGATGAGCGACGAGCCGGAACAGGTGTTTTCAGGGCTCGTCGTACGATCTCCTGGGAAAGGGCACAATTGGATGCGGACCAAGTTGAAAAGGAGAATTGGTTGAAGCATTGGGTGAAGAACAATGTCTTGAAGAGGAAGGGCGGTGGCGTGACCGTGGCGTGAGAATTCGTGCAAATTCCCGTCTGATTTCCCTCCTCGTCTTGGAACAAAACACGTAAGATTTGCCTACCCTCTCTTTTGGACATTATCATTGAGCTCAATCAATTACTTCGTATTTTTAATTCACCATATGGTGTGAATTTGTCCATCTTGTCGAAGGTGTCTTCAGTGACATTTGTCGTCGTGCACGGACCAAGTATGGAAAGGTGTATTGCAATACTTGCAATAAATGTGGGGCCGATACCGATTATCGATTGCAGGCCTTTCCATGTATGGAAAACCACCCTGCCACCGCGTAGGATCATTCCGCCGATTATTATACCCCATCGTGTTACCAACTCCGAGATCTTTGCAAGTTGACGGCTTATCAGTCATGGCCCCATGCAAAGTCCGCAGGGAAAAGCCCTCCAGAGAAGTGAAGCAAGCTCAGATCTCGTCCTCGTCCGTCTCCCCATCCTCCTTCGCATCTTCGGCCTTGATAGCCTCATCATCAGCCGACCCTCGCTTTCCGGCCTTCTTGCGAGGCATCCGTTTCTTTGTAACCTTTGCCTCTTGCGAAGGGGCCGTCGACGCGCCTCGCTTACGAGGACTGGCGGTGGTGGTGCTCGCCGAGGCCTGGTCGCGCCATCCGTGGCGGACAGACATCTGGCGGAAGCGTTCCTTTGCGCACTTGGCATCCTTGAGTCCGAGGGCTGTGGCAACACAGGCCCAGTCGGCGTCCGGTTTCTGCGTCATGTTGTCGAACACGGCTTTCATGAGCCTCAGTTCGCCATCAGTGAGCCCCAAGGGGGCGTCGACCTCGTTGCCACTGGTCTTCTTGGGAGGCATAGTTTTGACTTGATTTCTGAGAGAGGTTGTCAGAAACAGGAGGATATGGCTAGAGTGTAGGACGGGAGATGGAAACAAGCACCCTTGAGATTCAGTTGCAATGTCTTTGATATAGACGCAAAGAGCGAAAGGGTATGAGGGATAGGAGTTGCAAAGCTTGGTGGATGCTGATGGGGGAGGCAGTGTGTGTGTAGAAAGCAAAGTGTCTGGGGCAGGCTCTATGCGCAGTGAAGAGAAGACCAAGAACAGGGGCCCGAGAACCCAGACTCGGTGGTCCGCTAAGAGCCGTTTATAGAAACTCCTGTTATCCCACTCTTTTACGCATCAACTCCGGAGACTCGGAAAACCGTCCACGGCAAGGCGAGGTGTAGCAGGTACTAGGGGGGAACTGACGCACTCTCATTTACTAGGTATATTGCCTGGGAGATACGGGGAGTTGACGTGTCCAGTGGACTAGACTCTTTCAGGAACCGGAGCCATCGAAGGCTCGCTACGTCTATTATTTTTCAAGAACCTTGGCACAAACTCGGAAATGTAAACTCGCATCGAGAATCTCAGACCAACGACTCGCAAACGCTGAAGCCCGTAGTTGCAATTGTGTAGCACCCTTGCTCACTGCCAGTCCGAGTCCATCTACAGGCCTCTCGGCTTTTCGATTCTCATATCAGTGCCGGGTTATGAGAGCATAGCATGTTGCCAACCATCCCGTTTCCGCTTGTCCCCACGACAGAAACATGAAAAGAAGTAAAGCCCTATCTCCCTCCGTATGCGTCCGGGTCAGTGGCGGTAGGTACCAGTTCTCCGGTGCCTCAGAGGCTAAACAGACTCGTCTCTCTTGCCCAAAGCCATCATCTCCTCCTCGAACTGAGAAGGGGGATCAAAAAACTCTTCCTTGACATCTTCGCGTTCGTCGCCGGGCACGGCCGGCTCGTCTTTGACGAGAGGCTCTTCGTCAATGGTGGGACTCTCCTCGACAACCGACTTGACTTTGCCACGGCCGCGGCCCTTGCCCCCCACGCGGCCTGTGTTCTTGGCGACCTTTGTCGGGGTCGCGGCCGTCGAGTTGTCGCGCTTTTTTCCAGAAGCGCGGGCCGACGAGGTCGGGGTTTCGGCGGTGGAAGAAATGCCAAGCTTGCGCTTGACCTGGCCAAAACGGACCTAGACAGTGTGAGCGGCTGCAAGAGAAAGGGAAACAAGGTACTGAGAGCAAGACGGGCGGGCAGTTTGGCTCTCCCACAGCGCAGAGACATGTTCAACCCACCTTGGCGACCTCGGCGCTCTTGAAATTCTGCTCCACGGCCACAGCATCCCAGTCAATGTCCGCCTTGTTGCGGGTATGCTTGACAATGGCGAAAAAGAACATGGCCTCCGAGGCGTTGGGCTCCTTCTTGGGAGTCGTTGCGTCGTTCTGCTCAGTCATGGCTTCTGCTTTTGAGCCCAAGGACAAGACATTAGAATGCTTGCACGGTTTCGTCGTCGGCATTTGAAGGCCCCCTTTGAGAGTAGAGCGGGTAGTTAACTCACTTGCTGTGCTGAAAGGCGGTTTTCGGGTGTGGGGGGTAGATTGCTTGGTCCAGTGGTCCAGCTGCCTCTTTTCTTCTTTGCCTTGGTCTTGTTGGGGGGAGTTGAAAAAGAGGAAGAATTTGCGTTAAGCAAAGGCGAAAGCTTTCACGGTTGAAGGAAAGGGATTGTCCAGGTTTCTGTGGATTTCAGAATGGGGAGAAAAAAAGGTTGGCCTCGCAACTGGCGGTTGCCGGGCATACGATAAGCAGATCCAGAACGCTGGGCACGGCTATTAAAGCTGCCTCAGGCTGTCAGAGCAGTCGAGGAAAGAGAGCCAATAGCGAGACGACTCACGTTAGAAAAAGGAGTCTCCGAGGCCGCGGCAACCAACACTGAGCCAATATGCTGAAGAACAGAAACTGTCGACTTTTCCACGCAACTTGCTTGGAAGATGGAGCCATATCCGTGGCCAGAGAGAAAATAATTAGTATACAATTTATAGTAGCAATCTTCAGTATCCCCTCAATGTAACGGGCAAGCCGCTTTAACGGCGGCTGCGCCGCCTAGCTTCTAGAACCTTCCATTGGCTCGAAGCTATAAAATGCCGTTATGCTCTTATGTAGTAGATTCTCTTTCTTTCTTCCTTTCTTCTGTATCTTGATAGTAAACAGCATAGGGACTAGTTAGTTGTATCAACTCACTAGAGGCCTTTCACATACTATCAAGATCACTGAAGACATTGAAGACACTGAAGACACCGAAGACACTGAAGACACCGAAGACACTGAAGACACCGAAGACACCGAAGACACTGAAGACACCAAACTGAGTCCCGTCGAACTATTAGCGTTCAGCGAAGTCGCGATGGCCGAAGATAACAACAACATGCAGTCGGACGTCCTCAGCGCCCTGGTTGCCGAGATACGAAGTCTGAGAGAAGAGAGTTCCCGAAGAAACACCCAGTTTGAAGAACGTTTTATTGCCCTGGAACTCCAACAACACCAGCAAGCCCGTTCGTCTGAACTCCTAGAGCCAACGCCATCTGTCACCCCGGCTGTCCCCATTGAGGACACCCGTGTGGTCGCCACTCACAACCCTCACAACCAAGCGCCCCAAATTACGAGACATACCGAAATTCGGCGGCGACAAGGCCCAGTGGCGAAGCTGGAAACTAGAAACCGAAGGAAAGCTACGAGTCGACAAAGAAGCCCTTGGAGATGCAGAAGGCCACTTTATGTACATCTTCATGAGCCTAGAAGGCAAGGCTAAAGACAACGTGACCACATTTGTGGAGATGCAAACCGAGAAGAAAACGTTCAATGTTGCTGAACTACTCAACCGCCTCGAGTTGTTGTACGGGGAGAGGGATCGCAAGCAGAGAGCTACACGCAACTTGCATTCGATTAAGCAAGGGGAGAATGAACCATTCACGTCCTTTTACCCCCGCTTTGAGAGGGAGATCGCCAATGCCAACGCCGAGTATTGGCCAGACGACAGCAAGATTTCCTACCTCCAGGAGGCACTAAACGACAAAATGAAAGCAGCCCTTATAGGCTCTGACCCCTCTGCCATCAGCAGCTACGTTGGGCTGGCGAGGAGATGCGATTCGCTGAGCAGCCAGATGGAACTGTTGGGTCAGTGGAAAAGGCCCCGAGGCAACACAAAGAGTTCGGACAACTATGACAACCACCAGAACCATGGAGGCCAGGCCGCCCAGAAACAGTCCGGCCAGAAAACTGAAGTTAGACGAGAGGACATGATGGAATGGGAGCCAACTCTACAAGCATCCGCGAAAGTGAACGCTGCGCGCACCCGCAGTGATAAGAACACATATGGTCACCAATCCAACCGACCAGAAGACCAAGCGCTGTTGGGCAAGCGTGCAAAGTGGGTCGATCAGACCGAGATGGACGCCCGTTACCGTGAAGGGCGTTGCCTTCGTTGTGGAAGAGACAACTGCAGGATCGAGCGCTGCCCATTGGCTGCGCCTATCCGACCCGCAAACGCGACCCGTCGCACTCAGGTCAATGCCGTGGCTCCGACACGACCAGCGGTCACTAATGCCGAGATCGCCGAAGACGAAGCTTCGTCTCATAGCGATGAAGATTCAGACTAGGGACACGCGGCGGCTGTGAGAGAATGGGATGTGAGCGGAAAAGCAAAAATGGACGGAGAACCGTTCATAGCAGACGTCAGGGTGAACGGCACAGACTTTGTGCCATCTCTTGTCGACTATGGCTGCCTCTGCTACGGCGCGGTTAGCAAGCGCACATTTCACTCTCTCCAGTTGCCACATATACGCGTCCAGCCGCGCATCTTGGAGAATGCAGCGGGAGACGGCAAGGAGGTCAAAATCGACAAGATCACGTATGTGTCGATCGACCTCGATGGACATCAGCAGCATCGTGTTTTCATGTACGTCATCGACGATCTTAACTGGGACATGATCCTGGGTAAACGATGGATGGAAGACCAGGATGTTCACATCCACGCAAAGGAAGGATATCTCGAGATCGGGTCCAGTGGAGTTCAAGTACGAGACCGACGACGTTACCAGCCTCCCCAGCTAGACGTCTCTAATGTCATGGCCGCAACCTTTTTTAGCGGAAGCACGCCGTGACAAACGCAAAGGCGGCATTGGAGTTCACTCGGTCACAATGGCGGATATTGACAAGGCCCTAAGACCGAAACCGAAGACTGACGTAATGGAGAAGCTGCCACCACAGTACCACAAGTGGTCTCGAGCTTTCTCTCAGCAACTGGCCGACCAGCTGCCCCCCTCATCGGCCAGGTGTGGACCTGAAGATCGAAGTGCTGAAAGACGAGCATGGCCGAGAGAAGCCCCTACCCTGGGGACCGCTTTACAGCATGTCCCGCGAGGAGCTATTGGTGCTACGAAAGACCCTCACATAACTACTCGACAAGGGATTTATTAGAGTCAGCAGCTCGCCAGCCGCAGCACCAGTCCTTATGGTGAAGAAGCCCGGTGGAGGCATCCGCTTCTGCGTGGATTACAGAGGTTTGAACCATATAACGAAGAGGGACCGCTATCCCTTGCCCTTACTGAGCGAGACCTTGCGAACTATAGCCAAGGCAAGGTGGTTCACCAAGGTAGATGTAATAGCAGCGTTCCATAAGATCAGGGTCGCCCCCGCCGACGAAGAAAAGACAGCTTTCAGAACGCGCTATGGATCCTTCGAATGGCTGGTAGTTCCATTCGGCCTGACAGGCGCACCAGCAGCCTTTCAGCGGTACATTAACAGCGCGCTCCAGGATTACCTAGACGATTTTGTGTCAGCATATATCGACGATGTCCTGATCTTCTCCTCTGGAAGCCTGCAAGACCACCGCGACAAAGTCGGCAAGGTCCTCCAACGACTGATGGATGCTGGGCTGCAACTGGACATCAACAAGAGCGAATTCGAAGTCAAGGCTGTGAAATACCTTGGGTTTATCATCGAGGCGGAGTGTGGGATCCGAGTCGACCCAGAGAAGGTTGAGGCTGTGAAGGGATGGGCAACCCCGACGAATGTTAAATCCGTGAGGAGTTTCATCGGATTCGCGAACTTCTACAGGATATTTATGCCAGACTTCTCGGTGATAGCTGAGCCGCTAACGCGGCTAACGAAGAAGGACGTGCCATTCCGTTGGGATGGATTGTGCGACGAAGCCTTCGAGAAGCTCAAGGACCTGTTGATCACGGCCCCGATCCTTGCACACTTCCATCCAGAAAGGGAGACTATCTTGGAAGCAGACGCTTCAGGATTCGCGTCGGGAGGCGTGCTCTTGCAGAGAGATGATAAGGGTGGACTGGTACGACCTGTCGCATACTTCTCGAAGAAACATTCGGCAGCCGAAGCGAACTACGCTATCCATGACAAGGAGCTACTCGCCATTCTCAGATGTTTGGAGCAGTGGGAACCAGAGCTACGGGCAGTAGAGCACTTCAAGATCCTAACGGACCACAAGAACCTGAGATACTTCTACTCGGAAAGGAGGTTGACAGAGAGACAAGTGCGGTGGTCGGAGTTCCTGTCCAGGTTCCAATTCGAACTCGAATGGAGGCCGGGCCGCAAGGGCGGATTGCCTGACGCACTCTCGACGGGACCAGGATATGCCGGCCAACCACTCTGATGAACGACTAAAGGGACGCATTATGAGGCTATTCCAAGATGATCACCTTAGAAGGGTCCCAATATCGACATTGTCTACCAACACCGAGGGTGCCCAGGAAATCAACTTCGGAAAAGAGATCAGGATATTTGAAGATGAGGAGTTACAGCAGCTGTGGCACGCCGCACGCCAAGAAGACAAGCTCTATCAAGAACTCACGAAGCTGGTAGCAGATGGAGCGAAGAGTTTGCCAACAGAATTACAGAAGGAGAAGGTTGTCAGCATTTCAGAGTGCTCATTAGACAATAGAGGCCTGCTGTGCTTTAGAGAACGCGTCTGGATACCCGGTTCGGAGCCGCTACGTACGAGGATCATCCAGGAAACTCACGACTCTCATATCACCGGACATCCTGGAAGGGACCTCACGTACTCGACTCTGTCGAGACGCTTCTTCTGGCCGGGTGCCGCTAGCGATGTACGTCGGTTTGTGCGCAACTGCGAGGTTTGCGGACGAAACACCATCTGGAGGATACAAAGAAAGGACTCCTAAAGCCGCTCCCTATTCCGCAACGCATATGGAGCGAAATTACCATTGACTTTATCACTGACCTCCCACCGTCGGGGAAGGATGGCGCGACGAACTGCATGGTGGTCACGGACCGACTCACCAAAGGCGTCGAACTCGAAGGATTGTACGATATTTCTTCAGAAGCGGTTGCAAGAAGACTATTCGAACGACATTACCCTGTCCATGGCATCCCAACGGCTATAACCAGTGATCGGGGTCCCCAGTTCGTCAGTGGTATGTGGAAACATTTCTGTCAGCTGCTAGGGATCGAGCAACGGTTGTCGACAGCGTACCATCCACAAACCGACGGTGCAACAGAACGAATGAACCAAGAGGTAGAGAGGATTCTTCGGATATGGACAAACTATCTGCAAGAGAACTGGTTAGACTTGCTTCCAATCGCGATGGCGACTATTAACGAGCGGGAAGCAACCTCCACCGGACTGAGTCCGTTCTTCTTCATGCATGGCTACCATAATGAGCCAATCCAGTTAGTTGAGCATCGAAGAACGGAAGACACGACACAGGGAGAAGCTGCAGCGGAGGATTTCATTCAGAGACTACAGGACGCCACGGAGTTTGCGCAAGCAGCGATAGCTATGGCCCAGGAAATACAGCAAGCACAAGCCAACAAACACAGGACGGCCGCACCGAGATACAAGCCTGGGGATTGGGTATACCTCAACTTGAGAAATGTCAAAACATCGCGACCCTGCAAGAAGCTCGATTGGTTACATGCCAAATATCAAGTGCTCGCCGAAGTCAGCCCACATGCCTACAGGTTGGATGTGCCTGGACGCATCCATTCAGTCTTTCACGTCGATCTACTCCGGCCAGTCCCTGGAGACCCATTGCCTTCGCAGAAAATCAATCAAGAGAGTGCCCCGCCGGTGCTGGTGGACGGCCAAGAGATGTACCTTGTCGAAAGAATTCTGGATGAAAGAATGGAAGGTACGCATAAGAAGGTGCTCGTAAAATGGCATGATTACTCGCAGCCTACGTGGGAGCCCCTCGCCACTATTCGACACACTGATGCATGGAAGCAATGGAAGAAACATCAAAAGAGTGTCACCTTCTCAAGTCATCTTCACACAGATTGCCACAATCCCACGGAAGAGGAAACGTTGGAAGGGAGGGAGGTAATGTAACGGGCAAGCCGCTTTAACGGCGGCTGCGCCGCCTAGCTTCTAGAACCTTCCATTGGCTCGAAGCTATAAAATGCCGTTATGCTCTTATGTAGTAGATTCTCTTTCTTTCTTCCTTTCTTCTGTATCTTGATAGTAAACAGCATAGGGACTAGTTAGTTGTATCAACTCACTAGAGGCCTTTCACACTCAACTCCTACCCAGTGTCCAACTAGTACGCTCCCGCGCAAGAGTCCCTCACTACCAGGTACATTCAAGATAAATATTTTGTCATGAGGTCATGAAGAGAAAGGAACATCCGCCGTGCGCCCATTTGTACACAAACCACCATCAGCCGCCCCATCCTGGCGGCCAAGCTGCGTTGAGAATCAAAACAGCTGCACGTCATGGTAGCGATCGTTCCAGGCTTGGCCACAGTCTATCGAAGGTTGGGCCTGGCCGAGGTTGCCGAGTTCATGCTGTCCATCCGTGGACCCGGCTTCGTATCCAGCCAAGTCGTAGGTAGCGTCAAAGGCACTGAAGACTGGTGAAGGGGCTGTGTGGTTCAGGTAGTCGGGGCTTGTGCTGACACTTGCTGTTGGAGCGAGCCCACCGGGGTGAAATCCCCTCTCCACGGCTGCTGGACGAATGGACATGACGTGCGACATGTCGTCGCTGCAAGGTGTAAGAAACCGAGCGTGAAAGTCGTCGGGAGCGTCGCAAGTATAGGGAGAAGCGGCCGAGGCAGGTGAATACTGTGACAGCGTTAGCGAAACTTGGTACGAGTAGCCGGAAGGATCGAGTAGTCTCGACATACCTGAGCATACGAAGACAGGCTGGGGGCCGATTCGGACTTAATGGTGACGCTCTTTCGAGACTGCTGGCCCTTCTTGGGCTTGGTCACGCGAGCCTTGTCGTCCTGGCAAGCCCTCTTCTGCGGTTCGTGGCCCGTGACGGTGGCTCGAAAGCGAGCGTATCGCATTCTGGCTGCATGTCCGTTCGAAATGGGTTGCTTTAGGACAGGATCTTGAGCGACTCGGTTCCAGTCAATCTGGGCGAGAGTCAGCATGCCATCCATCCCATGTCAGCCAGATGTGACTCGACCACTCACGTCTTTGAGGTCCTTTTGCTTCAGGATGGCGAAGAGGAAGCGAGCCATGGTATTGTCGCTGTTGGGGACCATGGTGGTGGTTGAGCGGAAGACGAGGAGGCAAGAATGCAGGTGGAAGAACAAGTATGCAGGCGAGCCGCAAGCAAGAGACGATGTCGGTGACGGACAAGGCGAATAAATGGGAGGAAAAGAAGCAGAAAGAAGAAGAGAGAGGCGAGAGGGTGGCTGATATATATCGCGATGATGCAAACGTGCTTCAAGGCGGCAATCGAGGTGAATCAGCGTGAGCGTCGGTGGTGTTCCAGTCGGACAGGAAAGGCAAGGCGACGGGCGGGCGGCATGAATGAGAGGATCGGGTGCAACGGTGGACGAAAGGGGCCGAGACAGGCCGTCGAGGGGGGGAAGGTTAAAGGAAAAGCCGATGAGAAATGGAGAGAGATTGGGGCCGCAGGTCTGACGGTGGCCTTGTTCACGACAGCTGATGGCCAACAAGGCAGCGAGGGGCTCCCAAGGGAGAGCAGAAGAGAGGCGAGAGAGAAAGGAGCAAGGGTAGCAACACGACGAGGGCCAGGCAGAGCGAGGAGGAGGCGACAGGCCGAGTTAAATACAAGGCGGCGGCATCGAGGCGAGGACGCAGGGATGCAGGAACCAACAGGCCGAGCGGGCGGAGCTCCCCATGATGGCCTCGAATCGGCAGCCAGTTGCAGAGCCACCTTAAGGTGTCTGGGGTCGCGGGTGCGGGCCCCCGAATTTAGCCAGCTTTGGGCCACACGGTTGCCTGGGAGCAGCATCCGGATGGCGTAAAGTGGTGGTGGGCGGACCGTGGTGGTGGTGGTGTCAGTGGCCCACGTTGGCCAGGGGGGGGGCGTTCAGCGCGTAAAGTGGCTGCCGAGCATTGCCCAGCGCGGGCCCCGGCCGCTAAGAAGTCGGGGTGTGTGTGCTGGGGGTCCACCCGGTAACGACTCTCAACATTCGCCGGGCACGGGGAGACCACCTACTGCTTCAAAGAGGGGGGAAGCAAAGGGAGAAAAGTAAAAAAAAAAAACTGTGAGAGAGGAAAAGGAAAGGGGGGGAGGGGGGACAGACAGTCATCGTCACCACCATCCATCCTTTATTTTTGTCACTCACGCTTTAAGCTTTGACTTCAGCTTGCGTGTCAACTGGTGGCCATTGGAACGGGCGACGAACAACCAGCTTGGACTCGCTTCCCTACGCCATGCCCGGCAGAGCCAGAGCTTTACCCCCGTCGCACAGGGGTGGTGGCATGCAAAACTTCATTTCGCTACCCCGGAGGGAGATGGGAAAGACCGGCAGGACTTTCATTCACTTGCATGCTCCGTACACATCTCTTCAGATGCACCACCTTTGCGACCGAAGGGGAAAATTTTGCAGACCGAGACGAGCCCAACAAAGACAGGGGTCAAGGAAGAGGTGTGAAACCATGGGTGTGACTCATGGTACCGGGGATAATTAAGGCAAAGGCAAGGCAAACCATAAATGAAATGAAATAAATGCAGAGCCCATCCGCAGTCATATTATATATAGAATATGCATGCCGTTTTATTAGCATGATCAGCAGGACACTTGGGCGCTCGTACAACCATATACAGTGCCGGCCGCCTTGCGGGCAGTGACCAAGATGCCATCTAGATGATGCAATTGAATGGCGGCGGAATGGACGCCTCGACGGGGCCCGCGTGCGATGACCCATGCGTGCGTACGTCCGAGCCACTCGACTTGCACGGGGCGGGTCAGTCTCACCAGGTCGGCTGCCTGAAATGAGCGACGGCCGAAGCAGCGCCCTAGCAGCAAAAGGCTGCTCGCCGGGCCGCAGTCTGGCTATAATTGCAGCGTCCTGCCTGAGAGAGAGATGGAGCCTTTACGAGTGATTTTTTTTTTTCAAAGGACGCAAAGGGGGTGAGAAGAGGATCAAAGAGGGAGAGAGGGGGGAAATGCTCAGGCCATGGGGGCCGGGGCAGCCAAGAACGCACCCCCTCCTTTCGTGGATAATGCTGGTGGCATCATCCAAAGATGGGCCGAAGTCGCAGCTACTGCAGCGCTCAACGGGCACCCAAATAGGGCTGCTTTGACCGTCAGAAACGCCCGAGAGGCGAGAAAAATTAGCCAAATCATCCCAGACGGAATTTGATATCGTTTGCGCAGGTTTGGACGCTGCCCATGGGCGGGCGTGGGCGTGGGCGACAGGCAACGTCGTGGAGGGGGTCACAAGAGGTGGTCTGGAAGACGCGACTGGCGCGCGCTCTCGGCGGGACCCGTGCGACGAGGGTGCCGCCAGGTTGCCACGAACTCACGTGAGTCCTTTTTTATTTTTCTCACCCGCTTCCGGAGCATGCCACTTCGTACATACGTACTGCGTACCACTTTGGCGGGGCGGGCCCACTCGGCAACGGGCTCAGAGCTCCTTCCAAGTTCCTGGTGTGGGACTCGGTCGGTGCTCTTGCTAGGCTGCTAGCTGTCACGGAAGGCGTATTCCCGCGTAATCAAAAGTAAGCACGAGGCAGCGCGGGTGTGCAAGAGGTTTCGTACCTCGTACTGTGCCATCAAAGCACCTCATCCCTCCTCTTTCGTATATGTTGCACATGTTTCTTGCATCTTGTTCTATTTGCGCGTACCCGGGCAGGAGGAGGCTGAGTCGTGGCTGCCGAGTCGCGGACACTGTCGCCGATGAGCAGGAGGGGTGCAAACTCCATTCGCTGCTTCTCCTTGCATCCTCGAGGCAGACATTCGGCACACAACCTGCCATTGTGCTGGGACGGAGTTGCTTCTGCACACGTCCGCACAATGCAGGCGCAGGCTCGTACAATCCGGTTGGCTGAGTTGCTCTCGGCCGCTCCCCCGTGAAAGCAAAACATGCAAGTCAACCGGCGCAACAGAAGAATATCCTAGGAATCTGCATGTTGGATCCGCGCCACGGCCACTCTTCGCCCGGTGGCCTCCAATTTTGCTGCAAACCGAGACAAGGCGTCAGGGCGCATGATGGACTCGGCCGACGAGTCGAGTACAGCCAAACGGCGTGTTTTTGCGTCATCTCCCTTGTACGAGGGCCTCTCTCAGCCACTCTGCACTCTGATAATCGTCACTGTAGACGTGCGGTCAAGCAGGCAAGATTGGCCAACGACAAGCCTGCTCACTTTCTCGTGGTCGTATGGAGGCTGAAGTGCCGCCGGCGTGCAGGGAAATGCATCAAATTGGCATGCGGAAGGCTCGCGTACCTTGCAGCGCCAGCCCGAGATGCCAAGGAGGACGGGACCTTAAATAATAAGACGGGGTCACTTGTCGGAGGGAGAGACACTCACAGGGAGAGTCGAATGGCGGCGTACGGCGGCTAAACGACGCTTCAGCCCCGGCTAAGTCTTGCCATCAAGGACCCGCGGCCGCTACAGTACAGCACTGCGCACACATGTTTTGCCTGGCAATGTCACACACAACCTCGGCTACGTCTCTGCCACGTCTCTGCCGCATCGAGAATCCGCTGCTCAAGACTCACGGTTGCGCCCGCCGGCAGAACGTTGCAGTTGCACAGCGTCGCTTTCCTCGAGCCCGGATGCCGGATCAAGTCTTGTCCCAGCCTCCGGCTTTTCCACGTGTCTGCAGCCCCCCGAGGACGCCGCGCACGGACCATCTTTGATCCCCTCTGGCCCAAGTAAGTCGCCCCCCCCTCAGCCCTCCCCCCTACCAATTTCTCACTACCAATTTTGCCATTGATCCAGCATCTGCTCTTAACACTGCCTATCCTCGACCAGCGCAAACGACTTCTCGCCGAGAGTCACGACCCACACTACTCGTCGCGTGACATGGCCATGAGCAGCAAGAATTGGAACGATCGTGCAGACAAGGACTTATTCTTTACCATTTTGTCCGTCAAGAACATTGGCGTCATCAGCGGCTCAGAATGGGCCACCATTGGCAACCACATGCGTACTCTTGGCTACGGCTTCACCAATGAGGGATGCCGGTAAGTCCTCTTACGAGCCTGTCCTTTGTTGTCTCCTGGCCGATGCTGCGCTTGCTCGGGTAGAGAGGGCTCTCTGTAAGCAACGCCATGAGCCGCTCAGTATACGGGATGACCGCAAAGCCAGCCAGCCAGCAGCCACACCACGCCAACAAATCAACATGTCACATACCTTCATCGTCACTCCTTTGACAGCACAAATGTTGACACCTCTCAGACAACACTTCCAGGGTCTGAGGCGGGCCCAGAACAAGGCTGACGCCAACGGGGTCACGGCGGAAAATGCCAAACGCACCGACCCGACCCTGAATCCCATCACCAGAAGACCAGGCCCTGGACGAGGCCGGCCTCGGAAGTCGCAGCAGGACGTCCCCGACCAACCAAATCAAGAGGCCGATGCTGTTCCCGTCTCTGTCCCTGGACAAGTTTCCAGCCCCGCGTCGAGATCCTTCCCGGGCGCCGTGACGGGGCATTTCTTCGGCGCTGTGCCAGTCGCGGCCCCGGATCAAGTGCAGCAGGGCCAGGAGCCTGGACCGCCCCAGCAACCTCACGAGGGGCCCACCAACGGCCAGCAGATCCCTATGGCACCGACTGCAGTCCCCCCTGACGATCCACCGGGACCGGTCACGGGTACGCCCAGCGCCCAGCCAGTACCGGCCTCGACCACGCAGGGCGGGGAGATTGAAGAAGCCGACGTGGATGCCGACGGTGCTGAGAGTGCCGGGCCACTGGAGCCGGAAGAGCAAGTTGAAGACAACGACGAGCATCCGGCCAAGCGACAGAAGCTGGAGCCGCAGGTGCCGGATGTCGAAGCCGAGGTGGAGCACGAGCAGGCTCTTGATGACGAGGCGGTGTTGGCCCTCGCCGCGCACAACGGGCCAAGTGCTGCGGATGAATACGAGTCCGAGTGAGTGTTTTTTCAATAATGGGGATAGCTTCTCGGGGGCTAACATTGGTTAAGGTTTGACAACTACGACGAGGCCTAGTTTGGTGGGTGGAGGGGCAAGGGCGGAAGGGAGGCATGGTGCTGCCCTGGTCTTTCGGCCAGCAGGTGCCTGGTTGTTTGAGATGCGATGATATCCTTCAGTTCTATACCTGGGAGGCGTCAAATCTTTGGGCGTTATTCATAGCCATGTACGGCAGTTGCTGCCTTGTCCGAGGGTTGGAGTCTACCGTTGAGAAAGGGGGCCTTGCTGCAGGTCACTGGTGCCGTGTACGTAGCAGGATTTTGTTTGCTGTAGCTATCTGCCTTGGAACAGCGAGCAGTCGGTTTTTCCCCCTCAGGCTTCAAGCACCAGCTGCCAGCTGCAAACCACAACCACCGACCTTTGGAGCAGCGTGCTTCTTCTTTTTCCTTCATCAACACTCCACACACCGGAACGCAGCCCTTCAACAGCCACCGTTTTACCCCTATCGCACAGACACACGCATATACGGAGCCACCCTCGCGAAACCAAAGAGGGATCCAGCAACGATGCCTCCCAAGGGCAGCTCGGGCATCTGGCACGACGCGCCCTTCCTCGGGGACCTGGCGCTCGTCCTGTACGAGGCCGCCTACCAGGCGGGCGGGCTCACGCCACGCATGAAGAACTCGGTCGAGGAGACTCTGCGCAAGCAGGGGCACGAGATTTCGTGGGAGGCGATTCGGTACGTTTGGTCGATTTTCGGTCTTTGCGTGGTGGCCTCACTTGGCCGTGTCTTCTCTTGGTCTCTTCGTACATGGCCATCCTTGCTTGGGGGCCGCTTGACGCAGCGTTCCATTCTTCCATGGCTACCTTGCACACACAGGCTTGCTATAGAGCTGCTGTTGCTTGAGCCAGCTGGCCGCAAACGGGCCGTCAACGCAACGGCAGAGTCATCCCGTACGGTCTGGGGCAGCAGCTTCACCAGTGTGCAAATCCCTGCCTCAGAACCGCGTTTGCCTCGCGTGTGGTTTTTTTATTCTTCTCCCACCCACACACACACATTCTCATATACACACACTCTTGCCTCTCTCTCTCTCTGTCCCTATCTCTTCGCCGCCACACACGCCCACCACCCCTGCTCTCGTTTACCGGCCCTGTAATCTTGCTCTGCTCGCACGCGCCGCCGCCTCCTCCACTTGCCTCTTTGATCCCTGCTGCCTTCTATCCTCTCTTGACGCCACCAAGTGCCTATTTTCGTATTCGTACCTCCACATCGAACCCAACATCTTTGGCCTCGGTCTCTGGGGTGAAAAACCAAGCGAGCAAAGATGAGCCGCCAGACGATGCGATGGGGCCCCGAAGTCCACGAGGATATCCTCATCACCTTGTTTCAGCACGTCAACCTGACCAGCAGCGACTGGGCAAAGGTCATGGACGACCTGCGCGTCAAGGGCTACACGTTCAGCGAGAGCGCGCTTCGGTATGCCCTGCCTCTCGCAGTCCATATATCCCCTTCCTTGCCCTCCTCCATGGCTGGCTGTTTGCCTTTTCTTTCCATGCACCGGTTGCCTCGTCGGTTCGCCTCGTTTCCCGGAGTAACCACTCCGAAATTGTTTCTCTTTTCACACGCTCTCTCCTCTTCATTTTCTTCAACACATTTGGGGGCGCTTTAATATCCGCCTGCTATTTTTTTCAAACACCCCTTGTCAACAACTCTCTCTCCACTCGCTTCTCCCACCTTCCACGGAACCATGTCTGGCAAGACCACTCGAGGCTGGGATGCGAACTCCCACGAGGCCTTGCTGCTGGCGTTTATCGAGGAGATCAAGCCAAACAAGGGCATGATCACACTCGTCACGGAGCGGATGAAAGCCATGGGCTACACGTACTCTTACGATGCCATCAAGTGCTTGCGACCGCTTTCTTTTGCTTATCTATTTTTATTTTTCTCGACTCTTACTTGACATTTGTGCGTGCTGACCTTTTTTGTCTTGATAGCCAACATGTGCAAAAGCTCCGCAAGGGGCGTGATCTCAGTGGCATCGTCAACGCCTCCAGCGGAGGTGGCACTCCAACGAAAACGACGCCCTCTAAGGCTGGGGGACGCCAGAAAAAGACGCCTTCCAAGCGCAGCAACAGGGAGCTTACTCCCGTCGAGGACGATGACGAGGTCAAGAATCTGAAGCGGGAGGCTCCGGACGCCGAGGTGAAGATGGAAACTCCCAAGAACAAAAGAGTCAAGAAGGAGCCCGTGTAAGTCGTGTTCCCCTTAAGCCGTTTCCCTTTGTTCTGTCTGTTTTGATCGCCATTAACGTTGCTCTCGCATCATCTAGGCCGGAGCCCGCCTCAGACGACTCTGAGGATGAAATTTAAGCCCTCGCAACACTCTCTTCGGACGGAGCTGGTTCTGGGTAAAAGACACTGCCCAGGGCCCTTTTGCGAACGGGTTGTACGAAGCTAGGGGGGAACATGTGGCGGACAGGGTGCAAGACGAAAGATGGAAGATAATCTCCGACATGGGATGGACAGGAACTGGGGGGAATGTTTGCTTGTTGATTTCGCACACAATGGTGCTCGTAGCCCGTCTGGGCTGTCGCAAGGCTTGAGCCCTTGAGAGGCATGGTGCTCTACAAACAAAGTAAAGGCTTGTCGTGGCGCAAGACTTCAGTACCGTGTATCATGGATAGGGGTGACTGCGTGTTTACGTGCGTGTGACTTTTCTCCGGAACCTGGGCTATCCTCGCCCACGATGGGAACCGTTGGTGCGGATTGCCGGATAGGGGCATTGGCGAGGAGAGTCTTTATGCGCATGCTCTGCTGAACCGTCCATGCCAGTAGAGACAAGCGATGAGGAAATGGGAGTCACTACGTGCCTGAACTGGGGCGCAGGTAGACGCCAAAACCAAAGACCGGAGCAGACTTGACGCCATGCCATAGGCTGCAACAACATAGCATCTACCCCTTAGCAACCTCGAGCTCCGAGAAAAGGAGAAAAGCCCTCTCACGAGACGCTTGGGCATGCACGAACCAGTAAAGACAGGGTACCCTCGTCGTATACCGCCCGTCGGCCCCTTTTCCTCACTGCCCCCTCCTCCAGGGGGGACCCCAAGCCTCGCAGTGCGGGCTCGGGAGAAGCACGAAAGGGCCGGCTGGCGGGAACAGCAGCCGCCCGGCAACGGGGGCCCGGCCAGTGCTCGCTGCAGCACAGGGTGGGTTCACCTGCGTCGACGCCCAGGGCATGAATCGATTCGGGGGGTGGCGCGTCGCTCCGCTGGTAGACCAGCCTCGCCAAGCTGTCCCTGAGTGACTCGTCTTCTTGCTCCCGCCTCACACCGGATGCATACACACAGCCGCTGACGAAATATCTGCCTGCCTGCGTATCAGGCCATCCCGAGGATCCAGCCGTCACCGCTCTGCACCCTGAGCACAATCAATCTCGCGCATGTTGCCTGTTCCACAGCCTAGCCCGTGGCCTCGTTTTCCACAGCAACGCTTTTGTGTCCCCATCTCGCAGAAGAAGCGTTGCGTGCTGCTTTTCCCTTTTCTCGTCCTCCTCTGAACCCAACCCTCCACCCATCCTCCTTGGCCATTCCATCTCCAGTCTTCCGACAAGCATAGACGACAAGGGTTGATCGCCAGTACCCAGCTTCAACAGCGCCAACCTCGCCTTCGCAATGGGCCGCGGAGAAAAGAAATGGGACGCAACCGCCGAGCGCGACCTCTGCATCGCCGTCATCATGGCTAGCCAGGAGGGACGCGTGACGTACAACTGGCCCAAGACGCATGCCATCATGGATTCTATCGGCCATGCCTTCACCAAAGACGCCATGTCGTCAGTTGACTCTCTCTCCCCTGCTCCTCTTTTCTCTTGGCCTGGGCATCACTGACCCTTTCCAGCCAGCACTTTACCAAGAGGATCCTCAAGGACTTCAAGACTCGCCACGGGGACATCATCGGCTCCGCGCCATCAACTCCCAAAAAGGCCTCTGCAACCCCGGCCAAGCGCAAGGCGCCCGCGGCCAAGGCGGCCAAGAAGCTCGCCGAGGCGAAGCCGGACGACGACGACGATGCCGACGGCGACAGTGACGACGTCAAGCTTGCTGCGACTCCATCCAAGAGAGTCAAGATCGAGAAGCAGCAGACTCCCACTATCAAGAAGGAAAAGCAGGCCAAGCGTGGCCGAAGGTACGTTGACTCGCCGCACTCGCCCTCTTCTCGGTAAACGTCAAGCGAGACTCATGCTGACACATGCGTCTAGTCAAGTCGTCGACTTTGACGAAGACGACTTCCAGACCTGGCTGGACAACGACGATTGATGCCACACGGCGCCGCTGTCGAGTGTCGACTCTACAGCCAGCAATGGCTGACTTGGTCAAGGCACTGAACTGAAGCTGGGGTGTATGCGAGAAACGTGAACTAGAGCTCTCATGTGGTGGCTCTTCTCTTCTACGAGCTTAGACATTGAAAAGACTTAGCCTCGAGAGACCGAGTGATGCGACGGTCCAATGGCGGTGAGGAACTGGAGAATAGAAACAGCATGGTTGGCAATCCACATGCAAACACTCTCTGCTGGCTGCAAACTGGACAACTATGGTTCGGCCACCCACGATGCTGGCGAGCTCCAACGCCTGATTTCCAGCCTCTCATCCGACATGGTGCCCAGTCTTTGATCCCAGTGCTTGCCTGACCTCCAAACGCCCTAGGAAACCTCGACACTCGGTCGTCGCTCACCTCGGCTGACGGCCATCCAAGCGATGACCTTCGCTTGGCCCCTTTTTTTCTGGCGCCTTGGACTTATCATCTGCTTCCCCCTTTCTTTTGGCCGTTCCACGAAGACTTTGCCCCTGGCCGGCAAAATGAGGCTTCTCGGCATTCTCCTTTTCCTTCTTCTTGTCGTCGTCAGTCTTCACCGGCTTCAGCTCGTATCCGAAGAACAGCTTGTTGGTGGGTAGTCTCAGGGGTGCAGGGGCGCCTGTCCGCCGCTTGGGCAACGCGGCGGGATCAGCCGGGACCGGCGTGTCCGGCTTGGGAGTCGCGTTTTTGCTGCCCTTCTTGGCCAGACGCTGACCCTCACCGAGGAAGCTTGTAGGCGTGCTCGTGACGAACGGGGCGATTGCGTTGTAGTTGATGGCCTGGGCCATGGTCCCCTGGTTATGCAATACTCCCCCGGCCGGGACACCGCCGCGGGTGCTGCGAGGGGTGCTGGTGCCGCTCTTCTTCTCCGGCTCGACGTAGCCAACAGGGGGGGCGAAATCGACGGACACGTCCGTCTCGATCATACTGACGCCCATCTTGTCTGTATCTGGCTTGACGTCGAGGACGGCCACGTCGAAGATTTCATCGTTATACTCAAAGTTGAACACGTCGCCTTTCGTGAGAGTCGCGAAGTTTCTAAACGCCCTCTCGAGAACGGCCTTGGGATCGCTGATTTCGAGGAAGTTGACAGACTGGGGTTGCAACTTGACCATCTTGGCAAGCTCAAGAGAGGTGGTTCGGATCTGGATCATGTCCCCCACGTCCATGCCGAGCGTTATCATCATCTACGTGCGGCGAGTTAGGTTGAGCACGGATTTTGGAGGGGACGGCGTTACTCACCCACTGCGGGATATATGCTCGTCCTTCTTCGGCGATGAACTCGAGCACCCCTGCGTGAGAGTGCTTGCCCTTTTCACCGTTGATCATCTCCATCAAAAGGGGCCACTGGACGTGGAGCTTGGAGACCTTGTCCAGAGCCGAAGGCGGGAGGATGATTTTTGAGCCATAGTTGAGCTCCGGGCGCTCAGAACCCGGGGCCATGATGACGGGATAGCATCTGTAGTACTCGTCGAACCGCTGTATGATGGGTCGTCGGCCATGGCGCGCCAGGTTGTGAAGGTGCTCTGGGTTGCTAGGGTCATAGGCGCCTCCGAATCCGGAATACTAAAGTGTCTGTTAGAAGAAGGTACGTAGGAAGAGGGGGGGGGGGGTGCAAAAGACAGCGACAGACCATCCTGACGGCTCTTGTTGGCGCTGGCGAGCCTGTTTCGATGGCGAGTCGTGGTTGCGTGGCCCGGCGAGGGTTTCCCACCGCCCGGATAAGGTGCCGCGGGTCAAGCTCAGCTATGACGGGTTTGTCTGCTCACTCAAAATCAAGGTGGAAGAATATTGTGTGCCTTGGTGGCGTTGGAGGGTGCTGGGTGTCGGGTTGTGCTGCCTGAGATGGCCTTGAAGGTCGAGTGGAAGCAAGGCGTGGGGTTTGAGGTGAGGTAAGTTTATCTTGGGAGGCAGGCGGCTCTACAGTCGGCATGACGCACCCGGGTTTGCCTGGGTATCTCTTAAACGATTCAGATAGTGACCAAAGATAAGAGACTAACCTATAAGTACTCTGCGCCGATACTTCGATAATCAGGTACCCCGGTGGCGAGTTCCGAGATGTACTCTACTAGCATAAACCCCGATAAGACACATGCATATGCATCGGGCTGCCAGCTGCCAACTTATCATGCCGAGTTCAGCTCATGAATCCAGTTTCTTCCTTCTTTTCTCTGCGCTTTGCACAGCATTTCTCTCCTCCCATTCCGGGCCAGTCCACGTCGGAATGGCGTCGCGATTCTCGGCTGCGAGGCCCAACCGGGCTGGCGAGAACTTTGCTCGCACCCATCACAACGACGACGACGATGGCGAGTCCGACAGCAAGCGAGTCAAGTTTGACGTGCGAAACCCATCGACGCTTGCCCCCGACGCCCGCGAAGAGGATTCAGTCTTGGATGCAGACGTCATAGGCGGCAGTGGCGCCACCAAACGCGGTGCCGTCAATCTCGATGGCTACGACAGCGACTCGGACAACGAGACGTTCAATGCAAAGGCCGCCACCCGCAAGGAAGGCAAGGTAAACATCCTGGAGCAGCTCGACAATTACGACGCGCGACCTAGCAATTCCCAGAAACCCGATGCCAGTACCGACGACAAAGATGATGATGATGAAGACGACATGTTTGCTGCGAATGTCGATGATGAATCCACGCAGAACGAAACCAGCTTTGGCGACTTTGACAAAGCTGGGCGAAAGAACAAAAACGTCCACTTTCTCGACGCTTCCCAAATCCAGGGGCAAGAGAGCGAGAGCAGAAGCGGCGGGCGTGTCGAGCTGTATGACCGGGAAAGCAGCGACGATGAGTCCGACAAGGAGCTCGCCATCCAAGAAGAAGGGGTGGATGAGGAGGTCGGGGCTGGGGGCCTGAAGCGCAACGCTCCCCGTGTCGAGGCCTTTAACCTGCGCGAGGAGATGGAGGAAGGCCGGTTCGATCAGGATGGCACCTACGTTCGCAAGGCCGAAGACCCCGACGCCGCCCACGACAAGTGGCTCGAGGGCCTGAGCAAGAAGGACATGAGAAAAGCAGCCGAGGCCCATGAGAGGCGCGAGGAGGAAGCTCGCAAACAACGCATCCAGGAAGACGGCCTCTTGGTTTCGGACTTGCTCAAGGCGCTGATTATCGAGTTAGAAAAGGCAGAAACGCCCCTCGAGGCCTTGGCACGACTGGCCAAGCACCAGACAAAGCCCAAGAAGGTGCCCAAGTGGAAGCTGAACAAGAAGAACAAGGGCGCCGACGGCATGCACGTGGACTCGGGAGTCGCCGAAGACCCGGCGCAAACCCGCATCAAAGAGTCCATCAATGCCATCACGGACGCGGCCGACAAGCTGCTCAGCCGAGACTACGAGGAAGTCTACGACCAGGAAAGAGAGTTGCTAATCCGAGAGTACGCGCGGCAGACTGGCCAGGACTGGGTCGAGCCCAAGCCTGCAGCCGAGGGCGGAGAGACATCGTCTGCGGTGTGGGAGTTTCGGTGGACGGATGGGCGAGATGGCGGGACCACGCAGGGTCCCTTTGACGGCGCCACCATGAAGGCATGGGAAGAGGCCGGGTACTTCGAACAGGGCGTCGAATTTCGGCGTGCTGACGGGGGTGCCGACTGGACGCAGACGGCCACCTTTGCGTGATTTGCGCAGGGCTGTTGCGGGAGCGAAAAGGGCCCTGCTTTGTCGTGATTGGAGAAGAGACGGCCAGTCATGACCACCTTATCCGTCGCAGGGCGTACATCAGGCGCGCGTCGAGGACGAGCAGTTGTGACGAGCGCAGAGAGCCCCCAGACAGACAGGTCCAATCTGTATCATATGTGTAAGTTGCCAGCCTTGCCTGTGAACCGGATGGCGAATGTATGAGGAGGCTCTAGAGGGCTTGCGCCCGCCGTGAGGGTTCCCCTCGGCTAGACCAGCGGAGAATACAAAGCAGAAGCATATAACAAGCCGGCACAATCGTGGAGCGCCTTCCCGAAGAGAAGCTACAGCAGCTTATGGAACGAATGACTCGTTACATACAGTGGGTATTACACCTCGAAAGGCAGCAATACATACATATAAGGAAGGCACGACCCCCTAAGCTAACCAGTCAGGGGAATGCGTCTCTTTCTATAGAGAGAGAGTCAATATTGTGTGTGTTGAAAGGAGCTTTTAATTCTGGTAGAAGAAGAAGATGAGTGGGAGAATATGCTTGAACAGCTTCAGATCCACGCAAGCCTGACTTCACCGTCATCGTCAGCTATCCGCCTCTCCTCACGCGATGAAGACGCCGCGATGCGACTCCCATGCAGTGACAAGCGCAGTCGACGGTGTTAAGGCCCTCTCCTTCCGCGAAAGAGCCCGCCGCCATCTCCACTCAGCCGGGTTTAGAGGCCTAGTGTAGCTATTGTAAGATATCTTGAGCTCGCAGACTGGCATTGTTGGAGCATGTCTCTAGCATAGCGCTTCTGCGACAAAGTGACAGTGGCGGGCGGTAAATCGAGCCATGGGCAGCGGGAACCGGGAAGGCCGGCCATGGCCCCCCTGGTCGTCTTGATCGCCGTCGGCTCCGTACATGGACGCATTCGGCCGCCGGCCTCGGAGAGCAACGTTGGCTGCGTTGGTGAGACGGTTGAGCAGTTTTCTATCGGCAGCGACAAGGGAGGGGGGATTCGCCACTACGCGGTTTACGCCACAGCCTCAGGGCAGTCCTATCTACCAGTCCTATCTACCTATCCACGGCGCTCCGTTGGAAGACGAAGCTGGCACGGTGGAAACGGGCACTGAGCATGCCCCTGGAGCTATTATTCTTAGGTAGCAATACGTAGGGCTGGTCTGCCGCTGGTCTGCCGCTGGTGGATACTGCCGTGCTTGATCATTTGATGGCGTGTGCCGGCAAGAGTCGTGGTGCCCCGTAACGGAGCTCCCAGGAGGGAGCTTCCTCATTAAACGCTGACGTATCCGTACAGGAGCTTGGCAACCTTTTTTCTCCCCCCTCCCCCCTCCACCTCCCCCTCCTTCGACTCCCCTCTTCTCTTCCTCTTCCTCCCCATCCAGCCTCTGCCCTTTCCAACGCCGCCCGCCCTGCACCACGAGAAGCTCTTTTCTCGTCCAGACCAAGCTCAACTTTTCCGGTACGTGTCCCCGAGAAGCTGCCCCTCTTTGTTTTCCCTCGGCTCGTCTCTCGCGCTCCCTACTGACGACGAAGCTCCGTCCACAGCGCCCCCCGACAAGCTCCAGCCATGGCTCCCGTCAAGGTCGGCATCAACGGCTTCGGCCGCATCGGCCGCATCGTTTTCCGCAACGCCGTCGAGCTGCCCAACATCGAGGTGGTTGCCGTCAACGACCCCTTCATCGAGACTGAATACGCTGTGAGTCTTTTTTGCCCGGCCTTCGCTCTGCCCCTCCCCCTCCCTCTCTCCCCCTACCCCTCCACCGTGTTCCGCCAAGGTACACAATACATGCACCCCGCCCCTATCATATCATATCATCATGCCATTTTTCATCGTCCCACCCCCCTCCCCTCAACTCCATGATATCATGCACGACGGTCAATTATTCACCATTGTCATGCTGACCTCGCCTCTTCAACCACCAGGCCTACATGCTCAAGTATGACACTTCCCACGGCGTCTTCAAGGGCGACATTGCCGTCGACGGCAAGGATCTGTCCATCAACAACAAAAAGGTCAAGTTTTACACGGAGCGCGACCCGGCCGCCATTCCCTGGAAGGACACGGGTGCCGAGTACGTCATCGAGTCCACCGGCGTCTTCACCACCACCGACAAGGCCAAGGCCCATCTCCAGGGCGGCGCCAAGAAGGTCATCATCTCGGCCCCCTCGGCCGATGCCCCCATGTACGTCATGGGCGTCAATGAGAAGTCGTACGACGGCAAGGCCGATGTCATCTCCAACGCCTCGTGCACCACAAACTGCCTGGCTCCCCTGGCAAAGGTCATCCACGACAAGTTCACCATTGTCGAGGGTCTCATGACCACCGTCCACTCCTACACCGCCACCCAGAAGACCGTCGACGGCCCCTCCGGCAAGGACTGGCGAGGCGGCCGTGCTGCTGCCCAGAACATCATCCCCAGCAGCACCGGCGCCGCAAAGGCCGTCGGCAAGGTCATCCCCGACCTCAACGGCAAGCTGACGGGCATGTCCATGCGCGTCCCCACCGCCAACGTCTCCGTCGTCGATCTGACGGTCCGCCTCGAGAAGAGCGCCACGTACGACCAGATCAAGGACGCCATCAAGGAGGCCGCCAACGGCCCCCTCAAGGGCATTCTCGCCTACAGCGAGGACGCTCTCGTCTCCAGCGACTTGAACGGCAACACAAACTCGTCCATCTTCGACGCCACTGCCGGCATCTCCCTCAACCCCAACTTTGCCAAGCTCATCAGCTGGTACGACAACGAGTGGGGCTACTCCCGCCGTGTCCTGGACCTTGTGGCCTACATCGCCAAGGTCGATGCCGGCAAGTGAACGTTCGCTGAAGCGAGCAGTCGACGGGTCGCCCCCTTGTCCGATAAAATATGTGTTTGATATGTGGCCTGGGATGGCTGGATGAAGCGTGCCGAGACCTCTGGAACCAAGCAGAAAGATGGCAACAAGAACTCTTACTCTTGAGCATGTGGAGGTGGAGATGCGGGTTCACGGGAGCCGTGGTGTAGTTCAGTCTGAAAAGGAAAAATAGACCGTCTGTCCCATCTATACTCTTGCTATTTGAGCTCGCAACCCTAGAGCACATTCCGCGTGAGGCAACATCGACAAGAGATGCAAAAAGTTATACTGCGTCATGATGTGTCATTTCAAGTGACGAGCTATTCCACATCTCCAAGCCCTGCATGAATCATCTCCTTCAACCCCCTGTCTCGGGAACAACAGGCCAACCGTCCCTTAAAGGCTCGCCCGCCGTCTCGCGCCGGGAATACCAGCTACGCAAGATTCCGCCAAAGTCCTCCAACTCCACGGCCGCCTAGTAGTACCGCATTTCTCATCTCCGCGGACTCTGAATCCGTACCAAAGACGCGGCATCTCCCGCCTGAGGATGAAGGAGAAGAAGAAGAAAGAAGCGAGGGGGGGTGGGGGGATATTTCAAAAGAAGTAGTAGTAGGTTGGAAGTCAAAAAAGGTACTCCCAAGGCGAAAAAGCGTGCAACGACAAGATTTGAAGTCAAGGGCGCGCAGAAGAGGAAAAGAAGAGGAAGAAAACAGGCATCTGTCCTGCTCGCCCAGCTTGGTGTGGCAGGCCGAGAGATGGGATATCATCAAACGTAGTACATGTGCAGTGGAAAAAGAAGAAGAAAAAGGCTTGTGATGAGCGAGATCAAGGTCCAAATCAGGCGACGGTGCCGGCTGCAACACTTCAAAGCCGCAACGCCCCAAGGGTCGTGGCACTCAAAAGACAGGGGCCGATGAGCGCTGACGGGATGAAGGAGGACATGACCCCGCGCGGGTATGAGGCGAGAGAAATTTCAAGTGGGGGGGCCGGGAGATAAACTCGGTCGTGGCGTAGGCTCCAGCTGTCCTGCGCCCCGACAACTGGCTCTCATGATAATACATGGCCGACGAGCGCGGCCCTGGCTCCCATCTTCCTCGCTCGCTCTCTCCAATGGAGCATCCAATCGTTGGCCCAGAGCGGGGGAGCAGTTGTTGCGCCAGAGGCCTGTCGAGGTCGGTCGAATCAAGGGTGTCTGGGGTTGATGGGCCAAGAATCCTTGAGTATCGGCTCCGGCGTCCAGTCGACCCTCTCCTCTGAGCACCAATTTCGCAGAACCCGCAAGCCCGAGCCGGTGACCTCGTCGATGGAAAACCAGGGGCTAACTTCCACGCGCAGCGTAGAGCTACCTATGTGAGCGTTGAGATCGCGGATTGTCGGCCACAGGCGCGCTTTCCTGCGCTCCAGCTTTAGCAGACCCTCCAGGGTTATGGACGGCGGCGGGACGTCCAAGCTCGCATAGCACTTGATCAACTCGTCGATGACAATGGCATGAAGAACCAGCACCAGCACGTATAGCGGCTTCGAGTTGTTGAGTCCGTGTCCCCGAATTTCGTTGTGCGTGTACTCTATGAGCGGCAGCACGCTGTCCCACGACTGGTAGTCCAGTTTCTTATTCAACATGCCACGCCAGGCGTTTTGTGCTTGAAACGACATGACAAAGGCAAGGATGCTCTCTACGCCGAGCGCGTACTTGAGCTTGAGCCGAGACTCGCTAGGGTTGCCTTTTGCGCCGGTCCCGTTTGGGCTGCCGCGGTGAACTCTCATGATTTCATCAGAGTCGTGCTTGAGGCTAACGGCCTTGCGCTTGAGCCGGAGCTCCACGTCTGCCAAGGTCTTGATTTCGGGTCGTTCCGGTCTCTGGGCCGAGGGGTCGTGGCCGTTGGGTTTCCGATCGGCAGACGGCGCAGCCATGGGCGTGGCGTTTACCGCCTCGCCGGGTGTCTGTGCCATGGAGTTGCCGGAGCTGACGCGGGACATGGCTGTCGATCGTTTCGAAGGTGTTGAGGGCGTGGCAGCCACGCGAGCGACGTCGGATGTTCGTGGCCTCTTGATGGCCGTGGGCTCGGTTGGGACGTCGGCGGTGCCGGCAGGCCTCTTTCGCGCTTGGGTTGCTTGTGGTGGCTCGTCGCTCCCTGGGCGGTCCCGTTCTCTGTCCCGCTCACGACCACGCTCGCGGTCCTGCGAGTGGGCGTCTTTGCGGTCCGTTGGCAGCGCTAGGATTCTCTTGACAGACTGTCGTAGACCCTTCGGTATCGAGAGCACGACCATCAATCTCCTGCGGTGGCCCAGTTTGTTGGATTTTTCGTCGTTGGCGCCAGAAGCAGGCCTCTTCTTGGCTCCCGGCGCATCCTTGCCGTCCTTGGGCTTTTCATCTGCCGACTCGGGCGAGACCTTCTTCCTCCTCCGCAGCTCTGCTTCCACTGCCGGTGGCAGCGTAGGCGAAAGCAGTGGTGGGATGACCAGGGGAACTTTGTTCTTTTTGCTTCCAGACGGTGGCTCTGGTTTCTTGACGGCCTTGATAGTCGGCCTCGAATCCCCAGAGTCGTCGCGCCTCCTCTTCTCCTTCCTTGCGCTCAAATCGTCGTCGTCAGGATGGGGCCGGCTGTCACCGTCAAAGCTCAATTTTAGAGGTGACAACAGAGGCGGCACAAACGATTTCGACGTGTCTGGCTTGGCAGACGTGCTGATATTGCTGCCACTCGAGTGGGGGCGAACGCCGTTAACGGCGTCGCCGCGAGGACGCGCTCCCGGCGAAGGGTTTCGGGTGGGGTGCAGTGCTCCCTTGAAAATGGCTCGCCCGTTGGGCAACGAGGAGGACGAAGTCGGCCTGTCTTCTTTGTGGAGAGGCGCATCTCGTGCGGCTGGCTGGGGCCGTTCTTTGCGACGCAAGGCATCGTCGCGGGGGGGTGGCGGCCGATCGGCGAGCCTCCTGTCGTCGGGTTTGGCGCGCTTCTGCGGTCGGGACTCATCCTCTATATCGGCGACTCGCTTCTTGGCAGGGGGCGACGGAGGCTTCGGGGGCAACGAAGGTGGTTTGGGGGGGAGCCTAGATGCGGTCAGTGAATCGCCATTGGTCACCGTGGCGAAGTTAAACCTCATGTCAATGGCGCTTTCCCGTGGGCGCTGCTTCGCATCAAAGGGCGGTGGCTGCGAGTCGGGGAGCTTGGAGACATCGGGTTTTCTGAAGTCAGAGGTGGGTTTGTGCGAGTCTAGTGGTGGTTTCGCATCGGCGCTGGTCGGCCTGGGGCCGGCGACGGCGTCCAAAGGCGGAGCTGCAGGGCCAGCAAGCAAGCGGTCACCTTCCTTGCGCTTGGCGATGGCAGGCTCGGGGGGGGAGGCCGAGGAGGCGGCGCCCGTCTTCTTGTTCTTGTAGTCGCTGAGCGACAGCTTCTTCTTCTTGTCGCCGCCCGCCTTGGCGAGGGCGCTGACTTCGCGAGGGACGGGCTTGGGGGGCTCCTCGCGCATGTCGTAGTAGGATCGCGTGAGCAGGGTGCCGCGATCGGCGTGGGAGACGAGCGTCATGTATTGCAGGCGAGTGTTGTGCCATTCCTCGAAGCGCGTGCCGGATCTGCTGCCGTGCGCGGCGTCGTCTGGGCGCGGGCGGTATCGCCAGTGGGGGTTGTAGGACAGGTGATGGGGTTTTTCAGGCAGGATATGCTGTGACAGCGACTCGACCGTCTTCGCCGCAGCATCCATGGTTCGCGGAGCGTAACCATGCCGGGAGGCAAGGACACGGCAGCCGGCGATCGAGGGCGCGGTCCGGGCGGATGCGGTGGACGAATGGATCGGATGGCAGCGCCAAAAGTCGAGGCGGCGGTGTGGCCGATGCGATGCGGCGCGATGCGGCGCGATGTGGCGCGATGCGTCTGCTGGTTGTCGGGACGCAGCCAGAAGGGAGGTGAAGGTGTTGCTGCTATGCGCGTGCGAAACAAAGAAAGCGGCCAGCGGCGGCCCCACGATGCCCTTTGGTGGATAAGACAAGAACGAAGAAAGGCAGAAAAAAGGGAGCCGCGCGGGCTAGAGCGAGCCCTGGCCGACGGCGGCCGATTGGGGGGCGGGCAGGCGACGCAGCAGAATCGGGCCGCGACGAGGATGCGACGAGGGGGAGGAGGGAAAAAAGAAAGGAAGGAGGAGGAGAGAAGAGGTACGGAGGGCTGTGAGTGCTGTGAGTGCTGTGAGTGCTGTGAGTACTGTGAGGTAGATGAAGACGGAGGATGAGGCGGATCAAGGTTGGCTTGCAATGAGAATCAAGATGACTGGTTACCAAGTGACCTTGTCTCCTGCCAGAGCCAAGGGGGCCTATGGGCGGTGGTGGGTGCGGATGCGGAAGCCGCTAATGGCGTGTGCCAACTGCCTGTTGATGATGACTGGGGGAGAGGAGTCGAGTTTGGGAGGGGGAGCGAGGAAGAGAGAGAGGGAGGGAGAGAGCGACGCAGGGGTGTAGGTTCACCGAGGGTAGTCCGGGTCCGCAGTGACTTGGAGCTTAGGTACTCCGTAGAGCTCTACCAGGTACCCGCGTGGCCGCCTTGCTGCCTGAGGCTGTAGCGGGTACTTTGCAGGGTGCGCAGGCCGCTTGTCACCCTTCCGGCTACTGTACGACTCGGGTACTCGCTCTCCGCATTCGACGCCCACTCAGCGCCCATTCACACTCCAGAGCTCGCCATGGGCCTGACAATAGGCAAGGCAGTCCGCGGAAGTCGTCAGTGACAGAAGGGTTCTCGGCCATTGAGGCCAAAGCTACACCAAAGCTACGCCAAAGCTATGCCAGAGCCACGCCAAAGCTATGCCAGAGCCACGCCACAGCCACGCCAAAGCTTACTGAGCAAGAACAAAAGGCTAGCAGCCGGTCCAAAGGCCGTATTCGTGCCTCAACTAGCATCAGTTCCTCTGCCCCGCCCTCCCGTCTCTTATAGTTAGGCCCTTTTCTCCTGCCCCCCACTCCGGCCGGCACTTGGCTTCCACCTCTCTCCATCTCTCTCCATCTCTCTCCATCTCTCTCCATCTCTCTCCATCTCTCTCCGTCGTCCATCACATCGCAGTTCATCCCATTGTGACACGTAGAAACCACTCGCCGGTTTTGCCCTTGCCACTTGAGCTCGGCCCGCTCGGCTGCCTCTCATCTCGACCTCTCCCCCGCCTCCCCCGCCTCAACAATGGGAGCTGGAAGGCAAATGGACGACGGATGGATGGGGTCCGATAGGACCCTGGAAAGGAGACTCAACATGCCTCCAACCAAGCAGATACCGTGGCGTTTCGGAACCTCAACTCTGATTAGTGCTCTCGCTCATCCACACCGACCAAGGGACGAGAATCCCCTAGAGAGTTGCTAGCCCAAATACAATTGCCGTCGTGCCGACGACCCCATCTAGACTCTCGGGTAGGGCCGCAGCTGCAACACCACCTGTACACGTTCCAAAATCAATCTCTCCCATCTCCCCCCCTTTCCGCAAGCCACCACTCTCTCCTCAGCTGGGCTTCACGTTTCCTCAACATCCAACGTCCCTCCATACCTTGAGTTGATGTCCTTGTTTCCCGCTCTCCGGAGCAACTGTCGTGGCTTCAGTCACAAATGCGCCGACCCAGCTTGAAACAAAGACCCCACAACCCGCTCACCAGCCTGTCAGACATTGACTTGTACATTTTGATTAAAATTCCAATATGCCTGCAATACCAAACATCCCAGTCCTGCCGTGGACAAGAGGTGGCAGCTCGCTATGCTTGTAATTACTGGCTCACCCTCCACTTATCGACTCAACCTTCGATGGCCCCTTTCCACGCATCCTCGATTTTTGTGAGACTGACCCGATGCAACCCGAATCCCCTCCAATTAAACCGTACCCTCGTCGTAGCCTTGTTGGTCGACATTGGGCGCCGTTGGGAGGGTAGCTTGGACTTTGCGCTTTTTCGCGTCGCCTCCCTCGGCCGCGTGAAGATAGCCTTCGATGCCCGCGACTCTCGCCGCCAGGCCCTTAAGCTGATTCAATACACCGTTTGGGAGCGTCGCATTGATGTGGTCCACAATGTCTTTGTACAGAGGTCTCGTCGTGAAATTATTTTGCCACGAGTGCACGTCGCGCACCTGCATCGCCAATTCATCCAATTCCGACTTCGTTTCGGCTCTTGAAGCGGGGCATGTGGTTTCCAGAATCTCGAGCCTGTGTTTGGAAGAAACCACGTCCGAGTTGACCTTGGAAAATTGATGAGCAAGCTCTTGCAACGACCGGATACATTCTTGCTTGAGGTTGTCCAGGTCGACTCGAAGCGCGGCAGCCGCGTCCGCAGTCTTTTCTCCCTCTTTGGCAACCGACTCTCTTTTTACCTTCTCCTCCTTCAGGAAGTCTGCCAGCTTGCTCGAAATGGTCGGGAGGAAGTCTCTCAGCACACTTTCCACCTCTGCCCGGCTGATCTGCTGGATATGACTGTCCGACGCATTGGCAGGTGCAACTTCGGACACATCGGCAGAAGCCTCATTGGACACGGCTCCTTGAACGCCCTCCCTCATCTCTGCTGGGCTCTCTGTGAGCTGACTGGCCGAAAGTTTCGCCAGGGAAAACTCCATCGTCTGAATGGCTGATTTAGCCTCCAACTGTTGGTCTGCCTGCTGCTTGATGGCTTCCGCATGGCCATCGGTCTCTGTCTTCAACGTCTGAATGGCTGATTTAGCCTCCAACTGTTGGTCTGCCTGCTGCTTGATGGCTTCCGCATGGCCATCGGTCTCTGTCTTCAACGTCTGAATGGCTGATTTAGCCTCCAATTGTTGGTCTGCCTGCTGTTTGATGGCTTCCGCATGGCCATCAACCTCTGTTTTCAACGTCTGAATGTGCAGCGCCATCTGCTTAACGTCTTGTTCTCCCACGCTCGACTCCAGGTTCCTCAGTTTCGAGGCGAGAGCGCGCAACTTGAGGGCGGTCCCCTCGCCTGGCACTGGCCACGGGTCATGCAGCTCGTCATCCTCGCTGCCGTCTTCGGGTAATGACATTGTCTTGTCAAGTTTTCGTAGCGCCTCGTCAAGCTCATTCCGAGAAACCAAGTCCCTTGTCTCTTCCTTTATCTTTGTAGCCAAGGCGAGCGCCTTTTCGGCTTGCATTTCAGCCGCCTTGGCTTCAGGAGCGGCCGCACGCCTAGTCTCCGAAGTCGCATGAATCTGGCTGCCCTGTCCTGGCTTCTGACTGTCCGCGCGGGGGTCGTCTTTTGCCGAATCATCGACTCTGTGCTCGAGTGCCTTCATGTCTTTCTTCAACGTCTCATTCCTGATCTTCTCAATGACCAGCTGGGCTTTCAGCTCTGCCGCTTGCGCCCTCAGCTCTGCGGTTTGCGCATCGAATTCAGTCCGAAGAGATTCCTTGATCATAGATGACTCGTCGGCGAGCATCTTGGCGAACGAGGCCTCGGCCGATTTTTGCGCTGCAGAGAGGCGAGACTCCAGGTCCGTAGCTGGCCTCTCGCTTGGCTTATGCTCTGACTGTGGCCTGGCAATGTCATCAGGTTTGGGCTGAGGCAGCCTTCCCACAAGCTGCTGCACCGCCATTTGGAGCTTTTCGTCGGCCGCGTCAAGGCGAGAGCAGCATTTTGCCTTTTCCTCCTCGGCCAAGTCCTTTTGCTGCTTGAGTAGTTCGGAAGCACTGCCAAAGTCGGGCTGGCTTTTCCGGCATCTGTCAAAGTCGGACTGCAATTTTTGTAACTTTTTATCTGCAGTGTCCCGTTGCATGTACCAGAAGAGGCGCTCGCATAGATACTCGGTTGCTCTTTTCACGTCTGGCCTCAGGGAGGCGCCGCTGGACGAGGTCGACCATGATTTGGACGGAGGGGCAACGGGAGAAGTCTTGCTGGAGGCGGCATGACTTTGGTGTTCAGCGACAGGGGGTTTCGTAGAACTCTTGCCTCGCTCTCCTGCCGCGTCCTTTCTGGCGGACGGAGACGCCCCTGGACTTGGCCTTCGCGCGACAAGATCCCTGCCGCCGTCGCGGGGATTGGGTCGGCTGCTTCTGTATCGATCTATAGAGCGTTCGGTCTCGCGATCAGAGTAGTCAGACTGTCTTCGGTCTCTTCCCCTTTCACGCGGTGGGCCCCTCCCAACTCCTCTGCCGCGAGAACGACCCTGGCTATTGCGGCCGTAGTCGTTACTCATCGTGCCCGGAACAACTACGGCCGATGGCTATGAGCGAGACAGCGCCCAGCCGATGCTGGGATGCAAGAACCTTGGACGAATCCTCTTGCAATGCCGGCTGTTGGTGGGTGGATAGTGTTGAGGGTGAGGGAAGGATGTGTGAGTTAATTGAGGGAAGACGAAAGATGGCGGCTCTTGGCTCTATCCCAAGAAACGACTGCGTTGCTGGGGGAGCTGAAGATGGACGCGCAGTGCGCAAGCTGTCGAGGCGAAGGAAGAAAGACAAGTGAAAGATTGCCGAGAGCTGGGGGTGGCCGATGAATGAGGAGAAAAGTAGACGCAGTTGGCCGCTTGAGGTGAATGTGAATGATTGGCGAATATCAGTTCTTACGTATCTCCGATGAAGATGGCGTTTCCCGTTTTTTGAAGGAGAGCGGACGGTGCTTGGTGGAAGACGGTTAGGAACGGCCGGGACAAGAGCCCGCTACTGCAGCGATGGAGAGAGCCTGCGGAGGCGCTGAGGCGAAGGTCCGCTTGATCAGGGAATGGTGCGGCGAGGTGAAAAAGGGCAGCTTCATGACGCAGTTCGCCTGGCAGAAAAATCGAGACAGGTTAAATGCGAATAGCCATCCCCGACGGCACAAGGTCATGTGCCTGGCGCGCGTCGGCCTGCCGTCAGTGGTGCATTAGCCGCGCGCCTGGAAGTTCCCTGCAGGCCGGACTCTGGAAAATCTCCGTAATTACCTGCCAGGTACTTGAAGTTTTGAACAGCCGAACATAGGTACCTAGGTACCCTAGATAGGCAGGTACTTCTAGGTACATAGACAGGCCCTCGGAACCCGCACTTGACGCACCGGAAATTCATTCGAGCATTGGTACCAAGTATCAGGTCTCTCCCACCTACTAACACCAACAGGGACCTGCCAAAACACCAGCTTTTCCCTCCAGGTGAGAGCTTCAAGAGACAAGCCTCTCCTCCTCACGACGCAACCCAGCCATCGCGCCCAGAGGAATCCGTCCAGCACCATGGCTGATGTAGGCCACCCGCTCTTCATCGGAGACGATGCGCGCTGACTTGTCAATCTCTGCAGCCCGTCATGACCGTGTCCGAGTCCAAGGACCTTCGAGGCCTCAACCTCATCGCTGCGCATTCGCACATTCGGGGCCTGGGCGTCGATGCCACCAGCCTTGAGCCCCGAGCCGCCTCGCAAGGCCTCGTTGGCCAGCAAAAGGCGCGCAAGGCGGCCGCCGTCATCCTCCAGATGATCAAGGACGGCAAGATTGCCGGTCGCGCAGTCTTGATTGCTGGCCCCCCGAGGTAAGGCAGCATGGTCTTGCGCTTGGGATGGGCGCATGCTCACGAGTACCTAGCACCGGAAAGACCGCCATCGCCATGGGCATGGCGCAATCGCTCGGCCCCGACGTCCCTTTCACCTCGCTCGCGTCGTCCGAGATCTTCTCACTCGAAATGTCCAAGACAGAGGCCCTCACCCAGGCCTTCCGCAAGTCCATCGGCGTGCGGATAAAGGAGGAGAGCGAAGTCATGGAAGGCGAAGTCGTCGAGATCCAGATCGACCGGAGCGTGACGGGCAGCGCAAAGCAGGGCAAGCTGACCATCAAGACAACCGACATGGAGGCCGTGTACGACATGGGCAGCAAGATGATTGACGCCATGACCAAGGAGCGCGTCATGGCCGGCGACATCATCTCCATCGACAAATCGTCTGGGAAAATCACAAAGCTGGGCCGGTCGTACGCACGGTCCCGTGACTACGATGCCATAGGCGTCGACACCAAGTTCCTGCAGTGCCCCGAAGGCGAGCTCCAGAAGCGCAAGGAGGTGGTGCACACCGTCACACTTCACGAGATCGACGTCATCAACTCGAGGACCCAGGGCTTCCTCGCCCTCTTCTCGGGCGACACGGGCGAGATCCGCAGCGAGATCCGCGACCAGATCAACACAAAGGTGGGCGAGTGGAAGGAGGAGGGCAAGGCCGAGATTGTGCCCGGCGTCCTATTCATCGACGAGGTGCACATACTCGACATTGAGTGCTTCTCGTACATCAACCGCGCGCTCGAGGACGAGCTGGCCCCCGTCGTCATCATGGCGAGCAACCGGGGCAACTCCCGCATCCGGGGCACCAACTACCGCAGCCCCCACGGGCTGCCCCTCGACTTCCTGGACCGCGTCGTCATCATCAACACGCACCCGTACTCGCCCGACGAGATCAAGCAAATCCTCTCCATCCGTGCGCAAGAGGAGGAGATTGACGTCTCGGCCGACGCCCTGGCCCTGCTCGCCAAGATTGGCCAGGAGGCCGGCCTACGCTACGCCAGCAACCTCATCAGCACGTCGCAACTCGTGTCGGCCAAGCGCAAGGCCAAGCAGGTCTCGGTCGACGACGTCCAGCGCAGCTTCCAGCTCTTCTACGACCCGGCCCGCAGCGTCAAGTTTGTCGCCGAGTCGGAGAAGAGGCTGATTGGCAACGACGGCGCCGTGGATCTGTCGGTGACCAACGGCACGGGCGAGAAGATGGACCTCAGCTAGAAGTGAGGGGCGGGGGAGGGAGTATGAGGGGGGCGGCTTTTCTTTTAAATCTCGGGTTTGTTTCTTCGGTCACGCGAAAGCTGGACGGCGTTTATTTCTGGGTGAAAAATGCTCATCCCGGGGGAGGAACAGGGGCTGTTGGGCGTGTGGGCATTCACGTCAACTGTACCATACGAATCTTGTTATAGAGGGCGTAGAAGCTTGACAGAAGGGAAATACCCTCTTGAACGAGTCCTCCGCCCGGGCATCCCGTCCAAAGCCGCCGTGGCAAGCATTTCTTCGGTTCCCTCGCATTCATCGGCTCAGACCACTGACCACCTGTTCTTTGAAACCCTCGTGTTACACGCATCAAAGGGAACTGAGCTGTAGTGACACCGCTCGAGGTGCCGTATTCATTTTCTCATTCACGTTAGGCCTCGTATACAAAGAGAATAATTTATGTTCCATGTTTTCGCAACACCGTCCAGGTTCAAGCATCCGGTTCGCTCTCAAACGAGCAGACTTGTTCATTACACAGCATTTTCGTGCTATCCTCATCGCGCAGTAGGCGGCATCTCCACAAACCCGTTCAAAACTTTCGCGCACTCCTCTGTACGAGGGCAAACGCCATGTCGTCCAAACCGTGGGATTCGACGTCCCAAACGACGAGAACGAAGCCGCCCCCACGTAGACGGAAAAATAACAAAAGGGGGTATGTCAAACTCGGCCTTTGAATAGGCCTCACTTCCCATCGAGGGCTGCCAACTGAGCCGAGAGGGTCTTGTTTCCCCGAACGAGATCCTCGAGCCACTCGGCAGCCATCGATAACGTCGTGCTTTTGCTGAAGCCACCCCCCTTGAGCCCCGGAACCAGCTCGCCCAGGTCGTCGAAGCCCTCCTTAATCAGCGTGCGGCGTTTCTGTTCACTGCGGATGTGGTTCTCCCTCTTTTGCTCCTCGGACAAATTTTCACGTGGCGGTTTGGCCCCGTTGGCTGTCGATTTGCGTCGCCTACCGTTGGCTGCGGCATCGGCGGGGGGTGACGACCCGGTTCTTTCCGCTTTCGACCTCCTCTTCCAGCCTGACTTTGTCGAGTTTGCGTCGTCGTCGTCGTCGTCGTCGTCATCTGCAGCCTCCCTTACGTTCTCGCTTTTCCGCCTCTTGCGCGGCGGCGCGGCGGGATCCTCCTCCCTCTTGACGTATATGGAGCTATCACGGTTATCGAGAGCGGCGCGGCCGTTGGTGGGGCTACTTGGGCGGGGGTCGGTGGCGCTCTTGCCGACTTCTAGACACTCGAGGTACTTTCGCTGTGCCTGCTGCATTGCCTCCAGCGAGTCCTTGTCTGTCTCGGGCGTATAACCCTGGGGAGCGCCGAAACTCGAGTCGGAACCCCATTGGAGATCGCCCGAGGGTATCTTTCGGTTGGGAGCGCGGCCTTTGGGCCCCCAGACCCACTCTGCGAACGTGTTATCGTGCTCGGTGCCCGTGCTGCTTCTTCTATTCTCTTCCCTAAACTCTTCAAGGGGCTGGTGGCGAAGGTGCCCGACAGGATAGCCGACGGATCGCCGCGATAGCGGAGAATCATTGCTCTTGGGAGCGCTGGTACGGGAGGCGGAGCCGTTCTGGAGGAGCGTGGCAGCGGCATTGAGAACGTCGTCGGAGTGCTGCTGATGGAACGATTGGGGGTGGGGTGGTGGAGGAGGCGGAGGCATGAGATGCGAGCCCGACATCATCCTCTGAAGGTCTATATTTCTGTCGGGGTGGCCGCTGCTGCTGGCGCCGGGATACTGTTGGACTGAGGGGTCGAGAGGAGGGGTCGCGTGAGGCCCGTAGGAGGTGGCGGTGCCCATGAACTGGGGCGGAAGGTCGAGCCAGGCGTCACTGAAGTTGAGCCCTTCTCCAAAGGACGGCATGTTATACTGGTTTGCCGTCATGTCCTCGAAAAAGGAGCTGAGGAGCTTGCTGTCGGACTCGGACAGGAGCGGCGCCCCCGGGGCGGGATCGGGAGCATCGAAGAGCGGCTCTTGGGCCGGGTCAACGGAATCTGGGGCGCGTATTAGCTGGCAGGTGGACATGAGGCAAAGCGAGGACATACAGCCAAAGGGCAGCAAGGGGTCGGACTCTGGCTGCGTCGAACCCATCCTGGGAGCCTGCTGGACGGCGAGCATGGGGCCGTCTTTGGATGGTGGCTTGTGCTGCTGGCAGTCGACGCGGAGCAGGCGAGCGTGGAGAGGCCGGTCGTCGATTACCATGTGCGGGTGGTGGAGATGGAGGCTGGCTCAGCCCATGCTTGACAAGTGGGAAAACCCGGGGTTGCGGCAGAGTGAAGGGTGGAAGAAGACGGGACGCGTGCCGTTAAAGAGGCGAGCGGGCGGTTTGGGGACGCACCAACCGTGCTCTAGGTGCTAATAAGGCCGAGCCTCGCAGGTGGGGCGTAGCAAGGTAGGTAGGTAGGTAGGTACAGGGAGGAAGGTGCAGTAAAGGTAGGTATAGATTGATGGATGGAAGGGCTCTTGCCTACTAACCCAGGACTCCCGCTCTCTCGAGGCCGCACCAACAAAGAAAAAAGAAGGACGCGGACGGAACGGTCTCGCCTCCGGCACTATTTTGGGCCACCGGGCGGAGGGGGGCTTCACGATGATGGCAGCACGTTGCGAGGCGAGGCCCTACGAGACAGTGTGTCAGCAGTATGGTGGTGGCGGCTATAGGGCGCTTGGCTCCGGGCTCTTTGGGGGGAGCGGGGACCCAGGTATACATGTATCTCGCGGTATCTTGGCTGCTAAAAGCAGCTAGCTGCGAGTCCAACCAACCTCTACTGTATTGCCTCGATGCCACCTGGGGTATGCGACCTGCGTGTGCCTACTTTGGGGAGGCGCTCAGACATTGCTTACGACGCTGCGACGATAACAAACAATGTTGACAATGCAAGACGATTTGGGTGAGGCGCCACTCTGGACTCTACTGACTTCGATGTGAAATGCCAGCAGTGGGGAGACGAGGCCCCGCAATTCGCACCGCTATGCCTTGGATAATTGATTACCTACCTAGGTACCTACTGTAGAGGTAGGTACTCCGTACCCCGCACGTCCTCGCTGACCCGCCGCTCAAGGTACATGGCGGTACTCCTTCATGCCTTTTCTTCCATGGTGAAAGCATTCGAGGAACAAGGACGAGTTCCTGTTACAGGCCCAACATGGACTGCTTCGCGTAGAGCGCAGCTATACGTGGTAATCAGTCGCAGAGTCCCAACAAAGTATCTACATGCACTTCTCCGCGGTTGGCCGCGCCTCTCACGGGGTGTGGCCGGACAGACGGCCGGCCAAACGGCGGAGCTCAGATGAAAGAGACGGATCTTACTGTACGGCGCCGCGACTGTATACCTACCTACGCCGTGCAGTCTGAGTCAGTGCTGAATCAATGACCTCTTGCCACTACGTACTTACGCTTCCCTCCGAAATCCTCTTGCCAGCTCCACGACGACCCGCCCGCCGGTGAGCCGCCCCGAGCCTCCGTTGCCCCGGATTCGACCATGCCTCCCGTGAGTGCTGATTCGCCGGACCGAGCCCGGATATTTCCGTGTCTCCCGCATCATGCTCCCCCAATGCCATGCGCCGTGGCGGTCCCCTCCTCTTTATTAGCGACAATCACATGCTTGCAACGCTATTGTCTGTCTACCTTTGTGTGCAGGAGAGGGTTCCGGCTGGTTCCGCACCCGAATCAGATTCAAAGGCTTGCGTTTGAGCTACCGACAGCGCAGAGAATGTGCTGTCAGCTCACGCCACCCGGCATGGTGGGTGTCTGTGTAGGTAGGTACAGTAGATACTGTATAACACAGATGCTGCGCGGAACCTGGACACCAGCATGTACCGGCTGCATCGGGATGCGTGTGTTGGTTGTTGGGGCGTCGGAGAGGGTGCTTTGGCAGACAAGACAGTTCCTGCAAGCAGCTTTACTGCAGTAATAAATGTGCCGTCTGACGCTCAACAAAGTCGGATGGCCAGCAAAGCAAAGCAAAGGAACGACAACCGCGCGGTTTCTGCCCACCCCATGTTCATGCAGGCGCGCGCGCATGCACAGCTTGCGTTGACGATTCTCAGCATGACATGCATGCTGCACTCTGTGCTCAGATGACGGACTCCCAGACGGATATCGGTCGACCCATGGCAGGGCAGTTGGCTGCACAAGGACGTGATTTGGTTGCCGAGCATGTACCTACAGTAATAGTACAGTCTTCCATTCACCCCCCCTCCCCCCGGTCCTCGTCTACTGTTCTCCGTAGTGCGCGCGCAAGCTCCAAGCCAAGACGAACGCCTGGCAGTTCGGATGGATGGCTGCATCGGCGACTGCCTTGGGTGCATTGCCAGTACAGTGTCGCAGCAGATGTGTCGCAGCAGATGTGTCGCGGCAGATCTCTTCCCTCTCCGACACTCGCTGAAGCAGACGCCATCTCGAGCTCGGATGGCCTGCCAGATTCGACCGACCTGGAGTTGAAGAGAGATGGATCAGGTCCCGTCCATGCAGGCTCGTACAGTGCTCTCAGCACAGTGCGTTCTCCACTAGGACATTAGGGCCTCGCCAAAAGGGCAAACCACAAAGGGGCCACGTCGATCGAGCACCCACAGCCGCAATCGAGGTACATACATTCATATACCTGAATGCTGAGCCCGCTTAGCCCGCCATGCACCGAACGCCGGCCGCGATGAAAGGCCCGGCCTTTCCGGCGGTTTGCATCGAGTGGGGGCCGGGCCGGGCCAAGTACCTGCCCGTAGTAATCCCCTGGAGAGTGCTGTACCTACCTACCCTACTGGTACCTTAGAAGACCCCTACGGTACGGAGCACTGTGCGGCACTCAAGACGGTTACCGATATAGCTCCCGTTCGCTCTCGGGACGTGGAAGCCATCTCTGGCAAGTCGACCGAGGAAACGACCTCTCTTCCTCTCCCCCGGCAAACGCAATGACGACTGAGAGAACGAGCGGCACACCCCTGGATCGACATAGCCTCGGACCTCACGAGGCGAAGTGAGTGTGTTGCAACCGCCAGTTGCTGCCGAGGCATGTTGCGCAGACCTCCCTTCATCATCTCCAGGAGCAGACACGGCAACGACGCTTGACTGTCTGTTCTGGAGAGAGGTAGGCAAGCAGCTACAAGGACGATCCCGCGTCAGTCTCCTGTCCGCCGCCCTGCCCTTTTCCCGCCGGCCCACCTCTGCCTCGGCAGGGAAACCTCATCTCCTTTCCAAACCCCCGCGTTCCAGTTGGACGATCCCATCTCCCCCAGCTTCCATCTTGGTTCTGAAAGCAACCAAGGCCGCTCGCTCACTGCTGGATTAGGCACCGGACTGCTTCTCATCGCACGACGCACATTGTCGTCTGCTGCCGACCTCTCCATCCAAGGGAGACGGCAGGCCATCGACGGCCATACAAGCCTCAAACTCTTGGTCCGGCCCATTACGATACCCTAGCCCCCCACCGTCCCACGGCGTCGGGTGATTCTGTTCCTGGACAACCAGCATCCTCGTACGAATACATGATCGAATGGGGTTGGTCCATGGCCCGTTGCTGACCCGGCTTTCCCTGTCCAACCCTTGGCCGCCCCAGCCCACCATCCCGTTCGTCCAGGTTGCAGCGAGCACGCCGATCCAGTCCTCACGCCCGAGTCACCACGATTTGGTCCCGCCGCTATTAACGCCACCGTGCCATGGTTGGCAGCCGTCGTGGTGTTGTTGCTATTGGTGGTGGTCCGTCTCGCTGCCCTTCCCGAGATGCAGCACCAGGTTCGCGGAGCTAGCCGTTGTGCTCATGGCGGCTCCTTTTTGCAGCTCCAGTCGCTGCCCCCAGCCTTGCGCCCGCTCGTGCGCGCGTACCTCCTGGGATATGCTTCTGCCGTGGCACCGCGCCTTTTGAAATTGCTTGTCCAGCGTCTCTCGAGGCCAAGGACGACTGGCTCCAAATTCCTTCCCGACGAGCGCCATCGTCGAAACTTTGTCATATCAGCTCTCGCCACCCTCCGCACTGGATGCGAGCTGCAGCGGTTCCCCACGTTTTGCGCCCTCCTCGTCGGAGGGTCTACTTTGCTACAGGTCCGTCATCCACTTTTCGCCGCCCCCTTTTCTCTTCATCTGGCTTCCTAACTTTTTGTAATTTCTACATTGCCTCTATCCGGCTCGTCGGCTTTGTTCACACTTTTCTCTTGTTCCCCTGCTCTTGCCTCTGGCCACCCTCGCTTGAATCGGAACCCTTACCCGCCCCTATCAGCCTGCATGTCGGCCTTGGATTCATACACTGTGGCTCTGTAGTGTAACATCCACGCAGCTGCTCGTGACGTCCTCTATACCTCTCCGTGCTTCAGGTGCTTGAGCAATCGTCACAATGCAGCTAAGCTTCTGTAACTGACTTGCACGGGCCCGGTCCTCAGGAACCTATAAGGAGAATTGTAGCTCGCGTCGCTGCAACGAGGTTCGGCGATGCTGCTCGTTTGAGGTGCGGCGAGACAACGACCCTCTGCGCCTCCGTGAATCTTACTGAGAGGGGGCTACTGACCGTTTCGCCTAGGCTCGCGCGATGGCTGGCATCCTTCATTGCGTCCTGGTTAAGTCTGCGACTGCTACAGTCTAAGCCGTCCCGAGGTTCACACCATGCAAAGCCATCCCATGACGCTGAGGCGCAGGAAATGGTCGCTGGCAGGACGCTGGACCTTACCCTCTTCGCGGCCACGCAGGCAGTCGATGTCATTGTTGGCGAGCTGTGGTCGCGACGTAGGGCTCGTCGGACGGCTGCCCAGAGATGGACCGAGGTTCGTGGGCTCTGTCGGTCCAGTCGCAAGACTACCCACAACGCTAATTGCTTCCTTTAGGTTGAGCAATTCGCCTCCCAAATGATTGATCCTCTCTGCTTCGTCGTCTCCTGCGGCCTCATCATGTGGGCGTGGTTCTACGCCCCAGACAGCCTTCCTGGGGGATACAACAAGTGGATCGCGTCCGCGGCTCAGGTCGACGTGCGACTGCTGGAGGCTTTGCGCCGATGTAGGAACGGAGAGCTGCAGTACTCCAAGGAGACGGGTCAGGCACCTCTTCTCGGGTCCATGTGCAGTGACTACGGCATCCCCTACGAATGCGGCGATCCCGTCAAGGCGATCCCGTTCCCGTGCGCCATCGTTCACATGGGCAGAGGCCCGTCTTGCGAATACCATGCCTGGTGTCGCTTCTGGCAATCATGGAAATGGTCCATGTGCACCTATGTTCCCTTGGCGTTGGCTCTTCAGCTGCGCAAGCCCACCAGCCGGAGTCTCTTGGTCGCCCTCAAATCGGCTTCTCGCTCCTCTACATTTCTCGCCGCCTTCATCACTCTCTTTTACTATGGCGTCTGTCTCGGTCGCACCCGCATCGGCCCGCACCTTGTTGGCACCGACATCCCGAGCCGGAACCGCATCGACGGAGGTCTCTGCGTCGGAGCCGGCTGCTTCCTCTGCGGCTGGAGCGTGCTCATCGAGACGGCAGCCCGCCGCAAGGACATGGCCTTGTTTGTGACGCCTCGCGCCATGGCAACCCTGCTGCCGCGGCGGTACTCGGCCGACAAGCAGTGGCGCGAGACGCTGGTGTTTGCGGCTAGCACGGCGGTGGTGTTTACCTGCGTGCTGGAGAATCCCAAGCGGGTCAGGGGCATGATGGGCGGCATCCTCAGCCTGATCACTCGCCGGTAGGGCGGACTGAGTTCTACTCTACAGGCCTCGCATGCTCTGCCATCCATTTACATGCCAGACAGCAATTCATTAAGGGGATTGATGTATATTACGAATTGAAGCGGTTGTTCTTTTCTGTGTCGCCGACAGACACGGGCGCCTATGGAAGGCTGATCCTACACTGGAATGTTTGTACAGTAGGATCATCCGCGTGCTGACGCCACAGATCGCTGTTCATGCAAGAAACGATGATCTCGGTCAAGTATCACTCGGAAAGACGCGAGTTTCCTTTGTAGATAGTTGCCAAGGTCTAAATCTATGTGCGCCACAGACCCGGACGACTCATTCACGCTCACATTCACATCCACTCGCACTCCCCCCTTCAGGTCTTCCACCACGAACACACGCCGAGGACAAACATGCACGCCAAGATGTCAGCCCTGACCGTCGTGAAGATCTGGCCGTACTTGAGGCCGACGGTGACATAGCCGCGGAGCGGCTCGGGGAGGAAGCCGATGACGGTCCAGAGCATGCCCGCCGGCGGGCGGCGGCCCTTGTCGAGGAAGAAGCGCGAGGAGAGGAGCAGGGCCTCGCCGGTGGCAAAGATCCAGAAGAAGATGCGCTTGCGGTGCTCGTTGGCGTCGTCGGCGGGCGTGTGCTGCGCGTGGGCGAGCGAGGCGTGCTCGCGCTCGGCGCGCGTGCCCGCGAAGGGGGTCAGGAGAGCGACGTAGAGGCCCAGGCCGAGGGCCAGGAGGGCGTGGAGGAGGCGGAACATGTACGTGTAGCCGTCTGGGCGGGCTGGTTGCTGCTGCTGCTGCTGTTGTTGTTGAAACTGGCCCAGGGAGGGCATGCCCGGGAAGGGAGACGCCGCCGACGGTGACGAGCCGGAGCCGGGCGCGAAGCCGCCCATGAGCTGGGACATCATCTGAATGAGCTGGTCCTCGCCATCTGCGGCCCCCGGCCCGGGCGCGGCGAACCCAGGGCCAAGGCCGGGACCGGGGCTGCCTCTGGGGCCGGGGCCGGGACGGTCGAAGCCGAGCATCATCTGCCGCAGCTGTGCGTCCGAGACAGCCTGCTCCGAGCCTGGCACCGGCGACGGCGAGGCATTCTTGGGCGCGTAGCAGTGTTCCGAAATATCCACCTCGTCCGGGTCGGCAGCGTCAGGGCGCGGCGGCGCATCGGCAGCAGGCGGCGGCGACGACGACACGAGCGGCGTAGCTTGCTCCGTAGAATCTAGCCCGGCGCAAAAAATAAGCCACGGGCAGCGCTGGGAGAGAAGAACCGAGAATAAACAAAAGGCACGGGCGACGCACCTCCGACGACGCGGCCGCCAATGCCCGTGATCTTGTTGAGCCGCGCAGACCCGCCGGCCTTGATCTTGGCCTCGCGCCGCTCCTTGCGCAGGCGGGCCTGCTCGGCGGCTCGCTGCGCGGCGGCGTCGCTGCTCGACGACGTGGCCGCTGCTGCGTCTTGTGGCTCGGCCATGATGGGGGTTAAAGGCTTCCTCCGCCTGGACGACGAGAAAAGTGGTGGGGGCTGGGAGGTGGTGGTTGTTGGTGGTGTGGTGGTGCTGGTGGCTCGGAATCGCGATGTCGAGAGATGTCCTTCCGCCGACGTGTGTCGTGAGGAGCTACAGTTTGTACACAGTGACACATGATGAATCCACACACGGTACAAGCTCCCTCTACGCGCCTAAGGAACCCTGACTTGGGCGCCTTCATTTCTTTTTTTACCTTTTTCCATGAAATTCAAGATGAAAGGGTTGAGCTGGCTGATCTCGTCAGCTTTGGCATAGCTGCAGGCTGTCGACACTCGTGCACCAAACGAAGGCCCGTCTCATCGTCAATCAGGCAATGCATCCAAGAGCTCCGACAGCTCAGGACAGGCTCACAAGCGACTCCTAATAAATGGCCAGTCGAGACAACACGCTTTCTTGATTTTACTACGAAGTTCCTCCCAATCTACTTCGGTGAGCTATCCCCTTCGAGCATCACCGTCCGCTCTTACACGGCACACCCCAACGCATTCTGCCTGGCATCTCACAAACAGCAAAGATATTGCCTAGCATTTCGCGGTCTATGGAGTCGCCTTACTCATGCTTATCAGCCGCTTCACTCCAACCTGTAATCATGTTAGCATGTCCTTAAGTTTGCCAAGGGGAAACGGTACGCACCATCCAGTTACCGCACTCCTCTGTCTTGTCGCGCTGGATGTCCACCTGGAGCTTCTGGGCAGTAGTATAGTCCCTTGACTGGATCGCTTCGGCCAATTGCGAGAGCTGATCAATGGTAGCTGGTTGCACGAGCTCCTCATTGTTTAAGTGGTCGAACAGGATGTTCAACCGCTTCTGCGAATCCTTCACTTGAGGGGCGAACGTAGCAGCAGCCTTAAACGCGACTCGCTGCATGTCTTGGCTGAGTATGTCCACCATTCGCTGAGCGTTCGCAGGTATGTGTGACCGGTCACCGGGCGGGTGCTTCGCCTTGGGGGGTGGTGCGGCGGCTTTGGGAGGCGGAGGCGTGGGCATTGGACCTCCGCCCATGGGCGGCGGGCCAGCCGGCGGCGGGCCTTGAGGTGGCCCTGCGGGTTGGTTGGGCGGCGCAGCGTAGGGAGACGGGGCGTACTGGCCCTGGGGAGCAGCCTGCGGGGGCGGCGCCCCGTACGGATTGGCGGGAGGCAGTCGGCTGGCTGGCCCTGGCGGAGGAGGCAAAGAGGTGATGCCGGGCTGGCCGGGCTGCTGCTGCGGAGACGGCGCAGGCGCATATCTGTTGGAGGCCGGGGCTCCGGGTGGCGGCGCGTTGTACGGCGAAGCTGTCCTTTGAGCCGCTTGAGCCGCCTGAGACATCTGCGGCCCTGCTGCACCGGCCTGAGGGGGAGGCGGCGCATACTGGCTGGCAGCAGTAGATGACGGCCGTGGCGGTGGTGCTTGGAAGGACTGAGGCGGTCCGGCCAGCGGTGACTGGACGCGCGGTGGAGCAGGCCCTTTAGGAGGCGGCGCGGGCACGCTCGTGGGCTGGCCATATGGGCCAGGCTGAGCAGGCCCAGACGGGCTCTGCTGACCAGGGAAAGGGGAAGTGATGGGCGCGGCGCTCGGTGTGGATCGCCGAGGCACGGCTTTGGTCACGAGCGGGACGTCATTCCAGTTTTCCATCTTCCTTGCCTGAGACGGCGGCGGCTGGGATGGCGTTGTGTTCCTCGGAGGCCCGCCCATCATTGGTGGTGGTGGAACCATGCCGCCCATATACCCAGGTTGAACCGGCGGTTGAAAGCCCCCTTGGGGCTGATACGGGTTCTGGGGCGGCATATATTGCTGCGCCTGGGGAGCAGGTGGATGTTGCGGGTTCGGGGCCGCGTAGGGGTTCGCAGGAGAAGCAACAGGTGGTGGCTGAGCGGGCTGGTAGCCAAACGATGTCTGGGCCCTAGACGCCGCCGGGTTCGATGTTGCCGGCTGTCGTGCGGCGGGTGCTTGAGCAGCTGGCTTTTGCGTGGCCATCCGGACGCGGCTTTTGGCTGTCTCAGCAGCAGGGTAGCTGGATGGCAAGAGCTCGAGATACTTCTGAGCCACTTCCAGCTGCCCATGCCCGGCAAGAATGTCGGCGTATTCCGTGTACTTGTCGTACAACGTCGCCAGCTTCCAGCCCGATTCCTGGCTCTTCTCCGTGTCCTGGAACTTGGTGACGTGTCGGAAGATGGTTACCTTCTCGATGAAGTTCTGCAGCGATCTCGCGTGCACCGAAAAGGTCGAGTCCTCCGACGGCTCCTTCATGCCCGCTTGCTCTGCCTCTTCAAGCTCGGCCACCCATATGTTGATGACCTTTTCAAGCTTCGAGCCGACGAGATAGCAGAAAGACGCGTCTTTCCTCTGGCCCTCCTCGCCGATGCGGTCCCCCAGGGCCTCGCAGAGATCCGGGAACTCGACGGGGTCGGAAAAGGTGCAGAGAACGGCCATGGTTTCCTTCCAGTGACCCAAGTCTGCATTGTAGACGACATCCCAAAGGTTCTTGGCAATGACGGAGCCAAGCAGGCGCATGTAGCTCGGCATGCCTCTTTTCTGCGCCAGATAGGCGGCCTGAACCCTGTCAACAAGCGCTGAGCCACCGCAGTTTGCAATCAAGAATGCGTCTGCTATACGCTCCTCGGCGAGACAGATATCCGTCGCCTTTTCAAAGCTGCCCAGCATCAAGGCTTTCGTAATGTCCTTTTCGACAGACGTGTCGCTGTCGCTGAACAGGTGGAAGGGATTGTCTGTCTTTGCGCCCTTGGTTGCGGCAACGTTGGACAAGAAGTCGTCGTCGTCGCCATCGCCATCGCCATCGCCGCCAGCGAAGAGGTCGGATACACCTTTCTTCGTCTCCTCAGCCTCTCCATCTGTCCTTGCGGCTTCCTCCTTCTCTGCGTCGTCCGCGGGCTCTTTGGGAGCGCCGTTGGCGACCTTGGCGAGCTCTTCCTCCTTGAAGCCGAGGTACTCTACAATCTTTCCGCGCGGATTGTCGCCAACAAGTGTTTCCATCACCTTCCAGTCCGCCCTCTCCTCGTCCGTCTTGGACTGCTGCATCCGTTCTTCGCAGATTGCTTCCAGGTTGCCGGTAGCAAGAGCCTCCTGGAATTTCTCGGTAGCCGAGGAGACGTCGGAATCGGCCGAGAACTGGGAGATGACGACTTTTGAGGTTCTCTTCTGACCAGGTTGAGCAGGAGACGATCTGAAGACGACAATTTTGCCTCCAAAGCCAAATGAGGCGCCAATCGGCCTTTCGAACCAGCTTGGCGCTTTGCTCAAGGACCATGAAGCCCCTTGAGGCTGGGTCTGAGCTGCGCTGAAGAAGTCCTCGCCGTCCAGGTTCTTTCCTGTCGAGTTCTGAGATGTATCCGGGTTGGTATTCTGCAGTGTTTGAATGATGATTTTGCCGTCAAAACTCGCGGTAGCCGAGAGGTTTGGATTGGACGGGTTGAAGCGCGTTTGGAAGGCCCAGTTGGTCATCTCAGGCAGTTCACCGTAGCGCTCTCCCGTCTGAGGATTCCAGACCAAGGTGCGGTTGTCCTTGCCAGACGACAGCAAAAGGTCGCTGTCTTGATGACACCAGGACAAAGATAGAACACCTTGCTCGTGACCCTGTAGAGTCCTTTCTGGGGCGTTTGAATTGCGTAGATCCCATAGCAGGATGACGGGCGTGCTGTCATCAGGGGTGGCGGTCAGGAGCTTGGTCGAGTTGTTCGGGTCCCAAGCGATGGCACTGACGGGTTTCCGACTGTTGTTGAGGGTCAGAGAGGCCTTCTTAGTCTTCAAATCCCACACCGTGACGAAGCCGCCCGTGCCGCCCGTGGCGAGGATGTGCGACACCTTGCGATTCCAAGCCAAGCAATCAATGTCGTCGGAGCGGGCTGCCGTGTTCCCTAATCGGAAAGGGTTCTCGATATCGTTAACGTCGTAGATGAACAGCTCGCCCTTGGCACCCGCGGTAGCCAGGATCTGGGGCTTCAGCGGATTGAACTGCAGGGTTTTGATGGCGCCAATGTGCTTGGTTGTCTGCGAGATGGAAGCGTCCGAAGCTCCCGACTCCAGCTTGGCGGCATCCCACAGCTCCAACGAGCCATTCTCGAGGGCGCCGGCAATGATGCCCTTTGGGTGCTCCGAATCCGAAGGTCCCCATGCAATATCGTAAAACCTGTACACTGTCAGCCGATGTTGTCCTTGCCTGCAGCAGACTGGGCCTAATCGTACTTGGACTCGGTGGTGATGCTGATGACCGGCTGGAGCTCAATGCCTTGCTGCTGGTCGTCGAGGGTCAGGTCCCAGAGCTCCAGCTTGCTCTCGTCGGAGAAGTCGGCGTCTACGGCGCCAGCACGAGTGCCCGTGACGAGGAGAGGCTTTCCCGGGCCCGGCGACCAGGCAAAGGTGGCCGTTCGAGGCACTTCGCGAAGGCGCACCATCGTGGCGGGGGGTTGAGACGAAGGCGATCTAGAATGAGAACCAAGGCGATGTCTCTGGCAATGGCCAATGGCAGGGGTAAAAAGGATTCAGGGCTGCGGATTCAACTGATGCGGATGCACATGGGCGGCTTGGAATTCCAAGGCCCTTGGAGTCTGTTGGCAGAGAGACGCCGCAAAGGTCAATGATATGATGCCAGATTGCAGCCTCCTGTCAGGCTTCCCAGCTCCTGCTTGGTGGGTGGCAGGGGGGACACGTCCGTGCTCCAGGCAAGCTGCCAACAGCGGGGCCCCAGCATGAAGGTCACGTGCATGGCTGCTTGGCGCATCACCTCTCGCGCGGGCAATCTTCAAGTCAAGACTGCGCCAACCAGAAACTTTTGTTGCTGTGAGCTGCAGCGTCGGACGACATCTTTCTCTGATATTTTGGGAAACACCGGCAAGATGGCGGATGCTGCACGGTGGAAGGCCACAGTCTTCGTCGGAGGACTGTCGCAAACAGTGACGAGCAGCCACGTCCTCGACGCCTTCATCCCCTTCGGCGAGATTGTCGATGTGCAACTACCAAAATCGACGGCACGCGACTCGACCGACTCTCACCGTGGCTTCGCATACGTCGAGTTTGAACAGAGCGCAGATGCAGAAGAGGCAATCGACAACATGGACCAGTCCGAGTTCTTTGGCAGAATTCTCAAGGTATCGCAGGCAAAGGCACCCAAGAGTGCCGACGAGGGGCTGGGCAGCAAGAAGGCCATCTGGGAACAGGTAAACTCCAAGGTTGGATATGCTCCTCGCGAGCCGGCCGTTGACACGTTTACAGGAGGGCTGGTTAGCAGAACATGCCGGCGACCAGACTGGCGGGCTGCCGGCGGGCCAAGACCGGCTGATTGAAGACGCAGTGCCGGACCCCATGCAAGGGCTCGAGGGACTTGATGTAGCTGGGCCAAAGCCGGCGTAGAATGTTTTTTTCTGCTTTTCCCTTTTGAGATTCTGCATAGCCATGGTGTTACAGGGGAAACGGGGCAGGAACACGGTCCGGCTCTTCAGAGACCAATGCCGAGTAACAGACACCAAAGAAATGAATTGCGACGGAGTCACGTCCTGGGCTGCCTTTCTTTTCCGACATGTACAACACTTCAAAGTCCACGAAGAGTCTAAGTCTTCCCAGGTGTGCCTTGGGTATGGTGGACGATGTTAATGCTCCTCTCGGCCAGCGGCTCCTTGCCTGGACAGTCGAAGGTTCTTGTCCACCACAAATTTCCTTACGACCGAGTAGCCGGCAGCGAAGACAGCGAAGCCGACGACGACGGCTGGCACGCAGTCAGTTCTGAGCTGCCTTTTCTCAAGCTGGACGGGGCTCATTTACCGAGGGGTATCAATTCGGCCGGGATCTGCTTGAGCTTGCGCAATCGTTGGGAGATAGTGTGGCCTTTCAAAAAAACGTCAGCATCGGCTCCCAGAGTGGCTTCTCCTGCAAAGGTGGCTTCCAATCAAACTCGTCAGCACATACCGGCTTGGTCTTCTTTCTGTGCAGCGCAATGTGTTAGCTCCGTCTTGTCAGATTTACCATTTCTTTGCTTACGGGAACCGGTCGCATCATCCGGGTCGACGGACGGAACATGGCCCGAGTCGACGGAGCGAACATCATGCGAGCCGTCGGCTGCAGCATCCTCAGGGTGGCCGTGGAGCGCATTGTGGGAGAGCGGAGAGGGTCAGGCAAGGGTGCTTGGCAAAGGCGGCGATGCGATTGGGAGTCGTAGCTCGTTGGAGGAGGTGTTTGGAGGCCGAAGCTCTCATGGCGCCGTCGCCTCATCGGCCCACTAGGCGTGGGGTGGGTACCCGGCTTATATAATTGGTCCGTCGGCCTCAGGCATACACATTCTACGTACCGCCATGCCCAGAACAGGTGATCCGAGCTACAGCCTGCGTTTACGGTTCGTCAACGATTCAACCTCACCTCCTCGCGCGCGCTCCCGTCGACGACCAACTCCGCAACCCGCTCCCCGAACGCGCTCGAGATCCTGCAAGATGGCTGAAGAGGACCCGCAAGAGCTTGTTTCCAAGCCCTTCAAGTTTGTGACTGGTACGCTCCTTGATGCCTCCCCAAAAATCACCCGATCGCGACCCGAGGCTAACAGCACCGCAGCCGGTAAGCCCGCCTTCAATCAATGAACCACTGTACAGCGACGCGAACAACCCAATCGCGCCGACGATTCGCCTCAGAGACTGAGCCAGCGTCACACAGGCACCGATGCCCGCTTTCCGAACATGAACCAGACCAAGCACTGCTGGCAGAACTATGTCGACTACCACAAGTGCATCCTCGCCAAGGGAGAGGACTTTGCGCCCTGCCGCCAGGTACGACGACAGGCCGAAGGAGGAGATTCAGGCTCGATATCTGTTATGGGCGCTAATAGCCCCATAGTTCTGGCTCGCATACCGATCCCTGTGCCCCTCGGGATGGTCCAGCCGATGGGACGAACAGCGAGGTAGAGTCGACCGACCTTGCACGTCAATTGGCGCTAACCCTCCATGATAGAAGCCGGAAACTTTCCCGTGAAACTGGACGCTTGAACGGCTGGTCTTGGGGACTGCGTCATATTCCAAGGTGCACGGGGATAGGTATAGACAACAAGGACGTCAACTCAGCTGCCTGCCATTGTGTTACGCGCATGTCAGTAATCAATCGCTGTAGGAGAATTGGAAGTAGAACGACTTTCAAATTCTTGACATCGTACTCTTGTATAAATACAATGCTTGCGTGTGGCTTGCGATTCCCGCAAATTGGAGATCGCCGGTATCATAGACCCAGAAACAAGACGCGCTCCCTTGCCAAACCAGACGCCATATGCACAAATTCTGCCCACAGTAGAGTAATGAGACTCAAGTGTTCTCATGACCACTTCCTCTGCACCAAGTTCCGTCATGCCTGCGCCTGTGGACCAGCATCCTCGTCTTCCGAGCTCATAAACTCGTCATCCTCGTCAAACCCGAAAAACGTCCTGGGCTTCCCCGTTGTGGCCTTGTCTGGTTCGCGTGAGGGCGAGGATTCTTTGGAACTTGACTTCTCTTCGTCAGACGCATTTGAACTGTGGCTTTGTTCGGTAGATGTAGAGCCGTTGGAGGTGCTGAGATTGTCTCTGTAGTTGCCGGACTTCATTGCGGCCAAAACGGCATCACGCGTTTTTTCGTTGCTTTCCTCTTTGGCCTCGACCCATTTGCCGTCAACTCGGCCTTTGCTGCCTGATCGTATTTCGGCTTCCTTTTTCTCAGACGCTTGAACAATCTGTTCCCAGCGCTGTCGACGTTTTGCTTTCTCCTTCTGCTCCATGTCTGGTTTGATGGCTAGGTATTCTGCTAAGGCTTTTGCTTCGTTCACCGTACGTAGTCGTCGTCCGTCAAGGTTACGGCTTGAGCCGTGATCATCTTGATTTCGGTTCTTTCGTGACGACATGCGACCACCAGCAGCACGTAGCTGGGAACCGAATCCACCTTTGCCACCGCATAGCGGGACGGCAAGCCGTAGCGAGAGAAACTCATCGTCGCTTGTTGAGAGATATGATGACACGGGCACCTCTGACTGCTCTGGCAGCTGCCTGTTGGAGATGGTCGTCAGGACGAGCCTGGAGTCGGTGGACGGAAGTCTTTCGTAGAGTTCCTCGCGGAGTTGCGTGACGGTAGTCGTGGGTGAGACTGGCAAGACAAGGGTTGACGGCAGCCCGAGGCCACCAAAGGTGGCAATGAGAACGTTGAGATTTTGAGGCGTCATTGTTCTTGTGAGCTCGGATGGACGTCTTCGTCGTAACGCGTGGATTCACGGACTGATGAAGTGAGGTTGTTTGGACAGAGTTGGTAGCGAAGTCTGAATGACGGACTGCCTGGCTTAGTAGTCGAAGGTGGGGCTGAAGAAACCCAGCCTCACGTGCCAGACTGCGTGGCTGGAGATGTTGCACGTGACTTCCTCTGCGCCGCCCACAGGACAGCACACAAGCCACCCCACTTCGCTAGGTGATTTTCTCGTAGGGTTTCCGCCCACAAAAGTTACCCATTTTGAGAACTGGCACGCCGTCCGCCAAAACTGCCATCTTCAACATCGACCACAGCAGCCGAACCGCGACGATGTTGATTCCCAAGGCTGATCGCAAGAAGATCCACGAGGTACTTGGACGGCGGCGGGCAGATTTTGGCTTGGGTGACTGACAAATGCCAGTACCTCTTCCGCGAGGGCGTGCTCGTGGCCCAGAAGGACTTCAACCTCCCCAAGCACCCCGACATCGACACCAAGAACCTCTTCGTCATCAAGGCCTGCCAGTCTCTCAACTCTCGGGGCTATGTCAAGACTCAGTTCTCGTGGCAATACTACTACTACACGCTGACCCCCGAGGGTCTCGACTACCTCCGCGAATGGCTTCACCTCCCCGCCGAGATCGTTCCTGCCACCCACATCAAGCAGCAGCGGTCGCACGCCCCTCCCCGTGGCATGCTCGGCGAGGGCGAGCGTGAGCGCAGGCCGTTTGGCCGTGGCCGTGGCGACCGCGGCGACCGCGAGGGCGGATACCGAAGACGGGATGCTGGCGATGGCAAGGAGGGCGGTGCTCCGGGCGAGTTTGCTCCTCAATTGTGAGAATACCCCGGTCTAGGTCATGCGTCAGACTCGCAAGGCACGGCGATGCTAACCAGATGTTCACAGCCGTGGTGGCTTTGGCCGTGCTCGCGGAGCTCCCCCCTCATAAGCGGCACGGTTTTCCTGGGTTATCACAATCGAGATGCATGGCGAAAAAGGCACCGACATGTACTCTTACAAACGGATGGCAATTCTTTCCATGAGAACCGCTCGTGAGACCGGCTGAGTGGGGATCATGGCGGGAGTTCTGGAGGTTAGATCCTCGGAAATGATTTGCATTAGGGTCAATGTTTATCATGGAGTCTACTTGCTCGACAACACGTGAGGCTGTCAACTTCGGTAACGGGGGCTACTGCCCAACGTCCAGCGAAGTTGAATGGCGGGTTTCTCGGTCACATTTAGCCATGCGGTCAGCCGAGGTGACGATTACTTGATCAACTGGGCAATTCGCGTGCACGAGTCTGTTCGCCTCGGATGGGTGCGGCGATAAGCAAGTGATTGTTTAGCATTGGCAGAAGGGCTTGCTTGACGTTCTTGACGGGTAGTCATGAGTTAGAGTGTTTCTGAGCTTTACACGTCTGCCCTGGATGCTTCGCATCGCCATTCGTAGTTGAGGACAGAGGAGACTCGGCCGCCAGGAAGCTTGCTTTTGCCATTAATCCAGGGTGGGGCGAGGCGAGATCTTGCTACTGCCATGCCGTTGGTGCTGCGAATAGAGCAGACCAGGGTCACAGCAGTTACATGTACATTGACGGAGGAATACGCCTCAGCGGTAATTATTGCGGCATGATTTTTGAAAGAGCGGTGTCCCATCAGGGAACGCCGCGGGGAGCGTTCCGGAAGCGGAGCTGTCGGGGAAAGGGGAAAGGGGTCCGGTCTTACTCTGTACAACGCTCCGTTGAATCCCAGCACGCACACGCATCGACTCACTTCGAACAAGACGAGGCAAGTAAGCCCGGACTAATCATGGATGGAAAGAGGGTTGCGCGGCGAGGAGCCTTGGAAATGTATACCTCCAGTACTGTTTGTACGCAAATTGCCGCTGCAAAGGTACCGCCGCCGCTGCCCGGCGCTCGCTCGAGTTGGGCCCCGCCAAGCAACTCGTGGGAACCCCTCGCATGGAATGAAGGGGAGTCGAGTGATGTCGGGAAAGGTACGGACGAATGGATTTCATTGTTGTGTGACGAGGCTCTAGAGTCTGTCGGCCACTGACAGAGCCATACTCCATAGAATACCTTGCGGCTTCCGAACGGCCAGCTCGTTCCCCCCGGTTGAGACAAGCGGACACTCATACTTGGTGTGTTCGAATGTTGCATCCACGAGACCGGGCCGGCGGGGCAGAATGCTGTCGCGAGCCCAAGAAGGCCCCATACTTGGAGCGTCGATGCATGCAGATCCGCTCTGCGGTCCGGTAGAAATATCGCCCCTCTCCTCAGAGCTCCAAGCCTCGGCAGTGGAGAGCTATTGTCCAGGTAAGCGCCCCTACCTCCTCTCTCCCCCCCTTCTCTCATCCCAGTATCTGTGTCTCTTCGGGTGAGTTGGATTGCTGACCTTGACTTGCCTCAAATCAGGTTTTGAACGCTTCCATCATCCTTGATTCTCGCACCGCCAGCTCTACTGCTAGAAAGACTAGACGAGCATTCCGAAATAAACGACGGCAAGAGACGACAAGTAATAAGACTCGATAGACAAAATGGCGTCCCTTCCCAAGGAAATGAAGGCTCTCCGGTGCGTTGTCTGGTCTCTTATACGTCTGAGGTTGAGCCATCAGGGTTCGCCAACTGCCGACGAATGAAACCTCTTGGCTCGTCATTAACCGTGCCCTTCTCCTCGCAGATATGAGAAGCCAGAGGATTGGTCCATCGTCAAGGTTCCGCTACCGGAGCTGCGCGATAATGACGTCTTGGTGCAGGTCAAGGCCTGCGGCGTCTGTGGTACCGGTACGTGCAACCAAGGCATTGTGACAAGCTTGATGGACTGACACGGCGAGTCTCGCAGATTTGGTATGTCGTCTTGTCTCGGACGGCCGAGTTCCTCTTGGTTAACGAAGTTGGGGGGGAGTAACAGCACATCCACGAGGGCGAATTCATTGCCAAGTTCCCCCTGATCCCGGGCCATGAGACGGTCGGGCTGATCGCCGCCGTTGGCAAGGTAAGCTCGGTTGGCTCAAGGCTCGAGACGGTCGATGCTAACCCCACGGGATAGGACGTCAAGGCCTTCAAGGTTGGCGACCGTGTCGCCGCCGACAACAGCGAGCTTTGCAACGAGTGCTTCTACTGCCGCCGTGGCCAGCCCCTGCTATGCGAGAACGTACGTCGTCGCACCCCCCGAGCTGCAAGGCCGCCCTCTCTGACGGCGACCAGTTCAATGCCCATGGCGTCACCATGAACGGAGGTTTCGCCGAGTACTGCGCCTATCCCGCCGCAAAGGTCTTCAAGTTCCAGAACCTGGATTGGGTTGATGCCACGCTGCTCGAGCCCGCATCCTGCGCCTGCCACGGCCTCGAGAAGATCCGGCCCAAGCTGGGCTCCCACGTCCTCATGTTTGGGGCTGGCCCTACTGGTCTTGTAAGTCGTCGGATTGCACCGCAAATTTTGACGAGAGATTGCCTCTGATGCCCCTCCGTGTTCGCAAGATGCTCGCCCAGTTGCTGCGACAAAACGGCGGCTGCCAGGTCACCATTGCCGCCCCCAAGGGCCTCAAGATGGAGCTGGCCAAGAGCCTCGACGCGGCCGACACCTACATCGAGCTCTCGCGCGAGAAGCCCGATGCGCAGTTTGCCCAGCTCAAGAAGGACAACCCGTACGGCTTCGACATTGGTCCGTTGCCCGTAGCGCCCTACTCGTGCTGCTGGTTGTATGCTAAATGTCGACAGTCGTCGAGGCCACGGGCTCCGTCAAGATCCTTGAGGATGCCATCAACTACGTCCGTCGCGGCGGCACCCTGGTCGTCTACGGGTAAGCTCGGGTCGTAGACAAACTGTGGCACAGAGGCTGACGAATGGTGTGCGCAGCGTATACGCCAGCTCCGCCAAGGTGTCGTGGCCCCCGGCCAAGATCTTTGGCGACGAGATTACCATTATTGGCTCCTTCTCCGAGACATACATGTTCCGTACGTATTTCGCTCGCAGACGAGGCTGCTAAGACCAGGGCTCCAAGACTGACACATGTTGGTGCAGCTGCCACCATCGATTACCTCGATTCTGGCAAGGTCAAGACCAAGGGCATCGTCAACAAGACATTCAAGCTCGAGGATTTCGGCAAGGCGCTCCAGAGCATCAAGGACAAGAGCGCCATCAAGGCCGCCATTGTTTTCGACTAGATGGAGGGGACAGGGGTCGGGTAGACTTTGTCTGTCTGGGCAGGCAGGATGGGAAAGCCTATGGAAGATTATTACTACGTAGTAGACTTGGATTTGACGAAATGGACGAGAGGCAAGCAATATGCTCCGACTTATTGTCCCTGCCTCTCCCACATGCGGTCGGCGTCTACGTGGCCGATACAGTGCAACGTCAGCATGTGCTGGCTTGTCTGAAGCTGGAGAGAGCACGCCAGGCTTATGAATCGGGACCGACGAGGCAAGAAGCGACAGGCCCACAATTACGGCGCAAGGGAGCTCGACTCAGGAGCAGCATCACGAGCGAGTCGTGCTTGGCAAGGTAGGCACAGCAACGAGCCCAATCAGGCCACGGGAGTTGGCGCAGTCAAGGTCGTTTAGGGGTTTGCAGGCACCCATGTATTTCCGGGAGAGCAACGGCTATGCAGATGGTAGAAACGGCTATGCAGATGGCAGATTCATGACGGGCGGGCGTGCTTGCTGTGGGATGACGCCGGAGGCTGCCATGGGGCGACGAGGCACAGCCCACAAAGAGGGATGAGGGGCTTGGCAGCCAGCAGGGTCTCGTCTGTGTGCACAAACTGCCTCTCTTCTTCTGCATGTCCTTGGAGGGCGCTGCGGAGGCCATCACCGACGCTTGGTGGCCCGTCCGCGCACGAGAGCAGCGTATTTCCGCAGAGCAAAGCCGGCGAGCTGTATGGGGTAGTCCTCCACCAATATACAAGAGCGCATAGACGTGACAAAATACAGAGTCATGCGTTGGGGGCTGGGATGAGATGATGAGTAAAAATGGATGCGCGGTGAAGAGACAATACCCACGTCCACTGAGACTCGGTGGCGTCGCCCGAGAATCCGCGCGCTGGTTGCCGTGTTCCCCCGTCCATTTCCATCCATCCTCCCGCACCAAACAGCCGCCTCGCCTTCTTGTCGTCGCCCGTTTCTGGCTGTCGCGTGCCACAGGGGGCGCAATCAAGCCCTCTCACAGACGACTGCCAAGCGAGTCAGCGCCGAGATTGCTTGATCGCCCGCTTATTGCGTCTTTCCTTGGTGCCCGCTACCAACTTGAAGCTCGCCCAGCTCCGATGCACTCGCCCAAACGCAGCTCTGGATTGCACCTCGGCGCAGCCTCTCCAGCCCCGTGTGCCCCCCAACCCCGTGTGTCGTTCCACTCGGCACGCGGCCGTGGCGGCGAGGCCTAAACGCTGCTGCTTGCCTGCCTTACCGTCTTCGCCCAACGCCCGCTGCTCAGATGAAGCTTCCGCCTTTGGCCACAGAAGGAGCGTCCGACCGCCCGCCCCTCTGATCGGCGGAAATGGCTTCCCCGACTCCTCGCAACGCGACCCATGAGCAACACGATCTCGTCACCCGCATCCACAACGATGCTCTCCTGACGCCCACGACGCTCCTGGGACGAGTCGAGATTTCCAACCAAGACGCCCACACCGACTCCGGCTCCTCCGAATCCGACATCCAGCCCTCCAGGTCGAGCGACGTTCGGTCTCGGCACGCACGATCAATGAGTAACCCGTTCCCCTCGCTCTTCAACACCAAGAAGAAGCGCCGCGACTCTGTCGGCCGTGCTCCGCCCCCCAGCTTCGAGCCCGAGTGCGAACAAGGCCCCATGGCCGGGCACAGCCCCCGAAGGCACACAAGAGGAGGTATGTCGGGAAGCAACGACTTTTCGACCGGTCACTGCATGACCTGTGCCTCGCTCGTCAAGTGGCCCAAGGAGCTCAAGGTGTTCAAATGCACAATCTGCTCCACCATCAACGATCTTGTCCCGGTGGAAAGCGAGAGCTACAAGAGCAGCAGACCCTCGAGTCGGAGGCGTGACGCAGGCAGGGACACCAGTGGCAGAGGTACGATGCCCACACTCCCCTCCACGAACCGGAATCTCATTTCTTTCTCCAGGCCAGTCAATTTCCATTCAGCACTCGAAATGGCTCATCAGACAGTGTCTCCGTTCCTTTCTCGTCCGGAGGCTCTGCGCCCGGTCCCAACCGGACTCCGAAGCTCGTTCAGACCATCCGTCTCGTCCGCCCTACGGTGCTCCGCTACGCCCAACTGCGGATGGCCGGGGATATGGCAGGTCTGCATGGGATGAAAGCGGGCATCAGACAAGCGATGGTCCACCGGCATACGAACCAAGGTACGTGTTCGATGAAGAGCCAACATTACGTCCACATCCACCGCGCCCCGGCAACATGAATTCGAGGTCTTATTCATCACCACACTCCGAAAGGCCTTTGCTGCAACCACCCGCTCCAAGAGTCCAGACAAGTCCTCGTCGCGGAGATCCGTCGGCGGGCCGCAAGGACGAATACAAAAAGATATTTAAGCCATTGGCAGATTACATTGTCGCCTGCTTCGGTTCCTTTACTTGTGTCAACTCCTCGTTCATGGCCTCCTCCCGCCAGCCCACGCGCCACGGGGGCGACTTCTCGGTCCGGCGGAAGCCTTTGCCCTCTCGCGAGCCTCCGAAAGCTGTCGAGACTCCGCGAGGAGGTCCGCAAGGGGACGATTTCCTCTCCGAGTTGGACCCCAAGATGCTGCTTCTCGGCGACTTCGCCGAAAATGGCACGTGGTGGACGGGCGGACAAGATGGCGCGTCGGCGACAACCGCCCCTTCGGCATATCGAGTTGAGAGCGCTGGCAAAGTCTCTACCTCACCCAAGTCGCCTCATCTGAATTGGCAAGAATTGAGTGATTGGTACTCGTCCGTCATCAATGCCGCGGAGGGGTGGTTCGAGATGTATGACGAGGTCTCCCGGGATCCCGACTTTGTGCGGCCAGCCGAGAAAGATCTCGAGACGCTGGAAGGAGAATTGCTTCGGGCGCAAACCCAGCTGCAGCGGGTCTTGCTCAAGGCTACGGAGCAGCTGCTCAAGAGGCCCGGGCGACCACTCGCAGCCCCCGTCCATCTTCGGTTTCTCCTGGTCATACTGGACAACCCGCTCTTGCACCCGGACCTTGCGACTTTCGAGGGATTGATGCAACCCGAGTCTGGGAGTGCCCCCACATGGAGGGACTCGTCTCCCGAGAAATCATCGAGGCCAAGGACAGGACTTTTGTCTGGGCAGCACTCGGGCATCATCAAGCGTGTTGTCGGCCTCTTGTCCAACTCATCAACAGAATGCCACAACCATCTGATAAGCTGGCTCGCAAAGCTCCACACCGCGCGTTTTGTCCGAGCAAAGGATCTAGTTTCCGGGTTTCTAACTTACCGCCTGCTGCGACAAAGCGTAAAGACACGTCCTGCCCGCGTGGACATTACTGCCGGCCTGATACCGGAGATGCAAGTTGGCAGGTCTGTCGGAGCCTATCTCCACGACGAAATCGGGTCAGGCTCGTCCAAGAAGCAGAAAGAGTCGGAGAAGAAGATCGCATATGCCGACGACTGGCAAATCAAGGCCGCGGCGCGTGTCCTGGCCCTGCTGTTCGCGGCCAACAACCTCCAGAGCTTGCGGCACGGAGATGGCGTGCTGCCAAACTCGGGCGAAGTACAGACTGCCGCTGTCCGCGACGGCGTCCACGCGAACGGCCAGCTTCTACCAACCAGCGACTTTTATAACCTTGTTCTTGACAATGCCGATTTGGTGGGCGATTTCGAGTCCTGGGAATCAAAGAGGGCCAAGTTTTGTTTCTGCCAGTACCCGTTTCTCTTGAGCATCTGGGCCAAGACCAAGATCCTCGAGTATGACGCTCGGCGACAGATGCAGAACAAAGCACGCGATGCTTTCTTTGACAGCATCATGACTCGGAGGAACATCAAGCAGTACTTGGCCCTCGATGTCCGTCGTGACTGTTTGGTAGACGACAGCTTGAAGGCCGTTAGCGAGGTCATCGGGAGCGGCAGCGAAGACGTGAAAAAGGCACTGCGGATAACCTTTAGAGGAGAGGAAGGAATCGATGGGGGAGGCTTGCGGAAGGAATGGTTCTTACTCCTTGTCCGGGAGGTCTTCAACCCTGATCACGGTTCGTCCAGTGCCCCGAGCTACTCCTAGGCGTATGTACTTACTGACCTTGGCAACAGGCATGTTCCTGTACGACGAAGATTCTCAGTACTGTTACTTTAACCCAAACTCATTCGAGACCTCGGACCAGTTCTTCCTCGTGGGAGTCGTCATGGGCTTGGCCATCTACAACTCAACCATCCTGGACGTTGCTCTCCCGCCTTTTGCATTCCGGAAGCTTCTAGCATCGGCTCCTACTCATGGCCAAGGGCCGTCTGCGCATCCCAGACCTACGATGAAATACTCGTTGGATGACTTGGCCGAGTACAAACCACGCCTAGCGCGAGGACTGAGACAGCTACTCGAGTACGATGGGGATGTGGAGCCTACATTCTCCTTGGACTTCATGGTTGACATGGAGAGGTACGGCACCACGGTCCAAGTGCCGCTCTGTCCTGGAGGTGAGCGAAAGCCGGTGACTAACAGCAATCGACGAGAATACGTCGATCTCTACGTTCGCCATGTTCTCGACACAGCCGTTGCAAGACAGTATGAGCCATTCAAAAGGGGATTTTACACCGTGTGCGGCGGGAACGCCTTTTCGCTCTTCCGGCCCGAGGAAATCGAGCTCCTGGTCCGTGGCTCCGACGCACCACTTGACATTGAGGCTCTCAGAGCCGTTGCCGAGTATGACAACTGGGGTAGCCGAACGCCAGATGGAACGGAAGCCATCGTTGGCTGGTTCTGGGAGACTTTCCAGAGCGCAGCGCCAGCAGACCAGCGTAGGATGCTTTTGTTCATCACTGGCAGCGACCGAATTCCTGCCATGGGCGCCGCCATGCTGACAATCAAGATATCCTGTCTCGGTGAAGACTGCGGCCGGTTCCCGATTGCGAGGACTTGCTTCAACTTGCTGTCGCTGTGGCGGTATGCATCGAAGGAGAGGCTCGAGGGCATGCTGTGGAGGGCAGTGCGTGAGAGCGAGGGGTTTGGCTTAAAGTAGCGCATCGCTGTTAACGAGTATGAGGCGCGGCATAGCTTGGGAGTTAATTAATTAGGGCCAACGGGACTATTATTAAGGTTACTATGCCTGATGGTATGCAGGACTCAATTGCAAGGTCATAGGCGCGACACAGCAAGTGTGGTCATGGCCTTGTCATGTCGGTTCTGGCATGATTTACTCTCGCGCTTTAATGACATAACACAAGACGAAGTCGGCGACGGATTCTTGCCAACTGCAGGTTCATCAATGCATGTCTGCAACCATCATCGCGTTCCACCCAGTGTCATAACTCCCGGGGGATGCCACGCATATTATACAAGGCTCGCCCCCTCTCTAAGCATCTTCTTCCTCTCCCATGCCGCCCGCCGCCCGGGCTCTCTTCAACATCTCTTGCTCCTTCTTCATCTCTGCTCTCAGCTGGCGCATCTGCTCACGGTCCACGGCCGCCTGCTTCTTGTGAGCCTCAATGGCCTGCAGCTCGGCGATGTCCTCCTTGGTGGTTGGGAGCGCCTGGGCACGAGTCTCGGCGATGAAGAACTGCAGAATCTCGGTCGACATTCGCTTCGTCATGTCGATTTGCACGATGCGCTCGTCCGGGCCTGCTGGCAGCGCCTTGGAGAGGTTGGTGCGGGAGGAGGGCGGTTGGATAGCTTGAGGCGGCGCGGCGTCGTCGGACAAGGGTTTGGCATTGTCGCGCATGTAGATGGTCATGACGGGACGGTTTTGGTTTTGGTCGTGCCGGTTGATAATCATGGGGATGGCTGGGTTGTGGAACTTGAGCCGGGGGAGGCATTCGCGCCAGAATTTCCTGCATCGAGCGCCGTCAGTCGGGCTAGGAGGCGAGTGTCGAGGGGTTTGGGTCGAAGTGAGACGCACCTGGGCCCCATATGACCGCCATTGAACTTGAGCGCAAAGTCCATGTGTATCCTCGTCACTTCGGGAGGGAGGATTGCCGCACCGGGCCCGCATCGCAAGTTGATGAGCTACAAGGATCCATGGTGAGAGGAAAGCTCGACGAGAAGGGGGAGGGAGAAGGGGGAGCCTTTACCCTCTAGTAAACAGCATGTCAGCGTTGAAGACGTCGGTGTGTTGCGCGCGGGGCAGTATTTACCTCCCGGAGGAGATTTAATCGCTCTCCTAACGACCTCATCTTGCCGGTCGGATGTCGCGCAGCAGCAGATAGGTCAAGCTTGCGACCTGGGAGAGAAGCCTTGGTATAAGACCGGAAAATACACCCAGACTTTCTTTGCGCAGGCTTGGTAGCGCCCGGACCGGCTAATGATCCGCGGGTGGGAACCATGACATCAAGCTCGCTTGGGATTTTTTTTCTTCCTGCGCGCTCCAAGTGAATAGCCTCACTTGGCTCATCGGCAATTGGCGACAAGGAGCAGACCACGATGCACCGGGCGGCGTCGACGCGATGGCTCAACAGAGCCTTGCGGATAGGCGAGGCAGCACCTCCTGCTGGGGTCCCAGTATACCTGTGCCCCAGCCTCGGCCCTCATAGTAGCAATGCCTCACGACATCGGCTGGAGGTCCCCCGAACCGCGCACGGGTGGGCAAGCCGTACGCAGGCAGCTCCCAGCAGACACGCGCACATACCACCGCCAGCCGAAGCACCCACAGCTTCGCCTCGGAAATTGCCCATGATGTGTACCGGCTGCGGCGCCTTCACGCAGACGAGCGACCCTCAACAGCTCGGCTACTTTGACTCGGGAAGCAGGCGGATCCGGAACTGGCTGAGCCCGCCGACGCACGAGAAGAAGGACTCGGCGTCCGACCAAGATAAGCTTGTCAATGACGCGCTGCGGTCTTTGGAAAGCGGCAAGATTGAGGCGCTTGGGCTGAGCCCCGCCGCCATGGGAACGGACGAAGAATCCCAGACAAAGGCCACGGCTGGTACGAATTGAGGCTTTGTTTGTGTCTGACACCAAGACTAACCGATGGCAGTTCTCGAAGCCGCCAAGCCTCCTGTATGCGGCCGATGCCACAACCTGCAGCACTACAGCACCAAGAGCGAAACGGCGAAAATGGCAATGCACCACCCGACCGTTGAGTCTTTGCGGGCAACGATCGAAGAGTCGCCCCACTCAATAAACCACATCATCCATGTCATCGACGCCGCCGATTTTCCAATGTCGCTGATCCCGCGCCTTCATGTCTTGCTCGGTAACATTCGACTGCGGTCACAAAACCGGCGTTCCAAATCACTAGGGATACTGAATGGTCGCAAGACGGACATGTCCTTTATCATAACGAGGAGTGACTTGTTGGGCCCCACCAAGGAGATAGTAGACTCCATGATGCCCTATCTCCAAGAGGTGCTGCGAGATTCCCTTGGAAGGAATGGCGACAAGGTGCGCCTCGGCAACGTGAAATGTGTCAGCGCCAGGAGGGGGTGGTGGACGAACCCAGCCAAAGAGGACATCTGGCGCCGGGGCGGCGCTGCGTGGCTGGTTGGCAAGGTCAACGTTGGCAAGAGCCAGCTGTTTGAGGCAGTCTACCCCAAAGGCAGGATGACACAAGGCAAGGTAGTCCAAGGCAAACTGCCCTCCAGAGCAACCACGGCAACTTCGAGCTTTTACGATGCTTTCGCCAGTGCCAGGTCGAGTGACGGACGCAGCAGGGGGGAACGGCCCCGGGACGATCTGGTGGTTGGAGAACTCCTGCCGCCGCCACGGCCGGCGGAAAACTATCCCGCGATGCCGGTGGTGTCTCCTCTTCCCGGGACAACTGCCTCGCCAATTCGACTTCCGTTTGGGGACGGCAAGGGAGAGCTCATCGACCTGCCCGGACTAGCAAGGAGCAACCTAGAACTTTTCGTCAAGGAGGAGCACCGACAGTCCCTAATTATGAAGAAGCGGATCGTTCCGGAGCAGAGGACGGTCAAGGCAGGCAAGTCGTTGCTTCTCGGTGGCGGGTTGATTCGCATTACCCCTCGTACGGACGACATTGACTTTCTCGTGTACAACTTCACGCCTTTGGACGACCACCTGACGGCGACTGAGAAGGCCATTGGCTTCCAAAATCAGACGCAGTCGTCTGTTGGCTTGGAAAACATCACGCTGCCCGGGGTCGGCGCCAAGATGAAGCATGCAGGGACCTTTAAGCTGTGCCACGACGTGACTAAGAAGAGGGCCGGGCCCCTGACGAGGAAGGATGCTGTCGGCCTGCGAGTGGATACGTTGCCCTTTCGTGTCATCTCCGTCGACATTCTGATTGAGAGCGTCGGATATGTCGAGATTGTCGCGCAGGTTCGGGCCCGAGACTTCGACGCATGGACGACTGCGCAGCAGCGAGCAGACGCGCGCGCCAAGAACGTCCCTGGTGCGTCGGACGATCCTTATGTCAAGATATTGCAGCAGAGATGGGGCTACACGGACGCCGAGCCATTCAGCAGACCGGCCAAGCTGTTGACTTGGGGGTCCGAGCCGGTCCGCGAGGCGCCCGCCGAACCCGAATCAGAGCCCGGATGGCCGGCGATCGACGTGTTCACGCCCGAGGGCCAGTTCGTGGCGTCTCGCAAGCCGATTAACGGGTGGGAGAACAACAAGCCGCGGGTGCTCGCCGAGCACAAGAAGAGCAGGCCGCGGCGCAGCATGAAGGGGGACAAGAAGAAGATGAAGGAAGCGACAAAGCCCAGGAGGATGGCTTGGTTGACTGAGTGATGGATCAGAGGAGCCCCGAGGCAGTGTAGCTGGAGATGAGTGAGGAGTCAAAGAGGCACCGAACCAGACGAAGTACGATGAGTTTAAAGACGAGGATACCCTATACTTACTTGGATCGACGGGCCCCTCGTATTCTTGGAGGAGGATGACCTGCCGTTGACCATGGATTTCTATGAATGCATATGGAAGCTCATCCTGATTTGCAGATCAAAGGTTGAGCTCCAGAGTGGAAAGGCCGGCGACCAAAAACGCTGGAGTCGTAAGTTATACTTGGGTATTTGCACGAGCCAGAAAGTACAGCGTCGTGAGCAGGAACCAGCTTACTAATAATCGAGCATAATGAATCGCTAAAGATACGTGGGGCCCAACCGTCCTTGTCTGCAGCATGTGCGTGCGTATACCTGAACGGCGCGAATGGCGTTTAAAACCAAGACCCCGACTTCTTTTTGACTTCCACAGCTCCATCAGGCACACAGTCAACACAGAAGCCGCGCCGCGCGCCGCAAGCGCATAGGCCAAACGCCTGTTCATGTGCTTGCGCCCACCGGAAGCCGTTGCGCGCACGACGAAGCGAAAGAGGGACACAACGTGTCTCCGTAAAGGCACCATGGCGGATGGGCAGCGTCAGCAAGCCGCACCGACGACATCACAGACGACGACGCAGACTACTGCGGAGCCGGAGCGGCGGACAGAGACGCCGAGGACGCTGCGGCTGAGGGGTGCCAGCCACGCCGACGAGAGGTCGGTGCAGTGGGCCGAGGACGTGGTGGACAACGAGGGTCTTGGGCGCAAGAGCTCCAAAGGTCGGTTAACCGGGACGGTGCCTGGAAGATGGTGGCTGACGTGGCTCTCAGTTTGCTGCATATACCACAAGCCCAAGGCCGTGGACGAGTCAAGCGACGAGTCGTCGTCTGGCTCCTCATCGTCCGACTCGGACTCGGACTCGGAGGCCGACAAGGGCAAGGGAGACGGCGACAAGAAGGTGCCCGCGTGTGGCCACTCGCACCATGGCCGCGGCCGGGGACGCGGAAAGAAACGGGAAGAGAAACAGAGGCGGCCGCCGAGTCCGAACGCGTACGAAAAAGTGCCCAAACCGAAACCAAAGAACGAGGCTGGGACGTCCAGCTCTTAAGCCGGTCCTTGGTGATGGACGGATAAGAAGACCACACGGGCCAGCAAAGCCATGTCGGTGGCATACGCAGATATGCAGCTACGAACCAGGCGTCTTGGTCGTTTTACTCGCCTTTTGTATTCTTTGGGCTCGTTGAGCTTGGACATTTTGGCGTTGAGGATGGCAAAAGGCAATGAGCGCGCAGTAGGCAATCAGAGTATGATTGGACTCGAGGACGCTCTCTCCACGATTCCGTATAGACGGAGGGGTATCGGCGAAGAGCTACGCAAAGGGAATAACAACAACGCAGACAACATTGAGACTTGTCATGATGCACCGCCGTCCTTTGGCCCGCTCTCCACAACAAAGTACTTGCCAGCTTTCCTGGACGCAGTCGACAGAGCATCCCACTCGCCGGCATCGGGCTGTGCGGGCAGCGGCGCATCTCTGACCCTGCGGGGCCGCCTGTAGTGGCCGACGAGGGCTTCCTTGTCGAGGACGTGACGCAGGTCTGCAAGGCCGAGGGCCCTCTCGCCGACGCCCTGAGCCGTTTCGTCGCGGATGGCGCTCAGGGGCTCGACGCCGCGGGTGTCGACGCTCTGAACGGCGCGGACGAAGCGCAGCTGGCTGTCGAGGGTGGCGAGCATGGCGTCCTCGTCGTACTTGGAGGCCGGCAGCGGTAGGGCGGCGAGGCGTAGGAGGTGGTGCAGCTGCGCGGGCGTAGTGGTGGCAACGGGCTCTGTCGACGCGGCAGCAGAGGGAGAGCCGTAGCGCAGGGAACGGACGGACCAGGTCGGGCGGGAGAGCATCTCGTGGACGGCTGATGGGACAGGCGACGAGGCGGTGCGTGGGCGCGGCGCGAGGCTGTGAGGGTGGGGAGCTGGGCGGCGGAGGGCGGCCAGGCGGCAGCGGGAGCAGCGGAGCGACATTGTGCGCTGTCTGCGGAGGAAAAGTATGACGGTGGGAGTGCACGCCTGCAGATGCGTCCGTCCCCTCGCTGCAATTGGAGGGGCGTGGATTGAGGTTGACGATGGGCGATGATGTGGATGAGGGCGGTATCGTGAGGTGGCTTTGCTTGCGAGCTCTGACTACCCGCTAGCATTGTACTTCGAGGAAAAGCCATGTTGAAGTGGAGTCCGCGGTATTGCTCTATCACTCCCTGAACCGGGCCCCTACACAGGGTCCGTGCTTGGCTCTGATTGGCTGCCTCTGCACAAAGGCGCCAGTGTCGCACCCCGCGGTTCCAGGTGTCTCTGAACCCCCCACCAGCGTCATAACCTTAGTGGTGCATGAGTTGACGACCACCTCGCCTTGTCACGACGTGCCACTTCAACCGCATTAAATCCACATCTTGTCCATCCAGATCCAAGGCAACCAGACTGACCCTCTCCTTCACCTGTCATCGCTTCAACACCTTCTCAAGCCAAGCCAAAAACCCCCACTGCCGACGGCCGAACCGACGAGACCGTTTCTCGCCAACCCATCGAATCGTGCGACGAAACCACCCGGCATCCTCATCGGCTCGCCACCATGGCTCAGGATCCCCGCGCGCTGCTCCAAAAGGTCCAGTTTAGCCCTGCTGTTCCTCCCCCGGCTCCCTGCTTCGAGCTCCAACCGACCGACCGAGCGCTGACAGATGCATGTCATGGCAGGCCGAGAAGTCGCTGCAGAGTGCTGGCGGCGGCTTCAGCTTCTTTGGTGGTCGCGAGGACAAGTACCAGAATGCGGCAGAGCTCTTTATCCAGGCAGCCAACGCCTTCAAGATGCAGAAGCAGAGTGCGTCCCCGTTGGATGAAAACCCGCTCCGAGAGAACTCAACGGCGCCATGCCTCTCGACGGACGGCTCCCCACAGGGGAGAGATGTAGTGTAGAGAGAGACCAGAATGCTGACCGTGGCCGTTTCTCCCGCCCAGATATGGAGGCCGGCAAGGCCTTTGAGCAGGCGGCGCAAATACAGACTGGCAAGCTCAACGAGCCTGACGACGCCGCCAACACCCTCGTCGACGCCTTCAAAGCCTACCGCAAGGACGATCCCCAGGCCGCGGTGCGCTGTCTCAACGTCGCCGTTGACCGCTACTGCGCAAAGGGCAACTTCCGGAGGGCCGCCTCGCAGAAGGAGACTATGGGCGAGCTGTACGAGCAGGACCTGGGCGACTCCAAAAGCGCCCTCGAGTGCTATGAGGCTGCTGCCGGGTGGTTTGAGGGCGACAATGCCAACGCGTACGTCATCGTCGTCGTCATTTCTAATGCGCCCCCATTTTCATGGCCCTTTCAAAGTCGCTGACGACGGAAACCACAGGCTGGCCAACAAGCTCTGGCTCAAGGTGGCCGATGTGGCGGCGCTCGAGGGCGACTACTACAAGGCCATTGAAAACTACGAAAAGGTGGCGGAGCAGTCCATCAACAACAACCTGATGAAGTACAGCGTCAAGGACTACTTCCTCAAGGCGGGCATCTGCCACCTGGCGAGCGGCGACCTGGTGGCGGCACAGCGCGGCCTCGAGCGCTACCGCGACATGGACCCGGCCTTTGGGACGCAGCGCGAGCACATGCTGCTGACGGACCTGTGCGATGCCATCGAGGCCAAGAGCCAGGAGCAGTTTAGCGACAAGCTGTTCCAGTACGACCAGGTCAGCAAGCTGGACAAGTGGAAGACGACGATGCTGGTCAGGGTCAAGAACTCGATTGAGGAGGCAGACGATGAGTTTGCCTAGGCGCGACTGGCTGCCGAGGGGAAGACAGCGGAAGTTGAGGTGAAGCCGCTGGAAGGGACTGTCCGACGTGGTCATCTACATGCGTATGCATTTATATGATGGTTATGCTGGGCGTGTGTCGGGTGGGACAGAGTAAGGGCAAGGCGAAGAGGGCGTCGGGACAGAGAGAGCTGGAAGCCTGCGATGGGAGTGAGGCGAGCTTTTAGCACATCCATTACACGCACAAGACACTCTTGACGATGCAGATTCTTGCCGTCGCCGGCATCAACGCCGCGTGTTTCCGCTGACTAGGGACAATGGTCAAGGTCGACCAAGACAGACTGGCCAACATTGGTCGAGCTGGGGCCAGGGTCCGTCCATGGGTGGTGCCAGTGTAGAAGGAAGTAGGGAGAGCCTGGCGCGGCTCGTCAGGGCTCGTCGTAAGAAGCAGCTCAAAGCACGGGACGGAGACGCCGCTCGGCCCGGGTTCCGAGAGCCAAGCCGGACGTGTCGGGCGCCTCGGCTCGTGTCTTCCGACCCCCGGTGTGTCGCCAGCGGGGGGTCAAATACGTCGAGTCCAGCAGAGGGTGCAGGTCAGAGAGTAGAGAGGAGAGGATGAAGAGTTTTCCATCAATATTTGTTCTCTGGTTGCCAAATGTTGCTGAAATGGATGACGGATTATTGTTGCTATATTTGGGCATCCCGATTGGCCGGCGGCGGGTCGGAACACGAGCTCGGAACGGCTGCACGCCCGAGTCGACGACCCAAATTTAGAAGAAGCGGGAGGGAGAAGACAAAGAGACCGTTGTTGTGGAAGCAAGGATCCGTCGGCGGCCCCACGTTTAATACGAGAGAGCACGTATAATAGGGAAAAGGGGGCCCGGTGCTGTGAGCGAGGCTTTTCGCTCCGCCCGCGGTGCCGACGGCCACGAGCCTTGTTCGTGTCCGGTCTGTAAGAGGGTAATGGCATTGTCCCTGCGCAGACGACAGTGACACGACATGTGCGAGGTGAGGGTCGACCGACAGTGGGCTAGGGAGTTTATTTTTATGCCTGGTCCCGAGAACACCCTTCTTGAGCCTTCTTTGGGCCACCATGGCCACCGGGCCCGCATCAACCTGGCCAGTCTCACGGCTCACGGGAAACAGGCGTCAGGACCCCCTGACGACGAAAACTTTTTAAGGCCAGAGGCTCATTGCCGCTGCTGTGCGGGCCATGCAAATATACGGAGTAATGGATGCATGTGCATATACCACGCGCAGGCACTTTGACGTGCAGCCGCAGACGCTGCCCTGCCGCGGCGAATTGGGACTTTGCAGTCAACGACAAAGGTAGCATAAATTCCGGGGTCTTTTTCTGCGTCCCTGACCAGGTGATGGCTACCACGTTGCATTTCCAATTCCCTGTCTGGCCGGGTCGAAAAGAAGAGGCGGCTCAGTGGATGCTTGTGGAGAGGCCAGGCCTCCCGGTCGCTCAACTCTGACCCGAGAGGTTCCATTCATGGTTCGAGACTGGGGCTTCATCGGGGACCGATTCGTCCTGTTTCTCAAGCTTCTCTCGGCTGACCATGACAAGGCTAGAACCGACCTCTTGTCTTCAGAATCCTTCACGAGGGACCTCCAGGATCGAGATGCCCCCCCCCCCCCCCCCCCTTTTTTCGTCATCGACCAACTGTCGCCAAGTCTGATGCCCGATAGCGTTTCCATTCCCGTCATTCCCGTCTCTGTGCTGCCTCATACGAGAGTGGGTATGTAAGCGAAGTCGCCGCACCCTGGATAGACCGTCTTCCGCATCGATCAACCTCATGCGTACACACTCGGCAAGAAGTTGCCATTCCTGACGCTCCCCAAGTGTGGGCAGCGCCGGGAAACCCCGTTCTTTTCTCGGAGCCTTTTTCGTTGCCTCTTTCAGATCTCGCTTGGCCCCATCGTACGATGCACGGGACAGGCGGCCAAGTCGACTCTCGAGGCCGCATAACAATTGAGCTGACAGACAGCAGAAGCCCTGCATGCAACTCGGGTTCCATCTTGCCTTGCCACAGTGGACCCCCGCGTCTCGGTCGGCCCGTCGGTGGCCGCAGCTTCGCTCACGTAGACGTCAACATCGCCTGCTGCTGAGGGGACTTTGGCAAGTCTTGTCTGCCTCTCGGCAATGACGGAACATCGGTCGTATTGCTAGAACCACGTTAGTGTATGTCTTCTCCCCGGGACAGAGCCATCACGATAGCATAGTGAATATAGACACATGCCGACAACCGTCGACTTGTCGTCCTCGGCTTCAGCCGGCCGTGTGGATTCCAGTTGCAGCCGACGCACGATGCCTCGGGAAGCATCGAGGCCTTAGCCTCCATCCGAGTGCCGCCCCGTTACACAGATCTTTGCGCCCCTTGTTGACCCTCGTAGGCTCCGTATATCTCTGCAGTCCTTGATATAAAGAGCCGCAGCACGGCACTTCATTCGTCGTCATGTAGCGGCCCTGCCCTTGTCGACTCCTGCAGAGAGTTGCAGCAGCCCTTTGAAAATGACAGTCCACAGCAGCTGGAATCCCAGACTCAAGTCTGTCAAGTTCGAGTTTGAGACCGAGCCCACGGCCTCGATCGACGCCCAGCAGCCCCCCCACGACGTCGTGTTCGAGAATCCGATCCCGTTCGACATTCCCGGTGTTCCGAAGAGGTTCGTCTTCGAACCTTCGCAGCCCACGGGCCCTTGTCGGCCCAGCTCTCAAGCCAGGGCGGGCACACAGCAACAAGAATGTTCTCGGAGAAGCTACGCCTCTGGTGCGAGAAACACGCCTAGAACGGGTACCTCTGGCCCCGATGATGCGCACTGTCGACGCAGCCGGCTTGTCGGTGAAAGCTGCGACATTGGCACGTTGGCAGCCAAGTCCAACACGGACCTCGTTGCTTTGATTTCGACGGCTTGGGCTCTAGTCCTCTCCCAACAGGTGGATGGTCCGAGTGTTGAGTTTGGGTTGAGCCTTTCAGATGATAGCTTGAGCGTTCATCCCGTCCATACATCGCTGGATCGGCGGCGGGCCATTTCCGAGGTCCTGAGGGACGCCGCCGCACATGTCGAGCAGATCCGGTCATCGAATCCCAGCACAGACGGCCTAGAACAGGCTGGTCATAACGGCGATGGAGCTTCTCTTTTTCAATCGGTCCTCGACATCAGCGCCAGAGGTACACGGCTCGATGAAGCGGTGCCTCTGGACCGTCCCCTGGTTATAGGTTGCTTGGTGGATCACGACGAGCAGGAGGTCACCTTCACAGCTCTATTTGAAGAGCGCATCATCCAGCGCAACCTTTTGCGCTTCCTTCTCAGCGACCTCGAGCATGTCGTCTGGCAGATGCTGCAGCCCCAAGCCGCGCATCTGGCGCTCAAGGACCTCGAGACTATCGGGCCCGTCAGCCAACGCGCCATGCGTCGCTTGAACCGCCCGTGAGTTCCAAAGACAAGAACAATAGCCAATGAAGCTGACCATGTGAAAGATTGCAGCCAAAGCGCGATTGTCTAGTGCAGCACCTCATAGCCAGCAATGTCGCCGATCGCCCAGAAGCCCCAGCCGTCGACGCCTGGGACGGCACCTTGACGTATGCTCGGCTGGACGCCCAAAGCAATTGCTTGGCCAGGCACCTCGTTTCACTTGGGGTCGGGCCCGAGGTCTTTGTACCCATCATTTTCGAAAAATCCAAAATGAGCATCGTAGCCATGCTGGCCGTGGTGAAAGCCGGCGGCGCCTTCATGCCCCTGGATCCAAGGATGCCCCTCTCGAGATTGCACTCAATGGTTGCCCAAGCTGGACCATCCATCGCAGTCTCTTCGGTAAGCTGCCGGGGCAAGATGCCAAGGGGCGTCGAGGAAATCATCTTGGACGAGGCGCTCCTGGCTCGCATCGCGGCACACCAAATGGATCGGTCGGGCTGCCCTGCAACGACGGCGACCCCGGATAACGTCTTATATCTCATGTTCACTAGTGGATCGACGGGCAAGCCCAAAGGCGTCGCCGTCAACCACGCCTCGTTCTGTTCCAGTGCCATCGGGTTCAAAGATGCCATCCGACTTGCGTCACCACAACGCCGGGCCCTTCACTATGCCTCGCCCGGGTTCGATGCCTCCATCATGGAGACCTTGGTCACGCTCATTGTCGGTGCGTGCATCTGCATACCATCGGACGCGGACCGCCTCGACGACGTCGCAAAGTGCATCGTGGATTTCCAGGTAAACTGGGCCTTTCTGACGCCTCCGATCGCGAGACTGCTTCGTCCCGAGGATGTTCCCCGACTCGAAGTTCTATGCCTCGGCGGAGAGGCCTTGCCGCGAGACGTCGTCGAGATATGGGCCGACAGCGTCGACGTCATCAACGCCTACGGCCCAACCGAATGCACCATCGTGGCCATGGTCAGCGACCCCATATCCAGAACGTCCCAGTCCATTCCGCTCGGCAAGCCCGTTGGCTGTGCGGTATGGATCTTGAACGAAGAGGGAGACCGGATCCAGTCGTTCAACAGTGTTGGGGAGATTATCATTGAAGGCCCTGGAGTAGCCAGAGGCTACCTCGGTGACGAGGTCAAGACGGCTGCCGTCTTTGGAGAGCACGCCGACTTTCTAGACACAATCACCAGTTCCTCGTCACGCTTTTACCGAACTGGCGACCTTGGGCGGATGAATGTTGACGGGACCATCGATTACTTGGGCCGCAAGGATACTCAAGTCAAGGTCAACGGCCAAAGAATTGAGACGGGCGAGATCGAGCATCACATGAAGAACATCTTGAACCAGCGTGACGAGAAGCCAGCTTTGGACGTCGTCGTCGAGCTGTTGCAGCCCGACCATGGTAGCCGGGCTTTCCTGGCTGCCTTTGTCGGTCCCGGAGAGGGCACCGCACCCGATTGCGCCTCGAAGCAAGGAATCTTTATCGACAGAGTAGATCCAGTCAGCAGACAGATTTTGGAAAGGACGACGGGTATCAAGGGGGCTCTCTCGGAAAAACTTCCAGACTACATGATACCCAGAGTTATCTTGCCCTGTGAAAGCATTCCACGAACATCTTCGGGGAAGACGGATCGGAAGAGGCTCCGTCAGACGGGCAACGATCTGACGATGGCTCAAGTCAAAGAAATTCAGGTGCCCACCACGATGAAGGGTTGCAGGAAACACCTGGAAACCTCAAAGGCAATGATTTCCACCTGTTTCGATGATGACCAGGATGAAAAAGCCTCGTGGACGACGAGCTCTGATGGGTCGGCGACGCAGGACGCGTCAGAAACATCAGAAGACTCCACCAGCGGGCTGCCATGCTTGACGCCAGGCGAGCAATTTATGCGCGAAATCTGGGCAGATATCCTCGAGCTTCCCAAGGAGAATATACTCCCCAACGACGACTTTCTTCTCCTTGGGGGCGACTCCATCGGCTTCATCAAAGTCGTCGCAGCTTGCCGCCGAGCCGGCATTCACACGACCGTGGCTGCCCTTGCGAGTTTCACCGTCCTGCAGGATATGGCCAGGGTTTGCGAGCGGTCTCAGAATGGCGCTGGAAGTTCCTCTGCCGGCAGAAGGAAGCCATTTGGCCTGCTGCGGCAAGACCAGGTGGTGGCTCTGCGCAAGGAAGCAGCTGTCCAGTGTGCCATCGATCCTAACCTTGTCCAAGATCTCTACCCATGCACACACACGCAGGAGGACTTGATGGTGGCAAACATCATCCATCCCGGGGTCTCTATAGGCCGCTTCAATCACAGGTTACCGAAAGACATCGACGTGGCCCGGTTCAAGAAGGCTTGGGAGAGCGTATGGAAAGACACGCCCATTCTCCGCACCAGGTTCACAAACACGTCGGCCGGCTCGCTCCAGGTTGTCGTCGACGAGGCCATGCCATGGTCAGAATCGCACAACCTGGAAGCGTACATCAAAGCAGACAACGCGAAGCCTATGTTGCCAGGTTTGCCGTTGTCCCGGTTTGCTCTGGTCTTCGAAAACGACAAGACAGTGCACTTTGTCTGGACCATGCATCATATGCTCTATGACGGGTGGTCTGTTTCTCTCATCTGCAAGAGGGTCAACGCTTCGTATCGTGGGCTGGCCACGGAGCCGGCGTCTGACTTCCGCCAGTTCGTCGCCTATTCGAGGGAGCTGGACGGAAAGCGCAACGCCACGTACTGGCAAAAGAAACTCGAGGGTGTCACTTCGTCCACATTCCCCGCCCCAGCACGTCCGGATCATGCGTGCCGTGCCAACCGTGTTGTCAGGGATTATCTTGAGCTGCCCGAGCGAAAAGAGCAATGCAAGACCACTATGTCCACCATGGTCCAGGCCGCCTGGGCTATCATGATCGGCCACTTCTCCAAGACCACCGACGTCCTCTTCGGTGCCACGATATCTGGGCGCAACGCGCCCCTGAGGGGTATCGACAACATTGAGGGGCCGACCATGGCCACTGTTCCTGTTAGGCTGACTGTGCGTCCGGATAGCCGCGCCGTTGACTTTCTGCACTCCGTCCGAGACCACTTCACCGAAATGATACCGTATGAGCAGACAGCGCTGAAGGCCATCAGGGCCATGAGCGAAGATACGAAACGGGGATGCGATTTTCAAAACATGCTGGTGATTCAGGCCGGATCCGTGTGGGGGAGCGACGACGAGCCGCTTGGTGAGCCCTCGCATCGGGGAGAAGACGCAACAGTGCCAGTTCTTTGCCAAGTCTGGCTCCTGCAGAGCAGAATCCATTTCGATGTGGTCTTTGACGAGCAAATCACTTGCCGTGAGGTCGTTACGGAAGCGATTGCTGCTGTCAAAGACATCCTTGGGCAGCTTCTACAACTTTCCGACTCATCAGAGACGCAACTGGCCAATATTCAACCCGGAAAAGCACAAGAGACGAGTATCGTGAGTTGCCTGGGTCCATCACCCGTGAAAACCGTTCAGGCTACAGTTCATGACCTGGTGAGCGACGTGTCCAGGCAACAACAACACGAGGAAGCTGTGTGCACTTCAGAAACCTCTGTGTCATATCAAGAGTTGGACAATCTGTCTTCCGACCTGGCACTTCATCTCCTGAAACTTGGCATCTGCAGAGGAATGATTTTACCCTTGTGTTTCGAGAAATCGGTCTGGACCATCGTTGCAATGCTCGCGGCTCTCAAGACTGGAGCGGCATTTGTTTTGCTTGACCCCAGCCAACCGCAGCAAAGGCTTGAGGAGCTTGTGTCCCAAGTCGCGGCCCAGTTTGTGCTGATATCGCCCTTGCAGGCAATGTCAATGAACTTTGCAGTTTCGCTTCGCCAAGTTATCGTCGACGGCGCCTTTCTCCAGACCTTGCCGGCCGCAAGAAGAGATGAGCTGCCCGATGTATCCCCTAGCGACCTTGCCTATATCATCTTCACCAGCGGGTCGACAGGTCGGCCAAAGGGGGTTATGATTTCTCATTCGGCGTTTGCGACAAGTGCTGCCGCTTATAGCAAAGCTCTTCTTCTCGAAGCCAAGAGACGCATCTTGCACTTTTCGTCGTACAGTTTCGACGCCAGCCTGAACGAAACCCTGGTTGTGCTGATGCACGGTGGCACTGTGTGCATTGCGAACGAAAAGGAACGAACTCAAGACCTTGCCGGCTTCGTGAGAAGAACAAAGGTCGACTGGGCCATCTTGACACCGTCAGTAGCCAGACTACTGTCCCCGAGCGACGTGCCTCTCCTAGAGACTCTTGACCTCGGCGGAGAGGCGCCGGATCGAGCGCTGCTCTCCAGGTGGCATCAGGCGCGGGTACGAGTCTTCAACGTGTACGGGCCTGCCGAGGGAGCGGGGACTGCTCTCTCCCAACAGTATGCTGGAGGTGTTGACCCGCGAACCATTGGTTTCCCGATGGGGTGCCAAGTATGGATCGTGGATCCAAGTGACCACGACAAGCTGGTTGCAGGCGGGCAAACAGGTGAACTTGTCCTGGAAGGGCCGATTCTGGCAAATGGCTACTTCAAGGATCCCCAGAAGACGGCACAGTCGTTCATTTCGAATCCCAAGTGGGCAACGCAGCCTGGGTTTGGCTCTGGGCCGAGACGCATGTATAAGACGGGGGATCTTGTCTTCAGGAAGGACAACGGTGCCATCGATTATGTTGGCCGGAAGGACCTGCAGGTAAAGCATCACGGTAAGTCATGCTCTCTGTCGTTGTTTGTGCGAGGCGAAGATGGGTCGACCTAACACTCTCCAGGTCAGCGAATTGAGCTCGGCGACATCGAGACCAACCTCGCCGCATGCTCTGGAGTGAAGCGCTGTGCAGTGTTCTACCCAGTGGCAGGGCCGTTGAAGCAGCAGCTGGTTGCAATCATCGAAGCGGATACCAAAGAAGAGGAAAACGAGGCATTTCCGCGCCAGTTGAAGACGGAACTGGCAGCCAAAGTTCCCGGCAGCATGGTCCCAGCACACTGGCTGGACGCGGGTTCCCTCGCCCACGATGGACAGCCGCTACCACTGAGCCTGTCAGGCAAACTTGATCGCCGTCTCATCACGGCCCAGCTTGAGCGGCTCTCCGCCTCCGAGGCAGATCAGGCGCTTGAGACATCGGGCTATCAGGACGTCCACGACGACGCCGGCACAGGCGTGATAGGCGAAGAAGAGCAGCCAGCCTACACGATAGCGAGGAAGATACACGAAATGCTTCCCGCTCGTATCCAAGCCGGTCTGGCATCAAAATGCGAAAATGAATGCCCCGAACGGACGAGCTTCGACGACCTGACCCTGCAGTCCTCGGGCCTCGACTCGCTGAACATGATGTCGCTCATGTATTTCATCTCTCGACAGTTTGACGCCAACGTCAGCATGCAGCTCCTCATGGACAAGAAGACAACAATACGGAAATTGGCCAAGTGCGTGTTGGATTCGCAGGCTGCTACCTGCTCAGAACCGTTCGCCCGTTCCCGCTTGCCGGTCTCAAGCCCGACCACGATTGACGTTATGGCCGAAATATGTCGACACGACTCGCGAGTTGCTGCTCTCCAGCGAAACGACCAAGCGTCAGGCAGTGGTATGTCCCTCGAACAGTATGCGACGCTCGGCGAACCGGTAACGGTTCTACTTACCGGTGGCAACGGATTCATCGGTACACAAATACTCCGCCAGCTTCTCGAGCATCGCCGTGTCAGCGGCGTCATTGCTGTGGTGCGCGGTGAGACGGCAGAACGCGCCAGAAGCCGCACTATCGAGGCGGCCAGGCGAGCCCGCTGGTGGACTGATCTACACGGAGAGAAGCTGCAGGTCTGGCCTGGGGACCTGTCGCTCCCATGTTTGGGTCTCGAACCGGCGCATTGGGAGCATCTCCAAGGGGGGAATGTCGACATCATCATTCACAATGGAGCTGCGGTGCACTGGGCAAAGAGTTATGCGGCCCTTGAAGCCGCAAACGTCGATTCGACGGTTGAGTTGCTCTGCCTCGCAGCAACGGTTCCCCGTATGGGGTTCGTATATGTCACTGGTGGCCGAGATGGAGATTCTCAGGACGAATTAGACGAAGACGTGGCGAGAGAGTTATCAGGCCCTGATGCCGTCGGGTACAGTCAAACGAAATTTGTCGCCGAGGCGGTGACAAAAAGGGCGGCGCGGCGTTGCTTGGCCGCGAGCGGCTCGAACAGGTTTGCCATCATCAGCCCCGGCCTTGTCGTCGGCACCGCAACCGAAGGCGTCGCAAACATCGATGACTATATATGGCGGCTTGCGGCAGCGTGTATTAGGCTGGGCGCTTACAACGCCACTCAGGCTGACTCTTGGGTCGAGCTATCCGACGCGGCGACCATGGCAACGACTATTGTCGACACTGCCTTTGAGTCGGCGATTCCGGGAATGGCGCCTCAAGTCGTGAAGCAGGTCTATGATGGCATGAAATGGGGCCAATTCTGGGCCGTCTTGGCTGGCATGGGGTATCGGCTGGAGGCTCGAGAAGCGGCAGAGTGGCTTGCTTCTATGCGTGAGGATATTGACGCGTGCAAGGAGTCCCATCCACTGTGGCCGCTGGCACACATGTTGGAGAGCCAAACAATGCAGGAAGCGGCGGAGAGCTGGAGGGGCGAGACGCCTCTGAGGTTGAAGTTGGCTGTGAGGAGAAACGCCGAGTTCCTCAGCTCAGTTGGTTTCCTTCCCCCGCTCACCAGCAATGGCCAGGAAGCGACGCAGGGATCAAGTGGCGGAACGTTTTCGAGATCGGGGCGGTAAGGACGGAGGTGGAGGGCACTGGGCAGAGTCGTTGGAGAAAGATTTCATAGGCCCGACATTGATACCGGCGTTGTTAGACTTGCCCTCAAGGCAGCTGCTTGGAAAGTCAGTAATGAATAGATAAGCTGTTTTTTCCCTTTTCGATTTCAACTCGACGATGGTTTGACGCCGCAAGTGACCCTGATGAGCCGACGTGACGTCGAAACTGAGCTGGAGCCAGTGAGTCAGGTGGAAACGGTCGGAGATAGATCGGCCCGCTGTCCTTGCGCGTGCTGTGCTTACCCCCCCCCCCCCCCCTCCCAGTTTTTACTGTAGGACCCCTTCCGTTTGTTCCTAACCGTAGAGTCATTTCGAAAAATTGGTCACAGCCGGTCCCTCCTGCGTCATCTGGCCGACTCGACTCGACCGGGGTTTATGTCAACTCTACTCCCTGGCTCTTTGCCCAACCTTTGCCTTCGTTCGACACAGGCAGCTTCGACTTGTCTTCGGTTCCCCCGCCAAACCCTACCCCTCCGCCAACGGCCGAAGTTCCTATTCCTACCCCGCCATCGACTCCGCAGGAGCTTCGCAAACATGGCGAGCGAGGCTTCCTTTGAGAATCTCGCCCAGCGCTTCCAGCATCTGCCCTTGATTGACAGATACCCCAACTGCTTTCCTGACATCAACCCGGTCGACGTCTACCGAGCTCACATCACCAGCATCTTGCACGACATCACCGGCGTCGACAGGAGCATCATCTATCCCGCCTTGCAATGGACTGCAACGCTAGAAAAGGGAGATCTCATGCTTGCCATTCCGGCTCTTAGGGTCAAGGGCAAACCCGACGAGCTGGGCAAGCAATGGCTGGAAAAGGTGGCACCCTTTTTTCCTCATTCACGGCCCGAGGCTCTTACTGACTGCTCAGAGGTAGTGGCCCGACTCTCCCCTTGTCGAGAAGCCCGTGCAAAATGGAGCGTTTCTCCCTTTCTTCTTCAAGCCCGCCCCGCTCACCAAGACTGTCATTCCCATGGCACTGTCACACCGATTTGATTTCGGCACCAACTCGACCGTCGGCCTCAGGGACCAGAACGATCTTTCCAAAGGCAAAAAACGCATGCTTGTCGAGTTTTCGAGCCCGAATATTGCCAAGCCGTTCCATGCTGGGCACTTGCGAAGCACTATTATCGGTGGTTTTCTTTCCAACCTCTACAAGAGCGCCGGATGGGATGTCGTCGCCATCAATTACCTGGGGGACTGGGGCAAGCAGTACGGCGTACTGGCCCTGGGGTTCGAAAAGTACGGCAACGAGGTGGACTTGGAACGAGACCCCATCAATCATCTCTTCCAGGTCTACGTCAAGATCAGCAAGGACGTGGCAGACGAGAAAGAGCAGGCCGAGAAGATGAAAGCCGAGGGCAAGGAAGCCGAGGCGCAAAAGATCCTGGACGACGGCCTGGACGAGCAAGCTCGAAAGTACTTCAAGAAGATGACTGAGGGAGATGACGAGGCGCTTGCCCTTTGGCGACGGTTTCGGCAGTTCAGCATCAAGCGGTACAAGGAGACATACGCCCGACTCAACATTCATTTTGACGAGTACTCTGGCGAGAGCAAGGTCTCCGAAGACGACATGCACAAGGCTGCCGACAAGATGAAGGAGATGGGCTTGGCTGAGGACCACGAGGGCGCGCTCCTCATTGACTTTGTCAAAAACGTCCCGGGCAAAGAGGGCAAGCAGCTCGGAAAAGCCATTCTCCGGAAGAAGGACGGCACGGCTCTGTAGGCCTCAGACTGGCGCGCTCTCTGGATGTTTGATTCTAACGCGCATTACAGGTATTTGACGAGGGATATTTCCGAACTGCTGAACCGCGCCGAGAGGTACAAGTTCGACCACATGATTTATGTCATTGCTTCGGAGCAAGATCTCCACGTGAAGCAGTTCTTCAAGGTGAGTCGGGCTAGCATACTGGACGATCGAGTCACTGACGTATATGCAGGTTGTGGGAATGATGGGACACCAGGACATTGCTGCTAAGTGCCAGCACATCAACTTCGGACTCGTGCTGGGGATGAGCACCAGAAAAGGTCAGTATTGGCTCTCTCTATATTGCCGCTTATGCAGGGCTCTAGGCCGGTCTCCATCTGCAAAATGTCCAGGGAGACACAGGCTCACCAAAGTCGCGTTTTCTAGGCACCGTCAAGTTCCTCGATGTAAGATCCTCTTTACTCAGCTCATGGCCTGGTGTAGCCAGGCCGTCGGGCATTATGGTGTCTAACATGTGCAGGATATCCTCCGTGACGTTGGCGACCACATGCACGAGACGATGAAGAAGAATGAGGATAAGTACAAACAAGTCGAAAATCCAGCCAAGACTGCCGATATCCTCGGGATATCCTCGTAAGCAAATGCCAAAGGCATGGAAGACTGTCCCAGCTAATGACTGCTTAGGGTCATGGTGCAAGACATGTTGGGCAAGCGGTGAGTTGCTCCTATGGAATAGGCGCAGACTTGAAATTTGGTTATGCTAATTGGCTTCTATAGAATCAACAACTACAAATTTGACCTGCAGCGGATGACCAGCTTTGAGGGGGATACCGGTCCAGTGCGTTATCACCTTTAGAGTCGTGCAATTTCATCAAGCTTACGAATGCCAGTATCTCCAATACGCTCATGCCCGGCTCTGCTCCATCACGCGCAAAGCTGGCCTTACCGAAGAGAACCTCACCTCGGCAGACCTGTCCTTGCTTACTGAGCCGATGGCCATTGATCTTGTACGCGTCGTTGGCCAGTGGCCAGATGTTGTCCAAAACACGTTGAAGACACTGGAGCCTACAACGATCTTGGGGTAAGCTCAGTCCTTGTCTACACGTCGACTCCCGGAACCTCGTTACTAATCAAAGGCGTAGTTACCTGTTCAAAATGACTCACGTTCTGAGCACAAGCTACGGCCATCTCCGGATCGTGGGCAGTGAACATGAGGTCATGAAGGCACGAATGGCGTTGTACGACGCTGCCCGGGTTGTCCTGTACAATGGCATGAAGTTGCTTGGCCTGAGCCCTCTGGAACGGATGTGACGACATCGAGCGGACGGTGCGAGCTCATGGTGATGCATGGTAACATTGCTATGCCGTTTCTTGGCGTTCACGAGCTACTGAATTGAGAAATAAACGCCTTGCGGGCACAGTCTCGTATGTCCAAGAAGACCATTAGCAGGGATGCGGCTCCACACGGCGGAGGGAATGATATCTATTTGATTCCACCCGACATGATTATTTATCGACGCTGAAACGCTCCCTGCATGTTGATCAGCAGGATAGCATGATTGGATCGGGAGGGCTCGATCTGAGTTGTGGAGTAGAATGACTGCTGCATGCATGTCTCTCGCTTGGGCCACGGCATCACAGGCGGGAAGGCATATCGTGGATATGCACGAATCACAGCTTGATGGCGACGCGGAGCGGCATGGCCTCAGCAACCCCGGGCTCTCATGGAGGGCGAAGGAGGAAGGCCCGAAGTGTCAGCTGCACCCTCACGGGAGGGCGAACCCCTGACGGTGGCGAGTGCGGCTGTCGAAACATCATGTCTTCAACCAACAGCGAACGGCTCTCTGGCCAATGGCTCTCTTGCCCGCCTACGCCACGGCATTTGACTTTGCATGGAAAGCAAGAGGTAGTCGATAAAGGAGCCAGATATTCGCTATGCCGCGAACATGCAGGGAAATGTCCTACACCAAGTTGCGGCTTCTCCGTTGTTGGTTGCCCATGGCCGCATGCTCGCACCCGTATTCGTCTCCCAAAACGCCTCCATGGTCCAATCCCTAGGCCATGGCCCCAGTTGCGTGACGTTTGATGCCTGTCTTGTTCTCGTCAGCCCAACGTGGCTCATATCCCTTGAGGGAGGGCTGAGGGTTGCACCTCGTGGATATTGGGCGTCAGGGTGAACGATAAATAGCCCCCCTCTGCTCGTCCTGTGCCGACAGAATCTTAACTCATCTGCCGCCGAGCCCTCGCCACTCGTCGCCTCTTTTACCCTTTACTGCACAAACCCGTCCCCTGCCGCGGGATATCGAAGATGCACGCCCTGTTCCTGGCTGTCCTGGCCCTCACGGGGCTCCAAGCTGCCGCCTTTCCCTCGGCGCTCCTGGGGGGGGAGGTGGACGCCGAGAAGACGAAGCGATTCACCCAGGCCGTGGCCAACATGGAGCCTCGCCAGGTCCCTGGTGGCAACGCCCCGGGTCGGTTCAACGCCCAGCAGCAGCTCGTCTCGACGACCGGCACCCACAGGTTTGTGAGTCAGCCCCGACGGCGTCCCAGTCAGTGCCCTCTCCCTTCCCCATCTAAGACTGTCGGCGTTAGATTGCGCCTCGGCCAGGCGACCAGCGAGGACCCTGTCCCGGACTCAACGCCATGGCCAACCACAACTACATACCGAGAAACGGAGTCGCCACAGCTGGGCAGTTCATCAAGGGGTGTATGGACGGTAAAGCCCGGCGACTAGACCCGACGTTTTTGTTCGAGACTGACGCCGCTAAACAGTCTATGGCATGGGCCTCGACTTGGCCACGTTCCTGGCCGAGATCGGAGCCGTTGTCAGCGGAGACTTGGTGTCGTGGTCAATCGGCGGCCCGCCCCTGACGTGGTCCCCCCTCAGCGGACTCCTAGGAAGGCCGCGGGGCATCTCCTTTTCGCACAACAAGTACGAGGCCGACTGCTCCCCAACAAGAGGTGACTATTTTCAGTAGTAAGTAGGCTTCTGTCCCCAGCTCCGGGCGCCGCCGCGAGGCTGACGGGGCGCCCTGTTGAACAGCGGCGGCAATGCCTACAAACTGCAGCTTTCGCAGTTCCAAGAGCTGTACGATGAGCCCCTTGGCGCAAATGGATACGACGTCCCTGCCATGGCCAGGTTCCACGTGAAGCGCTTCCGGCAATCCAAGGAGAACAACCCATACTTCCTGCACTCAAGCGGCGCCCTCATCGTCAGTTCAGCCACCTTCAGCTTCATCTACCGCTTCATGGGCAATAAGTCGGCAGATTATCCCCAGGGCTATCTCAACCAAGACGTACTCAAGTCTTTCTTTGCAATCACAGGCGAGCCAGGCAACTTCCAGTACACTCAAGGCCACGAGCGCATCCCGGACAACTGGTACAAGCGCGCCGTCGGCGACGAGTACAACTTGGTATACTTCGCCAAGGACCTTTCCGATGTCCTGGTCGCCCACCCAGAGCTGATTGCTCTCGGGGGCAACCTGGGACAAGTCAACACCTTTGCCGGCGTCGACATTGGCAACTTGACAGGAGGCGTTTACAACGCCCAGAACCTGGCACAGGGCAACAATGCTGCCTGCTTGGGTTTTCAGTTGATTCAGCTACTTACGCCCGACATAGTCAAGGGGCTTTACTCTCTCCTTAGTCAACCGCTCGCGCGGCTCAACGATGCCCTGGGGAATGCCCTCTATCCTTTGAACTGCCCTCAACTTCAGGAGATTGACACGGATCGACTGAACCAGTTCCCAGGGGCAAGTTTGCGTTCCTGAGAGAATGGCCGGGTGCCTTTTTAGGTGTCGGCAAACCTTGCCACACGAAGCCTCCGATGATCCTGGCATGCTAGTCACTTCTTTGAGCCTGTCATCGGGCAATGCAGAGTCCGATTACCACTTGAGTTTCCCTCGGTTCATTTTTCGGCAAGACCGTGAAATATATACAGAAGCGCATGGAACAATAGGATCGGTTGAAATTATCCGCAAAAGAGCGAGCGACGCATCCGTGTCCATGTGCGACGGGTGCGGTCAACACTTCTGCTCGCTTTCGGCACCAGTTGCTGCCACGCAATAGTGCAGGTTCCAGGCATTGGATGCGAGCTAATACTGCCATTTGTCCGATCGAACAGTCGTGGTCGCACACGTCCGGGGTACCGTAAAGGTGTGGTCCGGGTCACGCTCCCAGGTCAGAGATCCTTTTGAATTGACCTTGATGTACTTGTACTTGACGACTTGGCCGGCCTTGAGAGACAGTGTCCCCTTCCAGAGCGGTTTGTTAGGCGTATACGCGGAAGCGTCCAGGGACACGGCCTTGTTCGGTTTCCAATCGCCCAAGGCACCTGTATCACCAACCAGCTTAATTGTCTGGCCGTACTCGGTTTTCGCAAGCTGCTCGAAAGTCACCGCGACGGAAGTGGCCGTCTGGCAACCGCCCGGAGGGGTTGTAGGAGTTGATGGCGGTCTTGACGTGGTTGTGGGCGGGGGAGCACCAGTTTTTGGAGTCTGAGATGGAGGGAATGACGTGGCAGTGGCTGCCGAGTACGATCCGACAACAGAGGTGGCGGAGCAAGTACTCGGCATCGACTTCACTTGGATATTTGCCCATGGCGGCGGCACAATGCCCGCTCTGCGGGCGGCGGCGGTCAGAAAAGCCGCATATGACCAAGTCAGGTCTCTTGCGGAAAGTGGATGTCCGTCGTCCTTGTCAAATTGCTCCGACATGGAGCCATTGGGTGCAATGTACGTCGCAACCACGTCGACAAAGCCATCTGCATATGCGGACACGGCGGCCAAGAGATCCGAAAAGGCAGAGGTCCCGCTAGAGTGAGTCCCCTTTGACACGCCGGGCACGAGGTCTCGAAAGAAGGCAAGCGAAATGTCCGTGACGGTGATGGACCCGGCCTTTTTCCAAACATAAAGAGAGTCATAAAGCTGCTCCGCGGCTGCCAGTGTGGTGAGATACCATGGGTGCCCACCGAAATATACGTCCTCGATATAGCGGCCTACTGCCACGGCCTTGCCCTTGCCGACGCCACGGTTGATCTTGTAGCCCCGGAAAGAGTCGACTGTCACCTTGTGGTTGGATAGAGCCTTATCACTGCAAGGCTGGAACGTGGCAGCGTCACACTCGAGCTTTGCATCAAAGACGTGGATGGACCCGAGGATGGTGTTGGCGTCTTTGCCCGTTCGGCCATCATGGACGTTGACTATTGGCGGCGGTTATTTCAACCAAGTCTTGTGAGGCAGGAGAACAGGCCAACTTACTGTTAGCATCGATGTAGCCGGCCGAGGGCACCCAGAAGCTCTGAAGAAAACAGAGGATATGCGGCGCAACATCCGAGTACGAACTACCCGGCTTCCCAAGAGCCGTTGCGAGAGCACTTCCCTCGACGAGAGCTTAAATAATGTCATCAGTCAAACCCGCACTTGGCCATGTGCTTCAACCCGCGTGAGGTTGACTCACCTCTATACTGGCTGGATATGGTGAAAAAGGAGCTTCCATTGACCTCCTCCCAGAGATCAAAGCCTGTTTGGTTCCTTGGCACAGTCAGCTCCCGTCTGCACTGCTGGGCGTGTCTCACGGGGGCTGCTCACCAGTACTGTGCCACGTAATTGAGGTCATTTTGAACAATGGGCCAGAGGATGGTCGAGGCCGTCGAGGAGTAGTCGTTTTGGATCAGCCAGTTGGCGTACGTGATCAAGGCGATTGCCCTTAGCGGGGGACCATCTCTCTGCGGCCGGCCTTGAGCTCTTGATTAGCCACATGGACTACGCACTAGCATCGGGAACAGAAGTCTCACCCCAATTGTCGACAAAGGCAGTCAGGTTAGCGTTAAACTTTGGCTCGCCCAAGCCTTGGCCGTCTGACAAAGACCCGGAGGGACCGCTGACACCTTGGAGCTTGGCTTGGCTCGCGACGAATTGCTCGATATGGAGCTGCAGACCGGCGTCGTAATGGTTGACGAATCTCTCAGCAAGGGATTTGAATACCAAAGAACTGTCGCGGGTCCAGGTGTAGAAATCTGGCGTCGGTCAGCCAGGACTGGACCGAGGCACGGCACGCGGGACCTACAGTTTGGGTTCTCGGTGCTGGGAGAAGCGATGACGACTCCAGGGCCGGCCCCTTTGACGTTGCAGCCATGGGCGCCGATATTGCATAGAAGCTGATGCAAGGCAATGGGCGACTCGGTGTCGATGAAGGAGTCGACTGAGCGTCTTAGCAGAGTGCCCTGTCTGTCCGTTGCAGAGCGTCCGAGGACGGCCTGGAGGGCGACGGAGCCGAGTAACAGAGCAGTCGAGACGAAGTGCATGATGGGCCGGGCCAGGGAAGCTGTGTCGTTGGCAGACAGAGCCGACATGTGCTGGTCGAGGAGCTCCATGGCAACTTATAAGCTGGGCTGTCCTATTCCGTCAGACGGCCGGACCATTGGCCGTATGCGGAGATGACCATGAGGCAGGCGGTCGAGCTGAAAGGGCCGATACTATCCTGGACCTTGCTGGACGCCGAGGAGCAGGCGGGGCGCGGGGGAGCCAATGACGAAGTGTGGACGCTACCCAAGACGGGACGACGGGTATGGATTGAGATGAGGTCGTGAGCTAGTCTGTCCAGGGACTCGAGTTGAGGGAGGCGGACGCGGCTGGCTGCTGGAGGCGCGGCAGGACGATGACGGATAAACTGGACGAGAGCAGAGAGGCAAGGTTGCGCAACTTGCCGATGCTAGCACGAGAAGCAGAGGGCCAATGGCGGTGGACGACCGGGCAAGCAGGCAGGCAGTGGTACCTGTATTGGGTGGCTTTTGTACCTCGCTGCTTTTGGCGACTGGAGTATGACGATGCCGCCCGTCTTCTCGCCTACAGGTCCCTACAGATCACATCCATTACGTATAAGTTACAGTATGCTCTCATGTGAGGCAATGCACGGCAAACAGAGCCAACATCAGCAGCGCAGCCGTTCATTTCTCTTCAGATTAGCTTACCTGCTCCTACTCGTCACAGCCTGGCGCTGTGGCACACGGCAAGGACAGATCAAGAACCAAACATGGAGTTGTGCCAAGGGCAAACAGCCGCTTCAATCAGCGCTCGTGATCTTAAAACAAACCTTGCAAACGTAGTAAGCCCGAGGTGTACGAGACCCCACGAGCCTATTGGCTCATGCAGTCAACACATCAGAATTAGCCAGATCCAATGAGCACAGCATCATGCATCTCGAGCCAATACTGCGACCATCTGGTCCGTCCCGACAGCGGCACGTGCAATTCAAGCGATATTTCTCGCTCTGCCAGCGGGGCATGTAGGCTTGCCATGGTTTTCCCCAACCTCACCGGCCGACGGCCTCGGAAAAGAGGGTTGGAATATAGCGCCTCCGGTGCAGAAGCCACCGCGCTCAAGCCGTCTTGCGACGACGAGCGGGGCAGCCAAAGACCGAGTCATTCTAGGACCTGTCGATAGGAAGATTGACACCATAGCGAGTTGGTGGCTCCATGAGGTTATCGAGCTGCACGGCAGTCGACCCTGACCTGAAAAGATCAGGCAGGGGACCGCCGGGCACAGATCCGTGATGTGAAAGGGGAAGCAAAATAGACCGCGAAAAAAAATCTCGGCACTTTTAAATAAGCCCACTGGCGGGCTATCCGCGTGGGGCTGGTCACGTGCACTGCGTCCTTGGAGCTGAGGCACTCCGGATTAACTACGGAGCTTTTTGCCGACGGCATTCTGTAATCCAGCGTCAGTCGCTACTCCCAAGCCACCACCATCTCTTCTCTTCAACCTCGACCTTTTTTCCTGGCCAAGACGCGACTCTTTGTCTGCACGCGACGCATCGGTAGCCCCGCAGTACCAAGAAGCAGCAGGGAAAATGGATGTCGCAACAATCGAAGAGACCAACCGTATTCGGTTGTCTCTGGGCATGAAGCCACTGCCAGTGCCCGGAGCTCAATATTCTCAGCAAGCAGAACAGAGCGCAGCCTCCGACAGCGATGGGGAAGCCGCCAGCACTTTGGAGAGCCGGCAAGCGCAAGCCTACGACAACTACAAAAGCCACATGGACGCCGAGGCCTCGAAGAAGCGTCGCGAAGCGAAGGTCGCTACAATCCGAAAGGCCCGTGAAGCGGCTCAGCGATTTGCACTCCTCGAAGGAAAGAGCCTGGGCGAAGCCGATCAACAAGAAGACGTCGATACGAAATCTTGGCTGATGGGCCAGAAAAAGCGTCAAAAGAAAATCGAAAAGGCCCGAAAGCTGGAAGAGGAGCTGGCGGCAGCCGAGGCGGCCGCTGCCGAGGCTGTTCAGTACACTTCCAAAGATCTCGCCGGCATTCAGGTTGCGCATGACACCTCGGCCTTTCTGGAAGGGAATGAACAGATCCTCACTCTCAAAGATGCCACCATTGATGAAAACGAGGAAGCGGGCGATGAGCTGGAGAATGTCAACCTTCGAGAGGATGAGAAACTCAGCGAAAGACTGGAGCTGCTGAAGAAACGGCCCGGTTACAACTTCGACGACGACGAGATTGGTGACCGCAGCATTCTGTCGCAGTATGATGAGGAGATTTACGGGAAAAAGACGAAGAAATTCACTCTCGACTCGGACGGGGCTATTGCCGAGCTCTCAGACATACTGAGCCAACCAGCGCACAAGACGAACAATGCCCAGAATTTCAGCCTCGACGACATCGTCGGTGAGTGTCCACCGAACAAGTCCACCTGCATCTTCAGCTGACCAGTCATCTTATAGGTGATGCCCCTGCCTCGTCCGACTACCTGGCACCTTCTGAGATCAAGGTCAAGAAGCCGAAAAAAAAGAAGTCGAAGAGCACGAGGCAAAAGCCGCTTGACCAAGATGACATTTTCCCCGTGGGACAGGTGGAAGCGGACGAAAATGCCATGGAAGTGGATAGCGGTCAGGCTGTCAAGGCCAAGCCGAAAGCAAATACGGATGCGTTCGTGGACGACGACGACCTCCAAGCGACCCTGGCGGTTCAACGCAAAAGTGCCCTCAAGAAGCGCAAGAAAACCAGTCCAGAGGATATTGCGAGGCAACTCAAGGAGCATGCGGATGAGCCCGAGCAGGGAGATGCCAGTCAGAATAGGGGCCTCGTCATTGGGGAGATTTCGGAATTCGTTGCCGCTCTCGACAAGAACGAGGAAGATAAGCAAAACACAAAGAGACAAAAGAGGGCGACAAGCCAAGCGGGAACACATAGCCAAGACGCTCACCGAGATCATCCTATGGCCGATGCCGACGAAGTCGAAGGCAGGAGAACCTCCCATTCAAACGGAGTTACGGACTGGGCGGACACAGATGCCCAAGATAGTAGGATTGAAGAGGAAAAGACTGTCGGCGAAGGCATGGGTGCGGCGCTCGCCTTGCTGCGGGAGCGAGGTCTGATTGAGGAGTCTCAGGGAGATTCCTCCCATCAAAGCCACCATGCCCGCCAGGGGTTCCTGAAGCGAAAGCGGCAGCTTGAGGAAGAGTTGGACGAAAAGGCGCGGCAGCAACGTGAGCGGGACCGGACGAGCGGCAAGCTGGAACGCATGTCGCGGGCGGACCGGGAGGAATACGCACGGCAGCAAAACACATGGCGCGACCATCAACATTCGCGAAAGATGGCGGAGCTGATCGAGTCCTCGTACAAGCCCAATGTTCAGTTGCAATACACGGACGACCACGGCCGGCAGCTCGACCAGAAGGAGGCGTTCAAACACCTCAGCCATCAGTTCCACGGCAAGGGCAGCGGCAAGGGCAAGACGGAGAAGAAGCTCAAGCAGATTGACGAGGAGAAACGGCGTGAATCCCAGAGCCTCTTTGACGCAAGCCAGGGCGGTGGTATGAGTGCGGCGACGTCGCAGCAGCTCAAGAAGCGCAGGGAGGCTGGCGTCCGTCTCGGTTGAAGCGCATGGGCGAGTCCCCAGCAAACATGTTACCCGGGCAGATGAGAGAGACTAAAGGTACACCATCTCTTACCTCCCTGTGCCGGCGCTTCAAATTGACATAATTCCTTGCTGACACCGTATCGTGGTTCTGTCTAGCGGTGACGTCCCCGCGAGGCTTGTCACGTCTCGACGGTTGTCTCGTCTTCTCAGGTTCAGTCTCCCCTTCCTGTTCCGCATCATGTCAACGACATCGTAAAGCATTTTGATGCGGCCTTGATCCACGCAAGGCGGCCTTTGATTGCCCAGTCGTAGACACCGGCCGGCCGCGCGACTGCCCTTGTCTTGGGAAACACATATCGCTGCGTGAACGTCGTAAGCAAGAGGAAAGGCATGGATTGAAACGAAAGAACGATAAAAAAGCGAACCAATGAGGAGTAAGCTCGCCTTGGGCACGCTCGTTGCGCCATTGGCACTTGTCTCCGGCCCGCACAAGAAAGCACATGTTTCTATCCTGCTCAGCGTGTATGAGAATGCCCGGATACCATTGCCATCATCGCCTCTATTGTAGATGCGTAAAAACCAAGAACCCGCTAGCCAAAAAGCAAATCAAACTCCTCGTAAACGCATTCTGGCCCCCGAGCAAAGTGACCCAACCCCCATTATTACTATTTCCGCACGTTTCATAGAAGACGGACCCTGGCACCAATGCCACGCCCTCGATACTCTATCCTCTCCGTCCATTTTCCCAGCCTGACCGTGACGTTGGCCACGGCATCCAGCCTCAGCGAGCCCCCGAGTGCTTCCCGGAGCTTGCCCAGTCCTACGCGGCTGGCCGACCACTGCACCGGCAACCGCGGCGTCTGCGACAACCCGGGCGGGACGTCCATCTGTCCGTCGTGAAGGATCTGCCCGATGGGCTCAGTGTGGTTGTAAAAGGCCGTGGCGTTGATGTGTTGTATATGCACGGTGTCGTGGCGGAGCGGCGACGCGAGAGTAAATGTTGCCGTGGAGGAAAGAATGTGAAAAGTCGCATCTCGGATGAAGCCTCGGCTGCCCTCTCGACCGTCGCCTTCGCCGGGGAGCTTCATTTGTGGAGTGTCGAGGGTGACATTAAGAGTGGACAATGCTTCACCCAGCAGTGGCACCGCCGGGATGGTACCGCGATGCGCCTTGACCTCAACAGTCGTGTTCTTCCCCGAAAGATAGTCTGACACAAGTCGGCGGCCGGCTTCTCGTCCTTGCGCCTTGCCAAACGTTGATGGATCCCACGTTGCACTGACAGAAATGTCTGAATTGTGTCCGATTTGGAGGTCGACGTCTTCGGCAACAGCCTCCCCAATCATGTAGCCCTGCTTCATGATGTGAAGACTAACATACGGTATCTTGGCAGTGTAGGGCGTGAGATTTGTCAGATTGACCTTTGCCCGCAAATGTACGCTCGTGTCGGAAGTGTTGATAATTCGCAATTCTCCAAACTGCGGGTTCAGGGCCCCAATCGCATTACCCGGGATATCTGAAGGTCGATCAGCGACTGTGCCTGTGGACGGTTTGTGAGATGCTCGCAAAGCTACTCGTGAGCATCTTGCTTTTACTGCCACCCCCAAGGAACATACAAGTCTAGTAAATCGAAGACGGACGTTTTACTGGAATCTTGCCCGTCGCAGGGATGCCTCGCAAGACCAGCTTGCCCAACACCGTCGCGACTCTGGCATCCACAGAAGATTTGACGTCGAGTATGATGTCTTCATCGCCAAAGAGCAGTTTTTGCATAATGTCGCCGAAAATATCGCTGTCGATGATGTCCACAGGTGCGTCGACAACTCGAGAGGTGATGGTGATGGTATCTTCATCTCCTGAGCCAGAGCTGATGCTGGAGTTTGCCTTCTGCCACTGGTCCAGATGCAATTCACCAAACTTTTGGTCCTCGTAGAAGAGGTTGCCAACTGCCTTGAGGCCATCAACGCCGATATCGACGTTCAACTCTGCGGGAAGAGCCGCCAGAACTCGCACTGTCCCGGAAACCCGAGGCTTGCCGCTGGGGTCCTTTGGGTCTGCAAACGGGCTAGGCAGTTTGAAGTCGACGTCGGTAAGCGAGAAGTTACGGATGAGACTGTCCAGATTTTGGCCACTGAATTCGATTGGGACCAAAATGCTCTCAAGGATGGATCTAGCCCATCCAGGGAGGTCAGACTCGCTTGGCACCTTGCCACGAACAAACACTTGTGTGTTCTCTCCATGCAGGTAGTGACTCATCAAACTGTCCAACGGAGACAACTTTGTATCGGGACAAGTTCGCGTGAGCGAGTCGGGAATCTCGTGAATGATGCCGCTGGCCTTGGCCAAGACGTCTGCCTTGGGTCGAACGTGAATGACGTCTGTGACAGCCGTTGCGACCTCGATGTTGGGTTGAGAAGGATCGCAGTTGGGAACAAGGACTTGCAATCCAAGGGACGGAACATCCAGGCCTAGGGAGTAGTAATTATGCAAAAGGACTGACACGTTGGTGCCAACACCTTTGTGACCCTGGCTGCCGATGGGCGCATCAAAAAACATGAGACGTTGAATTTTATACTCGGGAATGGACGGAACCTCCTTGGCTGCAAGAGCGTTAGCAGAGGTGCGTCGCTATTTGAACGTCTTTTCCCCAAAATACAACGAGGCAAAGGTGCGGTAGAGTGATTGACCTTGAATAACCATGGATTCCACCACATCGTGGGTGCCTAGGGGGAAAATGCCCGATTTGAGGCGAAGTGCCGCGGCACCCGTGACCTTGAGCTTGCCAAGCTTGCCATCCAGCCACTCATTAACAATCTTGCGCAAGGTCTCGGCGTCTCCGGGGACGACGTCGGCCACAAAGTCTAGTTTGTTTGTGTGGCCATCGACAAGATCGATGGAGAATGGGGGCACCACGGCAGTACCCAGAAGAGCGTCATGGTAGTGAGGCAGGCGCACGCTGACTTGTGTGCCGTCAGTATCGAGATTTCCCATCATGTTGGCGACGAGTTTGCCGATTCGCCGGGCGTTGCCATCGGAGACACGCGATGCATCTAGGCGAAGATTGGCTTGGATGCGCGCGCGAACTCCCTCGGCTGTCAGAGATTCGAGTGACAGGCTGGTAGGCTCGAGGACAACTGCGCTTTCGACATACTGCTTGACAGCGGGAGGGGTGACGAAGCCAAGAATGATGATGGCCAGGAAGAGAGCGGCAAGGACCAGGATGGCGATGATTGATGGCCATGGCCACCGGCCCCTGAGCTTGGCAAGTCTCTTGGATAGGCTGGGCGACGAGCCGGACTGCTGGCCGCTGGCGCGTTGTTGCCGGTCGGGGAGGAGCGGCGTCGACTCGTTAAGCGGATCCTCACGGGCGAGGAGGGGTGACTGTTCGGTATCGGGCATCGTGGTGGCGAACTGAAGCTATGATGCGTTGATGGGCATCTCACAATGTTGACGTCTCGGAGAGACGCGGATGGTGTTCGGAGGAATACCGACGAGTCACGAGGCCGGCAGATGTCGTCTGTATGCAAAGCGGATGGACTTGGATGGCACGGCGATGGTGAAGGACGGATGATGATGGCTGTGCTTGGTACGGAGTAGGGGGACAGTTCTGGAAACGCCGGCAGCGGAGGAGACGCTATTGGCGGCTGGCGGCGGAAGATGACGCGCCAGGCCCGTTGCGGAGTAGGTACCTAGGTACCGGATTACGAACCACAGAGCGGCGCATGGCCATGACTACCTACCTAGGTACCTACCTTACTTAGATAGGTACTTTAGGTACCTAGGTTGGTAATTAGGTAAGAGTAAAGCTATTTGTACAACGCCCTTTTACTATTAGTACAATAGATCCATTTTTTTCGGTACGTACACCCGCCAGCCCGCCCCGCCTAAAGTACCGCGCCCGGCCTAGCAAGTATCCGTATCTTTTAAATGCCCTCGTCCACACACATATACATTGCGCCCACCTACACCTACCCACTTATCTATACACACAAATTTAAAGCTATCCGGCAGCGGCGGCGGCAGCGGCGGCAGCTGCAGCCGGGTCAATTAGTGGGCTATTGCAACATCAACTTGAGGCTAGAAATGCGTTATTTGAGCGAATTGAGTGGACGCGTTGTGCGGCCGCAGCTGCGCCGGCGGAAGGGGCGCAAAGTGTGTGTGTATATGTGGACGAGGGCATTTGGAAGGTACGGGTACTTGCCAGGGCGGACGCGGTACAAGTGGTGCGGGGGCCTGGCGCGGGTACGTACCGAAAAAATGGATCTGTTGTACTAATAGTAAAAGGGCGTTGTACAAATAGCTTTACTCTTAGGTAATACGTGGCACTGAAGTTACAGGTGGTACCCTGGGGCCCCCCTAACGGATCCTGGCGGCCCATCTCCCGGCGTTAGAAAGCCCCTTTCTCGATGACTCCGGCCTCTAAGAAATTTCCCGGAGGTTACCTACGTAATTACCTACATACTGTACCTACGTAATTACCTACATACTGTACCTACCTACCTACCCATGCATTCATCTGATAAATCGGCAGCTCTCCCCCTCCCCGCCCGCTTCGGCTTTGCATGTTCCCTGCTCACTTCCAGTTTGCGAGCCAACGAGCATACCGCCATCTTCTCCTGCACGGCGCGAGGTCCCTCCACGCCTAAAGCATGAAGCCTGGGGCCTTTCGAGCTGTCCGCGGGGCCGCCAATGGCTTCCAGAAACGCCTCTACTCTTCGCAGACGTCGAGCCCCAGGCATTTGATGTCCATCAGTGACCTGACGTCCGGTGAATTCTCCGCCTTGGTCCGCAATGCCGCGTTGCGGAAACAGGCTGTCAAGGCTGCCCAGGCGCCGACATCGCTCACCACGGCGCTTACCGGTCAAACGGTTGCCATGATGTTCAGCAAGCGCAGCACCCGTACCCGAGTATCGACCGAGGCCGCCGTGACAATGTTGGGGGGCCATCCCATGTTTCTCGGCAAAGATGACATCCAGCTCGGTGTACGAGGCGACATTCCAAGCTCGCACGTCTGCCTGGGGCTGACAGTCTGTCTCTGCAGGTTAACGAGTCGCTCTACGACACCTCCGTTGTCATCTCATCAATGACCTCGTGCATGGTTGCTCGAGTCGGCCCACACTCGGACGTGGCTAACCTGGCCAAGCACTCCAGCGTACCCGTCATAAACGCCCTCTCGGATGATTTCCATCCCCTCCAGACCATTGCCGACTTTCTCACGATTTCCGAGGCATTCCCATCGTCCGGGACCGGACTGGGCCTTAATGGCCTTAAGGTTGCCTGGATCGGAGATTCCAACAATGTTCTTTTTGACCTGGCAACGGGCTGTGTGAAGATGGGTGTCGACATTGCTGTTGCATCTCCCAAGGGCTACGGCATCCCCGACTCGATGAGGCAGCTCATCACATCAGCTGCCCAAGGCGTGGACTCACCCGGCAAACTGTCGGAAACGACAGTACCGGAAGAGGCCATTCAGGGCGCTGATGTTCTGGTCACGGACACGTGGATCTCCATGGGCCAGGAGAGCGAGAAGAAGAAACGTCTAGATGCATTCTCTGGCTACCAAATCACAAGCGAGCTGGCCAAGCGTGGCGGTGCCAAGGATGGATGGAAGTTCATGCACTGCTTACCCAGGCACGCGGAAGAGGTTGCCGACGAAGTCTTCTACAGCCCTAGGTCTCTTGTCTTCCCCGAGGCGGAGAACCGACTCTGGGCCGCCGTTTGTGGGTTCCTCTGCTCCACCTCTAGACGTTACGGAACTGACCAAGATGACAGCTGCTCTCGAGGGGCTGGTCGTAAACAAGGGCCGGATTCAGTAGGACACGAATGGTCGGTTTCAACACCTCATAGCGATTCATTGCAAATAGCGCATGATGCATGTTTATTTACGGATACGCTCCAACGGAGAGCTTCAGAGAGAGGTAGCTAAGAAATATACCCATCTCTGTACAAGAGATGGACAGTTGGATGCATTGAATCAGGGCCCACCGAGAGCAAAGCGCCAAGTACTAGGTACGGACTTGGCGCGCCACGTGTTGCGGCGAGAGGCGTAGAAGAACCTACCTATGTACATCAGGGGACCCTGCTGCAGACACTTGGTGGGCGATAAGAGCAACCTTATTTGGACGGGGTTTGACTGCTTGATTGGGTGATATCGACACAAAAGGAACCGACACCGGCCTCTGTCCACTCACTCATTCATCCAACGACCTCTTTGATTGACCCCCCTTGTCGCCTCCCCCTCCCCTCCCTCCCCTCCCGCTCCCTGCCTGGGGGAAAAGAACAGAGCAAAACAGGACCAGATCTCGTGGCCAGCATGGCGGGCGCAGTGAGTCGCATTTGAGAGCCCCTCCGCGGACAAACCGAAGAGGGAGACGACGGCTGACGAACTCGTTGCAGCAGCGAGGCATCGTGCCGTCGCTGGACACGGTGCGGTCCATCGTCGACAAGCCACGCGACAAGGGCCCGAGGCCGACGCTTGTGCCCGTGTACCGGCAGATATCGTCGGACCTCATCACGCCGTCGGCCGCCTACCTCAAGGTCTCGGCGCACTCGTCGTCCGACTACTCATTCCTCTTCGAGTCGGCCGCCACCGAGCAGGTCGGGCGATGGAGCTTCGTCGGCGCCGGCCCGCGCAAGATGCTCGCCACGGGACCCGGCCACGGCCCGGAGACGGACCCGTTGCCGGCCCTCGAGCGCGAGCTGGCCCGCCACGTCGTCGCCCACGTCCCCGGCCTTCAGCTACCGCCCCTGACCGGCGGCGCCATCGGGTATGTGGGCTACGATTGCGTCCGCTACTTTGAGCCCAAGACGGCCCGTCCCATGTGCGACGTCCTCGGCATCCCCGAGTCGCTCTTCATGCTCTTCGACACCATTGTCGCCTTTGACCGCTTCTACGGCGTCATAAAGGTCATAAGCTACGTGGCGGTGCCCTCGCCCGAGGATGGCGGCGGCGATGAAGCTAGTGCAAGAAGCCTCGAGGCCGCATACGACAAGGCGCGCGCCACCATCGACGAGCTCGTCGACGTGCTCGAGTCGCCTGATATGGAGACGCCCAAGCAGGAGCCCGTGGTGCTGGGCCACGAAGCAAAGTCCAACATCGGCCGCGAGGGCTACGAGGCGCACGTCACGCGCCTCAAGGAGCACATAGTCCGCGGCGACATCTTCCAGGCGGTGCCGTCGCAGCGCTTCGCCCGCCCGACCAACCTGCACCCCTTCAACATCTACCGCCACCTCCGCACCGTCAACCCGTCGCCCTACCTCTTCTACGTCGACTGCAAGGACTTTCAGATCGTCGGCGCCTCGCCCGAGCTGCTCGTCAAGAGCGAGGCCGGGCGCATCATCACGCATCCCATCGCCGGCACCGTCAAGCGCGGCAAAACGCCCGAAGAGGACCAGCGCCTCGCCGACGAGCTGAGCAGCTCGCTCAAGGACCGCGCCGAGCACGTCATGCTCGTCGACCTGGCCCGAAACGACATAAACCGCGTCGCAGACCCCTACACGGTCCGCGTCGACCGCCTCATGGTCGTCGAGAAGTTTAGCCACGTCCAGCACCTCGTCTCCCAGGTCTCGGGCGTCCTGAGGCCCGGCAAGACACGCTTCGACGCCTTTCGCTCCGTCTTCCCCGCCGGCACCGTTTCGGGCGCGCCAAAGGTCCGCGCCATGGAGCTCATTGCCGAGCTGGAAAAGGAGAAGCGCGGCGTCTACGCCGGCGCCGTCGGATACTTTGGCTACGGCGGCGAGGACGCAGACGGCAATCCGGTAGAGGGAGCCATGGACACGTGCATTGCGCTGCGCACCATGATGACCAAAGATGGCGTGGCCTACCTCCAAGCAGGTGAGATTCTACCTGTTTCTTCCACTTAACACCCAGCTCTCCCCCCCCCCCTTCTTTTCGTGGAGCTCTACCCTGCTGACATGATGCGCACAGGCGGAGGCATTGTCTTCGACTCGGACGAGTACGAGGAGTGGCAGGAGACCATCAACAAACTGGGCGCCAACATGCAGTGCATTGCATCGGCAGAGGAGTTCTACCACCACCACCAGCAACAGCAAGCCGCCAAGGCCAAGACGGCGCACTGAGTCTCGGGGCGTTTTGTTTCCCGCGTCTCACGTGTCCCAGGCGGCTCGCGTTCGGATCATGCGGCGGGTATGGCATGGCGGTCAAGAGATAGACCTTCCTAAGGACTCTACTTGTATGTACATGGTAGGAGATGTCGTAGATCACTCCAAACGTATAGGCGGGAGCCTAGACTTGACTTAGACCGGACAGAAAACTCGTGCCATCTTCAAGGTCTGGTCCGCATGAGGCAAATGGTCGATGAGACTGAGCAGAGCTCGGGAAGTGTCAATTTGATTGGCGTTTCGCAGTGTACGGCACATCTCGGGCGACTCGCCCCGATGCTTCCCATCGCCGCCCCACCGATGTACACGATCCAAGTTTGTATCCACACTACCTAAGTAATCTCATGTTGAGTCGTAACTTCGTCATCATAATGCTTGAGCAAGATGCCTGAATACTGCTTCTCACCAATTCCTGACCCCCCGTGCTTTACAGGCTTGCTTGTTGAGCACGCGGGTAAGCTGCCCGGCCTCGGCTATTCTTCCATAGCCTTGCCCAGCCCTCACATCAGCTCCGGCGGCACGGGCGTGTCTCGCTTCCCACATAGCTCTGGGATGGGCGTATCCCGCTGACGGTCCCGCTGACGGCCAGTGCGATTGCCTGATTGACTCGGCGCGACGGGCGTCTCGAGGTCGAGCTCGGGCTCGTTTGGAGCGTCCACCTCCGAAAGGTCATCTTCTGATGAGTCAACACTGCATGCATCCGACATGCTCACGTCGACTGATTCAGCGGCGGAGCTTGCGCTCTCTACGCTGGGGGTTGGTGTCTCCAGATATCTGAACCCAGGGATGTCGACTGCATACGCTTGAGCACAACCGAGCGAGGCCCCGTCGACTTCAGCTGGCCGTGCAGTGGTGGCGTCGTCTGCGGCGTCGTCTTCGTCATCCTGGCCTATGGTCCAAACCCATTGGCGCCTCTTATCCGTCCTCTTGCGTTTACGGATCCCGTTGGGTCCCGCCGAGGAAAGCGCTTCAGTTCCCGCTGCAGCCAAGGTGCGACGCACGCCCCCAAACGGACTTGGTGTTTGGCCGCCGTCCTGAATCTCATTGACTGTGAAGGCTAGCGGTATGTTCGTGTCCTTGTTCGGCTCAGCCGGAGAGTAGGGTGAGCCAGGCGAAGCATCATCGCCGAGAAGTTCAATGTGGGATTTCGTATATCTGTTGGTCACAATATCCTGGGTCAGGGGGCTGTTGTATCCGACCTTTTTGGCTGCCTTCTCTTGCAGGCGCAGGGATTGTCTTCTGGGCGACGGGGGTGGAATGGCCGTCCTGGGCGGGAGAGGAGAGTTGCGGAGGATACTATGAAGGCTCCGAGGATGTGAATATGGCAGATGCGAGCCCAGCCCGGCAGACAGATACGGAACTGCCCTCCGCCGCAGGGTAGGGCCGTCAAGCGGCGAGCTGCCAAGCCGGTCACGGCCTTGTGAGGTCGGTAAGTCGGAAGAAGAAAAGGTGAAAATGTTTGAAGGAGCCGAGTCCGACGTCTCGGCGGAGAGAGGGGGCGTGGCGGTCATGGTGCTGGGAAGGGGGAATTGCAGCTGAGGAGGCGAGATTGGATGCGCCGTCAGGGGTGTCTCGGGAAAGGAGGCGATATAAGGCGTGACGATGCGCGACTTGGCATTCTTGTATTCTGCGGGAGTTGCGAGGGTGAAGGCTTGCAGAGTATTGATTGCAGTGATGGGTTCCGACAGCATTGCCGATGACGACCTCTCGATGGCAGTGACATAAGCATTGGAGAGGGTGTTGAACGAGGTTGGGTCGCTGGGATCGACAGTGCTCGATGATGGAGCACACGACGTCTTGATTTGGAGCGACAGCCGGGGCCTCTTGGAGCCACTGGGAGTCTGGTGTGATGCCATGGCTAGCGTCAATTTGAAGCAAAGACGGCGGGGCGAGATGGCTCGTGAGACGAGGACGACGGAGACGAGAAGCTGGGCTGGTGATTGTGTTGGCCGCTGGCGGTTCCCACGGCGCGCAACAGCGCACTTTGGTTCCGGGCCACAGGAAGGGAAATGCACACCAACAGCGATCACGAATCAGGCACCTTGCAGTGAAGGAGCAGACTGACAGCGGGTGCGGGGCTGCTATATACGACGAAACGCGGATGGCGCACATGGACCCCGTCCTTCCGGTCATCATGTGGAAGACGAGAGCCAGAGCAAGACAAGCGCCGCTAGGGCTGCATAGAGCTGCTAGTTCCAGCATTCTTCAGACGGCTTGCCCACCTCGGGCAGCGTCGAAGCCTTGAAGACGATGGCGGCCCAGCAGCGGCAGATTGTCGTGGTTGGTTGTGCCACGGCGGTAAGCGCCGAGCCCTGGTTCGGAGGCGCCGCCACGAGCATCGCTCGCCAATCGTGCCGCGGCGACTTCTTGGACGGGCGTCTATTTCATGCAGAGTCGGCCTTCACGTCACTCGTCGCATGGGGCGGGGTGGTTCAGTAGGCTGGCGGCGCGGTAGATCGCTGAAGTCGTGGTGATGGGGGGCGGCAAGGCCGGCATCACCAAGGCCATGGCCATGCGCACGGTAGTAGACGCTTCTGTTGGTCTGACATTAGCCGCATGACCATGACTTTCCAGCGAACAAGACGAGCGTCTGCGTGTCGACTTGGGCTGACTTTGGCGGCGGCTCTTTCTGCTGTTTGCTCCATGCTTCACCTGACCTGACGTCAAGGCCGTGCGAGCGCGTAGACGACTGTCGTTGTTGCTGGCCATGACCATCATCTGCAAGGTCAAACTCCTTGGTCTGAGGAGTCTTTGTCGTCGTCAAGCCTTGGCCTCGGGCTGCAAGGAGGAATGGCCGGGCCGACGATTGCTCCTTTGTCAGCACTCAGCAGGCGCCCGTCTCTCCGACACTCCCTCAACAACACCACGACGCACAGCACATCTCCAGCCATGCAAATGCGCCGGGCCATAGTTCCCTTGTGGCAGATGGCGCAATACACATCCTCATATTTTCTGTACATGAAAACCGTCCCGTAGCATCCGCAGTCCAGCCATGGAGCAGCCGGCGACGAGGCCGCCCAAGCGCAGGGACGACCGTGTCATACTGCAATTCGTGAGTCCTGCCTTTGTTTCGCAGCCGCCATCGCCCCTGTCCGCTCACCACGCTAAAGGACTATGATTGCTTCTACGCCCAAGTCTTCGAGAACAAGGACCCTGCTCTCAGGTCTCGCCCTCTGGGCATCAAGCAGAAGAATATCCTGGCCACGTGCAACTACAACGCGCGCAGGCAGGGCGTGCGGAAGCTCATGCTTATCTCGGAAGCCACCCAGATTTGTCCCAACCTCGTCCTGGTCGACGGGGAGGATCTGACCCCTTTCCGCGATGTCAGCAAGATGCTCTTCACTTTCCTCCGATCCTACTCGTGGAACAACCGGGTTGAGCGCCTCGGCTTCGACGAGGTCTTCATGGGTATGCTCGCCCGCCCTCGGTCAGCCATTGCTTTGTGGAAGGCGTCAAGACGCCGTCACTGACCGTGCATCCAGATGTCACGGACATTGTCGACTACAACATGTCATGTCTTAATCGCCTCTCTCTAGCCGAGTCCTTCTTTTGCTTGTCCAGAAAGGACCCAGAGCTAGGTTTCAACTGCGACTTGACCTCAATCGCGGGTTGTGTAGTTGCTCTTCCGGCCTCCGGCGTACAGCTCGAGCACCATACCTATCTGCGCCTACTGCTCGGCTCCCATCTCGCGCACCACCTGCGACTCAAATTAGAGACTGATTTCGGCTACACCGCAACCTGTGGCATTGCAACCAACAAGCTCTTGAGCAAGCTCGTCGGAAGTTGCAACAAGCCCCGTAATCAGACAACGCTGCCGGCCCTGCAAGACGACGATGTGGCTGCATTCATGGACGGCCACAAGGTTCGACAAGTACCCGGACTTGGCTTCAAGACGGCTCTCTTGTTGGAATCCCACGTCCTCGGCCGGCCCTTGGTTGCGGATTCGCACTCGTTCCAATCGTCTCTCACCGTCGGCCAGGTCCGCCGCCATCAGGCCATTTTATCGCCTGGCAATCTTGAAACCATACTTGGGGGCCCAGGGGCAGAAAAGGGCGTTGGACAAAAAGTTTGGGGTCTTCTTCACGGAGTAGACCCGACCGAGGTCAAAGAAGCCAGCGACATACCCTCTCAAGTCAGCATAGAGGACACATACAAAGGCTTGGAGACGATACCGCAGATTATCGCAGAGCTACACAAGCTATCATGTTCCCTTGTACGGAGGATGCGAATAGACCTTGTCGTCCGCGACGACGATGCGATCACTCCGGACACGCAAAAGTGGATTGCAAGACCAAAGACGCTGCGCCTGTCTATCCGATCGTGGCCGATTAGACAGGGCTCGAGCCATAGCCAGAACCGAAGCTTCAGCCGCGTGTCTCGCTCAGGCCCGCTACCCAACTTCATCTTTGACCTCGAGGCCGATATAGACGACATGGCGCAGCAGCTAGTTGCCGAGGCTCTGCTGCCGCTGCTCCGCCGCATGCAAAGCGACAAAGAACAGAGGTGGAATCTGCAGCTGTTAAACATCTGCGTCGTCAACATGGTACCCGGCGCTGCCGATGACCGGACGGGAGCGGGGCGGGACATTGGTGTCATGTTCAAGAAGCAGGACGAAGTGCTGCTCCCGTGGAGAGTCACACGCGTCTCTGAGAATGAATCAGACGACAGTACGGGGGAGGCAACATTTGAGGAACTGGACATGAACCCTACCTGGGACAACACCGTGCATCCATTGTGCCAAACATGCGGCCATTTCGTTCCTCAGTTCGCCATGCCTGCGCATGCGAGATACCACGAGCTGGAAGACTGATGAAGATGAGCTGTCATTTTATGCGGCCTCGTCTAGTCTGTGGACCCAAGATTAGATCCGTGCAGCCTCTCGAGACCATTATAGAGGACATGGCGGCGCCCTTATCGAGCAATCACTTGGCAAGAACGACCTTGGGCCCTTGACCCAGGGGAAGATATCTTGGTGACACGTCGTCGGATGCCTAGAGTGCGCTGATGGTTGGAGGCAACCGGCGGTGGTTAAGCGTGGCACGCGCCGCAGCATGGTGTCGACAAACGGACGAGATGCCCAGGAAAGGGCCTGCGCGGCAGGATTGCGAAGCGGCGACAAGTGGCCGACTTGTATTGGCTCGATAAGTGTCAAAGACCTTGAGCTTGTGAACAGCACACTTGATATACTCAGCCATGCCCTCCCATCAAGATTCAGTCTGCATTCACTGCTGTTCGCAACAGGGAAGGGGCGCAGACTCAAGTTTGCCATGTGCAACGGGGCTCTCTACGGGAAGGTATAAATAGTGGAAGCCACAGCCGTTCCTTTGACACGCCGTTGGGAACGGAGCGCGCTTGCGGGTTAGGTAAAGCCTGTCAATCAGCTGGGAGCGTCGGGTTGTTGCAGCATCCGTGGCGCGCAGACCAGGAGCGGGCGAGTGAAGGCCATGGCGAGCCATGCACCCTTTGCCCAACATGTCCTTTCATGGGAAACAATTTGACCCGGCTCCAAGGAATTCTGGGTGTCTTGGGCGTTCCTCGTTGCAGGCGTCATTTATTCGTGGGAGAAGCGGCCCCTTTATTCTGTGCACGGTGGACGGCTGACTGGCTGGTCGGGCAAACGCATCGCGGACAAAGACGAGACTCGGCACGGACGAGGGCCTGAAGGGAGAATCGTCAGCCATTGTGCTGCCAACTAATAAAGATGTGTGGATGAAAGGGTGCAGAGGGACGGAGGATCTGGATCCCTTTCCTAGAATCGAGACTGATTTCCAGGGGAGGAGAATCAAGCCTGACAACTGGAGGGGCAAAGCCAGGCTGCTCGTCGTGATGCGGCGTGAAAATGATGGTGCTCGACATCGTTTCGTGCTCTGTCCAGGGTTCAGATGAAGGAGGAGAGAGGCAAGTGGCTGTCCGTCTGGGAGGGCAACAAGCTGGGAGGGAAGGAACAGCAGCACCCTAGCACTGGCCTCTTTCTCTCAAACTATCTCTGTCCCTCACCTCTTCCTTTTAGCCGAGCTTGCATATCCTCTTGTTGTTTCCTCTCCTTTACTCAGCAACAAGCCCCGTTCCGTCGTTCAAGCACCCGCGCTCGACTTTTGGTCCGTCTTTTGTCAGGTGTCGGTTCGGCCATTGGCATGGCATGGCCTGTCATCGTCGCCCGCCCGCAAACGATCCTCGTCGCCACCAGCAACGACAGCTGCCCTCCACCCAGCCAACTGCAGTCATTCGCCCTCGATTCGCCAGCTGCAACACGTCTTGAGAGAAGCGGAAGAGGAAGCGGCAGGCTCCTGCTGCCATTTCTCGTTCGTTCCCCCTTTTTCGTTTCATCCATAGATTCGAGACTTGTTCTCTGTTCGCTTCCAACTTCTTATTCCAAACTCTCCTGACCGCAGCTTATCGCTGTCTCGAGCCTCCCCCCCCCCTATCGGGCGTTTGAACCTCGTCGTCCACTCCGTCTGATCCCCCTTGCCGAATAGCAAACCGCGAGGGCAAAGGCTCTCCGCCTCGCGAGCCTTCACCATGGGACGGGGCAGCCGTGGAAGCGGCCATCAGTCGTTTCGTCGCCCCGTCGACTTGACTGGCGTCATCTCCATCGCCGAGAGAAACGACTTGACTACTCTAGTCAGTGCCATCACGGACAAGATGCACAACGACGTCAGTGCTATCTTTGATTCTCCTCCCGTCGCCACCTTGCACGCCGGACGCGAGCACCATACCCACTGGCTTTCGTTTGCCATCTTTGGCTGCCATGCGGGCGACAAGGACATGAAAGCATCTGCGGCTCCTTCGTCACAGCACGAGGTTGCCGGCGATGGGTCCAAGTCTTTCGCCAAGGCCCATGAGATCGTCGAAAAGGAAGAGGCCGAGGCAATGACGCCTCAGCTGCGCGAGCTGAAGAAGGAAGCTCTCGTTTTTTTCCGAAAGTGGCAGAACACAGTCATCCAGCGCACTCGAGAAATCCACATCCATGAAACGCCTGCTGCTCTGGGTAACCCTCGAGGTCGGGGCGGCCGCGGGCCTCGTGGTGGCTTTCGTGGACGAGGTGCACGCACTGGCGCTGGAAACGGCGGCAATAGCTCGACTCTGGCGATCGGTATGAAGCTGCAGCCGCCTGCCTTGCTTCGCGGCATTGCTTCTCTCGTAGCATCCCTATGCTAATGAGGCACAGGACCACCGCGAGTCCCTACGAACCCCATGGACCCTGAGCTTGCCAAGACGTTTCCGCCGATCCCAAACACTCTGTGGGCTCTGCACCTCGAGAAAAGAAAGATTCTGCTCCATGTCGCCATCTTGCTCGTTTTATCGCTGCAGGAATACGGCGCAAACGCTCGAGTCTTGTTGCTTCACCTTTCGTCGTCCCTGAGTCTTTCCCGAGACTTATATCAGGGCGATGAGCTCCGCGTTTCTCGAGCACTCGCCAAAACCGCACTTCAGTTCGCCGAGGCCCAGGAGCTCGACCCAAAACCAGAAGAGAGCAAAGGCCCTCGCCGGTGCAGGGCTGGCCTCGGAGGCGGTTCTGGCCTCAACGATAGCGTCGCGGTCCGGCTCAAGGCAGAGGGTGTTGGCAGCGTGCAAAATGGCGCTGGCTTGACAGTTGCTGCTGTGGCAGGACTACTCGGACCCATGGCAGAGCACGGCCACCTGCTCGGTAATCTCTATGGCATCAGCCCTGTCAGACCGACCAGCAAAATGTTGGAGGGTTGTTGCCGGGAGATCCAGGATTTCGCCTTTCTTCGCTTGTACGACGATACACGTTCCGAATATCGCGGCGCGAGAGAGACGCCAGCCGAGAATCGCAGGCTTCGTCTGACCATTGCCATGAGTGGTTGTCTCTCTGAGGAGAAGGACGTGGTCAAGCCATGGCAATGCCTTGGTCCGTCGGCCGAGTCATACGCGGTGCGATGGGAGGTGGCCGCCCTCACGAACTTGGGAGGCGCGCTCGAGACTGTCATCAAGAGTACGGCTTGGGCCAGCGCCAAGAAGGAGATAATGACGCGGTCAAGTAAGTGGACGATTGTTGCTGTCTGCTGACCCTGTTCACCCACTAATTCGTCGGCAGTCTTTTCGAGCCTCATGGATTCCCACTGGCCCGTTTCTTTGCTCAAGATCAGCAAGATCATCGACAACCCGTGGAGCATGGGAATGGTGCGAGCCGAGAAAGCGGGCGCCCTTCTCGCCGATGCCATTGTTCGGCACAAGTTTCAAGGAGAGCGATCCGTCTCCCTCATCGGCTACGGCCTGGCATCCCGGGCCATTTACACGTGCCTCATGGTGCTGGCGGAGCGCCGCCAGTTTGGATTGATCGACTCGGTCGTCATGATGGGCACGCCGGCCCCGTCGGAGAGCCGCGTGTGGCTTACTCTCAAGAGCGTCGTGACGGGCCGACTGGTGAATGTGTACTCGGAACAAGACTTCATCCTTGGCTTCCTCTATCGCACCTCGAATATCCATTTCGGCGTTGCCGGCCTGCAGGAGATTCAGGGGGCGCATGGGGTGGAGAATCACTGCGTCGAAGACCTTCCGCGAGGCCACCTGGACTACCAGAACCTCACAGGCCGGATTCTCGAAGACATTGGCTGGGAGGGCATCGAGGCCAAGGCGGCCCCAAAGGCGGCCCCAAGGGCGGATCGCGTCCAGAAGCGGCCGGGGTCGAAAAGGGCGAAGTCGGCCAAGTAGGTGCTGGTCCACGACGAAGACGGGTGTTTGTACATCACAGGCATCTCGACGCTTGCCGTGACTGGTTGGCAAGCCTTGTTATTCAGCGCCTTGGGAGACAACCGGGGTCAAGGAATGGAGTTTAGGTAGCTGCATTGACATTCGCCATCAAGATACCACCGATTTGAATTGACACCGAAATGCCCCTCTGGATTCGCTTGATGTATTTTCTCTGTTGGGCGGCTCCCGTCCCGTCCCAACGAGACGTCCCTGATGCCGCCGGAGCCTGCTTCAACTTAAGGTAAACATGTACAAATGCATGCATGCACACAATGCTGCTGATGCTGCCACGGCTCGGATAGTCCAAAGCCCGCCTACCTGCGCCTGCCGATGACCCCAGCTCCGGCTATCGAGACAAGGCAGGACAACGGCAAAAACCCCGACCGAGAGAAAAGAGACAGGAGCCCATGAGGTCCGTCTGGTGAACGTGCCAGGTTTTTCCCTTCCCTTCCTTCCCCATCCCCCCCCCCCTTTCCCGCTCGCCTTGCCTCTTCTTTTTCCACATTGGTTCTGGTATTCCCTCCATGATCGGGGCCTCCACACTGCCCCGTCCCCTCGGCGAACGTATGTTTTGGCTGGTACATTACACAATGGCGCAAAAAGACAACAAGAAGAAGAGTGGTATAGTACAAGCAGGTGAAGGTGTGACTCGAGGTCTCCCAGCGGGATGCCCGCGAGTGCCCGCGTCTGGGGAAACGCGCAAAGGTTTTGCAGGCCGGGGGCCACGGCATTACGGCACCCGCTGAGAGGACGACGGCGCGGCCGAGAGGGCCGCAAAGGGGACAAGTCATGCCGGCGGCGTCATGCCGAGCATGCTGGGTACTTGCTTGCGGACAAGGCCCCTGGCACCCCTCTGCTCCAGGCGAGGCACTCCTTGGATGGCGCGTGGCTCGCGCATGAGGGAGCGGTCGAGACGGGATGGGACGCGGGTGACGACTGAGCGGTACTCGCCAGGGAAGTTGCCCTTGGGCAGAGGCACCGAAGCAGTGCGCCAGATGTGGTCGGATTTGTCCGCCAAGTAGGCGGGGGCTTTGCTGGCTGCGCTGCGTGACGGCGGTGCCATGTTCCAGGCGTTGGCCGACGCGCCATGAGACGCTCGGATTGTCGACAGGCGCGACAGGCCCGAGGGGAGGCCAGGGCGGCCGCGGGCCTTCTTCGCCATGATGATCTCGTCGAACAGCCGAACAGTCGGATCCATCGGTGCCAGCGTTTCGCGGTGGTGGATGAACTCGTTGAAGGCTGTTTGCACGTAGATTAGCATGTGGATAGACGGCTGGCGATTGCCAAACATGGGAGCAAAGCCAAAAGGAGAGACGAAGAGCGTCGAACACATACCCTGTGTATCCCGCAGCATTGTGGCATACTCCTGCTGATCATGCGGGAGGCCCCGGATGAATCCATCCATGTCAAAGGCGTACAGCTGGCCGTTGCTCTTCTGTTGCTTCGATGGCCGACCAAGATGCTTGCGGTACGTGTACATGAGGCTGGCCATGCACCGCACGAATGCGGCCCTGACTCGGTCCGCATGGAAGGCTTCTGGGCACACGAGCGACACCTGGCCGAGGCACCTGCCGTGCGCCAAGGTCTTGCAAGACGCACACTGGTAGATGCCGTCGCCGTCGGGCCGATCGTCACAAATAGTGCATGCCGAAGACGAGTCCCGAGGGTTGAGATCGAAGCAGTGACCCTCCACCCACATCGTCGACTCCGTGTTGTGCACAGGCTGGATCTGCATGTTGGGCATAATGGTCGAGGCGGCCAGTGTCGACTGCGCGTACGTGGACGGTGCATAGCCGCCTCCAAACGAGGACTGCGAGTCGACTGAGATGCCCGAGATGGAGGCGTTGGGCTGGTGCCCGTTGAGGAAGGGCACGCCCGGTCGGTGGGTTGGATGGAACTTGTCCAGACCAAATGATGAGCTTCGGCGACCCTTTTCCTCACCAAAGTGCCCCGAGCGCTTTTCGCGTAGAGTGGCTGTCAGGGCAAAGCCGGAATCGCTGCGCGACAGTGGAGTGGTGGGCATGGGCGGAAACTTGGTAGAAGCCGGGGAAACCGAGGATTCGGGGCTGGTCCTGCTCGACTTGCTCGTTCCAGGCCGGTCGGGCTTTGCGCTGTCAACAGCGGAGACGGTGAAGGCATTGAAGACGGGAGGGTGGACTTGGTCGGCAGGGTCCGGCTCGGCGAAACTGGACGAGTTTTGAGAGACCCATTTGCCCAGGGTGGCCGGCGGGGGAGTTGGGGAGAAAACGGAGCCGTTTTCGGATGAGAAGGAATCGTAGGGAAACGACTCGATGGCGTACGGAGGCGGGCCGACAGACACCCCGAAGCGTAGGGTATGAGACGCTGCCACCTGCAAAAGCGACATGAGCTTCCGTCGATGTGGCCTCGGCAGCCGATGCGGCTGAGAGGTGGCGTCGATGGTGTCCTGATCCAGGTCGACGAGAACGTAGTCGTCCTCGGGCAGCTCGATTCTCTCATAACGGCGCTCAACGCCGACAATATAGGGACACGGGGCCTCGAGGGCCGAGATGAGTCTCGCGGGCAAGACGGGGATGAAGATGCTGGCCCACTTGAAAGGATACAGCAAGTTGACCAGCGCATGGCAAGCCAGATGCAGCATGCTGGTATGGGACGAAAGGAAGATGATGCGTGACTCGGACATTGCGTACTCGAAGAGCGCCACAATGTTCTCCAGAGACAGACATCTGAAAAGGGCGTAAAGGTCGATGGTCCTGGACCCCGGCAGTTCGTTGCTGCCCTCCTTGCGCGAGTAGAGCCTCAGCTCTCTAACGCCCAGCTCCACCTGCGTCTTGGACCCGAGGGGACTGAAGGCCTCTGTGCAGAAATTGACGACGTAGCGTTCCAAGGGCTGCCAGCGGCCCACCTTGGGGGAGCTCGGGGGCACCCGCAGAACGCTGCCATCGGTCATGGGGACAAGAATGGACTTGAGCCATTCCTTCCAAAAGCTCATGTTGGCAGCGTCTCTGCCTAGGATGCCGTATGCGCGCGGTATCCACAGGCCGCTCTCGCCGGCGGTGAGGCCCTCGATCTTAGAGGCGGCACCGTGTCTCAAGGGCCGTAGCATGTCCGTCATGAGGGCAATCTTCTCTTCGACGGAGCCGATCTCGTCTTCGAGTCTGTCGCGGGCCGGGGATCCAGAAGGAATTGTCGGGAGTTTTGACAGCAGGTGGGAGAGATGTGACCGTTCGCCAGCCAGGCGCACCCCCAAGCTCGCTGCTAGCTCCCGTTCCTCATTGGACATGTGGTTCTGGCGCCATTGCTCGCACTTTGTCTCAATCTCGTCGGCCACGTCGGCCGTGAGAGCTGTCCATATGATGATGGTGATGCCGTAAAGCTTGGAGTTGTCGTCCGAAGTCATGGTAAAGCCATGCCATGTCGAGCGTGGTCGATCGTCGGACGAGACAATCTGGATGTCGTTTGGGAAGGCGAACATGGGGACGTAGTCGGGAAACTTGCCACGCTTGGGGATCTCGTCTATGGCAGACTTTGGTGGGTATCGGTCAAGGAGCACGGGCTCGAAGCGCCTCTTGAGGGGATGCATGTCGGGGTCTGTATTCAAGGGTTCTGGGGGAGGAATGACAGAGTTGTAGTTGCTGAGGCGTCTTGTCGTCCGCACAGAGGCTAGGGCGGGCTGGTTAGTAGGGCGGTTGGAGGTGTTTCCCGGGGAAGACCAACCTGCTCTGTTGGAAGGGCCCTGTCTAGCGGAGCTGGGCTGCTTGCGCATGCTGTTCATGTCCCTAAAGCTGATCTTGCGGCGGATGCTGCCCTTGAGGCTCTTCAAGGGGCTGACCCTGCCGCTCGACGCGCTCTCCTCGGCACGTATACGCTCGGCACGAGGATTGACCATGGGTGGTCTCGCCTGCGTCTTTGCACCGGCTGAGAAGGACAGGTCATCGAGGAAATGCTCGCGCTCGGCGGCAAACTTGATGAGGGCCGAGTCGAAGTCGAAGTCGCCCATCTGGGGGACGTGGGCGGCGTCCGCAGGAAGGCCACCGTTGGTGGCAGCGCCATTGGATCCCGAGCGGCGGACAGGCTTTATCGTGGCGCTGCTCCTGTTGCTCCTGGTATTACCATCGAGCTCGTCGAGCGTGCTGATCGAGAAGCGGCCGTCGACGGAAATCTTGGACAGGCGATTGGCGGAGCTCTGGCGCGAGTGGCGTGCAGCGGTCGTCTTGGGCTGGCCATTGAAGGAGTTTGGGTCGGGCTCGCCATGCTCGCAAATGGTGGAGCCGACAGGAAGGTGCATCGGCTGCAGCCCATCGTCATGGGATATCGACTCTACTCCGGCGATCCAGAAGTAGTCGGCCAGGGGAGTCGAGGGTTCCTCCATGACATGTCAGGGCTGGCCAGCGTCGAGCTGGGGGCGCGGGCGACGGAATGCGAGAGGCGGCGTGGGGAGAGACCAAGGGAGAAGAGCTCCCTGCCCTCTCTCTCCTCTCTTGCTTGGCTTGACTGGACTCCGGGGCGGGCGAGAATGAGGGGAAAGGCGGAAAGGGTGATGGCAGGCTTGAGGAGAGGAGAGGAGGAAAAAAATGAGGACGAAAAGGGGGGGTAAAAGGTTCCGCCCAAAGCTGCGGCGGGGGTTCTAGGACAAGTTACTGCGGCTCCGAGGACTGGAAGCCCTTTGCTGCGACGCACCAGCTGCAAGCTGCAGGCAAAGGGCTCAGGCGCGAGGATCGACCCGAGGGCGTGTTTTTGAAGTCGCTGGACGACGGTCGCAGCAGCGGATATAATACAGTAGACGATGGCCGTCCGCCGCACCTGTGAGGCGAAGTGGTGCAACGACAACAGGGGGGTTGGATTGGTCGACGAAGGGGGCGACTGGATCGTCGGCTCCGAAACGGGAGGGGGGGTGTGACAGGTTGAGGAATGGGACCTCGAGCGGGCTTATCGCTGATTGTCGAGCAGACGCGGTGCGAACCTGAGCAGACGGCGGGAGAGACGGTTTGCAGGAGAAGAGTCCGGAGGCAAATGGATATGCACAGGAGTGAGTACCTAGGTAGGCGGATGGGGAACAAACAGCCAAAAGACGGGCAATGCGAGGCAAGCTTTGGTTAGGTAGGCTGCCCAGAGAACCTGGTACTATCTACTTGGTGTGCCCTGGGGATTTCGTATGCATGTTGTTACGGAGCAAGTCGTCGCAAACCATCAGACCCCGTTATTACGCGCTTGCACGTAAAGTCGTTGTTTGCTGAGGTTAGGTTGGGGCCAAGTGGAGAGAGATGGGGGGGGGGAGACGCCAGCGCCAGCGTCAGGGCAGCAGAGTGCTAGGGTACTTTAGGTTCGGAGGGGATGGCACGTCGCGGGTACCTGAGATGATGATGATGCTCTTCCATCAACAAGAGAGAGCGCGTGCTTGGACCCAGGATAGGTAGGTACCTAGGTATACAGGGGTACAAGATTATACGATGCGCAACGGATACATGCATACCACTTTGTACATGCAATTGTGGAGGGGACGGACGCCGCCTGGCCTGGGTCTAGGCTTAGGGCTCCTGCAACGGCCGTTGTACACCAAATGGTAAGGCACCCAAAGTACTCCGTACCCAAGGTACAGAGCCTCCTTGCTTAACACGAAGGCTCCTCGGTGGAGCGCGCGGGACCCCATTGTCGTCGCTCTCAATTGTCGTCGTGTACCCTGGCAGTACTTGATAGTAGTACTGTAGCACACAGGATTGGCCTTGGCGATCCGCCGACCCAGCTTTTCATCTCCCCAACTTTGCTGCGCTGTGGTGTAATTAATTAGCGCCCAACTCAAGCTCACGAATGGCCTTCCACCGCCTTTCCTCCTCCTGCAAGGCACATACATGTCTTGGCACCATCCCCTTTTCCATCTTTCCTGTCCAAGCCCGGTCAGACCTTGGATTTGGTCCGTGCCAAGGCGCAACGGTACCCGCCGTCCTCTCGGATGGGGGCACTTGTGGAGAAGGCACTCGATGCGCTTGCCTCGTTTCAAGACTCTCGCGAGTCATTCCCTGGCCACTATAAACCCCATTCCAGGAGTTATAAATACCGCACGTATCCAGTTCCCAGTTTTGCCCAGTTTTGCCCCGTCTCTTGGCTGCAAAACGGACGTCATCCAGCGCAGAGCCGGTACCATGGCATTGGCAATGAGCCCAATTAGGCATTGGCGATGGACCCAAGGTACCCCCGTCTGTTTGTGTGGGCTTTTTTTCCTTTTCCCATGACGCTGCGGAGAGTCGAGATGGCACGACTACAAATACCGCGCAGGGAGAAACGAATTCCTTCTCATAATGACAAAGCAGACACGAAGAGCAGGTCAGCTCGCTCGGCACTGGGCCAAATCTTTACTCCGCAAGTCTGGGGACGCGCGGCATATAGGCCGACGAGAGACCCATTTCGCGATAACAAATGCAGGGAACGATGAGGTTTCTCAATGACGTCAGAAGCAGCAACTAAAATCCCAAGTTGAAGGAAGGCCGGCTCTTCTCCAGGCAAAGCATGAGAAAATATTGACAGAGATGCCAAGTTGTATGTACTTTGCCAGACAACAGGGCATGGGAACAGATGGAGATGGTCACCGCTCATGAGCCCGTTTCCTTAGACTTGGAAGGAGGAACTCCCAGGGGCCAATGCTGCAGGCGATCAGGGGCTTGCAGATTGGGAAAGCGGCCCATTACCTATTTTTACCGCAGGGCCAAACCTTGAAAGTACCTAACCAACCATGCCAAAAGTACATGCAATACGAAGTATATGCCGAGTACTCACGTCCGTATAGGTACCTAGTAACCAGACATGCTGTGCGACGACTCCACCGCCCACGGCAACGCGCTCGACTGCTGCATCAATACCACCTTACTTTCCTGGTTCAATGCTAGAGCAAAAGTACGGTTTGGCTTGTATGTTAGGTAGAGATATGTATGAGCTCGCGCTGAGGGACGCCAAGTATTCTACCCCGTACGTGTACGTACTGTAAATCCGCCACCAGACAAGCCACATGCACACGCACCAACCTCCTCATTTGCTCTTGGTCCTGCCGTGTACCGAGTACCGCGTCAAGCCTCCTAGCGTGGGCGCTCGGTAGTCGGAACAGCGCCATGCCCGAGCCGAACGCAGCAGCCACGTGCAAGGGAGCAAAAACGGCCCGCTGCCCTGTAGGCTGTAGGTGCAGTACCTGCGCAAGTCTGCATTGCATCGTCACGGTCAAAAAAAAAATTGCTGCTGCACAAGCCATGAGAAAAGCAAGCCGAGCAAAAAGGCTTAAGTACATAATTACGAGTCGGCGTCGTGATCGAGTCGGCGAGGGAAAAGCGGGCGACAGACATCGTGGGTCCAACCTCGAGCTGCCCTCTTCCGCGCGAATCCGGGGTAGCCCCAACGACATGGCGGCCGGGGGGTCTCTCTCCCCTCTTTTGGGGCCTTCTTTTGACCGGTGCTTTTCCCGCCCTGCTTCAGCCGCCCGCTCACCGAGATGCAGCCTCTTACACTATCATCTAGACGCCCAAACTGTCACATCCCAATACACAGCTTCTGTCGAGTAGATCCAATCGCATCGCCACGCATCAGTGTCCAACCGCGCAGCCTTTCTTCCCAACTACTTCTTGCGACTTCGCGGCCACGCCATCACCGTCTCACCTCCGCGGCTGACAAAGAACTCCCCTGTCTGTGCGGCGCTGCGTCTTGTTGGCCACCAGAAAAGCTAGTACGTACGTAACAAACTACAAGCTGACTTTTCTCTCCAGATGCGAGCCAACAGGGAGCTAGCCATTTGCGGTACCCGAGAGAGGTCCGAGAGCCTCAACCTTCCATGCCGCGGCCGTCGAGCCTGGCCTATCGCGGAACCCGCGTGGGTCGCCGTACACTATTACACTCTGCATGAACCCGGCGTCCGAAACACCACAGCCCTCGCCGTGCCTGGACCGCAGTGCCAGCCGCCGCCCCGGCCCGGCTCTCAGGCATCCCTTCTTCGGCCCCGAGTCTTCCGACGGCATTGCCCCCCGACTGCCTTGGTCTCCACCTTGAGTGCCTTCAAGTCTGTTCCCGTGTCCTCACCTGTCCACCCGCGTCCCGAGCCTCCCCGTGGACAGGAATCCTCGGTTGCCCATCTGCCCCCGCCACCCAATGCCCAGGACCCCAAACGCGACCCTGCCGTCCGCGGCGTCCTCGCTCTGTTTCTTCTCCTCGTCCTCGATGACGAAGCACACCTGCTCCACCTCGCCCGGATGTAGCACCGGCTTTTCGCCCCCGCTCGTCTCCCAGTTGCAGTCGCCGTACTTGAATCCCTCGTCCAGTTCCATCACCACCTTTTCCAACTGCACAATGTCCTCGCTGCAGTTCTCAAGCTGCGCCTCGAGCACCCATCTCCTCCTCCCCTCGCCGTCGGCGCCAAGCACCCCGACCTTGGTCCGCACAATAAGAGACGCCTTGCAGATGAACTGGTACAGTTTTCTAAACGTCCTCGTCCGCCCGCTAGTCTCCGAGGCTTCGTAGTAGCTCACCGTCACAGCGAGCACGTGGTTGCCCTCATCCTTCAGGTCAAACGAGACGACTTTTTGCAGCGTCCCGCCAGCCTCGAGGTCCGTCCCAGCCCCAATGCCATCGCCCTCCGGAATGAGGTCCAGTTCATGTGCCGCGCCCGGGCCGGGCGTCTTCATCTCCGCCTCGATGCGCACATCGCATATTCTCTTGACCGAGTCGGCCGGGAGATCGTTGTTTGCGCAGAGGGTGCAGCTGAACGTTTCGCCCACGTAGGCGGAGCCAAAGGACACGGGGAGGTTCAGTATCGGGCTGAGGAGGAACGGGGCCGGGTTTGTGTCTGCGTCAGATTGGTAGGCCAGAGAGGCGGGTGCGAAAGCCGGCCGCGTCGCCGTCGTCGAGAGGGGCGCTTCGATGGGATACTGCGTGACGAGCGACGGGCGCGAGAGCCTATGGTGCCTGTGGTCAGTCGGCCGGCCCGTCGAGACATGGCGATGCGGGATGTTTGCCTTAGGACTTTGACAGAGACGTAGTGAGGTTCCTTAATGGGGTCGTGCGAGGCTTGTCTCTGGTGGCTCATCTTGAGGCAATTGCTGTTGATTTCTATCACGGGGGAGGCGGTCTGTCGCAAAGGCATGCCCCGGCTAAGGTGGGCGGTCCTATCGATAAGCTCCGGCATGATACACGCCGAGACCCACGCCGATCGGCGCTCTACCACCATCCAACCTCATTCACGCTTCCACCGCGAGCACCCTTTTCCCTTTGTCTCGTTGAAATACGGTGACCATGAGTCTCCTCCAGATCCACGAGTTCCTGGGCTCACATCACAATCTACGCCATGGCCCTCTGCCTGGTCCCTTAGCTCAAGCAAATGCTGCATCGCCTCTTCCCTTTATGCAGCGGATTTCGATCCATCGATACATCTCTGACTGAATTCCGTAATTAGCCTTGTGTTCACCATCTTGACGGCGAGGTTATGGATTACAAGTACAAGCAGCGGCTTTCCATCCGTACGGCCACAAATCGCCTCTCCGTCTCAACTTTGGTGCGTTTTTCGATTCTCTATCCTCACGTTAGTCGTTTAACCACCTCCATCGACAGTGCAAGGAACCCACTCTCACCCATCAAGCCACCTTCAGGCTCCTCGCCTTTCTTTCGATTTAAAGGCCAGGTGGAGGGGGAACCTATACCGGTGTGAGTAACTGACGGATCAGGAGAATCCTTCATCGATGTCATTGCATACCGCGTTGTAGCCACTTCCGGGAGCTGGAGATGCGCCCATCGGGGGTGGTGGTGCAGCATCAGCCGGTGGAGGCGGGGGTGCCGCGTCGCCCGGGGGGGGAGCAGCCGCTTGGCCGGGAGCAGCCTGACCAGGAGCAGTTGGCGCACCCTGGCCCTGCGCTTGCTGCTGATAATAATACTGGTACCAGGCCACGTAGCTGTGAAGAGTCAGTCGACGGCCCAATGGCAGAAATCACGCGCACATGGGCCTACTTCTGATAGCCGCCATAGGCCGCATAAGGGTCCTGGCCATTGCTGTAGTACTGCGCAGCATACTGAGACCAGTCTTGAGCGTTGCCCGACCCGTTAGCTGCTACGCCTCCAGTAGTGACCGAGTTCGTGGCTTGATCGGATCCGGACCGACCATAGGAAGGCTGCTCGTGGGATCTGCCCCCGCGATGGTGGTCTCCGTAGCCGCCGCGATCACCGCGGGGAGGGCGGGATTTGAACTCCTCGTACTGCTCCTTGACATTGGCAACCAAGTCTTCACAGAGCTCCTTTCCCTTGGCCACCATTGCAGGGTCTGGTCCGCTAAGATGGGGTCAGCAAACATGTTCGACAAAGGGAGGGAGGCGATCCATACGTCACGTGAAGAAACATCTCTTCCTCGCTCTCACGGTTGGTGGCATTCTCGAGGTAGCCCGATCCAAGGCCCTTGATCTGCACTCGGCAGCCTGTCTCGGACTGAATGTGCTTCACATATGATCCTCCAGAGCCAACAATTTGGGCGCGAAGGTTGAAGCCGGGCACTGGCTCCAGCCCGACGGGAATCTTCTCCTCGGGCCATTTGCGCTGGAGAATCATTGTTAGACCAATTGCACATGGGCGTCGAGATGATAGATTGTTCCGAGGCAACGTACCCGTCCGTACTCATCACGCTCGACTTGCGGCTGCTGCTCCTGGTCACGGCGTCGAAAGCGCCGTTCATCGACCAGTTGCGGGAGCTCCTGCTGGATAAGCTCCTGGACTTTGGCCACAGCAGCCTCGAGGCCGTCTTTGGTGGTGCTGGTGATGTGCAGGTACAGCGGGGGGCTCTGGAGAGGATTCAGCAAAAGGCCTGTGGGACAGGGCAAAAAAGACGATGGGCCAGACTCACGGCTGCAGTTGCCATGTTCTTGTTAGGGTAGTAGCTGCCACGCGTTGTTACGTCTTGACGAAAAGTTAACAAGGGACATCAGTGATAGGTTCAGCGAGGGTCGAAGCGTACCAGCGCCGGTTTCGTCCTTGATCTAGGGCAAGAGGGTGTCAGTAGGAGCAGAGACAGGGGGAGTCATACGAGCTCTGTGCCGCGCAAGCAAGACGTATTCGCAGTGGACCAGGCGTTGCACATGCCCGAGCTGGAACGAATCTGGAGAATCAGTGGAGCGTCAAGAGTAATTACCATTTTCTGAGTCGAGCTCTTGGTGAGCAGGTAGCGGTTGCGCAGGTCGTTGACTTCGATGTCTTTGATGTAGTCCCCGTCGGCGACGTACATGGCGCCATCCACTGTGCGAGCCGTAGCAGAGCCGGCCGAGGACGTCGTCGCCTTGACGGAAGCAGGGGGTGTCGGGCTCTGCTCCGGCTTGTTGATGGGCGGCACGTCGACATGCTGGATTCCCTTGCGAGCCTGCAGCTGCGCGTTGATGCGGGCGGCGGCGGCGGCTGCGCAGAGTAGAAGAGTTAGCACGCGGTGGCGTGAGGCAGGCGTCGCGAGCTCCGCAATGTCGAGACGGGTGAAGGCCATACCAGCGGCAGCGGCAGCATCAATGGGGGACTTTGTGGACTCGGATGGGGGATCCCTGGAGAGCGGGCTGCGCTCGCGAGCATCGAAGCGGCGGGCGGGCGGCGAGCGAGACCGTCGATCGAAGCGAGAGGCTCTCTTAGGCTCGGGCTCGGTTTGATCGAAGCGGGATCGCTTGCCGGCGAGGCGATCGGCGTCGGCCATGATGGACAATGTGGTCCGAGGCTTCAGCAGGTTCCGTGAGATGCAATATGAGCGCTTGGCTGCGACTCCCAGTCCCGAGGCAGGTTGTGGAGTTGCAGGAAGCCGGGAGGGCGCGGTGTTTTGGAGATGAAGCTGTTGAGTTGGCGCTGGCGTTGCGCCGTCTTGGGCTGTTGCCAGTGGGAAAATTATCAGCAGTCCCCACGGCCTTTTCATTGGCTGCCGGTCGAGGTGGAGCCCCGCCCGCCAGCTGCGTAGTATCAACTACTGGGAACCACCTAAGGTAGGCAACGGATTCGCCCATCTAGCGAATTCGGCATAGCTGCCACCAGTGTCTTGTTCCATGAACTCTACGACCATTGATACATGGAGAGAGGCTTCAACCTTTTCCCTCCGAGACCCCGTGGCCGAGCACGGAGTACATACAAGGACGCCTTGTTTCTACTGAGCTTATGGCCCCGATCGCAACTCATCACCATCGTAACTTTGAAGGAACAGAGACGCATATATTGCAGTCCACAGAGCTTAGGCCTGAACTCTGGACAATTGTTGGCCGAGTCCCTCTAATCCAGCCAGTTGCCACGGAAAGAAATCAACAAATAGCCTGTACATCCAGAAAGCAGATTTGGGGTGCTGGTCGCATATTTGCGCACTCTTCGAGTCTCATCCTGCACGGCTTTCCTCACAAAGTCCCGCGTCTGCATGGCACTGGCGGCCAAGGTGGCCTTGGGCGCCGACGAATCCACCACTGACTAACCAGGGGGCAGCTGGCTGGCATCAACAACCTCATCCGCCTCCTTGTGGATGGGCTCCTCCGCAGGGGCGTGTAGAGGGGATCGAGGGAGTGCCATCAAGCCGGTGCGAGCCGACTCGAGGATGCCGAAAGGCGCAACCAGTTTCAGGAACGAATCGATCCTCGATTGCTTTGCGGATCTAGGATATTGTGAGCTTGAGCCGCGAACTAATACAATGTCTTGGTGCGTGACTTACAGTTCAACGATGCAGCTGATGGTGCTGATATCCAGGACCTTGCCTCCGAACTGGTGTGTAAAGTATGTGATGGTCTTCAGGTGCTCATGCTTATGTCGCAGGGCCTCGCTGGCAGCGAGCTTGCTGGGATGAAAGTCCTGCGCCGACTCTTCGAGGGACTGCGCCTGCCGCTCAGCTCCCTCGGAAGACTTGCCCGATTCTCCGGCGGTGATCTCGCGGTGATGAGCCAGAAGCTCCTCAAAGTATTCGGGGCCGAGAATGTTGATCTTGGTCAGCAGGAGCTCGCGCTGAACGAGGGCCGCATTGCTGTAATCCAAGACGGCCCAGACAGGGACAAGGTCCTCGAGCTGTCTGCGGGCCTGCTCGACGACGCCGTCTTGGCCCGTGAGCACAATGGTCATGCGAGACAGATCCTCAACCTCCGTGTTGCAGACAACCAGAGAGTCGATGTTGAAGCCCCGGGCAGCCAGAATGCCGGACAGGCGGGACAAAACACCGGGCTCGTTCTGGACCAAGCAGTTGAGGATGTGGCGCTTCGGACGAGCCATGGACGGAGTCGGCGTCTCATAGAGAATATTGGAGACGGCAGCTTGAGCCGACCACGAGGGCGGGGAATTGGTCACGGGCAGAGGAGCAGATCGGTTTCGCAAGGCCTTGTAAGCGATGGCAGATGTCGAGCTGCTGCTGGACGAGCTGCATCGGACGGCGCCGAGTGGGGTGCTCCACGGTCGGCTCCAGCTGGCGGCGGCAACCCGGCGCAGGGGCGCGGGACAGCACCGGAGCGACGCCATCTGGCAATCGACTGAGGGCGGCAGTTGCTCTCTGGTCGATCAAGGTGCCGAGGATGAGCGAGGAATGCACGTCGTGGACTTTGGACGTGCAACGGGGGTTTCAGTGGTCAAGCGCTGGGGAAGACGCTAGCTTTTCTGTACGTGGGGCAATCGCGCACGTGATGGCGCCGCTCATTGCCTGGTAACGCGGCCAGCACCGATCTCGGACAAGGTCGACTCAACGACTTGGCAAGGCCTGAGGCTTCCTCCCACAAGCACGTGATTACAAGAAGCGGCCATGGCAGGCTCCGGACGGCTTGGCTCCGGTTGTTTCCCAGAGTTATCATGTTTGGGCACAGCATCGAAACCTCTTTAGCATTCTTGTAGTTACTTGGCACACATCGTCGCTCAGCTCTCAATCGCCAATGCTTTCATCCCGATAATCTTCCCCTCAAACCTGGACACGACCCAGTATTCCACCCTCGTCGTATCCCGCTCGACGCGATAGACCCTTACGTCGTTGCCCTTGCTCGCCTCACGCACCGCGTCAATAACATGGGTATAAAGGCACTGCGCGTCCCACCCTACCGGGTCCATGATCTGAATGTCCGCATTCTCCGCGTCCCAGTGATGGATGAGCTTGGCGAATTCGACTGCATTTGCTGTCAGTTTCTCCGACCTGTGTCTGGGGGCGCTCGTTGTCGAGGTGGCCATTGTACAGTACCTTCATCCGGCAGCCCACCCTCTCCGTCCCACTTGAGCGAGACAGGCTCAAACGGTTCGTCGGTGTCGCTCTCGTAGAAGGGACGCGGGGAAATGTCCTTGATGGCCTTCGGCACAGGGCTCCCCTCATCCAGGGCCTTGAACACGCCTTTTCCACCGCTCGACTGCTGCTGCGCCGGCGCCTGTCCGCCGCCGACGTCCTTGTTCGCCTTGTCCAGAAAGGCCATGTAGTCCTCGTCGCTCGCCATGGTTTCGCTTGAGGGTCGGCCTGTCGACAGGGTTCGTCGGCTGACGAGAGTTCCCAGTGTGGCTGGTGGGGTAGTCGCAGAGCTTGTCGTTGCGAGTAGTTGCGACGTGCCGAGACGAGACGGTCCAATGAGAACAGGCCAATGAAGCGATGTGATGCGTGTTGCGGTCGCTGGCGCAAGGCGTCGTCGCGAAACGGCGTGCAGAAGGGATTGCTGCAACATGCGTAGTGATGGTCCTCCAACTCCCAGGTTGGGCTGCCCGGTTTTGCCCATCCAAAAGTGGGGGTGACGTCAAGATGAACGTCTTTTTTTATACCCGCGGAGTCGCTGCCCCGCCAGCACATTTAACTGTTTTCTTACGTGACAAAACCATGTTTCACTAGGATACAATGATTGTACCAACGGCTCACAGGAGCGCTCGTCAAGAAGGCCCTGTTACTACAGCGTCGTGTTTGTCACGTCTCAATTGATATCTTCATTCGTCCGTCTGCCGGATTTTTCATGTTCGTCCCGTTGTGGAAACCCGACCCAGCTGAAAGCAAGGCAAAACAAACCCTCGACACCGATGCCATGGCCAAGATAAAAAAGGAAACAAGCCGCCGCTGCTTATGCGGAGGCAATGTCCTTCTTGAGAGTGCCCTGGTATTGCTTCTTCTCGGCGGGCGTCTGGAAGGCGCCGTGTCCAAACTCGGACGACGTATCGATCCACTTAAGATTGATCTTCTCCAGAGCCTTGCGCGAGGTGTGGGTGAACATTGACTTGCGCAGCGTCATGACACGCTTCTTGACACCAGGGACAGAGCCCTTAACCATGATGAAGTCGTTGTTGATCTCTCCATATCGGACAAATCCACCCATGCTGAACCGGTAGTTAGCAAAGCGACCCGCCTCGAGAGTTTAGGGACCGGTTTTACGTACGGGGTGATAGTCTTCTTGGTGACGTCGGCCTCGGTAGAGGCGTTGTCGTCGGCGTCGCCCTTTCCGATGCGGTAAACCTTGTGGTTGACCGAGGTACGGTGGTGGTAACCCATTTGACCAGCACGGGCAACAGTCCACTGGACGTGGGAAGGATGCCAGGCACCGATACAGGCAACCTTTCGCAGACCCTTGTGGGTCTTGCGAGGCAGCTTCTTGGTGCCCCAGCGAGCGGTGACACCGTTGAAGCCGTGGCCCTTTGTGACGGCAATGACGTCGATCATCTCGTCCTGCTCGAAGACGGTGTCGATGGAGACGGGCTTCTCGAAGAGGTCCTTGCCGAACTGGACCTTGTCGGCAATGGAGCCGCCGTTGACTTGAATCTCCATGAGATGGGCCTTCTTCTGCTTAAGGGGCGTCTTGCGGATCTGCGTGTGGGCGAGGACGCGGACGACGGTGCAGTACTTCTTGATGCGCTCGAGCTCGCGCGTGATAGAGGCGCCGCTGCTCTCCGAGTGCTGCTTGGCATACCGGGTAAAGGCCTTCTTCTTGGACTTGTACCAGTTCTTGTAGAATCGGCGCTTCAGCTCGTCGCTCAAGTGCTCGGCCCAGATGGTGGTGAGGGAGCGGAGGCCACGGGGGGTCTCGATGTAGCCAACAAGACCAACAACGATCATCTAGGGGAGTAGATGTTAGCCATAGGCAGAAAGCCAAGCGGGCTGCATTGTTCGTACAGGTGGCGTATCGATGACCGTGACGGCCTCGACGACTTCCTTCTTGTTGGCTTTGGCGCCGGGTCGGTCGAGGTCACGGACGATGGTGGTCATGCCGGCCTTGTAGCCCATCGTGGCGGTCAGGTGGACGGGCTTCTTGGGGTCATCCTTGGGGAAGCTGCAGAGGCCGTCGCCGTCAGCCGTTGCTCCGCGTCGTGGGGCGAGCAGGAGTACTCACGACTTGACCTTTCCGCGGTGGCGGGCAGCACGCTTCCGTGGCAGGAAAGCCAGGGAGCCGTGGCGAGGAGCCTCAAACTTGCGGTGCTATCCATGGAATCAGCATTGGTGCGAAGACGGACTCGGCGACAGGCGACGAACACTCATTTTGGGCGGGCTGCGTGGTTTGAGGGTTAGTATGGAGTTGACAAGCCTGCGAGCCGTGAGAAGATTTTCCTGCAGACTGACTTGTGCGTGAAATTTTAAGCGAGGTGTGCATGGGCAAGCTTGTGGGTGGCCCGTGCACGGCTGCTTGCCCCAGCAGGGCCAAAAAAACGGTACGTATGGATACTGGTACGGAGTACGGAGGGAGTACTTGGTACCCCGGCGGGCAGGGCAGCGCGCTTTACCCTTTACCACGGCTTCACCGAGCGGCCCAAAGCAGGTCATGTACCCGCGTACCTCCCGAGGCTAAGCGTCAGTTGTGGCTCTCAGTCGTTGGTTTCGGGTTGGTCAGAGCCGCCTGCGCTGCCAAAAGGGCCCTGCATAATAAGTTGCGCAGACAACTTACTTCTGCCCGCAAAGCATCCTGCAGCACGTAGAAGCCGATGCAGATCGCGACGCTCTCCCTCTCAAACAGACCCTTCCCCAACAAACAAACAACCACCGATCGACTTTCGGCCTGACGATTCCTTTCAGCCTTTCACCTCCATCCGCATCGTCAGTCGACTGCGCCGACTCTTGTTCCCCCGGCGCATCGACGGAGTCCAACGTCGCATCGGCGCACTCGTTCGCCCTTGAAGCTCGTCTCATCGGCAGATATGTGCGGCATCGTCGCTCTCATCTTGGCCGACACCGACTCGCACAATGCCGACGCGGCCGTCGACCTGCATGAAAGCCTCTATTACCTTCAGCACAGAGGCCAAGATGCGTGTGGCATCACCACCTGCGGCGCGGGCGGCAGAATCTTCCAGTGCAAGGGCAATGGCATGGTAGCCAAGGTATGCCTCTTGTCGCCAGTCGCCACCTGGTCCTTGCTTACGCCATCGCACAGGTATTTGGAGATGGCAAGCGCGTCGCCGACCTCCCGGGATACATGGGCATCGCCCATCTTCGCTACCCGACCGCGGGAACGAGCTCGGTATGCTCTCTCTCATCCTGCGAGAACATGCGCCCATGATACTTTCTCTTGCGCGTCAATGCCACTGGCCAAGAGACTCGACATACCCACCGCGCATCAAGCTTACATATAACTGCTCGCATAGAGCGCAGAGTCGCAGCCCTTCTACGTCAACTCGCCCTATGGAATATGGTGAGTGCTAGATGCTATCGCATCACCGACTTGAACTTACCCGCGACAGTTGCGCTCACAACGGAAACATCACCAATGCCCCCGAGCTGCGCCGTTTCCTCGACCAAGAGGCGCACCGCCACGTCAACACCGACTCCGACAGCGAACTGATGCTTAACATTTTTGCCAACGCGCTCAACGAAACCGGCAAGGCCCGAGTCAACGTCGACGACATCTTCAAGGCCCTGACCAAGATGTATCAGAAATGCGAGGGAGCATGGGCCAACACAGCCATGATTGCCGGCTTCGGCATTTTCGCTTTCCGCGACTCCTTTGGTATCCGGCCTCTGGTCATGGGCAGTCGGCCCTCGGCGACGGTCCAAGGTGGGACCGATTACATGCTGGCGTCTGAGAGCATCGCACTTCGCCAAGTGGGCTTCAAGGATATTCGAGACATTCTCCCAGGCGAGGCAGTCTTTATTCAAAAAGGCGGAAAGCCCGAGTTTCGGCAAGTGGCGGAGCGCCAGGCATATTCGCCAGACATCTTCGAGTACGTCTACTTTGCCCGGCCAGACACGGTCATGGACGGCATCTCGATCCACACGAGCAGACAACACATGGGCGTCAAACTGGCCAAGAAGCTCAAGGACACCCTTGGCGAAGACGGCATCAAGGAAATCGACGTCTTCATCCCAGTGCCAGAAACGAGCAACACCGCCGCCTCCGTCGTGTCCGAGCAGCTCGGCAAGCCCTTTTCCAACGGATTCGTCAAGAACCGCTATGTGTACAGGACCTTTATCCTGCCCGGGCAAAAGGCGCGAGAAAAGGGCGTTCGAAGAAAACTGAGCGCCATGGAATCCGAGTTCCAGGGACGCGTTGTATGCTTGGTAGATGATTCCATCGTTCGCGGTACGACAAGCAGAGAGATTGTGAGCATGGCGCGGGAGGCTGGTGCCCGCAAGGTCATCTTTGCGAGCTGCGCGCCCCCCATTACGTATCCGCACGTCGTGAGTCCGAGCCTTGGTCATACCGCGTCGAATGATGACGCTAATGGGGCCTAGCATGGCATTGACCTCGCCAGCTCGAATGAGCTCATCGCGCACGGCAAGACTAGACAGGATATCGCAAAGCACATCAACGCCGACGACGTCATATACCAGGATCTCGAGGATCTCAAGGCCGCCTGCACAGAGTCTTCGCCTCAAGGGCACATCAAGGACTTTGAGGTGGGCGTCTTCTGCGGCGAGTACAAGACGGGGCTTCCCGACGGCTACCTGGAGCACCTGGATCGGATACGGAAGAAGAAGTCGAAGCCGGCGGCATTTGCAAGTGCTCAGCAGCCGAGTACGAATGGGAACGGCAGGCCCGTACATACAGTCGCCGACAGCCCGCCGGCCATCGTCAACGGACGACATGACGTGGCTTCGCTAGCATCAACCATAGAGCCCCGGAGCCCCGAGCACCGTGAGGACGTCGGGTAAGCATGACCCTGGAGAGGCTTCTCAGAGTGGTGATGGTGGTTTACTGACCAGTTGTTTACGCACAGTCTTCACAATCTGGCGATGGACCCGTAGACGGCATAGACGGAACCAAGGATCATCGGGACACGGCGACGGATTGGAGCAGGCCGTCGGCATGGCAAGAGGCGGCGACTAGCTTGAGTTGAGCAGGTACAGACTGATTAGAATATAGATCTGGTGGTGGAATAAAGGCATCACTGCCTCTTGGTCTTTGCGTTCCTTTACATTTAAGACACAGGGAGCGGCGGAGTTGTGTCTGCTTGGATTAGGAATAGATGCCGTCGAACGGCGCGGGCGGCCGGATCCGCCGCGCGAACAGTAACGCTGCTGCAGAGGCTGGCATAAATGCTTGCTTGGACCCCTCGACGGTTTGGAAACTCTTAGCCGTCGAGGAGTGTGCATGTCACGTGATTGTTTTCCGGTACGTACTTCGTTCTCCATCTCGAGCATCAACACCGCGTTGGGGAATGATTTTGCTAGTCAGGGATGCGTAGAATAACTAGAGCTCGGATATCGTTCGCCGGCGGCTGTGTAGCCAAAAAGAAAACAGGCCGGTCCCCCCACATCATCGACCTGACCTCCCATCACAAAGAGAATCAGGCAATTGCCCGGCGTGGTATACATCAAGGAAGACATAAATGAAGTTACCGCATGGTTTTGAAAAAAACCATTGGCCTATTCGCATCCTCCCTTTTTTTCCTTTCCACGGACGTCACTCGGCTTTTGTGGCAGTACCCGAGGAACCATTGACCCCGGCATTCGCAGGCGTCGACGTTTTCCCATCCGTGGACCCTGGTGCCGCAGCAGATCCGTTGGCAAGAACCGCCTTCTTGTCGTCTTCGCCGCTGTCATCGTAATCCTCGTCCACGTCCATCTTCCTGGCCGCTCTCTCAGGCTCTGCAACAGTCGGGGGTGGGGGAGGAAGATTGGCCTGCTCAGTTGCCGGCCGCTCTTCCTTAAGGGGCGGCCCCGCGTGCGGCTTCTCCTGCACGACCCCCTGCATGGCGGAACTAGATGGTTGTTGCATAGGTGGCAGTTGACTGGGTCCGACAGGTTGAGGGTGATGGGCAGCTTCAGAGGGATGGTAGCCGTCATTCGGAGGACGCACGTCTTCCACTTTCCTCGTTTCTTCGCCGCGACGCTGCTCATCAGGGCGACGAGACTCGGACGAATTGCGGCGATACGCGTCACGGGGAGGAGTCGAGGGTCTTCTGTGTCTCAGATCATCAAGACGTGCTCGATTCTCCTCGTTTGCCTGCTTCTTGGCTGCAGATTCCTCTTCCCACTCTCGCATCCGCTTAGGACCAACCGAGGAGGGTCGGTCATCCATGCGCTGGGCGGATACCTCAGGCCCCGATGGCGCCGAGGCCGGTCCGCCCTCGGGGGCAACTTGCGGTGGCGCCTCCGGGTGATGAGCGTAGGCCTGTGGCGGCGCTTGGTGCTGAGGGTAGGCCGACTTCGGCGAGGGCATTCGAGTATCGTGGGCGACACGGCCGTCAGCACGTGGGCTGTTATTCGACCTATAAGGAGCCATACCGTTTGGCGGAGGATTGGCCCCGTTGGCGGAGCTCGACGGGGGCGCGGAAGCTGAAGGGGTGGCGCCACCCCAGTTGGGATTCACGACCCGTCGATCAGTCGGGGCCGGGCCTTGTGAAGGAGGGTGAGGCGGAGGACCCTGAGAGTATTGGTGTCCAGCAGGAGCTGGAGACATGCCGCGACGCGAGAGTCCGCCCCTGCCAGCGTCTGGGTAAGGCTGCTGACGCATTTGCGGCTCCTGCGGCGGGCTGGGCTGCCGTTGCGGAGGCGGAGGTGGGCCGCGGAAAGGCTCCCGACCCTCATAGGGATTGGGGGGCTGTGGTGGCGGGTTAACGTTAGAGAGCCCGCGCGCCCAGTTCTCTCCAGCGCCAGCCGGGGGCGGCGGAGGACCGCCAGAGGGGGGCTGTTGCGCAGATCCTCCCCACTGGGGCCCGACAGGGCCAGTAGGGCCGGCGGCTTGGTATGCCTGGGGGTGTACGTCGGCTGGCTGGGGTGCCGGAGGCGGGCCTCCATTGCTACCACCAGACCGGAGGAGCTGGAGGCGAGCCTTGATGTGAGGGTTGCCTGGGTCAAGCTCCGCAGCCCTCTGATACGCGTCGAGCGCATCGGCAATCTGGTTGTTGCAAGACTCATACTTGAAGCAAAGTCAGCATCATGCTCTTTGAGAGGCGGGCTGCGCGAGAATCAACACTTACCAGGGTCCCGAGATCATACCAAACCTCCGAAATGTACGGATTCAGCCTAATGGCTCGAGAGTAGGCGTCAAGGGCGTCTCGGTACTGGTTAATCTGGTAGTAGAGCACACCAATGGAGCACCAGAACGTCGGATTCTTGCCGTCCCGGTACACGGCCTGTTGGTATGCTTCGTATGCCTTCGGATACTTCTGCTGGGACATGTAACAACGACCCAACAGATACCAACTCTGAGCATCGGTGTTATCTGCGACTTGTGTCAGCTAAGCAAGCGTCATTTGAGTGGTTGATCTGGGCAGCGCATCATACCTGCACTAACAGACTTTTCAAGATACTGAATTGCCCGGTCCTGGGTTTCATATGCGTTGCTCTGCTGGTGGTGAAGCCAGCCTAGCTGCTGGAGAACCTTGGCGTGATTGGGTGAGTGATCCAGAACCCGCTGGTAGGCAGCCTTGGCGTTCTCGAACTGGATCACACGTCAGCTGTGGAAAAGGCAAGGGGTTTCAAGGATAATCACTTACGTCCTTTTGCTGCTCGTGCACATGTCCAATCTGAAACCAAATGTCTTCTTGTGTCAAGGGCCCCGGTGGTGAATTAACAATGTACTTGAAGCACTATCACCACAGTTAGTAATCTACGGACTGGCAAACGGTCATGGGCGACAAGTAATTCATCTCACCTCAAGACTCTGGTTGAACTTGGACTGTTGTTTGTATATGATGCCGAGGCGGAAATATATCTCGTTGGCTTTCTCAAAGTCGGGTTGGATCTGCATAACTTGCGAAAATGCCTCTTCAGCATAGTCGTAGCTGCCGTAGCGGTCGTAGAGAATGCCAATGCCGTACCAGAGCATCGGGTCCTATGGAAAGCGTCAGGGCACGTTTGCGGTCAAAATCCTGAGCTTCGAAATACCTTGGGGTCTCTGAGATTGACCAGGGCTTGCTGGTAGGCATCGTATGCCTTCTGGAGATTCTCGGTCATGAGATGGCAGTGGCCTGTTGCAGTCGTCAGCAAAGCGCCAGGAAGAGTGGCAAAGAAAGAGGTTGACATACCGAGATTTCCCCAGGCTTCGCCATTATTCTGTTCCAGTTGGACGATGGCACGGAAGAATTCGAGCGCCTTGTCAAAGGCCTCGCGGCCCTTGAGCAGCATGCCGATGGCATTCATGGCCGCCGTCGAATTTGGATTGGCCTGCAGGGCCCGCTCGTAGGCATGCATGGCCTCGTCAGGGACGCGCAAGAGTTCCGAGAAGCTCCCTGCGACGCGATTAGAACTCTCTGGCGATGACTGGGGCCTGGCGGAGAGGCAACATACCTATCTGCAGCCAGACAGCCTCGTTCATGGCAGCGATTTGATGCGACGGGGCAAAGTGGCTCGCCTGGACATTTTGGGGAGGCGCGACCTGTCCCTGATGCTGCATTTGCATCATGGTGGGCGATGGATGATGGTTTGCCATGGCCGAGTTGAGGAAAAGTGTGCGCTACCGAGCAGCGGCTAGCAAGTGCTGGTGCCAGAACAGCGAACAGCAATGTCGGGTGCTGTCGATCCAGGGTCAAAGGCGGAGCTGGAGAGGGCAGCGGGCGCAAGAAGCCCAGATGAAGATATCAAGGACAATGCTCGAGTAGTAATGGCCAGGCGCGGATGGTGGTGTTGATGCGCAAGCGCGGACTCGATTCAAGCGGAGCGCCGCACGGAGATGACGGCAAGGGAACCGTGGCGTGGGGAGGGGAGAGAAGAAGGGGAAAAGGGTGAATAACAGAAACAGGTAGAGACGAGGTTGGTGGGCACGAGGCCGGAACACGGCGATGGCGGACTGGCCGGCGGCAGCGTTCGGGGTCGAGGCTGGCCTGGTCCGATGAAGCCGTCTATTGAGAGTGAGAGAGGAAGAGGGAAGCGGGCAATTGGGGAGAGGCTGTCTAGTGGAGGAAGGACCTGCGCTGCTGGCCGTCAAACTCCCCTTACCCATGAAAATGGGAGGGAACGGGCGCACTAGGTCCACGCCGGCGTGCCGCTGCGAAGCGAAGCGGGGCCACCCATGCTGCCTGCATCTGCTTGGGCGCACCTGCTAATTAGTGCGGTTGCACCGGCAGGCCTTTTTTTCCCTCCCCCCTCTTCCTTTTCAGAGGTACTGTACTTTTTTCATTACGATTGTTTGACCGGGCTGCAAGGTCGTACCTGTTGTCTGATAGATTACTGGGTGGGAACCTCGGGTAGGCGCTGGGCCAGCAAGGCGAGATGCCACCTGCCCCAACTCACCTGCATTACGTATGTACGTACGGGCCTGGGGAGCTGCGTCTTCTGCCCCGTGCGCGTGGCGGGCATGCCTTCCTTACCAGGGAGGAGCCCTCCGGCCCCCAAGTATCTCTGTAGATCTGCTGGATGTACTCCGTACCAGACATGGGCATCAATCTGAAGCCGCCGCATCAAGTACTCGGTACCGGACGCAGCTCATCAATGTGTAGCACGATTCCAGGGACAAGGCACGTCAGAAGGTTCGTGCCCAGGTACCCCGTACCTCTCTTCCCCAGAACCTTCCTAATGTGGGCGCCTCATGTAGACTCTTGGATGAGGTGTTTGTGTGCCCCAGGTACATCAGGCTTGGAGTACTCTGTCTCTCCACTTGACTTAGCACAGGGTATCTCTAGACCAAATACTGTAGGCAAATATCAGAAGTCCTTTAGCTAAGGCGCATCCACGAGTCAAGTATTTTGGGGATAAGACATACAGACCCGCACTGCACAGTCCTAACGTTTTTCGCCGTGTGGGCGCCTGTTGGGCCGCTGTCAGAAGCCGCGCCTTGTGTATCGTCTAGGTAGCTGTCTATTCCGAGGCTGGCTGGGGCAACACACACACCTTGAAAATAACCTCGACGCAACGCCGCAAATCCGGAATGGCTCACAGTGCCCGCCTCGAATTAGGCGAGGCACTTTATCATGCGCACTTGGCAAGGTGGACGGCCAGCTTCGCATCAGAAATGTCAGCTGGGCTCTCAACATCCGTCCATCCATCCTGTCATCCACCACCCTTTGTCGGGCTGCAGCTGGAGGCCACGCATAAGCTAGGGCTGTGGAAACGGGCCACAGCCTCGAGGGCGGCAAAAGAAAAGGCACCGACTGCACCAAGATGCAACTGTTCCATTTCCCTCGAGCGTTTATTGGATGTCGCGGCGTGCAAAAACGGCCAAGATGTGAGGCTTCGTCGGGTCGACACGAACGGGTATCGAGAATCACGCCGCAATGCATGCACGCGCTCATCTACTTATACACAGCATCGACGCTTTCTGAGACCCAACTTATAGAGCCGAGGCGGTTTTGGAGAAGGGGCAAGGGAGGGAAAGGGGAGCATAGCGAAGACCAGAGCCGAGCGCCGAGTCACAACACCAAAAAAAGGGAGTTTGGACGGCCCATGGAGCGGTTCGGCGATGGGCCGCTAGGCGGGCGCGTTATGCTTTTTCCGCCTGTTTGTTTCTCGCCTTGATGCGACATTGGCGCCGTCGGCGACGAGGCCCTGCGCTCCGGGTGTTTCAGTCCCCTCGATGGGGTCTCTGGCGGCAATCAACGGGGAATATGTGCCGCCGCGTCAGCACGGGGCGAGAGGGCTCCCCGTCTCATTTAGGTGCTCAGCTCGGATGCAAAGAGCGGTCGCTGGAAGGATTCCGATGACGAGCATTGATACGAATACGCGCACCGCCTTGCGAGGAAACAAGGCTCTCGGCAGGTACCATCTGCAGAATGCAATGAGGAATGCACCGCCCCAGCCAGACTGTGCATACATACGAAGACGCTTTTATTGCCACCTTTTGCTGGATATCACGTCCCGGCCCAGCGGGGCAGAGGCAGATGACGGCGGGCAGCTGTGGGTGCACCCGTGTGGGGGGAGGGAGTAATTAGAAATCAACAACAAAGACTCCAGCCCTGCGTTGCTAAACGTTGGTGGCGATGGTGTCAAGGCCATGTCGGCAAATTTTCAGGCCTATATCGGCAACAGCTTCGTGTCTTTGACAAGACTCCATTGTCTTTTTGTCAAGGCTCTGCGTTGGCTTGGCGCCGGGACGAACCAGGTTGCCAAGGGCCTATCACAACAACGGTGCATGGCACCGGGACAAACGCCCACTGCGACCGAGGGTGCCAGAAACGACATCGGGTTCGCGATGCATGCTAGGCCACTAGCTGGCACATTGCACCTCGGCAGTATGCAGCCGCGAGGCCTGAAGAGGAGGCAGACGGACAGAGTTCGTCCGGGCCTCAACTCTGCGGATGGTCGCTAAGGCCAGCGAGCAACCGCGGAAAGAGGCGTCATCAAACCAGCTTGAGGTGGTGGATGCCTTAGCTCAGCAAAGTTGTTGGAGCCCGGCAATTGTACCAGGTCAGGCAGGGTAATAGGTACCCGGGTACTTCGCTAGGTCTTCACTGTACGAGGTGCGACGTAGGCTTGACGTCGAACAATTGTTGCTGGTGACAACGACAGCAACGTGCTGTGTGAACGTCGACGCACAAATCGCTTGCAGGGCCGGATGGCAAACGCTACTAATAATTACAACGCTCGAAGCGTTTCTCGTACCGCCCGGCTGTTGGTTGACGGCCCTCGACGCGTCAGGACGCAGGGGTCCCGTCTGGCGACTCCTATGCTGCTACCAAGGGGAGGGGGGCGGGTCACCGGTGGGTGGTGGTGGTGCGAGTTGGCAACCATTGTCTGGCGTCGGGCTTGCGTCGCTCTTGCAGACAACAGCACAGCACCGAGCAGAACGTACCTGGATACCTAGGTACCTAGGTACCCAAGGCTGGTACCCATGTAAACATGTATGGGCTACGTACTGGCTGGCCTGTACCGAGACACGTACGTGCTCCGTACGGTTCCTGCGGTCCACCAGGAGCTCGGTACTTGTCGGACGAGAGTCCCTTCATCCCGGCCTTACTTACTAATAGCACGGCCCCTGCTCCCCCACCCACGTCTTGTCCGACTTACCGCTGCCTGCCCTTTAAGCGCCAAGGCCAGGTAGTAGGAAGAGATGGAGGGCAAGCGCCACTTGCTTCGAGGCACAAACCGGTGCCAGCCTTGCCCCCGTACTCCCCCCCCCTTCCCCCCAACCGGGCGCGCTGTAACTTACCCGTGTACCTACAAGCGAAGACATACCTGCAGATACAGTCCGTCTTTGTACGAAGCACACCACGGAGCGAGGTGCAAGATACATAATTACAGTGCGTGCTGCCAGTGCCGGTACCCGCTCTCTGCCAAGGTGCCAAGCGGAGAGCACGCCTGAGACGGCTTTTTTTTTCTCGACGCGGTACGTACTGACTACGGGCCGAGTCGTGCAACCACCCCCGAATAAATCTTTGGTGGGCCATCACTCCGCTCCGCTCCCCACAGAAAGGCCCCCACAGTCTCTCCCCCCTCCCATGTCCTGAGTTCAACAACTCCACTCGTTGACGCGCCACGGATCTGGCCTTGAGGTGGGTGGCGCCAGCACGCCTCCCCCCCTCCCCCCCTCCGCCCTTCTTTTCTTCTCCCAGGCAGTCCAGGCCCCTTGGACGACGCCCACCCACACCACCCCTACAGTAACTACCACACCACCTTACAGTGCCACACCCTGTTGTATGCGGACGGGGCTCATCATGGCAGAAAGAAGCTCGTCGTGGCGCCCAGGGAAATGTGACATAACACCCGGATTACCATCTAAGTACGCGCCATTCTCGTTTATTCCTGGTCCACCCGCCGCCACCTCTTCCTCCTGCTGTTACTGTTTCTGCCGCCGCTCCTCCTCTTCTCCATGACGTGATGATCTTTGTGTCGTCAATCACGGCACTACAGTAGTTACCCGCGTGAGATCGGGTCGCTCCCCCCGTGCCCCGACTAGTTGCTTCGTCTTGAATGTGCATGACTTATCATCTCACGGTCCCAATTGGTAGAGAGAGGCTGGCTTCGGCTCTTTTGCGTTAGTCGGGGCCCCGGTCGAAAGGCCCATCTCAACAACGTACAGTACAGTACTCCTCGTTTCCGCCCGGGAACAATTCGCTTCCTCCCTTGTACATGCCGCGGCTGACGAGTCCCGCGCAGTCTTTGTTGGTCCTATTTTGTCGGGGCAGCCGTCCTGCAACGCGCAGTTCGTGGGAAGGGTGGCACGGGGCTCTGTTTCGTTTCCCCTACAAGCAAGCAGGCATACATACCTCTACTGTATGTACAAGCTCACATGGCTTCTCAACGTCAGTGCTTCCCGGCGACGACGTCGTTGGCCGTCCATCGGCTCTCACCCGACAGGAAGAAATGTTTCACCACCTCAGGTTAGCCATCTACGCGCAGCGTGCATACGCACATGCCTACAGGCAGCACGGGCATCAGACCGCCTCCATGGTCCAGATCTCCCCGAGCATGGGAGCATGTGTGCGTGCACATGTGCTATATGCACAGCAAGCCTGCCTGCCTTGGTGCGAGTTGTGCGTGTACTGTACATTCACACGGAGGAGCACGCGTGTATGTAGGTGCAGCATGCCGCATGCGCGTCGGTAAGACATGGTCAACCGTGCGGGCGGCTGCATTCGCTGGCGGCCGATCACCTGCGCATCCGCATCCGCGCCCCTGCCGTGATGTATCAACAGGCTTGCAAACACATTCACGAGCGGCGGCGCCACCTCCACCACGCTCCGTCGTCGGTGGCGAGAACGGGGGCGCGCCCGCTAGCACGTTGCGCGCCGCCGCCTGCTTTGTGACGACTTGACTCTCGAGCATCAAGCTGCGAACCTCCTCGCGCTGGTGCCTCCCTCACCTCTCATTGGTTCACTGGTTACTATTTGTTACGCGACCCCGTCGCATCATGTCGGCTCGGTGCCCCGGTGCTCGCGGCTTCTTCATCAACAAGGGGGGGAAGAGGCAGGCGGGTGGCGTGATGAGCTAGCATGGAGCGAGAGGATGCTCGGTGAGCCCCGAACGAGGAGCCTCATTGTCGTCACATCTGTCGGTCAAGCCACACTTGACCAGCCACGGCCACACCCCGCACCCCTCCCCTCTTCCGTCTCGGGACACACAAGGTTTCGGCGCTCCATGCTTTCGGCGGCTCCTGCGTCAGAAGTGCTCAGACGATTATCGCGGCCGCCAAACATGCGGCGGGACGGCTACCTCGTAGGAGGTATTTTAGGCTCGCAATCCTCCTTCTTGCCAATTTTTTTGCACCTTTGTGTCGTGGCACGCACGGCTTAAACCCCTGTCCCGCCCAGTTCTTGATTTTCTTGTCCGAGACTTCCTGCGTACCCATCGGACTGGTAAAAATACAACGTGGCCCACAGACCTATTGGTCCACGGCAAAAAATCATTGCCAGGCAGTGGCGCGGCACGTATATATCCATCGTCTGCCTAGCATGCGGCATGGTAAGGCACTTCGGCACGGACGGCGTGGTCGATGCAGCTTCTCTGCTACCCTAAACTCCAGCAGCAGACATTGGGAGGAGTCGTTGCGATAGCCGGCACGCCAGCCACCATTAAAAAGTACATTCCCCCGGCATCACCGGCCGAGCTTCATGCTCGTGCGCTAAGGAGTATAAATTGCACGCCTCCACACACAGACAAGCTATGTCGCCATAGTTTTGCAAACAGGGCTGTCCTCGCCGCCTCGCCGCCCCCTCTCGACAGCAGCAACCATGCCGTCCTGACCATTGCAACTCCTGCCCCGGTCCAACAGGGGTACCCTCAGACCGACAAAGTAAAGAATGAGGAAGAGAAGACGATAAAAACCTGACCAAAGCCGGCGCCATGACGCAGAATATCTCCCATGTCCAACCATCCGGTCTTTGCATTAGCTCTTGCCCGCCTGCTTCTCGTGGTCCGGCCCAAATTTGGTCTCTCCAAGCACGGTTTCAGGCTGAGACGTCATGGCCGTCTGCGTGCTGGTATGCGGCTGCGTCTGCACCGTTGGCCCGGTCGGCCGAGCAGGGGGTTGCGGGGGTGAACTAGACGTGGCGCCGGCCGTGGCGGCGCTAAGCCTTTGGTCGAGCGCCTTGAGTGCGATTGCCCTCCTCCTCTCAGCCTCTGCGCGAGCGCTTCCCGGCGTGCTCCGCTGCGAGAACCTATCGCCGCGAGCCGCCGACATATCGGCCTGCGAGAACGGTGTGCAGAGATGCATGGCGACCAGGACATCGAAAATCTGGTCGGCGAAAGCGGCCACGACGGGCTTGACTGGGCCGGGGAAGAACTCGGCGAATGCAAACGTCTCGCTGGCGTCGCCGCGCAGCGACGCGGGCTGCGACGAGTCGAGATCGGGGAAGACGGACTTGTAGAATCGTAGATAGGTCCAGCTCGTGAGGAAGCCGAACAAGGCGAGCCAGAAAGCAGCCCTCGACAGCAAGGGAGTCAGGGACAAGACGGTCACGATGCCGATGTAGAGCAGCGGGAAGCGTGGGACCCTCAAGGAGAGAATGCCGCGGAAAAGCGTGACGGTATGGGCCGGGACGAGCTGGCTAAAGGCGACGAGGAAGGAGACTTGAAGGGAGACGGTACCCGAGATGGTGGCCAGACTGCGGGTTGCATTCGTCAGCAGGAGAAGGCGACGATCCGGGGCGGACTTGACCATACGTCCAGCTCTCGTTGCGCGTCAAGGTAAAGAAGAGGAGCATGACGCAAAACGTCAGGAGATTGGGTACCAGGGAGACGAGGACCAGAAACTTTGCCAGCTCGGCCGACGACCACGCCCTCTCGAGATACCTGCCGCCATGGTAGAGCGTGACGGCGGCAATGGCCAAGGTGAAGACGTTGCCCTCGATGAGTGTCGTCGTGAACAGGGTCCAGGGGTAGGCGAGGGAGAGCTGGGGGATCAGCGTCAGGTAGGGGATGAGGATGTCGGCGTGGCCGGTCCACTGTCGGTAGCGGATGGCGGCGCTGAGGACGGACTGGAAGACGAGGGCGATGAGGAGGATGCGGGTGACGGGCGGGACGTTTATTCGCGGAGGCATGGTGAGGCGATGATGACGACCTCGGTGCGGCGCAGGTTGGGAACCAGAAAGGGCGTCGCCTGCTGCTGCTAGCAAGCTGTCCGTTGGGGACGTCGGGGCTGCGCGAGGTTTGCACCTTGGACGAACAGCGGGCCGCAAGCATTTAGCCATGCGGCTGGGGCCGAGTTGTGGCCTGAGGCAGAAAGGTTCAACACCACCCAGCAGTGATTAGCCGCCAAACGACCCCTCGTGCGAAGGCGTCAGCGCGCGAGTAATGGGGACGTGGACGGTGGGTGCAATTCATGCATCGGCACTCCAAGCTCGCAGCCTCGGTTTGGGGTGGATTGCTGAAGCCATCTTTGAGCATATCGGATGGTGCCAAGGGTCGCCGCCCTGCACCTACAGGCTACAGCACATGGTACTGTATGCACAAGAGGAGAGCGTGCGCGGCAAACAAGACCAAGGCAGACAAGTGATATAGTCTGGCACCACGCAGCGTTTATTTTCGGACAATGCATGCCCTCACAACATCCAACGCGGGTTTCAAGTCATGACACCAACTGCCAGCGACATGCCTTGTGCCAGCCAGTCTGCATTCCTAACCCTCGAGGCCATGAGTTGAACGTCGACATTTTCCTGGTGTCGGGGGCAAATCGTCCCCACTACCACTGTCCCGAGACCCGGATGAACCCGCTCGAGTTCCCCGTAGGTACGGATGCATAGCGTCTAGTTGTAGCGTAATGCAGCAGGTGTCACAGGGGCCAAAAAAAGGAAAAGGGAAGCACTGGCCACGCAACGCGCATCTGGATCCCTTCCTGGACGTCTGGACCTGGCCCCTCCCCCCCTCGCAAGGGTTCTGGGGATTTTTCTCTCGTCTCCTACTATATATGCCACTCCCTTGCTGTGTATTAGCCAACAGGTAAAAGATGGAGGTGCACTGAGCTGCATGTATGTACTGTGTTAGGTACCTACATAGGTAGATACCTACCTAGTCTGGACTAAATAAGGTACTACCTAGGTACCTATACCTACCTTAGGTAGGTACCTAGGTGTATAGTACGGATACGGATACGTGGTACCTTGTCCTGAGGCACCCTTGAGGCACCCTGGACGGAGCATAGAAGAGGTAGACGGGCGTTAGGTAGCATCCGGGGCGCCTTTCTGGATTGCCTGCCTAATACTGCTCCATCCAGGGGTGGTGGGCTCTTGTACATATATAGTACTGTACTGTAGGTGCCGTACCTTGAAGCTCGGATCGTCGCCAGAGTTGTCGTGCGGGAGGCTCCTCTCGGCAGGGATAGGCCGTCGTCATGATCGTCAGACCAGGTGGCAATCCAAAGGGCATGCCCGATAGGTGCTGAGAGATATCACGGCAGCGGGACAACTTGTGCAAGCCATCGACGTCGTCGCTTAGCTTGTTTGACCCGACGTGCGTGTGCCACTCGCGACACGCCTGCCCAGGCGGTTATTTCTCCGAGCGCGCGCGCCTGGGGTATACTACCTTTTTAACCTTGACGCGTACTGCGTGGTCCCGCGCACTGCTGCACATGTAACTGGAGTGCGGCACCCCAGCTCACTCCTGACCTGGTCTTGACGCCAATCGCCCAAGGAGTGGCCGATCTGCATCAGTTTCAGATTCCAGAGAAGCGCTCCAGCATGAGCGACGTCTCGGCCACTGGCTGCGGGGCAATTTCATCCGAGCCTGTACCTGCTTTGCTGTACGTCACCTTGTGTTGGTATTGTCTGACGCTGGACCCGAGCCCACAGAGAGAGAGACGAGACCAGATGCAGCTTGGTATAAGGTACGGAGTACGTGGGTGAGAATGGCTGCATGTACACATAAGTAAGGTAGGTAACTCCCAGGAATCAGCCCTGGGCCTTCCACTGTTGCGTCCTGGCCGCGGGGGCTCGATTAGCGGCACTCGCCAAGGCGGCTGGTCTGGCACTCTTGGGGTCTCCCTCTTCCCCCAGCTGCTGCACTGCGAGGCCGGGGCAGGGCAGGGCAGGGCAGGCCAGTGGGTGGAAGCCTGGATTGGCCGTACCGAATTGCTGACCAAGGCTGTTGCAGGCATCACGCATCCACCCATCGACCATTTAAATGCCTGCAAAGACGGTACTGTCCAGGAGGCCACGGTTTTAGCTAGTCTTCCGTCCCGCCAGCCAACGGCATTTTGTTCTGCAGATGCACACGATTTGTCTACCGTCTCACCTTGGCAGGCGAGAACAACGGGTGCATCTGCCGCCAACAGTGACTCGACGCTAAACGCAAGTGCTTGCCGTGGAGCACGCCTAGCAGACGGATGCTGCGACTTTCGCTAAAACAAGGCCGGCCTGGTGGAACTAGAGGGTTCTTGGCTCGTCGTCCCTGTTTGGCCCAGCACATAAGTTAGCAACTACGTACATACTAGTAGTACCAAGCCTACCCTAGCTCACCCCGGCCCGGGCGACGAGAAGGGGTGCTTATGCGTGTGCACGGTACTCCGTACTCGGCCCCGGGTACCTGGAAGTACCTGCCACTTGCCGCCTGTGCTGCACAGGTCAGGCAGAGAGAGAGGGACGAGGACGCCGACATGCAGAAAGGAGACGAAAACAAGAGACGGAAATGGACACTTTAGAGAGAGAGAAATGGTGTGTGCATTGGCGAGAGAGGCGCCCACACAAACAAGCACACAAGGCGGCCGGCGGGACCCAGAAGACACCTGGCGGCTACCTGTATCGGCACCTTGAACGGTACCTCGACTTTCGGCCTTGATCAAGTGCCAGGTACTCCGTACCTACAGGCACTCCGAACCATTTTGCCCGGCCGTGAGATGTGCATGTGGATTTCATCTCGCTCTTGAATCTTCACTCATCCTCATCCTCACCCTCACCTTCACCCTCACCCTCACCCTCACCCTCACTTGACCTCGCCCTCGCCCTCGCCTCACCCTCACCATCAGCCTCGCCCACACCCTTGCCATCGCCCCGCCTCGCCTCACCCTCGGCCTCGACTTGCTCTCAACGTGCTCCGGCCGCCGCCACGCCCTGGCAGGCCCATCATCGACGAAGCCATCGGCTGCTGCTTGAATTCTTGACGCCGCCCACTGCGTTGGCGACGCCTGCCGCTGTCGCACTGCCGCCACCTGCGCCGCGCGCGCCTGGCCACGACCATGGTGGTCAAGGAATTCCTCGACTCGGACAGAGTCAACTTTCTCATCTGGAGGTGCGTTGCCTGCGCTGGCTCTTGTCTCTTGCTGCCGGGCCATCATTGGCCTCGCGCATCCTGTCTCTCCACGCTCATCTTGGTCGTCATTTGCTGACCCTGCACCCCGTGAGAGCAGGTATCTGCTCGAAGGGAGTACGTGGCCCCCGGCTCCGTCCTGGCGGCTCATCTAACCGTGACAAACTTTACCTTGCAGACTACCGCGAAACCGCCGCCAAGTTCCAAAAAGAGTGGCATGTCAAGGAGCCTCATCGGGATTTCGATTTTGCCCGCCATGTCAAGGGCCACGCCCTCATCTCAATCGTCAACAGGGGCCTCCTCTACTACGCCCTTGAGCGCGACTTTGCCCTCGACCAGGTATGTTTACACCATCGCTACCGTCGACGAGCGCCCGCTTTTTTCGGGTCATTTCCACGCCCCTGGTCCAGAGCCATCAACCTCGTCTCTGCCGGCATTCGCGCAACTGACCAACCGCGACTGACCGATGCACGGCAGTTTCCGCAGCATGCGGCCGTCGAGGCCGACGCGATGCAATTTGGCATTTTTGGGCCGCTGACGGTGCCGCCGCCGCTGCCGCCGCCGCCGCCGCCGGCGGCGGCCCGGATGGACGAGGACGACAATGCCGTCGCCGCCACGGTAGAGACTGCAGAAGACGCCGAGGCGTCGAGGAAACGAGCTCAGCAACAGGTGCCCAACGGGTCGCCGGCCAAGCGCCCGCGCCTGAGTAATGGCTACGAGAACGGCGCCGACGCTGCAGCGCCAGTGGCAGCCACGGCGACGACGACGGCCTCGACGACGACGGCCTCGACGCCCATGGACGTCGACCCCCCTCCTCCTCCGCCTCACCACGACAGCGGCCAGCACGACGCCAGCAACAACCACGCGTACCCATCGCCCCTCGAGGGCGAGCAGCTTCCACCGCCCATTGTGCAGACGGATGGCCCCGAGCAGGGCACGCAGATGGACAAGGTCGAGGAGCTGTCGCCCGACACCACCTTCATCCGCCTCATGGACGATGATCGCAGTGTCCCCGAGACAACGCCGTCTCCCTCCCCCGCGGGCACTGAGAACGCACCCGTGCTGCTGCAGTGCGAGTGGAACCCCCGAGACCCATCAGTTCTGGCGGCTGCTGGGACCGATGCGCTAGCCCGCGTTTGGACTGTTTCGCGTCCCACGGCGTCTGAGCCCGGCCACAATCACGTGTCTCCCCGTGCCCACACTCTGCTGGACCCTGACACGCCGCGGACCACGACGGTGACGGCCCTGTCGTGGACCTCGGACGGCACCGCCATTGCCCTTGCCACCGACTCCAGCTCCCAGGCCGCCGTGAGCGTCTGGTCCGCCGACGGCATCCACATGCAGACCATGGAGGTGTCTGAGCCGCCCGTCATTAAGCTGTGCTGGAACCCTGGCAGCACGGCGCTCCTGGCCATATCCCCCGAAAAGGGCGGCGCCCTCGTCACCGTCTACTCGTCGCCCTCGAGCACCGCCTCCACATTTCGCCTTCTCGGTCACGACATTGCCGCGACACCCCTCGATGCGGCCTGGACGAGCGACGCCGAGTTCTTGCTGTGCGGCGGGGACCTTCTCCTGTGTCTCCACTGCGCCGAGTCGTCCCTTGTCCAAGTACGCAAGTTCGACACCAAGCTTGACGACAGCTTTACACAGGTCCTCTTCGACTGGCGCTCGAAACTGGCCGCAACCTCAAGTGACAAGGGCACCCTCGACGTGAGATATCCACGATGGGAGACATGATTGCTTTGGCTAACCATTTGCAGCTATGGGACGAATCCGGCCAGCGGCGGTCCATCTCGGCCCATCAAGGCGCCATCACGTCCATGGCGTGGCAGCCGTTGCCGCCTGCGCAGCTTAACGCCGACGACGAACGTCTCATCGCAACCGGTGGTGACGACTGCGCGATCCTGATATGGAATGCTCGGAGGCCTGACAGCAAGGCAAAATGCTTCCTGACAATGGATTCGCCGATAGTGCGGCTCGCCTTTACCCCCGACGGAGCCTTTATTGCCGGGGCCACGTCCCGTCAGGTGTTGATCTGGAAGGTGGACAACCATGCCGTACCCAGAGCCAGCTGGAACCGGCCACCTCACCCCGGCTGGTTAAGCCCCAAGGGCTCCTCAGACTCGGATGAAGAGGACGAACACTGTCTGTGTTGGGACGTGAGCGGGCAGCAACTGGCTTATGGATCAAACAGCAGGGTGAGTCAAGACGGATCAAGGCGGGCCAGTCCGAGCGCCGTGCTGACGAGGAACGAAAGCTTGCTGTCATCAACTTTAACCGGTAGCCCAGACTCGATTTACGAAACGCAATCACACGAGGCGAGGAGATTGCACCGAGCATCGCTCAGGCGTTTTTCTAGAAGGTCTAGAAACGACGAGGGCCTAGACGAAGCTAACAGCTCGAATGTGTCGACACGACGGTCGACGGTTGGAAGACGATGTCCGTTGCATTTGTCGGGCAAGGCAGTCGACGATGCCCCAGCCGATGGCGTCGCGGCCCGCTCTTGGGGCTTTCCTTTTGTATATCATATGCTGGCCTCGAGCCACGCTGTCTGCTCGTGTGCGACTCGTGCTGATGAAATGACGCGGCGCATAGAGGACGGACGGAGTTGGACGGTTTTTTTTTGCTTTTTCAGCTGCGACTGGGACGCGGGAAGTCGGTTTGGACCATGGGGAAGTGAGTGAAGGGAGAAGGCTGTTGCGCACCTGTCGTCGCTTCTGTTTGAGGGACGGGGCAAGCGAGTGCGGTGAGCCGCTGTATTTGTACATGACGTGTGCCAGAGGTTGGCGGAGGGAGGGCCTGGATGATGCACCTGTACATAGACTGCGTTGTGGGTAGTACTTGTCTGGAGACTGGCAACAACGCTGAGTAACATTTGGACCAGTGCTTGTGCGTAGAGGCATGGTTTCGCAGACGTGCGTTTTGGCAAAGCGCATCCAAGTAGGTGGCCGCCCAGCTTATAACCCCCAATTCGTACCGTGCTGCTGTTGATTTACTTCTTCTGCATTCTTGGCCCTGTTCCGTGGTTTGCTCGCCACCAACCTTGCCCGCCCCTCTCTTCTGAGGCTGAGATACACGCCATTAGCAGCTACTACTTGCCACACATAATTTACACCCTCTCTCACAAGGCTCGACGACGTCGTCTGGCTCATTGCCAACCGAACCCGCACCCCGCCCTTGCCAGGCGTGCAAATCGACGTCGCGCACGCGCACGCACTGTCTCCCCCACCTTCTGTGTGTCTCTTCGCCTGCGGCACGAACGTGACCAGCGCTTCCGCTTGAGAGACGTCTCAATCTCCATCTACCCGCGCGACTACCCCGACATCGGGACAGGGGCGGTCCGGTTTTTAGGAAGAGAAAAGAGAGAAGCGAGTGTGTGTGTGTGACGGGGCGGAGAGTAAAGAGGCCGCGGGGAATCAAGACAGGAGGAGCAGGGCGAGAGGGCAAGAGAACAGAAAAGCAACCACACCGGATCCCCAGCACACATGGCCTCGTCCGCCTCGGCGGCCTTGGCCACACCCCTGTCGATGGCACTAGCCCAGGCGCAGGAGCGTCTGCGGCGGAGGCGAGCAGACGCGGCGGCCATGGCGGCGGCGGCCATGGCCATGAGCGAGGACGACGAGGGCTTCACGCCCGAGATGCGCGACCGGCAGGCGCGCGGCAAGGATCCGTACAAGGACGACGACGTCAGCAGCAGCGGCAGTGGGAGCGACTTTGGCTTTGGGCTTGACGAGGGCGAGGAGCGCGGGCTGGGCGGGAGGAGGGGGTATGAGGACGATGATGACGATGACGATGATGAGGAGGGTCAAGGCGCGGGCGAGGGGGCAGGGCGGCGGCGCATGAAGATTGGTCAAGGGTGAGAGACGGTTTCTACATTCTTCTCTTCCCCCCCTTTCCCCTCTCTTGACCATTCCACGCATCCCTCTCCCTCCTCCTCAACCCCATTCAATCAAGTCCTCCAAGGCATCGGTGAACTGGAAAAGATAACTAACGTCTCGCGGGGTGTGGGCGAGGGAAAAGCCTCAAGACCGAGCCCTTTGAGGACCGCGAGCGGCGCGCCTACGCCCTCTCCGTGCTCGACAGCCCCGAGCAGCTCATGATGTTTGCCCAAAGCGCAAACGACGTACGTGCCCTTCTCCGCCTCCTCTTCTCTTTTCCTCACCAATACAGTTCTCTCTATGAAATTTCCTGCACCGCGCCTCCTCTCCCCCTCTCCCTCTTTCCTCTGAATGAAAAAAAAGGGAGCGAGTTTGGTCACGTTAACAAGAGGAGAGAGGGAAAACAGAGCATTACCAGCCAGCGCCGCCGCTTCAGCGCCATCCTCGCCGGCTTCGAGCCCCTCCCCGCCGCCTCCGAGGGCGGCAAGAAGCAGGCCCATTATCCGCCGCCGCCGCCGCCGCCGGCTCGTCGCGATGCGCGCGGGGCGGGTAGGGCGAGGAGGACTGCTCCGGCCGAGACACATGAGCCGGCGGGGGAGTGGGCGGACTGAGCGACGAGGGACGCGATTATCACACATAAGTCAAGCTTAAAAGGAAGGGGGAGGGGGGTTCGTTGATCAAGGGAATCAGTGGGCAGACAGCAAGAGCGCGTATACTGGCATCACAATAAGGGCTGGCAGACTCGACAACGACGCAATGCCATGATCATTCTCTTTTTTGTTTCCACCCCTCGTCTACCCACCAAGAAGCCATCATGACGATCCAACTTTTCCCTCCCAAACAGTGATCCCCACGCTCTCCCGCCATGTCCTAGGCATATGTACACGCGCGTCGTTCCACGCCCCTCGACAATTCCTCCCTCCGCCAATCCAAGGCCGGCCAGTCCAGTCGACACACCAAATGATCCGGGTAGCGAGTCGCCCGGTTTCCGCGGTTCGCGTCATTCCCAAGACGTCATAATCCAAGTCAAAAAGGGGGGGGAAACCCCAAGCCCACCAACCCGCAACGCCGTACAATGCCAATATTTCCAAGAGACAAAGAATGAAGAGGACTGTCAAAAGCGCAAAAGGGGGGCAAGGGGACATGAAAAAATCCAGTCTCTCCTCCGAGTCCCGTCTATGCATACCTCGCGCTCCGTTGACGAGGTCCCCACGGTTGATTCACCTGCTCCATCGGCGGCGGCGGAGGCGGCGGATACGAGTAGTCGTACTGCCCCTGCGACCCGGTGTAGTGACCGCCTCTGGATGAGCTGTGCCACTGCTGGTGCGAGCCCCTTTGCCTGGGGGGCGATCCGCCGTCCTGCCCACTGTATGACGGCCAGTTCTGCATTTTCTTGGCCAGCTTGCGGCGGCGGATGCGCCTCCGGATGCTGGCCAAGACGCTGGCGAGGATGGCGATGAGAATTAGGCCGCCGATGACAGACACGACGGGGATGAAGATGTTCTTGTGCTCCTCGATCCAGTTGCCAATCTCCTTGATCGTCGACGCGCCCTTGCACGCCCCGTTGGCGCACTTGCCCCCGCCACCGCACGCCGTCCCGTCTATAAAGTTTTGATTGAGCGTGAAGCACTGGCCAAAATCCATGTCGTCGGACGTGCAGGTAAGCATGCAGCCGCTGCCCGGGCAGGCCTTTGTGGTGTTGATGCCGCGGAGGCTGCTGGACATGGCCCTGCACTGCATGTCGCGTGACGTGCACTGGCCCGAGGCACAGTTGAGCCCGTCGCCGCACGAGTCGCCGTCGCCCTTGTGCTGGTCCTCGGGACAGCTGGCACGGTCCCCCGTGCACACCTCCTCCGGGTCGCACACGCCGGTGCTGGGGCGGCAGACGGTTCCGCTCGATGCAAACTTACATTCCTGAGAGCAGCAGTCCTCATTGGACGGGTCGCAGACGGAGCCGCTGGTGAACTTGCACGTCTTGGGGTCGCAGCACTTGTTGCCCTGGCACCCTTGCTCGCCGCCGCAGTCGCAGTCCTCGCCGCTCTCGACGATGCCGTTGCCGCACTGGCTGCCCGTGATGGTCTTGATGTTCTTGTTGTCGGTAAGACAGTTGCCCCTGACCTTGTTCACCTTGAGCCCCGAGCAAATGTTGCCGATGCTGCAGGGAGAGAATTGGGTGATGCCCTTGCCCGTCTTCGGGCTCATAATGAACTTTCCCGCGGCGTCGCACTTGTCCTTGGCGAGCGGACAGCATGTTTCTTCAGTTCCGCATGTGTCGTTGGTACAGTCGTGGAAGGCACCAAAGGTATGGCCGCTCTCGTGCGCAAAAATTTGCCATTCGGTGTCTGTCCCGACGACGACGTTGGCCGATGCCACCTTCTCGTTGGCTGCCTGGTTGCTTTCCGCCCCCTCGCGGCACAGCTGCCCGGTCCAGGCCAGTCCGACGGCAGAACCGGTAGAGCATCTTGTCAGGAGAGTCCAGTAGGCGTTTGTGTCTTTGGACTGGCCGCGCCACTCGGAGAAGGAATTGAGCCGGTCTGTGATATTGAACGAGTCGCTGCAGTCAAGGTTCCAGGGCGTCGCGGGCTCGGGGCTTCCGGGACAGGTCTTGTCGCTGACGGTAAGGTTTTGTATGCCCAGGGATATCTTGAAGGTGCTTTCGTACAGCTCCGAGGCCTTGTTGACCATGTCGATGACGCTCTTCCTGATTTCCGCCGACGAGTTAAAGTTTTTCCAGTAGGTGCAGTCAGTGGCAATGCCGACCAGTGCTACCTTTCTCGTCGAAGGGCATCCATCCAAGGACCCGATGGAGTTGGCCAGGTTCAACGCAGGGGTGTTGCTGGCCTGGCGGCCAAAGAGGGAGCGCAGGTCCATGGCCTGAAGCGAGTTGGGGCTTTGTGTCGAGAGATTAATCTGGCTGTTGAAGCCGAGAGAGTCGGCGCCGCAGAGCGACTCGGGCGAGATATCGCGCTTCAGTTCGGTTCGGTCGTCAAGGGCATCAGCGGAATCCCTGATGTCGGAGTCGCGCCAGACGATCATCGAGTCCTTGCCATTTCCCGGGGCTTCCACTATGGGATCTTGCTCGCCTCGTAGTCTCATATAGCGACGGGTTGACTGAATATTGTGATGGTCACCGTCGACGCGAAAGGCGCCGTCGAAGGCGGGATTTTCTCCGTCTTTGTGGATTGTAATACGCGCCCACCCGGCCTTGGACCAGCCCTGATGTCCAGGGCGCTCGATGAATGCATCGCCCTTGTAGACCTTGTGCTCAGTACGGGGCACTCTCTCTATTTCGCGGACGGTCCCGTCCGGGCGGAGGTGAGTGACGGCGAAGTCGTCGTGGATGATGTCGTGATTCGGGTTCAGCGCTAGCCTGATTTTCTGGTTTCCGTTATGAATGGTGAAGGTGAGATCGAAATTTGAATGCGAATGCACTCGACGAGAAGGGGTATTAATGAAGGCGTCGTCGATCAACGAGACATAGTTGAGAGGGTTTCGTTTGAATGAGTGGCCTACAGACGCGTTAGCAACCACGACGCCACCAGCACCGAGCCCGAAAAGTACCTAGCGACGACTGAGCAAAGAGGGCTGCGCCGGTCAGAGCGGTCGCGATGGACCGGAGTGTGACCATGGTCACACTATCATGGCCGTCCCAGAGAATGGGAGCGAGGTGCCCGAGGGTCTATTGCATGAAGACTGCACTTTGCTTGTGATCTTGGACTGTTGATGGATAGCAAGGCGTCGCGGCGAAAGGCCCGGCGAACAGGACCAAGGCTCAGTCGTTGGCAATCGAGTGAAGGAAATGAAAGCGTGGTCGGGTGGGTTGAGGGTGCTCGGCGGTGGAGGGACGGAGAATGGCGACCAAGAGTTGATACTGTAGGTTTGACGAGCGATCGGAGGGCGCTGGATGGCGAGGTGAGAAGGGGAGAGAGGAGAGAAGAGAAGCCGACAGACTCGGGAAGTAAGACGTTGCGCTGTGCTAACGAAGGCAGCGAAGAAGACGGATGACGGCGGGTCGACGAGGGCAGACGATCGGATGCGCTAGAGAAACAAAGTAATTACCTACCCAGCCAGAGCGGGAGACGCCCAGATATTCGGGGGGGCTTGGCTCTGGGGCCACGCGGTCTCAGGCCTCTTGTTGTTGGCCTGGGGGAGGGGGCTGTTCTAGGGGGGCGCGCGTGGGCGGTCGGAACGGGTACGAACGCGGATAGGCTCGGGAGCAGTACCTGCTAGTGCTGCCTGGTCATGGCACAATGCCAAGTATCTATCCCCTGGGTGAAAGAGGCTGCGACTTGCCTTGGACCATAGGCAGCGGCCAAACACACACACAAGTATAGACACGGAGCCCCGAACTTGGGCTGACTTTTGCACCTTTGACGCAAAAAGGACAACGGGGACGCAGCCACAGTTCCGGTTTGGCATTGGCCCCCTTGGCTTAATTGGCGGTCCTCCCACCCCCTCCGGCCACACAGCCTGCTAGCCGCCAAGCCCACGCTGACTGGCCGACGCTGGTTGGCGGTTAGGCCAACGAACCCTCGGGTGCCACTAAGCCCAAACGGTCCTCAGTAGGTACGTACATACCAGAACGCCTTCAGCTCACTGCACCCACCCTGCCCTGTCGACCAATTCGCACTACCTTAAGTTAGTATCCACTACGGATAGTTCTGTCTGTAATACCTACCCTGCCCCCTCTTCCGAATCACCCGCGCCGGATCCATGAATAGAAATGGCCCGCGCCTGGAATGCCATAATATCAAGCCCCCTTTGCCGCCATGGCACTCCGACCAAGTATGTACTTGGTAAGCAACGAGTTGAAGGAAAGGGGCAATCTCCCGCAGCACCAGGCGTCACAATGTTCATGCACTCCATGCACCAAACCCTCGGTGTTTCCGTCTCCGGCCCATCTCGGTGCTTTGGCAGTGAGGCAGATACATACATACTCCGTACTGTACAGTACTGTACGGTGCAGCGCTGCCTCACTGCCAAGGGCCAAAGGCCAAAGGCCAAAGGCCAAAGGCACCCCGGCCGAGGCTGAGCTTGTGAGCCACGCTTGGCAGACATCCCAACAAAGAGGCGATGCCTGCAGGCTGCAATCGCATCCGATTCCACACGTCATTACACGGGCCTCGCTCGTACCCCCTCATATTGTGTCCCATTTATTATGCGGATGACCCGACGTCGTCGTCGTCGGCGGCGGCGGCGGTGCAGGAATCGACGAGGCTCTGGGCTCATGGCCAAGCCCAGCCACCACCACGTCTTGTCCAACCTCGCCACGCCCATTGGCTGGACCCCTACACCACCTGCTCGCCGTGATGACGACGACTCCGAGGGGGAGACGGGAACGGGAAAAAGAAGGGTGAATAAGGGTGCTCTCGGCTCGGTCCCCAGGCGATCGTTGTGGAGCGTCTTTTAGACTCGGCGCTGGCATGCTTAGTCCAACTGCGCGTCGTTAAATCCCGTCTACTACAGCCGTTCATCTTGGGGTTGGCCGTAGACGGTACGGAGTATGGCCAACCCTTTGACGCCGCGTCCCGGCTGCCCGGGAGACAATACCTCGAGTCGACTTCCTTCACGCACACAAATCAATTGCCGGTAAACATTAACTTGCATACTAGCACCTGACTACATCCAACGGCTGCTAAAAATTATTCTGTCCCACATCGTCACGAATCCGGACCCATTTTACGGCTGCCAAGTATGTTGAAACGTAACCGTTTTATCTCCCAAACCAGCTCGCTGTAAACAGATTTCGGAAATGGTGCATCCCGTTTCACATGTCACATCCAAATATATCCCTGCAGACCTACAACTCGTCGATAGTGAGACCCGTCGACAACACAACCCCCCCCCCTTCCGCCTCATTTCGCCTTGGACTCGTGAACCGTCTTGATAATCTTGTCCACAATGGACGGATCCGACAGCTGCCACCATCATTAGCCAAGTGCTTCGCCAGAGCAGCTATTCATGACGTCGCGAGCTCACCGTCGTCGTGTCGCCCAACTGGTCTTCCTCGCCCGCCAGGATCTTCCGCAAGATGCGCCGCATAATCTTTCCGCTTCGTGTCTTGGGCAGGTCCGGCACAACATAGATGGCTTTGGGCGCCGCAAAAGGCCCGATGCTCTTCCGCACCTGCATGATGAACTCCTTGCGCAGCGCGTCGTCCGCATTGTTGCCATCCTTGACAGCGACGAAGGCGTTGACAGCTTGGCCCGTGAGCTCATCGGCAACGCCGACAACGGCGGCCTCGGCGACAGCGTGGTGCTCGATCAGAGCCGCCTCGATTTCCGCCGTCGACAAGCGGTGGCCGCTGACGTTGACGACATCATCCACACGGCCACGGATCCAGTAGAATCCCTCGTGGTCACGGCCAGCGCCATCACCGGTAAACTGCAACGCACAACCATCAGCTCGCAGCTCGCACTTCTTGAGCGCCGAAAGGCACCGAGGGTCTCTGCTTACGTAGTAGCCCTTGTATACGTTGAGGTAGGTGTCCATATATCGCTTGTGGGCGCCGTACACGGTGCGCGCCATGCTGGGCCATGCTTGCTTGAAGGCGAGAACGCCATCGACGTCGTTTCCGTGTATTTCCTCGCCCGAAACCGGATCGATGATGGCGGGCTCGATGCCGAAGAAGGGCAGCGACGCGGACCCTGGCTTGGTCGGAGTGATTCCGGCTAGAGGGGTGATGACGTTGGAGCCCGTCTCCGTCTGCCAGTAAGTCTGTGTAGCTCATCAAGTCAGCACACAGGTCGTGCACGCGACCGTTCGAGTTGACGCAGCCCGCGTCTAAACTCACGTCAACAATGTGCGATTCCTCCCTGCCAACCACTTCAAAGTACCACTTCCAGACCTCGGCAGCGATGGGCTCCCCCACGGAGCCGAGCACGCGGAGATGCTTCATCTCGCCCCGCACATGCTCGTCACCAGCCCGTTTGAGCAACCGCAGGGCCGTCGGGGCCACGTAAAACTGAGTAATCTTGTGCTTGTCGATGATGTCCCAGTATCGCGAGAAGTTGGGATAGGCCGGGGTGCCCTCAAAGACAACCGTGGAGACACCCAGTAGTAGAGGCGCGTACACGACGTACGAATGGCCAGTGATCCAGCCGACATCTCCGCCGCAGAAGTAGCGGTCGCCTTCATGGATGTCGAAGACGTACTTGCCGGTCATGGCACAGCCGAGCAAATATCCTGCGGTCGTGTGCAGGACCCCCTTTGGTTTGCCAGTGGAGCCAGAGGTGTAAAGGAGGAACAAGGGGTCCTCGGCATTCATGATCTCGGGGGCGATGTAGCTGGGCCACTTCTCGACCTCCTCGTGCCACCACAAGTCACGGCCCGCCTGCATGGGGACATCGGCACCAGTGCGCTTATATACGAGTACGTGAGTGACACAGGAGCACTGCTTGAGGGCGTCATCGACGATTTTCTTGGTGCCGATCAGCTTGCCACCACGCTTGCCCTCGTCAGTGGTAATGACCACCTTGGACTGGGCGTCGATGACTCGGTCGCGAAGGGAGTCGGCGGAGAAGCCTGCGAAGACGACGGAATGAACGGCTCCAATGCGTACGCAGGCAAGAATGGCAACGATGGCCTCGGGGATCATGGGCAGGTAGATTGCGACGGTATCACCCTTGCGCACACCCATCTGCTTGAGAGTCCAGGCCGTCTTAGAGACTTGGCGCAACAGCTCGCCGTAGGTGACGTTGCGTCCATCCTCGGCCTCGTCGGCCTCGTAGATGAGGGCAACACGGTTGGGGTCCTTAAAGGCATGGCGATCGATGCAGTTGTAGGAGGCATTGAGCTGACCCTCGACAAACCACTTGCTGTCGCCGTTGAGGAGGGAGCCGCTGTAGACGGTCTCAAAATCGCGGCTCCATGACAGCAGCTCGCGGGCGTGCTTTCCCCAGAACTTTGTGGGCTCCGTTATGGACTCTTTGTACAGTTTCTGATACTGCTCGAGATCTGTTGCGATGAAAACATGGTCAGAGAGACAGACGCCCGAGTCCAGCAGCAGTGCGGGCGGCACTTACTGGCCAGGTGGGGCTTGCTTGGGTGCTCTGCAGATGGTCAGCGTCGGATCTGAGGGAGCAAGCGCTAAAACGAGAGGAGCAAAGGCGCCGATGCCGGCCCGAGGGACTTCTGGCTGACCCCTGGTGGACGGCGAATTGGAGAGAAAGTCATACTTGCAAGCATCTTCTCGGGTGGATCTGCGAGAGGTTCACCGGTTAGCAACGGGAGCTCTCGCAACCCAACACAACAACAGTAACATTCCCAGCAAGGAGCCGGCCAGCCTTACGGAACGTGTCCACCTGGTGCGCCTCGTAGACGCGTGGTCCCTTTTGCCCTTCAGCCATGGCGCCGTCCGTCTCTCGGCCCGCGAAACGGTTCCTTGTGTCGGTAGGACGAGGAAAAGAAAGGGATGTATGTCCTCAGTTTCCCTCAGTCACTCCCGCTCTCTCTTTAGGCTTTTCCCCCCTTTCCTTTGCTTAACCAAGGCCCGTCGTCGTCGTCGAGCGCTCGCCGACAGTGCGGGGTACCTTGACTTCTCAATTCGCCGTCGTTTGGAAGAAAAGAAGCAAGAGTCTTGATCCGTTTGCTGCGAGCGGTCTCGTTCATGTAGGAGGGATCGCGAGAGGGAATCGGAAGGGGGAACTGGACCGAGCTCCGCGTAAAAGCAAGGTTACAGGACGACGGGAGAGGTGGGAAACAGGGAGGCGATGTGCCAAGGGGGGGGGCTAGGAATCCTCTTTATATACACACGCTACCTTTGCCCCCTACCTCGCACATTGGACAGTTACCACCGGCGCCAGTATGGTGGAGGTGGAGGCGTCGTGACTGCCTTTTTCTGTGTCGCAGTTACAGTACGTACCAGCATGTTATGTCGCTCGCCGATGGAGAAGCTACCACCTAAAGCGGCAGTAGCCTGCAAGTATCAGCGACTTGCCGCGACGTCCAAGGTACCCGAAAACATCCATGACGTCCAATCTTCTGGCAAGCATCCCCAGGTACTGGTCCAGACTGGCACGTGTGCAGGGTACCTTCCGCATATTACCCTTGTCCACGGGTCGATAGCCGGTTGCTGTTGGCGGAAATCGTCAAGCTCACGTGCCGACTACAAGGAAGGCGCTATTTGGGGGGTATCGAGGATAAACCCTACCTCCCGGACACAAGCGCCTACCAACCCTTTATGCTTGCCTGAACATACCCCAGATATAGGTGGGTAAGACTGCCGAGGCAAAATGCGTAAAGCCACGGAGAATTTGCTGATTACCCTGGTACTCATATTCGTATAGCTATGGTGAAAATACCTTGTTATCGAAGCAGCAAGGCACTTACGTACGATTGCAGCGCAAGAATCTCAACAACTGGCCCAGAATTGGCAGCGGAAAACCCCGAACTCTCTACTGCCCGATTGGCCAACCCAGCACGAGCAAGAGTTTTGGTCATCTCGTCATCTGCGGGGGGGACCGGGCGCCCCCTGACCCTGCGTGCCAAGGCCCGGCTCAGTTTGGTGGACATTACAGTTGTCCTACATAGATCCTGAACCTGTGTGGCCCGGGCAGCCGGGGCGCGGGTGCTGATGAATCAGACTTTTGCCGCTGTCGACTTGGCCCGTCTCCTCCCTTGCCCCGAGAGCTCGCGGGGTGCCTTTGGGAGGTGGTCATGGTAAGACATTGTGTCCTGAAACCCCTCGGGCTATCCTTTTCTTCCCCGCATTGTGAGGTGGGCTAGCGCTATCTGCTGCTTTACCAAGCCCGGACAGAAGGATCAAGCACATAACGAGCCGGTGCCTTTCGATCACGTAATTGTATGCGAAACCTGTGTACCCCACGTAGTGCTGTGATACAGCAGAGCGAGATAGACCTTTTGCATACCCTCGCCAAGCCAGACGATGCTTCCCTCGATATTCCAGACCGCTTTGCATATGCGTTGAAGCTTGCGAGCGAAGTCACCTTTGGTCTGGCGGCATAACAAGTCGGCTGCCCTGATCCCGGATACCAAGGTGGTCAATGTGAGCTCTAGAAGCCCGACAGAGGAGCACGGAGCAGCCCATGCAGCGCATGAAGACAATCCCCTCTTCTTGTGGTTGCATCCAGCCAGTGCACGTCGGGTAGCCCAGCCGGCATTGCATGTATGTGCGAGGCGTGCGTGCGTGGAGATGGGGAGTCGGGACGAAAGCACTCGAAAGGGGGGACACGTTACAGAGGCTGCTGCGCCATCTCCGGTCGTTGGCTCCTGGCCTGCCAGCTGCGGGGTTGGGCTGTGCAACTCCCCCAGTCGAGGCATGCACATCACCTACCCTAGGGCCACCGCCCGGCCTTCAGCGCCCTGTCTCAGCTGGTACCCGTGCCACGCCCCAAATACGAGGCTTTCCGAACCAGAAGAGAAGGCCCTATGTCGCTATATCGATCGTTTGGATAATATAAACCTTGCGGTACGCGTCGAGTTCGTTACTGACGCGGCAAACTGTATCTTGCGCGAGCGGTCTAGCCAGCGCGACGCTCCTACCGTGGGGCCAAACTGGACTTCTCGCTTCTTAAAGCGTCACGGCTACTTCAAAAAGCGCCAAAAAAGGCTTCAAGCAGAGCGCCAAGTCTCCGAGAATCTTACACGAGTTAACCAGTATTTCCAGCATCTTCGGCAGGTTATCCAAGACAATGGTATACCTCCTGAGGATATCTGGAATATGGACGAGACTGGTTTTCGCATCGGGGTTGGAAAAGACCAGCTGATTGTGACAAAACGGAGGAGAGCTCATTATTTTGGCATTCCTGAGAATAGGGAATCCGCTACTGCGATCGAAGCTATCTCGGCGAATGGGGAGGTTGTTCCGGCTTTTTTGATACTCGCTGGCCAGATGCACATGGCTTCATGGTATCAAATACCTGAGCTAGATCCTGACACAGTTATTCGACCCACGCCTACTGGTTACTCAAACGACGTGATTAGTCTGGAGTGGCTCCAGCATTTTGACAAGCACTCGGAAAAAAGCTCAAGAAGCTCGAAGCGACTTCTAATTCTTGATGGTCATGGCTCTCACCATACCAGGCAGTTCATTGAATACTGCGACAACCACAATATTATTCCCTTCGGCATGCCGCCTAATCTCACGCATGCACTTCAGCCTTTGGACGTTGTCGTTTTCCAGCCCCTAAAGCACTATCACGCCAAGGCTTTAGATGTCATGGTTCGAGATGGCCTCGTCAACATAACCAAGCTTGAGTTTCTCTCCTGCATTCAACAAGTACGATTGCATGCTTTCAAGGAGAGTACTATACGCTCCGCATTTCGCAAGACAGGAATCTTCCCATTCAATCCACAAGTAGTACTTCAATGTTTGAAGCTCGTCAAGCCACGACACCCACACCTCCTCCCAATTCAGGACCACACTCCTCACCTTTCGAGACACCATTGACTCTACGACAAATAAACAAGGTAGCGGACAAATTAGATCTCGTCCTTGAAGACGATAAAGCCTGGATCCCGACTTTTCTCACGATCTCAGTCGATTTATTCGAGGATCGCTATCTCTGGCGACTGAGCTCGTGCAGACTAAAAGGGACTTGGGACGAACCAAAATGGCGGAGCGGATCCAAAAACAACGTAAGGCTATGAAGAATATACAGTTACAATCAGGAGGAGTATTGTCAGTGGCCCAAGGACGGAAATGGTGCAACAAAGGGGAGATGATCAGATTGCTAAAGCAAGGAAGGTAGTAGAAGACGCGGAGAAAAAGGCGCATAACGCACGCAAGCGATGGTTTGAGGAAGCAGCAAAAAAGGCACGCCAATGGAGGGGTTCAGGAAGGTTAGAACGAGTGGAAGTACGCGATTCTGAGCGTGGTACGCGGTGGTTGAAGCGATTCTAGGTCGGGGAGTCGAAATTCTGGGTATTCCGGTGGTGTGGGGATACTGGTGGTGAGCACCAACTTTAGGAGGTGGGAGCTTGCGAATTCCAAATAAAGTGGGGCGTGGCACGGGTAGTATCAGCATGGAAACGGGCGTCGTGTGATTGGGCCCGCGGCCGGTTCCCGTGCGAACCGTGTCCCGTCTGTGTAGGGGAGTTCCAGGGTTTATATTAGGCGTGGCCGCTGGCGCTCTCGCATTCCCTCCGCATGTACGGATACTGATACCGGTAATTAACCGTCTGCGCACATCAATCCATCCCAGGTCAAACTATAGCCCAAGAGTCAAGAGGGGCCGACGCCCGGGATCGGATATCCTCTCGTGTGTGTGTGTGTGTGTGTATTTTCCGTCCAGCGGCCGTAAGGCCGCTCAGGTCCCGGTGGGGCACAGGACGTGCTGAGCTAGGCTATCGAGAAAATCCTGCCACAGTAGGCCTCACCCAGCGCTTCTTGCAAGGCCTCGCAAGGGCGAGCTGTCGGGCTCAATCCCCGGAGACGGCTTTCCTACCCTCCACCGGTAGGTTGTCGCTAAGCCCGTCAATACAAGTGTCCGTGGCTATCCTCTGCAGCCAGCCTTCCCGAAGTCCATCCAGCATTTCATCGGCTCTAAGGCGCTCAGTGTCGGAGCCTGGTGCCCGTCAGCGGGTCGTCCAGGCGCGTGGCGATTGCCACAATGGTCAACCCTTGGTTTTGTCCGGTCAGAATTCTCTCGCTCTCTCGCTAACGCTGCTGTCGCAGTCCATGCTTCGGTAACCAGGCGATGGAAATAGCGCAGGAGCGGCGGCAGGAAAACCCTCGAAGGAATCAGAGGCTGTCGTGCAGCTTGCCTTCAGGGAGAAAAACCTGCGCAACCAGCCACCGTTGTTTAGAAGGGCGGGCCTTCCAATACCCACAGCTCCTTGGTTCCGAAGGAAGCTGTGAGGTCCGTGTGGACGTGTTGTCGAGACCGGCTTTGCAGAGGAATATGAACTCTCCTAATGTCTTCCTCTGTGCTGTTAGGGCCACGATGGACCCGGGCAGCAAAAGCGCGGTCGGGTGGCCTGCAAATCCGGCCCCCTGCTAGCGAGCCGCTAACAGCTCTGACGGGGGAAGAATTTTTACAGGGGAGAGTTGGGATATCCTCTCGTCCGAAGCGGGCCCGAGGTCCCGGGTAGCCGACAGGCCGCCGCCTTCGGGAAGCCCGCGTCCAGCTGAACAGTGGCTGAATAGGCATGGCAGTGGTGGGGTCCACGAATCAGCCTCATGACACTCACCGTCTTCGGGTTGCTCTACGTACATGCGGCACGATTGCCACTCGCCAAACACTCTTCGTAACGAGACATGCAGCTTCGGTCTTGCCCGAGTGCTACATGCACACCACTCGGCGGCAAAGACATGGCCGGCAAGCAAGAAACGCCGCGTTCAGCATGGTAAAGCTACCGACCAAGAGTAACATCCTACAAGTCCGTGGGGAAAGCAAGAAGAGGCGTTAGTCCCATCAACCGACAGACGAGAGGTACGCATCGCAGCCACAGACCGACATGCTGGACCGTTTAAAAAGCACCAGAACCCCCAAGAACGCCCAACAACTCTACACTCGAGCCGACCCATTACATATCCATGCTCATCAGGTACATCTCGAATATCCGCATGAACTTGGCCACAAATGCCTCGAGATGAAAAATCACCTTGGTTCCCGTCCTGATTCGGTGCTCGTAGAAGGCGGACCATTGAACCACCTCACCCTTCAATCCATCGTCAATCATGGCAAGCAGCTTGAATGTCAGGGTCTTCAGGATGGTTGTCGGGGGGATGCAATGAGACAAGAGATCGTAAAGCTTCGATCGCACCTGCAGGATCCTCGCCGGGGTGTGCTCCTCCATGATTTCCTTTGCTATCTGCCCGATGAGAGCCTCCCAGTCCGCAGGCGGGATGGCTGTGTTCTCGGTCACCTTGTCGCTGCAGCCTGTGTTAGTCAATGCCACCCGCAGCTTGCACGCCGTCGGCCACCTACTTTTGTGCATGGACGGCCTCGTACATGAGAAGCGCCCTCCGCAGATTCCTTCCGCTCTCGACCGCAATTCGCTCATGCAGGCCCTTAAGAACCTCCCAGTTCTCCTTTCTGGCCGATTGCGCCAGCACGTCGCAGATCTCTTCGTGCGTCGGCGCCGCGACTCTGACCAGCAGTGTTCTCGAGCGGATGGGCGCGATGATGTTGGATGTCGAGTTTGCCAAAAGGATCAGCCGCAAGTTGGGCGAGTACTTCTCCATGGTCCGGCGCAGCGCGGCCTGCGCGTCTCGCGTGAGCTGATCCGCCTCGTTGATCACGACCACCTTGAACCGCTGCTTGGCAGACTGATCGACCTGCTGCGTCTGCGCGACTTCCTTCAGCAGGTCTTGTACCACTACCCTGTCATAGTTTCCCACGTCGGACGGCGTGATTTCGAGATGATAGACGGAGGCGACGATATTGAACTCGAGCTTCCGATTACTCGTCGTCTGGAACACGCGAGCGTCGACCTTGATCTTCTCCACCCCGGGACCATACAGCTCCTTCAACGTTGCAACTACCCTGGTCTTCTTGCCGGCACCCGAGGGGCCGTACACAAGAAGATGGGGAAAGTCACCGCTTTGCGCCTGAGCCAGGTCAGCTTTTCTCCAGTGCTAGAAAGTCGAGCGCGTCTTACCAGCGATTGGAGTCTCTCCGACAACTCATGATGATAGCTCAAGGCTTCGATTGACCGGGGCCTGTGCTTGTCGACGATGAGGGCCATTTTGAAGAGGTGAGGCGGATGGCCCAAGACGCGAAGATGAACAAAGTTGTACGCCCTGTTCCCGGTGAGACGCGTCGGCGCGTTAATTGCGGGAGATCATCGGAGGAAACTCTTCTGGCCAAGTACCTCGTACCTCGAGTGGGGAGCTCAAGAGTAAGGTATGCATGCCTCGATCCGCCGCACTTCGGAAAATGAGTTGCTGAATTGACTGAGCAGAAATTAAACAATTGTTTGTTCTCGGCGGCGTCGAGTGCAGCAGGAACGATGTAGACGGACGAGGCCCTCGCCATGCTCTGCAAGAGCGCTCTTACGGTAGCCGAGACGAGCCTGCTAGTGATCCCTAAAGGTGTCGGAGCTTCGGATGGAGTGCGCATTGGCCGCCTAAGTCTCTAGATGGACGAGAAGTGCAGAGTGAATATCACACCCTTGTTGTACAAATCACACTCGCTATGAAACATGACCTCCAAGTCCGCATCGCTTCCCAAATCAGTCGTCTGACCGGCTCTTGTTCAGCGCCTATCGACATCGGCCTTGCAGATCCACGCCAAGGCAATCGTCCCCCAGGACATGGCTTGGTCCAAGCGTGAGACGATAATGCACTCATTTCATGCCCAGGTGGGACTTCATGGCAAACGGGAGGCTTCGGACGTGCTTCTCGCTTCGGTGACTGAGGTTGGCGATGACGCTTCGATTAGGGCCGCCGGGGCAACCTGTCTCCTTGGCCTCTTGAGCTCCTCCAGTGTGATGCCATCAAGCTTGGTGATGCCCACGACTGGAGGATCACCTTTCTTCACAAAGCCCCATTGGCCTGCGCTTGGTCAGTGGAAACAGGACATCCGGCCGACGGGGCAGACCAACCTGGCAGCTTATTTCCAGCCAGGCGAAAAGCATCTCTGACGACCTGCTCGTGAAGCCGTCCTCTGACTTCAAAGAGAACCTGGTTCACAGACATCCTCGTCGCCCAATGATCGAAAGAGCCTTTTCCTTTGCCCATTCGCACCTGGGACGAGTGTCAGCTCTCAGCGCCCATCGTCCCTTCTCTGCGATCTAGCGGGCCTTACCTCGTTTCCGCTGACGTACACGCCGACGTTGCAGCATTTCCGCTTGTAGAGTCGGAACTTTTCTCCGCGGAGCCGCACCTTGATTGTGTCTTCGGCCATCTTCAATTGCTTGGCGCTGATTCTCCGGTGGTGGTCAGTCATCCTCAGACCCCAGTCTCCCCATATGACAGTTGTTCCTTTCACTGAGCCTCCCGTGGCCACACGCGCTCGGCCCTTGGCCATCTTCCTCTTTCGGTCCATTTTCGGCTCCAGCCATGATCCCAGGACCGGCCCTGTTGTCGAGAACAGTCGCACATTCTGGAGTGGCCGCGCCGTGTCGAGAGTCTTCGTGTGTCGTTGTATCGGGGTTTTTAGGCTTTGCAGCGGCGATGAGCTGCATATGCTCAGCCCTCGAAAGGCACTGATTAATGGCCAAGAGCTCGCGGGTCTCATTGTCTCGGCTTGATGGCAGTGCCAGCTTCGTCCAGATGAAGCAGTTGTGGAGCTCCAGAAAATCTACCTGTCCCCAGCTTGCTGCCTGGAAATTGAGGCACGTGATCAACATCACTTTAGCTCAAGTCACGCAACTCGCGTCAGCTTCGCGTAGGCCAATTGCACGTCACTCGGTACCTTATTTCGGGTTCTTCGTCTTGTCTTCAACCACATTTGCTCCCGGCAGCATATCTTTTGACCCTGAGCGACCTCCTGCGCTCCGATTTCGACAAAATTCAGCATATGAAGGTCGAGGATGATTACTTTTTCTCGTCAAAATGCCTGATATACGGTCGTTCTTTACGCCGCGAGGTGGTGCCGCGCCCAAACCAGCTCCAGCCAAAAGCGAGGAGCCGCCCAAGGGGAAGCGGACGAGTGAGTGCTGCTGATCCAATCGGACGAGAATTTTCTAAACCATATACAGAGGGTCGAAAGGTTGTCGAGGACAGTGACGATGATGAAATTGTCGGGTTTGTCACCCACAGCAGCTTATGTGCCGCGGTTCCGACGCTGATTTTCTGCTAGACAAGCAAATCCAGCAGCCAAAGGGGTCTCCAAGAAGAAAAAGTAGTCACTTCCTCGGACATGTGAGCTGCCACAATCCGCTGACAAGAACAGGGACTTGGAGCCTAAAGGTGTAGCGATATCCACCGATGATTATTTTGCCTCGACAAAGGACAGCAAGAAACCAAAATCCAATGCACCGGGAAAAGCCGAAGCCAAAGTTCAAGTCAAAACCGAAGCTCCAGTGCGCTCGAGCCCACGAAACAAGCAAGCAGCTGCCAAACCAGCGGCGCCTGCCCCCAGTGACTCCCCTTCCAAGAAAAGAGCGACAAGGTCGTACAAGAAGCACAATGCCCATGATGACGATGCGTTCATGGAAGATGCGGACGAAGATGGTGATGACATGGCTGCAGCCGAGGTGAAAGGACGCAGCAAGCGCAAGAATGACGACTATGAAGAGGAGGCATCTGAGGAAGAAACGCTCCCAAAGCCCAAGCGCGTTGCTTCCCGAGGACGTCCTCCAGCTGCAAGCACAGTATCGGAGGAGAAGAAGAAAAGCCAAGCAAGCACATCGAGCAAGAAGCGAAAGTCCCCAGAGCAAGAATCAGACGAGGAGGAGGACCTGCCACGAAAGAAGCCAGCAGCGGCAAAACCACGAGCACCGAGGACAAAGAAAGCAGACGTGCCAGAGGATAGCGGCATACAAAATATCCTCGACAGCGTAGCAACTGTCCGGGCGCCGACGCCGCCCCCGAAGGATCCAAATGCAAAGTTCGACTGGAGGAAGGCTGCTGCGGGGGGAAGCAACGCATCGGCACAGCCAATGCAAACGGCAGATCTCCCTGAAGGCCAGGAGGAGTGCCTCAGCGGACTGTCCTTTGTTTTTACTGGCGTGTTGCAAACAATAGGTCGCGATGAAGGACAGGCACTTGTGAAGCGATATGGTGGCAAAGTCGTCGGCCAGCCAAGCAGCAAAACGAGCTTTGTCGTTCTCGGGGAGGACGCCGGCCCCAGCAAATTGGCCAAGATCCAATCACATGGAATCAAAACCATCGACGAGCACGGATTGTTCGACCTCATCCGAAAGCTTCCCGCCTTTGGAGGATCCGGCAAGGGTGCGCAAAAGGCACAGGAAAAGAAGAAGGCCGACGAGGAGAAAGTGAAGCAGCAGGTGGCCGAACTGGAAGCTGAGGAGAAGGCGAGGAAAGCCAAGGAAGCAAAGGCCGCTCGGAAGGCAGCTGCCTCTCGAGGCACAACGAACGCACCAGCGCATCCACTGGCACCGAAGGCCCTGCTGCTGACGTCGAAATATGCGCCTACGCAACTGAGCCACATTTGCGGAAACAAGGCGCAAGTCGAGAAGATCCAGGCATGGCTCCGCAACTGGCCGAAATCGAAAAAGTACAATTTCCAGAGGCGCGGAGCGGATGGCATGGGAGGCGAACGAGCTATCATTGTCTCTGGTCCCCCCGGCATTGGGAAGACCACGGCTGCCCACCTGGCCGCTAAGTTGGAGGGTTACGACGTCTTGGAGAGTAACGCCAGCGACGCAAGAAGCAAGAAGCTTGTCGAAGCCGGTGTGAGCGACGTCATGAACAACACATCGCTGCTGGGGTATTTCGCAGGCGACGGCAAGGCTGTAGATGCCGCGAAGAAGAAACTGGTGCTCATCATGGATGAAGTTGACGGCATGTCTGCTGGTGACCGCGGTGGCGTTGGCGCGCTGGCCAAATTGTGCAAGAAGACAGAAGTGCCTCTGATTCTGATCTGCAACGAACGGAGGCTTCCCAAGATGAAGCCCTTTGACCATGTCGCCTTTGATGTCAGATTTAATCGTCCGACTGTCGACCAGGTCAGGTCTCGCATCATGACGATTTGTCACCGAGAAGGCCTGAAGCTACCGCCCGCTGTCGTGGATGCATTGATCGAGGGCAGCAACAAGGACATTAGACAAATCATCAACATGATTTCGACAGCAAAGCTCGACCAGACAAGCATGAGCTTCGACCAAGGAAAGGCGATGACAAAGGCTTGGGAGAAGCACGTTGTCCTGAAGCCCTGGGATATCTGCCAGAAGATGTTGGCCGGTGGTCTGTTCTTGCCGACAAGCAAGTCAACCCTGAACGACAAGATCGAGTTGTACTTCAACGACCACGAGTTCAGCTTCCTCATGATCCAGGAAAACTACTTACGAACGAAGCCCCTGGCATTAAACGGCAAGGGTTATACGAAGCGCGAGGAAAAACTGAAGGCTCTCGAACTGTTTGACCAAGCCGCCGAGAGCATCAGTGACGGCGATTTGGTGGACCGCATGATCCACGGGCCGCAGCAACACTGGAGTTTGATGCCAACGCACGCCGTCTTCAGCACGGTTCGCCCAGCCAGCTTCATTGCCGGACAGCTGATGGGGTCCAACTTCACCTCCTGGCTCGGCAACTTCAGCAAAACCAGCAAGCTGGGCAGATACGTGCGAGAGATCCACTCCCACATGCGGCTCAAGTCGTCTGGCGACCACAACGAGATTCGCCAGCAATACATGCCAGTGCTTTGGGACCAGCTCGTTAACCGGCTGCAGAAGGAGGGGACAGACGGCGTGGGAGATGTTATCGAACTGATGGATAGCTACTATCTCACCCGCGAGGACTTTGACGCCATCAAGGAGCTTGGGGTCGGACCGATGACCGAGGAAGAGGTCAGCATCGAGACGAAGACCAAGGCTGCCTTTACCAGAACGTGGGTAACCCTCTTGTTGGTTGCTCTTTCGCTGGAGCCGCTGAACTAAACGGGTTTACAGGTACAATTCGATGAACCACCCGGTCCCTTTCATCAAGGCGTCCAACGTGATGGTGCCGAAGAAGCAAGCCAAGGAGGCGCCTGATCTGGAGGAGGCGATTGAAGAGGAGGATGACGCAGAGGTTGTTGAACCGGTGGAGGCTGATGACGACGAGGTTGACTTCACCAAGGACAAGTACATCAAGCAACCTAAGGCCAAGAAAGCGGCAAAGAAGACTGGCAAGGCGGCTCCAGCGGATAACGATGACGACAAGCCCAAAGGGCGTGGCAAGCCGAAGAAGGGAAAGAAATGATACCGGTGCAATGGAGCTTCAAATATGGCTACTCAGGCGCCCGATCTTGGACGTTGTCGAGACTCGATATCGGGCAGCGTTGCGTCGAAATGGATCCGAAGCCGCTGATGGGTGCAGAACGGCACTTCACGTTGCGGAACGACGATGCTGTCCAGGGTTTGCTAGAATTAAATGCCGAATTGCTTTGCTACGGACATTTTTTAAGAAGGCTCCACGTTGATGATGGTGCGAAGCGTGCGAAGGGTATCGTCTGGTGATTTGGGCTGATCTGCCGTTGCCGGGGCGTCTCCTTGATACGGTTCAACTGTTTACTTGGACTCATGGTGCTGCGAGACGCAAGCCAATGGGCGAGCTTTGCTGTTTATCGATCCCTTGCCAGCTGCGAGCCACGTTGCCTGGGATATTTATTTACCTCGACGCGTAAACATCTTGTCTCTCCACCACCATCACCAAAGCTCAACCACCTGGCTGACTATCTCGCGGCTGCTTTACCCACAAGCGATGCACGGAATCTGACAATGAGCTCCAATACATCCATTCCAACTCTGGGTTACCTCTGAAAAGCAAAATGTCTATGCCTCGCGTGGTAAACAGCAGCCGTCCCAAAGAGGATTGCCTCGACGAGGACTACACTGACAGCAATGAGCAAGACCATGGCTCCGAGCCAACTCGAGGATGCCACGCATCATGACGGCAGCCAGGGGCGGTCTCGAATCCCCGGCTGTTCCAAGCCCAAGGGCCCCAAGGCATGGTCGATGACCAGGTCGATGATTGCGGCCTTTAACTCGATGCGAGGTTCTGGAAACATTGCAGATTCGAACTTGGTTCGTTGGGCCAATAAGAGCCAGCGCGGAGACGACAATGAGTTGCTCGGTGACCTCGACCAGTGAGTCTTGGTGTGTGCCTGCGGCTGGCTTCCATCATGGCTAACCAAGCTTGAAGTTTGCTTGCGCATGAGGCTGCATCCGCCGAGGAACGAATTCCCAATGCTGAAGCTGCTGGACGAGAGAAACGATTTGCTATTCTGCGCCCTGCATACGAACACCTCAACCCGCTCGCCTCTTCCGCGTCGTGCAAGTTATATCAAGGCAGTGACAATACTCTTGCTGGAAAGCCACAACGCATTGCGGAGGCTGCCAAGCACCACACTCATCAAGGACGGGGAGGCAGCCTGCGTTCCCTCGAGGAGCAGCCCGAGGATGTGTTTGAGCCTGAATGTCTCTCTGGTCCGGGGCTCTAGAACGGCCCGGACCAAGATGAAGCAGTCGTCTGGACCGGTAACTCAGGACCTCCCTCTGTTGGGAAGATGTGACCGCTGACCGGGACCAGAGCAATACGAAGTCTCTGATGGCGAGGGAGAACCGGAAGATGGCCGCATCTCCCCTTGTACCTTCAGACTCTGGGCCACTGAAGTCTCTGATGGCCAGAGGCGTGCCGAAGAGGCCAACGTGAACCCTCGGCCCTATGTTCATGCTCAGTCTGCGCGCTCCACTAGCCCGGGTAGTGAGGGTGAAGAGGCTGAGGACTTTTGCCCTCCTCTCGGTCAGTGCATATTCACCGCATCGCTAAGAAGCTTGAGCTGACAGGCACAGATCCGTGGGCCGCGTTTAGGATAGCTCTCTGGCAATACCAAGTCGAGGTCACTAATGGCCGGAGAGAATGTCCTGGCCGACGACAATCAGGCGCAGAGGGACAAGAGCTTGATAGCGATGACGACGATCTGCTCGACGGCCCTGGCCAAGTCGTATGCCTCAGCGATGTACACTTGCGCTCTTCATTCAAGGCCCCCTCTTGCAGCCGATGGCAAACTGACCGAGATTGTCTAGGAGGCCATCCGCGCCGCACTCGCGAGACACGACGCTCCGACTCATTTCGATGGCGTGCCCACCGATGCCATCGACGAGGAGCTCCGTCTGCGCTACCAGAGAGCCAAAGACGCTACATACTCGGTGACGCGCGCCGTCCAGGAGAAGTGGGCGGCGCAGGAGCGCATCGCCCTGCGCAGCGCGCAGGTCCAGTCCGTGGCCACGGCCATTGGCGTCATCCAGCAGCAGCAGGCGCAGCAGCAGGCGCGGCAACGCGAGAGGCGTCAGCGAAGGCGCCGCCGCGAGGAAATCTACCGCCATGTCGAGGAGCATCTCCGCGACGTGGCCGCCAAGGCTGACGAGGCAGAGTACCACGCCAGCAGACACTGGGCCGAGCTCGACCACTTGCTTGCCATGGAAGATCATGTGTGCGCCACGCTGCAACAGATGGCCCTCACGGTTGGCCTCGACGACGCCGTTGACCCGGACGAGATTGAGGCGCGGGTGGTGGAGATGGGCCAGCAGGCGGAAGCAGACGCTGTCGCCGACATGTCTGGCGACGAGGAAGACTGGATGTAACGAGACCGTCCCAGCTGAGATTGGAGGTTCGATCTGCGTTTGCGATGAAAGCGCAGACTCACACAAGGTGCGATGATGTAGGTGCGACTGGTGTCGTCCATCTCTGGTTGGAGGATTGGGTGATGTGATCTTATGTACAAGTATACGAATACACCCTGTCCAAACCGCACTTGTACAAAGACTTTTGCTCACCTGCCATGCAATAAAAAGAAAAAGAAAAGGCACATCATGAGAGGAGCATTATACATTCGACCCAACGCCGGCCTCCAAGATCCTGTAATAGTACACTCGCTGACGCCGTGACCTTGCGCACCGTTCTCCTTTGCACACGACGCGGGATGATGATGCCCAGAATTTCTAGCTGTTCTTGACGACGCCGACCTTTGCGGCGCGCAGGACGCGGCCGTTGAGCTTGAAGCCCTTTTGCTGGACGTGGAAGACGGTGTTGTTGTCTTTGTCCGGCTGGGGAGCCATGAAGGTGGCTTCGTGCTCGTTGGGGTCGAACTTGTCGCCTTGGGGGTCGAGCCGCTCGAGGCCGTGCTTGGCGAGGGTCTGCATGAGGATGGTCTCGGTCATCTTGAGGCCCTCGTGGAGGTTGACAAGGTCCTGGATGTCCTCGTTCTTGTCGGGCGTGGTGAGCTTGTTGGCCGGGACCGTGGTCAGAGCGCGGTCAAGGTTGTCGACGCTGTCGACGAGGTCCTTTGCGAACCTCTGGATGGCGAAGTCGCGAGCCGTCTTGACCTCGCGCTGAGTGCGATCTTGGAGGTTGCGGAAGTCGGCCACGGTCCGAAGGCACTTGTCCTGTTGCGCCGGCCTGTAAGCATCACGGGCCCGGGCCAGACGGCGTGGGAGGAGTTAAGAGCGAACCTTCCATTCCTTGGCCTCGTTCTCCTTGGCCTCGAGCGCCTTCTTGAGCTCCGACACGGCATCAGCCGCGCCGTCTTGCTCCTTGGCCTCGGCCTTGTCACTCTGGCCCTCGGTTGGTGTGGCCTGGGCGTCGCTGTACCATCTGGTTGCGGCGGGGCGAGCCGGCCTCAGCAGGAAAGCGGGCGAAGCTGTCTGCAGCTGTGGGCGAAGAGGAGGCTCGTTGGCCACCAGTCGGGGTATCGAGCGCAGAGCCCGGGACGAGGCAGAGAGGCCTTGTCGCAACATGGCGGAGGGATGTTGTTGTGCAGGAAGAATTGGGGTCTGCGCTGGGTATAATCAAGCTATTTCGTAGCCACGGTCAGAGCAGCTCCGATGAAATTTCATGGCTGCATCGCCGGGCCGGCTACGGGCGGCACGCACTCAAGCGGATCAACAATGGCCCGATGACGAGCTGGGGCCGGGAGCCACATCCGGGCTCCGGTTTTTCCGAAGGCAGTGGCTGACGCGAGCTCTGGACTGCTACCTAGAGAAGCAGCAGAGCAGCGAGGCTGAGGGAGAGCTCGCAGACGAACAGACCTCCATCCCCCCTCGCAACAGGAACCATAACCATCACCACAACCACAACAACGACGACGAGAGCAGCAGCAACCCCCCATATTTACCTCACCGGCCGTCTCCTGTCTTCACTTCCCCCTCCCGTCCTCCGTTTCGAGCCACAATGGCGGCGGGCGACTCCAGCCGGCTCCAAGAGGCCCAGAAGCTGGCCAAGACGGATCCCAGAAAGGCAGAGGCCGTCTACAAAGACATCACGTCTCACGCCCCGCAGGCCACCTCCGACGCCGCCACCCGAGAATATGAGTCGGCCTTGATAAGCCTCGGCGAGCTCTACAGGGACGAGAGGTCCGCTCTCTCCGCCGCTCGAATCAGGAGACAGGGAAAGCTGACTCGGCTCACAGGAAGACACAAGAGCTGGTCAATCTGGTGCGCGAGAGCCGCACCGTGTTCTCGTCGTTTGCAAAGGCAAAATCGTCCAAGCTCGGTTCGTATACGCGATGTCGCCCCCTTCAACGTGCTTGGCTAACCCGAGCCGCCCAGTTCGACAACTACTCGACCTCTTCAAGGACATACCCAACAGCACCGACATCGAGGCCTTCATCACAAAGGACTGCATAGAATGGGCCACGGCCGAGCGTCGCGCTTTCCAGCGCCAGGACCTCCAGGTCCGCCTCGTCGCCCTCTACATGACCAAGCAATCCTACTACGATGCCCTCACCCTCATCAACGGCCTCCTCCGCGAGCTCAAGCGTCTCGACGACAAGCTCCGTCTCGTCGAGGTCCAGCTGCTCGAGTCGCGTGTCTACCACGCCCTCGGCAACATCCCCAAGGCCCGCGCCGCCCTGACGACGGCCCGGACAAGCGCCGCCAGCGTCTACACCCCGCCCATGCTGCAGGCGAACCTCGACATGCAGAGCGGCATGCTCCACGCCGAGGACAAGGACTTCAACACAGCCTTTTCTTACTTTATCGAGGCCTTGGATGGCTACCACAGCCTCGACGAAAGCGTCAAGGCGCAGGCCGCCCTGCAGTACATGCTGCTCTGCAAAATCATGCTGAACCTGGTGGACGACGTCAACCAGCTCATGGCCTCGAAGCAGGCCGTAAAGTACGCGGGCAAGAATCTCGAGGCCATGAAGGCCATAGCCCGCGCACACTCGAACCGCTCCTTGGAGGAGTATGAGCGCGCCCTGTCGTCGTACCGCTATGAGCTTGGCAGCGACGCCTTCATCCGCAATCACCTCCGACGCCTCTACGACGCCATGCTGGAGCAGAACCTTATCAAGGTTATTGAGCCATTTTCGCGCGTTGAGATCGACCACATTGCCAAAATGGTTGGGCTTGACACTCAGCAGGTGGAGCGCAAGCTTTCCCAGATGATCCTCGACAAGGTCATCATCGGTGTTTTGGACCAGGGCGCCGGCTGCCTCATCATTTTTGACGAGACGCAGCGAGACGAGTCGTACGACGCCGCCCTGGCAACGATTGACAAGCTGAGCAACGTGGTGGATGTCCTCTACACGAACCAGGCCTCTCTGCTGGAATAGGAGGATGAAACGGGGCAGCGAGATCAAGTATTTGTAACCATACAATTGTAGATAAGGCACTCAAGAAGGATCCGCCTGAGGCTTGGAATCCGCGAGGCAAGCCCGCCGCCTGTTGTTTTGGTGCAATTGTATTGCCAAGAAAGACCCTTTTCAGGGCGTATGCAAGTTACAGAAGAAGAGAAGGACATGAAACACACCAACAGATATCCTGGCTAAGACAACGATACTAGAGTGGTATCTCTTTGAAAGCACAAGCCCTCGCAACCCGGGGAAACGCCAATCATGTCCGTCGTTTTTGGGCTTCTGTCTTTGGTCGATCCAAAATCGAGATATCACAGCTGGGGAATGACGAGAAAGAGAACCAGGGGTACAGCAGAAGATCCAAAAGTTCAAAAAGTCATCATCTTCAGTGAAACATGATTCGCGAAGGCCTGCCCAGCCCGGCTCTGCGCCGCCTCTCCTCGCCCAGGATCAGGGCAAAGAGCCGCTTGGCCAGGACGCCCTCGTCCCAGCCGCCGACGGCAGCCCTGAAGGCGTCGACGACGTCGAGGTGCCAGCGCTCCAGCCGCATGGCCTCGCCCTGGCTCTTGACCGTCTTGCCGAGGTAGCGGTCGGCGGCGGCATGATGATGCTGCTGCTGCTGCTGCTGCTGCTGCTGATGGCGGTGGTTGTGCGACGCCGGGGGAAATGGCGCGCGGCGGCGGAGCTGGAGCAGCTCGTCGAGCAGGAGCCAGTGGCGGCGCGTCCAGACAGTCTGCGAAAGGGGAGGCTCGGGCGTGTCCTCCTCGTCCCCCTCGACCTCCTGCTCGTTCTCTTCCTGCTTACCGAGCGGCGGCGCATCCGACATGGGGACATCCTCAACGTCGCCGATTTCCTCGTCCTCGGTCCCCACGGCGGGCGGCGGCGGAGCAAAGGCCGCGCGCGGCCGCGCCAGGGAGGCGAGGGAGGAGGCCGAGGCGATGGACAGGCGACGCTCGTGGCGGGCCCTGGCCTGCTCCGCGGGCGAGAGGACGCTGCTGGTAAAGTCGACGACGCGGCCCGGCGTGCGGGGCTTGAGCGGCGACCGCAGGCTCGACTTTGTCGGCGACGCGTCCTTGGGCGGCAGCGGGCGCAGCAGAGGGCGGGAAAGCCCGGGCGCTGGCGGCGGCGGTTGCGCGGCGCTGGCGTGCGACGTCTCCTGCTGCCACCGGTGGATGTCGGCGTGAGACAGCTGCATCCGGGGGGGTGTCGTCGCTGCCGAGCCCTGCTGCTGCTGCTGCTGCTGCTGTTGAGACAAGGACTGCGATGCAGCGCGCCGGCCCGACTGCCCGCTGGACGGCAGCGGCGTGACGCTTTGTTTCCGCCAAAGCCGCCGCTCAGGCGAAGCAGGAGACGGCGACGACGAGGCGTGCCCGCCGACGCTCTCCTCTGCCTCACTCGTACCAGCCGCCGCCGCCGCCGTTGCCGAGGAAGACAGCATACTGCTGCGGCGCCGCCCGCTCAGCGGCACGGGCGGAAACATGGAGCTCGTCGGCATGACCGGGGCGGCGGCACGCGCGACGGGCTCGGGCCGGCTGGGCGTCGTCGTCGCGGCGCCAAACATGGCCGTCGAGGCCTTTGCCGGGAGAAACTTGTGCGCCAGCATGCCGGGAATGGCAGCCGGGGAGGAGAAGAAGGACGACAGGTCGAAGCGACTGGCCTTGGAGGCAGACTCGGCGTCCTTCGCGGGCTCTCCCTGCTGCTGCTGCTGCTGCTGCTGCTGCCGCCTCTGAGCCACCAGAGAGTACTCGTCCGCCTCGCTGGCTTGCGAGCCTACGGGAGAAGGTTTCTTCTCAGGCAAGGCTGCTGGATCGCGAGGAGCGTTTGCCCTCTTGGCTGGAGAATCCAGCCCGCCAGCCCGCCCTCCAGCCCAGGTGCCTGATGCGACACCGCGACGATGGCCGTACGGGGCGACTCGCTTGCCGAATGGCTGCTGCCGGGTGACCCGCGGCGTCTCGCGTTGCGCCTCAAGCTCCCAAATGTCCGTCTCGTCGTCTCGCTCCTCAGTGCTGCCTCCTCCGCTACCCCCGTCCGTCGCCGGCGCCGGCGCCGCTCCGCCAAGCCGCCCGAGGGAGGGGACCGCTCCGGCGCTGGACGAGCGGCGAGCAGCTTCCTGCAACGAGTTGTCCCCTCTCAGCCCAGGACTTATGGGCCCCTCCCTGGCAATCCAGCTCATGGCGCCGTCGCTGTTCGGGGTGAAGCGCATGGAACTGCCCGGCGACCCCCTCACGGGCGAAAGGGCCTGCTCTGCCGGCACTCTCACGCCCAGTGCCTGCATGAAGTGAGTCTGGCCGGTGGTACTGTGGGACGCCGCGCCGAACGGATCCTCTCTGGCCGGGCTGCCAGAAGGCGCCCTGGCTTCTGCAAAGGTCAGCAACTGCTGAGGGCTTTTGCTCATGCGCCGGCTGGTCTGGCTGTTGAGGGACCCATTCCACGAGTCTCTGCTGCCGGAGCTCCGAAACGGACTCCCGAGCTGCTTCTCCCGGCCTTCGGGGGATGGCGGGTCCGACGTGATGCTCTGCAGAGCCCTGCCCGCCCGGACAATGGCAGATAGAGCCGGCCGGGCTGTCTTGTCGTGCCACGCTTCCTGCTGCACCGACTGCGGCTCCTGGAGGGGGGACGATATCTGGTGAACCGGCGTCGCCTCCACCGATTGCGTCGACGGCTCCGCGGCTTCCGGTGACTGGGACTGTTCGGGCTGCTCGGCCGCGTCGGACGGTTCCGGCACGCGCGCGTCAATGACTTCCGGCTCAGCTGGAGCTTCCGAGGGCGGCGCAGGTTTCGAAGATGTCCCGGATGCTTGATCAGACTTGGCCTGCTCCTCCGCATCTTGGAATTCAGGTTGTGGAGGTGTATCATCCGGCGTTGGCAAGCGTCCTGCCTCAGACCGGGCTGAACTGGCACTGGAGCCCAATGTTGGCGCTGGCTCGTCGAGGGCCGCTTCGTTCTCGCCCTGGACAGGTCCGCCATCCTCCTGTCGCAGTTGATCGTCGTCTTGTAGCAGGTCCGGACGTTCTTCTTCTTCCACTTCCTTATCCTCCACCTCTCTCCTTTCCTCTTCTTCATGTTCATCACCGTCGCCACCGTACGGTATTACAGTATTAGGCTGCCCCGGTGTCGCAGATATTAGAATCTCCTGTGGAATCTCGGAAAACGAGTCCTCATACGCATATGATGTCTCGCCATTGGAGCGACCAGACTCTATGCGCTGAGAGGTGGCGAGGAGATCCTCCTCGCTCATCTTGTCCGCACCAACTGCGGCAGATTCCTCCGCTTGCCTCGCTTTAAGCCTCAGGACTCGATGCCGGAGCGGCGAGGAGTCGGCGGCCTTGCGGGGGGTGCGCGACCACCTGGGACTCGGTCCCCGACTTTGGGATCTGGCGGCCGTCGCTCGAGTCGGTGTGGGTTCGTTGGAGGCCAGCTCGTCCTGGTCAGGATGCGACACGGCTTGCGCGGGTGTCGGTTGCGCAGAGGCGCATGATTCCGCCTCGACGTCCTCCGCACCACCCTCCTGCCTGAGAGATTCAAGTGTATTATTGATAATGAGACTCGTTTCTTCGCCCAGCTCCTCGTGCGCTGCAGGAGGAATGGAGCTCTTGAAGGCTCCCTGCAGCGAGGGTATAGAATCCATAAAAATCATGCTAAAGTCTTCTCCTTGCGCGATTGTATCGTCGGGTCGCCGCGGCGAAGTGGCGTTTACTGGCTCGTCGAGGGAGGATATGTCGCTTGCGGCGGGGGCGAAGTCGACATAGTCGCCGGCTGCTGAGGCTCCTCCATCAGAATCCAGCATGTCATCAGCATCTGGCTGCGGCGCTTCTTCGGGCGCGCCACGGGAGGGAGAAGGCGAAGACGGTGCCTGGGTGGGCAGAGCCGTGGCTCTTGGGGTATCCTCGTTCGATATGGTGGCCATCCAGATATCGGCGTCGTGGTCATCGTCGACGGGCGCAGGATCTGCAGGCGGGGAGGCTGATGGCAGTTTCCCGGGCGCTCCGACGAGGTCCATTCCGTCTTCGCTCGCAGTCGCAGATTGAGATGCCGATTGGGGCTGATCTCGGGCTTCCGGCTCCGCGAGCTCCTCCAGTTCCTCAGGAACTGTCGCCTGTCTTGTCCGTCGCTGCCGTTTCGTAGGCGAGGCCTTGGGTGTGGCTTCTGCTCCAGTCTCGAATGACGGCTCCGGGGCCTTTTTGTTCTTCGGCGGGCGACCGCGACGCGCCGACCTTGGCGTTGGCTGTACGCTGGATTGCGATTGCGCCTCGTCGGGCTCACGGCTTGTCTTGGCGAGTCGGGGACGGCGCGGGCTTCTCGTATCTGCTGGCGCGGCAGCCTTTCGCTTCGCGGCGCTGGGCATTGGCGTGCCGTTGACTTTCCGAGGCCGTCCCCTGCGCTTTGGCGTCGCGGCCGTGTCGTCGGCCGGACCGGGCTCATCCTCCTCGATGGAGGCTTGCAGGGGCACAGTGGTGGTGACGGCGCGCTGGTGGCGGCGGCGGGCGGCGGCGGGCGTAGAGGCGGGCGACTGGAAGAGCTTGCGACTGGTGCCGCGCGAAGGGCGGATAGCGGCGGCGGCGGCGGCGGCATCCGTCTCGACCGTGACCCATAGCTTCTGGGGGGAGCGATTATCGCCAACCTGGAGCTCGAACATCTGCTTCCGCGGCGAGCTGGTGACCGAGGCAAAGCGCTGGGACCGCAGACTACTGCGCGTGACGCGGCGCGACGACGGCGGCGGCAGCAGCTGCTCGGTGGCGTCGTTGAGGGGATCGGGCGACGACATGATGTCGGCGCTGGGCGTCGCCGGGTTTGCGAGGCTGTGCCAGCGGACGCTGAAGGACTCGGAGTACCGGGGCCGCGGCATCGATGGGCGGTGCTGGTGCAGGGCGGCTCGACATGGAATGGGGAGATGAGGATCCAAGACCCGTCGCAGGCTGTCGTCGTGGCAAATGGAGGAGCAAGGACGGCATAGGCATTGTTTACTTGGGTCCTGGCTGGGTCTAGCGCCAAGGGTCGACCCGTTGCTCCGCAGATCGACTCCCCGCTCCAGGGTAGGCAGCTCTCATGCGTTCCGATCTGCTGCGGTACGTACCCGCGCAGTCCAAGTCACATGCCAAACTCGGAGCGAACAGGGACGCGGGGATGACTTCAGGCCATTAAACAAGAAAAGTGGGACTGCTCTCGGCCGGCTTCAACAAGTCCCAGTCGATCCCACAACCCGCCGTCAGGGAACCTCGGCTCAAAGCCGCCCTGGAGCTTCCTTTCCTCCTGATCTCCCCTCATCCTCCCTTATCTAGTGTCATGAATCCATGATCAACTCGCCGACCTCATCGCCAAACCTCTTGCGCGCCGCCCGCCGGGACCCTTGCCTCGCTCTCCTCTACGAATAACAGCCGCCATGGCTCCCCAGACTCCCATCCCTCAGAACGACAACGTCGCCCACGCCCTCGCCGGCGCTGGCGGCGGCATTTTGTCCATGGCCTTGACGTATGTTGGATCGCATTCTTGCCTTTGCCGATGCCCCTTGTGCACCCGCCGAGAAAAAAGAGAGATATAGGCTCGCTAACGCGCCTTTCCCTGGTGTCCAGTTACCCCCTCATCACGCTGTCTACGCGCGCCCAGGTCGAGTCCAAAAAGGCCGACACGCGCTTCATCGCCGCCGTCCAGAGAATCATTGCTCGCGAGGGCGTCGCCGGCCTGTACTCGGGCATCAACTCGGCCCTCTTCGGCATCAGCGTCACAAACTTCGTCTACTACTACTGGTACGAGTGGACGCGCGCCTTCTTCGAAAAGGCCGCCCAGTCCGCCGGGCGCGCCAGCAAGAAGCTCACCACCGTCGAGTCTATGATGGCCGGCGCCCTTGCCGGCTCCGCCACTGTCATCATCACCAATCCCATCTGGGTCGTCAACACCAGGGTCACCACCCGCAAGCAAAACACAGAGGCAGACGTCGAGGCCGGCGTCCGGCCACGGGCAAAGGGCCCCTCCACCCTTGGTACCCTCATGTCCCTGCTCAAGCACGAAGGCCCCCAGGCCCTCTTCGCCGGCGTCATCCCGGCCCTAGTCCTCGTCATCAACCCCATCCTCCAATACACCCTCTTCGAGCAGATGAAGGACGCCGTGGAGAAGCGAAGAAAGGTGACGCCCGCCATCGCCTTCTTCCTCGGCGCGCTGGGCAAGCTCTTCGCCACCTCGGTGACGTACCCTTACATCACCGTCAAAAGTCAGATGCATGTCGCTGGCCAAAACGAAAAGAAGGAGGGCATGTCCCAGGCCCTGCGTCGCGTGATCAAGGAGGAGGGCTACGCTGGCCTCTACAAAGGTTAGAGCAGATCGAAAGTCTTGGCTGCCGGCATGGATTCTCACTAACATCACTTCAGGTATTGGCCCCAAGGTCACTCAAAGCGTGTTGACTGCGGCATTCTTGTTCGCGTTCAAGGATGTCCTTTATGAGCAGACGGTCAAGCTGCGCATGGCCGCTGCGCGCAGGCGCGTTGGTGCCTAGGCCGCTTCCACGCTAGAAGCCGGTTGAGTCGCCCCAGGCGCGAGAAGCAACCTGCGTGGGGACAACGGGCTTCGCCACGAGGCCAAAGTCAGATCGAATAAGAATGTAGTGCGAGTCGGCGGTGACGGGATGCCGTAGACGCGGGCACATGTACGATGGCCCATGGCCAATCACTCAGGTTACGGGAAAGTCAACAACACGAACGATGCATCTTGGTCTGTAGGCATGGACCGCAGATGACGGTTAGATACGTCTGAATCTGCATATCAGTATGCCATAGAATCAAATCCAAGCTGGCGTCCCAAGCCTCTTCTCTCGTACATGCTTGATCAACTATACAACCGGCACTATCTTCGGAACGATCCACCACTCGTGGTACGCGTTATCCGGGGTAGGTATCTCGGCCGTGATCTTGAGGCCGTCGCCGCCTGTCGATTTCTTGAGTAGGGCCTTGTGCACACAGGAAATTGCAATGCCGGTGGCGATGCTCGACCTGAGAGCGCTCTTCATCGCCGCGACCCATCGGTCGTGCGAGCCGACGGAGAAGGATTCCTTGGCGGACAGCTTGCTCAGCGTCTCGAAGCCCTTTTTGGCACCAGCCGCAGCCCTCTCGCCGTATTCCAGCAATTCTTCCGTCGTCGTTTCCGGCCGCGCCATGCCGGCCGTAAACTCGTCAAACGTCGGCGGCAAGGGGAAGCCGATGGAAGCAAAGGGCTTCATGCGAAGCGCAAATCGAAGTTCGTCGTTGCTATATGGTCGCGACAGAGCCTTGATAATATCCAGACGGTGCAGCGCAATGTACAGGCAGCACAGTGCATCGGACAGCTCCCACGTCACAGCGGCATCGAGCAGGGATAGCCGTGTATGGGCCAGCGATCGTTGCAGCTGTTCGCTCACCGACGAATATCCCTGCCCCGACTGCGATCGTGCCTCTTCGACGGCGTGGACGACAAATGACTTGATCCGCTCTGCGTGCTGGAGTCGGAATCTGGCCAGATAGTTGAGATACCAGTACATCCCGCCTAGCTCATCAGCTTGGTAAATCTCTAGCTCGAAGCCCAGCTGCACAATCAGCTCCATTTGACGTAGCTTGTAGAGATAGGACCAGGAAGACAACGGCAGAGAATAAGACTCGACGGCATCGTTGCCCATGGCTGACCGCTGCATCAGAGGCCGTTCGTTGGTCTTGGCCTGCAGGATCTGGTCAATGTCCTCGGCATCGACCTGGAGATTCTCCCAGTCTCGGATGATGTGGCAGAGCGTCCGCCGTACCCGACAGCGATTCTGACATGCCGTCCTCAGAATGTCGAGGAAAGGCTGCGCAGCTCGCTGTCTAAACAGTTCCATCTGCTGAGACATGACAAACCGCGCGTCCTGCGTGGCTTCGATCTCGTCGTTGTCCCGATCGAGCAGCGGGCTCGCTGGGAGTGTGATGATGGAGAAGTCGTCATCGAGCAGTTGACGGATGCTCATCGAGCCAAGTACTTCCATGGCATTGAATAGAAAGGTCTGCAACAAGGTCCTCACGTAGACCAAGGGTTGAGGCTTCTTGGCCTGGAAAGCAGTCACAAACGTCTGGATTCATGTTAGCGAGGCGGCGAAGAGTGGCCGCACAGAGCACCTACCTGAAGGCACTGGGAATCAGTGTATTCTAAAGCCCCGATAACCTCCAGGCCATCCTCGAAGAGGCGGGACAGGTGGCGGAATGCATCTTCGAAGCCGAGTTCCACGATGGGCCTTGGCGGCATCGTGCTGGCCAGCTTCCGTTGCAGCTTTGCGCTGAATGCCTCCTCGACCGGCTTTCCCAGCCGGTGACTCGACCATAGTTTAGGGAGCAGGTTCAATGCCTCTGCCCATGGGATTCTAGCCCGCTGCGGATCATTCATATGCTGGGGACATTCCGCCGCGGCCAGGAACACGTGTCTGAGTCTTAAGCGACTGATGAGAGCGCTCGTGACCTCGTCTCCAATGGCGTCTCTTTGCGAGGCGAGCAAATCTTCAGCATCTGTCAGGACCTGCCGGACAACATCCGTAGGGATCTTGCTAAGCAGGGAGCGACTGTATGTGTTGGTGACAAAATCCTCTTCCTGGACCCGAATCAGCGAGTTGCCGCCGCCAGTCCGGGGATGCAAATGCCCACCTCATAGAAATGCTCCGACTTGATTCGCTCGTTGACGTAGCCACACGCCTTGAGCATCCCTAAGCAATAAGCTCTCAGAACCTGCAGCATGGGCTGTTGGTTTGCATCGTCGTAGGCTCGTCGAACAAACTTTGCCTCATGTATGCTGAGGGGGTTGGGCATTAAGAGCGCCTCCACGTATACACTGGTGAACAAGGTCTGCGAGAGGGGGTATCCCATGTGCCAGGACATCTGGGGAGTATGAGTGCGTGCGTGACAGTTGCGCGAGCTTCTTGAGCTTACCTCGTGGCAGAGCAGCTGATCTATGATGCCGAGGACTTCCTCTGGGAGAAGCGGCCTTGAAACGTCGTAAAGCTCCTCGAACTCGTCGCCTGCTTTGACACAGCCGCTGTCCATCTTTGGATCCCCGATCTGTGACGCAGTGAGCGGCGTGATAGAGACAAGAAATAGCGCAGCACGAACCTCAAGAGCGGCGACCGAGTCAAAAAGCGTAAAGAATCCATCTTTAACGAGCTCTCCGGGGGTCAAGGCTGAAACGGCGTCAATTTAAGCTCCAGACGTCCTCGGGCTGCGTATTCACCGTCGACGGCCACGGAAAACTTGCTAGTAATGTCAACAGCGACTATGCCAGGGCATTTTAGGTCGGGCGGCGACGGCGGCGGCGTGGGAGACTCGGCATCCTGCCCCAGCGAGAGTCTGGCGATCTCTGCCTCTTGGATGAGCAATTTTGCCGGAAACGCGAGGAAATGATGGGATGCTTACCATCTGAAGCGCCGACCACATAGTCGGCCATTTCAGTTGCCGGCCAGCCAGGTTATATATCCTGCATGAGGTGATGCTTGGTGGTGATGGTGCGTGCGGACGAGCAACGGTTTAGATCGCTGGGTGGGCGTGAGTTGTGGAGGAGCCAAGAGCTCGTTTTTTTTGGCGGCACGAAGTAGCTGAGGAGCCACTAACTACAGCAACCACCACAGAAGGCGTCTGAATCCGCGGCTCTGAGAGCCTCCAAATCGACTTGTCATATGCCCATTGCGTGAAAAGCGATGCGTGTACTATACTTTGATATCCATGCTTATCGCATTGTGAATGTAAGTCTTTTTATTCCCATCCAATACTTTCGAGGCCTCAAGCTTGGGTCCAAGCCTCGCTTGAGATGCTGACTGACTGCACCAGATATCAACTCGCCATGCCTGTGGGACCCTCTCGACCCCGTCTGCTTCTCCCGCAACAAGTAGCTTTGGGCGCATGTTTCATCCCTTTCCTCCTTTTCATTTACGTTCCAAGCTTCAGCATCATGTCGCTCAGGGACCAGGGCGGCTAGAAATCGCAACATTCACCTCACTTCACCAGCAGCCCATGAGAGCCCATTCCCAGTATTCTTGACATAATCTTGATGCAATCCACCAATCAATTATGATATGGTACAGTGGCAAAGGATGCAATCACGGGGTGCGTCGGTTTCGTCGTCTTGCACGTCCAGTCGCTTCGAATGCGAGCCATCCGCGTCGCCCTCTCCATTCCTCGCGCCAGTCCGTGTCGAATTCGTCTAGGAAGCATGCTCGGCCATTGCGGCAGAGTTGGCCTTGCCAAGGTCCGTAACCTCGCCCTGCTTGCCTCCCTGTCCACGAATTAGCCACCAGCCTCCAGAGTCCGTGCTGTCAATGAGGAGGGCTGGCCCATACCTGCCACTTTGCAAAGCGCAATTCCATCTCGCCGCGACGTTCGGCAGCGATTCTCTTGTCCTCCTTCAAGCACCGGCGGACGGTGCGGGCCGTGATGGCCAGGTAGCGGTTGTAGCTGTTCGGAGCGCCCGTCAGCTTTCAGACCGCCACGGGTATTCCAGACGGGGAAAGAGGATCGGCGGGAAGTCAATTGACATACGTCAAGCCAGCGGCTTTCCAAGCAGCAGTCATTATGGCGGTTTTGGCTGGTTTCGCGGAGCGTAAAGTCGACTCTGAAGTGTATCGGCCGAGGTCTTTGCTAGAATTGGCCATCCCGGGTTTGAAGAGCCGACCGGACTCAAGCCTCAGGCACGTGATAATACTCACGTGACAGACCCACCCACCAGCTCTTTTAGAGCTTCAATTCGCCCTGACCCAAGCCATTATTGCTGCACCCATGTCGAACAGCTTGACATTCACTCGGACGCCACCAAGAGCTATCGAGCTCGTAACCGAAAGCCCGCTCAAAGCCTCAGAGGAATTCCCCGTTCAATTCGAGAGCCCGGACAGGGCACAGCAACCAGCATGCGACAGCCAAGGCCGTTCCGGCGACAAGCATTGCGTTCCTGATGAAATCGCCATTGAGTTTCTTGCTGCCAAGCTTCCATTTCCGTACGAGGGAAAACACCGAAAGAGGTACATGGTAGGCTGAAGCTACAGTACTGCTTGTCTAGGCTGCCCATTTTCCCTTGGTCGGTGTAAAGGCCGCCACGACAGCAGCCGAGTCTGGCCTTACTCGTCGTCTGCCAGCTGCCATCGTTAAAAAGCCGAGAGCATACTACAAACATAGCTATGAAAAGGTCCGGTATCACGAGGAGTTCATAAGTCTATGTGTCTCATACAAAGGATGCACTCCCAAAGCCAGCTACCAGATATCTAGGCAATAAAGTTCTAAAACTCGTCACAATCGTCTCTTTCCAGCAGGCCCCATGTCCTGACGACAACTCGCCCTCTCCTCACGGCCCTCCCGACGCGCCGCCAGCTATGACAATCAGTTGATGCATCCGGCGCCTGTCCACTTCTTTCTTCAACATGGTGATGCAGCTTGCAATGACAAGCACTTCCATCTGCTGCGCTTCTCCCTTGGAGTCGACCCAATTCCTCAAGTCCACGAGCAATCGCCCGCCATTGCCCGCAGTGGTCCCGCCCGTGCCCTGAGTCCGAAGTGTCTCGTTGCGCACCAGCTGGGCAACCGCCCTGCGCCTTTCGCCCTGCTTGGCGCCGCCAGCAGCAGCTACCGTCGTGATCAAGTCGAGGACGAGGAGACTGCTGGCACCGATTGCCTTGCACTCGGCGCGGCTGGCATAGCGCCACCGGAAGGTGCCGAGGTGGGTGCGGATGACTTGCGCGCGCGTGTGGCAGGCCTTATCGTGGACTTCAAAGTCTTGGTCGTGGGCCACGTCGCCCAAGAGGCGAATCTTGGGCGGGCGATAGGGCCCGAAGCGATATGCCGTGTTGCAGACTGGCATCTGGCCTTGACCGCCATCACCGGCACGGACGAGAGTGCAGCTCCCGGAGTTGCGCTTTTCGCGGAGGGACTGATAGACCTCGGGGCCGATTTCGCCCGTTGGCAAGACGCTATACACAAGTATAGGGTCGGGCCTAGGCGAGATGGGCAGTGCGAAGAGTGGATGGCCGTGGGTCTCAACCTGAAAGACGTGCGTAGCCTCGAGGCCCGTGGCAGAGGATGGCGAGAACGACGAGGTCGATGGTGCCCCGGGTTGAGAGACGGGCTCGTACTTGGGAAGAGACTCGGATGATGTGCTGGCGGTGAGATGGAGGCGGCTGAGCTCGTAGTCTGCGGCTTCGTACTGGGGCGGAAGCGAAGTGCGGCCAGAGGTCGTTCGGCCGGGAGAGGACTCTAGCTTTCGGTGCTCGCTCGCCATTGTTATAGAATTAGTGTTTTGTTGGTGAAGTTTGATAACCGTCAGTGTTGCGATGTAAAGGTTGCGGAAAATAAAACTGAGCTTCCAAAGTCCAAAGTCAGTTTACCCTGAGCCAAGAGAATCGAAGTGTCGCTTTTTCCAATGCAAATGGAAGGCACGGGCACTGTTTATATAAAGACGGAGAGAGAGATCAGGCGGCAGGCTTCACCCTCCGTTTCGTAGCTCTCGTTTTGATCGATTTCCGGGATCCGCGATAGCCTCATGACAGCTGGACCCACAATTCGCGAACCCGAAATACGAGCTTGTACCTGGGTATCTCTCATACCGTATACATGCAGTGATTGTACTCCGTACTGTAAGCACCGCGTGGATGACCGCGTGAAATACAGTGCGGAAAGTGTGGACATGCTGCCTGGCACCGCCACCACCGCCGTGGTGGGCGACGGTCTGAGAATTGTGGGGCGGGTTTCGGTCAACCAAGATACGATGAATGCGAGCCAACCAACCAGCGACGGGGGGCTGCCGACGGGGTGGGGCGGAGGACAGGAGCATGATTTCGCTTCTAGAAAGAAAGAAGACACAGGTCCATCCACACAAGCACGAGGCGCGTGCGCCGTGTGACGGCCCGGCTTCTGCCTTTGTCGCATCGGGCTTGTGAACCCGCTGTAGACATCACGCAGGATCCTCGCAGATACCGAAGAGGGGGCGGCTGCTGCCTGGCGCTTGGAGACATTCTCGAGGCCCGGGCCCTCAGCCCTCAACACATGGTTGCTGCACGTCATGCTTGACGGGGTAATGGAGTCACTGCTTCACTATGCCTATCTGGCCACAGGACGCAGGTACATCCGCGCGCCTGTTCCGAGCAGAAATCATTAACCCAGATGCTTTCGTAGGCCTACGTGTGCATTTACTGGCACAGCATCCTCAAGGATCAGCGCCTGGATTACAGCCACCTCCGCGACGCCTCTCCCACCAGGTCCGGCTATCTGCGCTTCCCAAAGAACGTCATGTCTCGGTCCAGCTGCTCGTCCACCCACAAGGGCCACTGATTGTACGCCTGGTGCTCGTAATCGACGCGCGCGTTGAGGTACTTGAGCCACCTGATGAAGCCCGGATCCATGCTGTTGTCCTGCTGCGGCGGCCGCTTCTCTCTGACGTCGTACTCCCTCTCGCTGATAAAGGCCATGATTTGGGACAGGGCAATCCAGTGCGAGTGCAGCAGGATGATTGTCTGTCGCTTGAGGTTGATGAGTTCCTGGAACGACGCGTGGGGGAGCATCATCCACCAGGCATACTCTCTCGAGTTGGCTTTGTAGGCTAGCCAGCGTCCGTCTGCTGTCAGTGTTGGGAATCACAGGGCGGAAGCAAGCTCGAGAGGCCGACGTCGTAAAGACTCACCGTCGAAAGAGCTGGTCTGCAACTTCTGCGCGATGCCAATGAGTTGTTCGTGGTATGCCACCTCGACCGAGTCTACGCAGAGCGGCCGCAGGTTCGAGATGGCCTCGACCGCAGCCTCTGTCCACCCGCTTTGGATCAGCGGCAGGTCCTGCATCAGCGGGGCGATGAGTTCGTTCTGGCGGTCCTCGAAAAGGCTGTCAAATATTGGGGTGATGCCCTTGAACATCATCTGCATCCCGACAAGGAGGATGCCGCGGATAAAGGTCATGTACTCGGCGAGCCCGTCGTCGAGGCTGACCGACTGGAACGTCAGGGCAAAGCACGTCGCCACGAGCGCATTGGCTTCTTCGTACGTAATCTCGGCCCTGGATGCTTCCGCCAGTCGCTTCTTGATGGCCTTGATGGCCTTGATGCGGTGATTCATGGCTGCCGTCACGAGGCTGCTGCTGTCGTCTGTGCGCATGAGCTCCGAGGCGGCAAACCCCAGGATGGCATGCATCAGGAACTCGTGCTGGATCCGGGTTTAGCGACACTGCAGGGACGGAAGTGGGCTGGCGAGGACAAACGTTGTGCGCGATGCAGGGGATCTCATGGGTCCATTTCTCCTCCTGCTTGAGGGGGTGGTGCGGGTAGCACTGCGTGAGAAAGTGCTGGAAGAAGCGCATGTCCTGGAGGCTAAACAAGGGGATTTGGTGATGAGGCTGATGGCAGGGTACTGTCAGCCTGGCACTGGATCGCGGGACAGTCAGGTATCAAGCTGACGCACCTGGTGGGTGATTTGAGGCAGCGAGGGATACTCGCACTTAAGGCCCGTCTTGACGCAGTGGCCGCACGACGGACGCGTCTCTTGGCACTAGACAACGCTTCGGTCAGATTCTTGATGTCGCGGGCCAAGCCAGGAACTACAGTTATCCATACCTTGATGCGCCTCCTCTTGCAGTTGTAGCATCCGCGACGACTCTTTGTGTGGCCGCGCCGTTCCGTCTTCTGGCGCTGGGCCGGCTGGCGGCGAGCAACGACGCCGGTCGAAGCGCTTGCCGGGACATTGTTGTCGGAGCTGGACGGCGTCAACTTGTCGGAAGACTCTGACGACGTGCCGGGTAGTGCATCGTGGGATGGTGGTTGAGGCTGCAGATCCAAGCCGATGCAGTCATCCTGCAGGAACGACGTGTAGTCGAACTCGGGTAGTTCCGGGTAGGGCAGCATGCCCGCGGCCAAGTGTTGCATGTCCATCGGGGGTGCTCGGTTGACGCATCAAAGAGGACCGTACGCGTCGCAACGGGAGGACTGAGGAGCATGAGACGTCTTGATGGAGGCATGGCGAGAGGGCTGGAATGACATCAGCGGGCCCTTGTTGTTGATTGGGCGGCCTCCTCCGGGGCATCGATACCCCGCGTTGGCGGGCGGTGCCAGGCGGCGGTGCCAGGCGGCGAGCTTACTTTGCCTGGCCGTGTCACGCTGGCACCAGCTCACCGCAGATTGACCACAACGTCTCCACCCCACGCTCTCTCTGGGCCATCAAAGGTGGTCAATTTACTCATCTACAGCCATATCAAGACCTGTCCGAGTTGCAACGAAATCCGGAAGTTTTAGGAGGTAACTTATATTTATCTTTAACGAACATACTCATGCACGCATACGAAGAGGGAAAAGAGGGGCCAGAAAAGCTGCCTAGTGAGTAGTGACAGGTGGGATTGGCGATGCTAGTGATGCAGCAAGTCAACGCACGCCAACGCACCATTTAACTCTGCTTTCATCCAGCCCTCGACTAGGCCAACATTGGGTTAGTATTGCTCCGATGTAAATAGGGATATAGATAGAGATATAAATAGAGATACAAATGAGAGACGCAACGGTCATGGCTGTCTAGTAAGAAAGGCTTTGCCCTGAGCAAGCTCTCCGGGCCGTCTTTGTCCATGGCAACGTCGGAAGCCCGTCTTGCTCTCCCAAGGCAAACAAGTGGCGTTTCTCCATCTTCTTGGCAAACAAGCCGCCGCCGTCGTACCGGGAACGAAGAACGAAACGTGAGCCGAGGTAGGCATCGGCCGCTGTCCATGTTCCTCCGTCCGCCCCGAGGTTGCCGAGTCTTGGAGCGAGCAGGGCACCGCAAGCCGTGACTCCGTGGTCCAATCGCAGCGAAGCCGAGCCACGATTGCAGCTCGCCTTGGGAAATGCATGTGGCTCTCCCGTGCTGCAGCCTGCACCCCGTCCATCGGGCTCCAACCTCGAATCTCGAGTCCAATGACCGTTCATGTGACATGGGTCCTGCTTTATCAAGCACGGCGAGGCAGCCACTTTGCGCCTCTGGGCCTGATCATCGTGTCTTGATTCCCCGCACTTTGAGGACAGCAGCTGTCGAGCCAAGCCACGCACGTTTACGTGCAGGCCGTGACTGACGGAATCCCATCGGGCAGCCCAAGGTGGCGAGGGTCCCAGGGTGACGGCGGTGACGGCGGTGACGGCGGTGACGGCGGTGACGGCGGTGACGGCTTTCGTTTCCTATAATACCTTGCCGTCCAAGCTCCGAGCCACCACCGGCCTCTGTTGCCGCCCATGGGCCCCGGCCGCAGGAGAGCCCCGTCGGACCGGATACTTTGTATCTGTACACAGCGCACCGGCACGCAAGCTCATCCTGTGGGAGCAAAGGATGGCAGCGGAGGCGTAGCCACATGCATGGCGTACGACGACACACAGCTGCAGGGGCGCAGTGCCAAGACGAGTCAGGGGAACACTGCGAGCCACAGACGGCCAGACACGCATTGCACGCCGCTAACCTCTCACATGCCGTCTTTGCAATGCATCGATAGTCACCGAGGTAGTGTGCAGTGCGGAGTGCGCATGTCTCGGCATCGACAATGGGGCATCCATCATCAATGGAGGGAGGAGATTCTGTCTTGTTGCTGTCCGAGGAGGTGACGGTTCCATGCGCAAATGGACATTTGGTACTCCGTAATGCTCCCTCATGCAACAAGTGCGGCGTCAGCAAGGGAGAATGGCAAAAACACGGCCCCGAGTCCTTTGTTGACAATGCGGCTGACGACCAAAAGTTCCGAAGCCGCGCGGGCAAGCGGGCAGTGAGTGCTGTTGGCCTCGAAGCGTTCCGCAGGGCGGCAGGGCTGACATGGCGCTCAAATCCGACGGCGCCTCCCCAACCACTGCAGTTCTGTATCACGGCAACAGACAGGCTGGATCCAAGGTTGCGGTGAGCCGAGTTTTCTCGCATGCGTCATGGCCTCTCAACAACCAACGCAGTGCCGTAAGTGTCCATTTGGCCAACAGGATCGGCGGGCCTGTCGGGGAAGCCGACTTGGGCATGAAATTCAATTCAACCGAGCGCTGAGAGATGAGTGCCGGCGCTCGGCTGTGGACACCTTGGACAAGCCGTAGCCAGCTGGCTATAGCAGAGACGAGGGGGATGGAATATGCGCCAAGTTTGTGCAGCTGAATCATGCACGCGCGATAATTACGGCTGCCTCCCCCCCCCCTCTCTCGACCGGCAAGCTGCCGCATCTGGCACGTCCTTGGCACAAGCAGACAGACCGCACAGTAACTACCTTGATTATCTTATGCATGATACGGAGTACTAACCAAGTAGTAAGTCAGGTACCTGTGGGTAGGAGGAATGACTTGGTTACTGTTTTCTTTTGGGAGCTCCCTCCACCCGGTTGGCCGGCATGGGAAACAGAGCGGTCCTGTTTCTGAGTAAACAGCTGCAAACAAGTTTGTGTGCTCGCCGAGTCAGCGCCCCGAGTGAAACTACTGCCTCAGTTACCGTAGTAAGTTAGTGGGTAATTAATTCTGGAAACCTGGAAAGGAAAAGGCCGACGAGGGGGCGGCAAAAGGTACCCGTAAAAAGCACCGAACCGCTACCTACGTATGTATGTATGTACAGTATATCCAGGCGTTTCGTACATGCAGAGCAGCGGGTCAGCGCGGCCCATGATTGGCCGAATGACCCCGCCAACTCGAAACACAGCTCCCGCGAATCGGAGGTTTGTGCCTGGCAATTGGCACCTCTCGGCGCTGCACGCGTTTGCTTCCAGCAGCCCGCCGCCGGCTGAGCAGGCGGGTGGGCTCCATCCAAAGCTGCGCGGCGCTGCACTGGACTTTTTGGCCCTTTTTTTTTTCTCATCGCAATGGGACGATGCATGGAATGATTCCCCATTGCGCATGCTCTGCTCTGCCTCTGCCTAATGCTTGGCCCATCGTAACTACTATGCCTTTAACTACGGCGGGGGAGGGTCCTAGGTCGCCAAGTCACTTACAAGGATGTCCGACCAGCAAAGGGCGCCTCGCCATCGCCGGTACTTTGGATTACTAGAACCGCCTACTATAATGCAAGTCCCGTCCCACCTTGCCCACTGGTGCTGTTCAGTACCTATGCGGGCCCCGTGTGGGGTTGGCGACCTCTGAGCTCCCTTGCCACAGCCCAAGGGATAAGGTGTAAGGTGTAATTAATTATTGCTTTGCTTAGTGCGAACGCCCCTCCCTCTCCTGCTTTCTTCTCGCTTCGTCGGCTTGTTAGGGGGGCTGACTCGACGGCACCGGCAGCATCGCGGCGCTGCACATGGCCTCAGCGCCTCGCCTCGGCATCCGTCAGCCAACGCCTGTGCGCAAGCCGTCCACGTCGCCTGCGCGCAATCTGCAAGGTACTGTATGTACTGTATGTACAGACCTGCCGTGCCTTGCCGTGCCTTGCAGCGGGCATGTACCGCCCATGCCCTGCAGCTGGCTGGCGTCTGTGCAGCCCAGCCTGCTTGGCCTGATGGATGCCATGACGGGTCCCAGGCAGGTTGGGTGTCCTGAAGACTCTCCTGCCAATCTCCCGTCAGTCCTTGTTCGCCCCCCTCACTATTTCTTCACTCGTTTCCGCTTCCGCTTCCACTTTCTCTCTTTCTCTCTTCCTTTTCCCTCTTTCATCCTCGTCGACTTGTTTGCACTCCTTTCTTTTCGCGTCTTTGACAGACTGCCACCACTCCTTTGTCGGCCGCGCCGATATCCCCCCCAATCCAAGTCTTTGTGCGCCCTGGATCTCATCCTCGACCTATCTCTATCCTTAACTCTCGAAATCATCATCAGTCTTTGTTACCTTTACTGCGGCCTGCACGCCAACGCCAGCCAGCAAAGGAAACCACTGTCAACCAGACAGGCTCCATCCACGACACAGATTTGTTTACTGCCGCAGTCTCTGACATTCAAGAGGCCTGCCTCGTCTCCGTCTCTCGCCTTCTTGCATTCAGGCTCATCAAGCTACCCCAAACGTCAAAATGTTGCCCAAAAACATCCTGACATTCACCGCCTTTGCCGCTCTCGCAGAGCAGGCTCTGGCCTCCAACTCGCACCGCCACCTCCATCGCCGCTACCAGCTGCAGAAGCGCGAGGAAATCGTCGACCGGGTCACCGTCTGGACCACCGTCTACGTCAACGCGCCCCAGGAGACCGTGCCACCGCCCCGCCAGTTCCTGGCCAACATTCGCCCTGCCCAAGAAGCTGCCAAGACTAGCACTCTCTCGACTTCCACTCCTGTCTACAGCAACGTCAACGCGGCTGTCAAGGCTCCAGAGTCGGCCGCTGCCGCGCCCCAAGACCCTCAGACGACGCTCGCCACGTCTGTCAAGCCTCTTGTTCAGGTTGAAGCTGTTTCTCCGTCGGCCGGCTATGGCGATAAGCCTGCTGAGCCCTCCGCTGCCCCCTCTGCTCCGGCAACCACTCCTCACGCGTCTGGCGGTGGCCAGGGCGGCTCCGGATCGGGGGCCCCCTTTCCAGGAAAGCGAGGCGTGGCATACAACGACGCCAAGCTCGCCAACAGCCTTATCAAAATGTGCGACAAGTGCGACTGGGCTTACAACTGGGGCTCTTCGTCGCAGGGCCTGAATTCCACGGTCAACTTCGTCCCTACCCTTTGGGGAGACCAGACCAAATTCACTGATCATTGGGAGTTGGATGCCCAAACGGCCATTACGAACGGCGCCAAGGCCATGTTCAGTTTCAACGAGCCCGACAACAGTGGACAGGCCAACATGAACCCTGAGCAGGCTGCCGCCGCCCACGTCCAGTACTTGAACCCTTACGGCGGTAAGGTCTTGATTGGCTCGCCCTCCGTCACCAACAGTGGCCAGCCTGGTCAAGGCATCCAGTGGCTCAAGTCCTTCATAAGCGAATGCGACAAGCAGCAGGACAAGTGCCGCATCGACTTTTGCAATGTACACTGGTACTCGCAGGCGCAGTACGAGAACACTCTGTACAAGCACCTCGAGGACGCTCATGAGGCCTGCGGAGGAAAACCCATCTGGCTGACCGAGTTTGCGCCCGTCGACGCTGCTGGCCAGCCTGCCGAGACGCCGGGTTTCCTGGAGTCGGTCATGTCCAAGCTCGACGGAATGGACTTCGTCCATGCCTACGCGCCCTTCATGTGCGCCGAGGGCAAGCTGATGTCTGCGAACCAGCTCAGCGATACGGGCAGGGTCTTTGTTGGCGCCTCTTAGGCGCGACCCGGCAAGTTGCAAGAGCCGATTTTACTTCTTACACACTCGTTAGGGGATACCCACCATTTTTGCTGTTCTTTTTTTTCCATCTTGACAACCCATCATCTCCAGCCGGGATGGTCGGCGTTGGCGGAAAGGTTGGGGGGATTTTGGCCAGTGAAAAGGGGTAAGAGTGGCGCAAGTTCATCTTCTTCTGTATATATTTGGCTTTTCCCTGCCCACGCCTCTGGATGCGGGGTCTGCGTCGCCCTGGTTTGGGCCCGGCGGCTCGTCATGGACGGGCACGCGATCCGGCCTCTTTGGGGAAGCTTCCTCGATTGGCCACCACCCATGACGGGAACCCGCGCGACGGACAGTGGCAGATGGAAGGGCACGGCGACTTTTGGGCGACGGGAATCTACTCGGCGCGGTGCGGCATGGGGGCCGAGATCAGACGCGGTCACTTAGACTACGAGCTACGATGAAGCGAATTTGACGACGCCACGTTTTTGTCTCAAACATGCGTTTTCTCCCCAACCAAGCTGCCGTCGACGGCAAGCCGGGTGATGCATCTTCAGCTCGTGATGCCGAGAGAGGACGGCGCCTGTCTCTTGGTCCCCGCGGACAAACACGGCATGCCTCGGTGTCACGGCATGGGATGAGATGACAGGGCGAGCGCCTGGAGCTGACGTGGACTGCGTGCCCCCTTTGCTTGTCCCCTGTCCCCCTCTGCCCTCTCTCCCCTTCTCCGTCGGTTCTACCTTTCTTTTCTCTTTCTCGCCGTCGCCTTTGATTTCCTTTTCCCGTCCCCCTCATTCTTCCCCCGCGCAGGGGCAAGTCAAGGAACATGGCGTGGTGGCCGGCGTGTCTCGCTCTTTGGGGGGACAAGGCACAAAGGCCTTGTTCACTTCGTAAAGTAACTTGGCAACCGAGTTTCACATGTGCGGGTGGGAATGGTGTGTGGTGTGTCGACTGCTGCCTGCCTGCCTCGACGCCTCTCGAGCCGGATGAGTCTCGTTTGGCACGGGCCTTGTTTCGCGTGATCAGGGAAGCAAGTGAGAATAAAAAAAAACATTTTGCTCATTCTGTAGCTCTTGGTATCCTAGCCAGGGCCTCCTCCCTCCCTCTCTCTCTCCTCTGTTTCGCCTCGGGAAGTCTTCCCCCCTCTCCCCTGCTAGCAGGGCGACGTGCTGGCCGAGATAGGGTACGGACATGCACTCCCCTGGTCCGGCTGTCCGGCCGCCATAGTTGTTGGAGGATGCCTCGTGCAGCTCCCGGCCACGGACAGGCCAGAGCTCTCGCGCGCCGCCGCGTACGCATTGCGGCCCACGTGCTGGCCCGTCTCGCTGTCGCGCGTGCTCGCCGTGGCGTCGGCTGCCCTCCGGCTCCGTGGCACGTCGAGGGTCTCGTCGCGGCAAAACAACGACGCCCTCGTGCTGATGGGAATCATGTCCGCCAGCATCGACGGCGTCCGCTGAAGCGGGCACGGCGTCGACGCCCTGAACGAGTCCGTCGTCGTGGCGTCGTATCGGGCCGTGGCAACTCCGCGAGACGATGTCGAGCTCGAAGTGCCGGCGTTGTCTCTCGACGTCACCCACTGGATGACGACGGCCGAAAAGAGAACTGCCAGAGGCACACGTTAGGGGGGAAGAAGGAAGAGACAGCCGCTTGAGCAGGGAGGGAGTCAGACTGTCGCAGTTGCAACACATCAGGCATACCCATCCCGGCTCTCCGTCCAGCACCATCAGAACGGTCAGGTTACTGTTGGGCGGGACGTGTCAGCAAGTCTAGTCTGCAGTAGGCTCCCGGGAGGTTTCCCTTACACGATGCTGCTCAGCGAGGTAAACACGGCACCGCAAAACGTGCGAAAGGCCACGGTTCGAAGGCGCACGCTTGCCGGGCTGCGTGGCATGTTCCCAAACGAATAAAGCCCTGCGGCGGTTGAGAGACACGGTCAGGCTCCCCTGCTGTCACCTCCCGAATCGGGGAGGGAGCTCTCACCCTTCAGGGGAATGAGGAACATGAGCGTCAGGTAGACGTTGACAAACGTGTCGAAGGAGATGAGCGGTATCATGGCAAGGCTCCTCATGCCGATGATGCACCAGCCGTTGGCGAGCTTGGCTATGCGGCTGCAGGCTGGTTATAAACACCACCTCGAGGGCAAAGCCGGGCAGCGAGACTGGGCAACGCACAAGATGAAGTTGAGCAGAATGACGACGATGTATGCTCCTAGTATCCCGAGCGAGTGGAAGAGGTACAGCTTGGAGTGTCTCCTGAGCTTCGGCGCCGGGCGCATAATGTGCTTGCGCAGAGTCAGTGGTCTCGTCGGGACTGTTATCGTGGCGACACTCACCGCCTTTTCAACCAGGAAGAGGTATATCAACTAGACAAACGCAGTCAGAGGGTGAACGGCGAGCCGGCCGTTGCGCCGAGACTCACAATCTGCCACGATGAGTGTCTGCCTCGGTCAAGCACGCGACAATGGACTACCTTTGTGGTAACATAACACACCAGGCAGAGCAGGATAGTGCTATCGCAGGCCCTCGGACTCGAGTTGGGTCCGAACGCGTGCTGCAACAAGGCCGAGGCGAAGACGAAGACGTACGAGTCTATGTATATGGCAAAGACCACTTTGCGCGCCCCTCGCCCGCCGTCAGCCGTTTGACCTCGGAGGCAGCAGCACCAGGAGAGGGACCGGGACGCACACCAGACGACGAGCGGAAGCCGGCTCCAGGCCCTGATGGCCAAGACTCTCTGCGCTGCGGCCGCAAAGGGCTCCGACGTCAGTCCACGCCTCTCCCTCCACCGTCGACGACGTCGTGTGCGCTCCCGGGCTTACTGAGGAACAAGCTGAGGACCGTTGTGGCGACCAGGGTCAGGACCATGCTGATGATCCTTCCGGGGAGGGGCACCCTCTTGGCCACGAACGGCGGCGGGTCCATCGGGTGCGTCTATGTCCCCCTGGCTCCGTCGAAGCCTCCGTTTCAGAGGTTGCCGGCAACGAGGGGGAAGCGCGAGACCAAACCACTCGGAAGGAGAGAGACGGGCCGAGGCTGAAAGAGGCGAGCGAGCGAACGGAGAGAGGCCTGCGATCTTGGCCGGCCCTAGTACCGGGGCGCCGAGCCCCTTCGACGTCGTCCAGGGCACGCGTCGCGGACGATGCAAGGACCGATCGGGCCAGCAGTCTGTCGGTCTGCAGCAAGAAGAAGAACACTTAGGTTTATAGGACGCGATTGGCGGTCATGGGTGGCATATTGCGAGCCCGCTGAAGTTGGCCTCCTCTCCTCGCTTCTTGGGCCATGCCAAGCCGGATCGGACATGACCTGCGCACCGCGCGTGCCTGCCTCTCGCCTTGACGAGAACGGGGGGATGGCATCAGCGACCTTGTGTCCCACCTGCCCTCTGCGACTCTCTCTCTCTCCGAGGACGGCGGTCCATGGTGGTCGGAGCCCGTCACGCGCGAGACAAGGGCCATGAATCGCCCCATGAATCGCCCCATGAATCGATATATCAAGGAACTCGTCAAGCCACAATCGGTTCTGTACGACCAGACATCGCCAAGGGCCGGGGGATGAGAGTGGGAAGAATACTTGGCGGCGCGCCAGCTCCCAGTCTTTCCCCTGGCGAGCCTGTTCAGCCGTACAGTAGCTACGAGCCCAACTTGGCTGGCATGGGGCGTAAGCTGCGTAGCGAATAGCCCATTGACGAGTCAAGATAGTCGTCACAGACATGGGTTGCACCGAAAAATCACTGAGGACCGGGGCCAGGAGCCCATCAAGTCACGGCTCAAGGAGATGCGCAGTTACCGAGATCTTGATTAATCCAATCTCCCTAAGCGCAAAAGCCCGCCAGTTATCGCTAAATCCCTAGTCCTGTTGATGAAGAGAAGTAAAAATGAGTGGAAACGCCGTGCCATGCCTCCCGAGCGCTCCGTTCTCCCAAGAGCGAGCCCGCCACAACGCCTAAAAATAATCCAACATTGCCACGTTCCGTAGATTTGAAAGTAAAAGCCCGTCAGCACGAACACCCCTAACAAGCGCTGTTTGTTCCGCTGGCCGCTGACGTTGGCCCATGTGCGGCGGCGTCGACGCTACCCCTCTCGGCGCCCTGCGAGCTGGGCTCTGGTTCGGATCCGGAACTTGTCTTTGAGCTTCTTGGTAAGACGAGCCCCATGTGGTGGCCGGTCTCCTCCCTCTCCGTCCTGAGAGTCGTTCTCGTTTGTCTGCGCCCGCATCTGTCTGAGAGCCTCTATCCGCTCTTCCACGGGGGCTTGCCGCAGCCTGTTGATGTCGAGGAGACGTGCAAATCGGTTGCCGTGAGACGTGGAGCTGCCCTGCCCGTCTTCTCCCTCCAGCGCGAGTGGTGGTGGCAGAGACTCGTCGTCTCCGCCGGCCGGGCCGTCGTTGGCATTGCCCTGCCCGGGCCTTAGATCTAGTCGACTGAAGATGGTGTTAGCGCGTGTGGATTGGGCGTCTGCGGTGGCGCAGGTGGGATATACACCGGTGGAGACTCACCATAGAGGGCATGTTCCGGAGACGTTGACGAGCCACGGGTCCACACAGTTGGGGTGGAACTGATGGTTGCAGGGCAGGACTCTGACGTCCTCTCCAACCTTGAAGTCCTCGGTGCAGATGGAGCAGCCCAAATGCCCGTCCTCCGTCTGTCCGCTATCCGCGGCCGCGGCAGTATTGGCTGTTGACGCCTTCGTGTCACGACTCGGCCGCCTCGGGGATGTCGCCGCCGCCGCGTCGGCACGCGGGTCTCTAGTCGACTGCTGCGTCGCGACATCCGTGTTGACAGGCTCCAGCTCAAGCTCGGGGTCCGGCTTATCCGAGGACTGTTGATTACCAAACTTGACAATGGGAATGGTGTCGAGGACGGCGCGGGCCAGGCCCTTTGCGCGACTCTGGCGCGGCCTACCGCCGACGGCGCCGCGCGGTCCGTACCTCTCGGGGTAGCGATGAGCGCGAATAGCGCCAGTAGCGATGATGATGAGGAACAGCAGTGTGATGAGACCCGTGATGCTGTACAAGATGCTCATAGCAACGGCAGAGTTGTTTCCGCCCCCGCCGTTGGACTCATTGACTGACTGGTCCTCGGTCGCGTTTCCCTGAACCAGAGCTTCAACGGCAGACCCGCCGAGGTAGCTCAGGACGTTGCTAGCCTCGCCAGCATCGGCCATGGTGAGGATGCTGGTATAGGACAGTGGCCCCTGGCTCGTGATGGAACACCAGTTCCGGCTGGTCGAGTAGAGTACGATGGCCTTGGGCCGCTGGGACATGAGGGCATTGAGCATCTTGTCGGGGCTGATGAAGCTATCGCCGCCGGATTTGTCGCAGGGCAGATAGGCGATGAACTGGGGTCCGCTGATTTGGTTATAGTTGGAGACGTTGACCGGCCTGAGCTCGCCCGGGAGGTTGATAATCTAGATGGACAAGTTAGCGTTTTGTGGTCATGATGGCACATCATCACTCACCCCGCGAGCGCTTTGCGACTCGTTGAGACCCAGATTCTCGGTCAGCGGTATGGTTGCGAATTGGAGGCCCGGTTTGGTGGAGAGGGTGAGGTGCAGCGTGTTACTGGACGCCCACTCGGGGACGTCCTTTTCCGCCGAAGTCGTGGCCCCATCGGCCCAAACGGGGGCACCGGCGAAGAGGACGAGGAGGACGAGGAGGGGGGAGAGCAGCCCGCCCACGCAGGAGGCGGCTGACGCGGCCATGGCGAGGACCGTCTTGAAGGGGTCGTGTCGAGATTCGCGGGCAGCCGAGCGGGCGGGAGACGGGGCCCAACAGTGAGAGAGCCGAAGGAGACGCGTTGCCCACAAGGGCAGGGCCAAAGGCGGCGGCGGAGCAGATTCCCAGGATTCCGATGGTACGGCAAACAAGGTCGGGCGGGAGTGGAGCGGCGGCCACGTTTCGGGCTCTCTCAATTCCAGGGAGGAGACATCGGATATGGGCGAGTTGCAGTGCCGGAGGATGATGAAGCGGCGATGACGAGGTGGAGGCCAATCGATTCTCGGGGCGTCGAAGAGAGGATGGAGACCAGGATGGAGACGGAGAACGGAGACGGTATATGGGGAGGGGCGAACCGGGGGGAGGAGGAGGAGGGGAGGGGATGGAACGGAGATGGAGATGGAGACCAAGGGAGATGGACAGGGCCGATCGGGGAATGCAGGTAGCCCAGGCGGTGCGGCAGTGGAGAAGGCGTGCAGCCGTTCTGCCCGTCGACCCAAAGTGGCGGGACCTAAAGGCAACGACACGGAAGCCTCTCAGCAGCCACCGTACAGTGCACGGCCCGGGGAAATTGGGGGCTTCGGCCTGCACAGGGCCAGTACAGGCGGGGGAGGGGGGAGGAGGGCAGCGAAGGGAGGTGCCTACCACTAGTAGTACTACTAGTACTGTAGCAGAGGGCCGACAAGCCGTGACTGCGCTGCACTGTGCTGCACTGTCCCCTGTGGCATCTTGCATTCCAGCGCGCCGAGGTCTCCCGCCAGCCAATCCGCAGGGCAACGGTACCTCGAGCGGCGAGGCCCGGCGAGAAAAGCCCGGCGCGAACCCTACTTATCTCTGCTGGTGGTGGTCGGGCCAAAAGGAACAAACCGACTAAGCTAAAGACGATGCCACCTCTCTGTCCGCTGCCGTCTCGTCCCGGCTCGTCCCCACGCCCGGCGCCTCCGACTTTGTTGAGAGAGTCGACACATGGTTTTTTCAGAAGCCACCCAAAGGAAAAAAAAAAAGAGGCCTCTCCCTCATCTCCGTGGTCGGCAGCGGTCGAGGCTCTCGCGACAATGTGAGTCGGAGGGTGGCCAACAACAGCCCAGGCATGTAGCAAGCGTGTTCCCCAGGTATGGCTCACAGCGCCATCGAGGTAGGGAGGCGCACACTAGACAACCACTATGCCCCAACTGGTTTCTCTTGGGCTATTTGTTTGCTCGAAATGTCGCGCGACGGCGGCTGGGCAGTGGCCCGGTAACCGCCTACCGCCCCAGACAGCGACACAGCTGGGACGTCTTGGTATTCAGCCATCCAAACACGGCTGTCGCAGGCCAAGGGCGGCAAGAACCGGTTTGCTGCACCTTATTTCCTTCTTCCCATTTATGTACACCATATAATTATGTACAGTACACGCATACGGTACGGGCGCAGCACCACCAACGACAGGCTTGGCCTGTCTTGACCATCTATTTTTATCGGGCTTGCTCAGAAACTCAGAAACAAGCCCGAGTGTCGGTGGCGGAACACCTTTGCAAAGGAAAAGGCCAAGCTGTGGTGGTGGGTGCGCTGAGGCGTCCAACGGCCATCACCACCACCACCACCCCCATCACCGCCGTCAGCCGTGGTGTTGGGCACTGCTGCTGGCCGGCCAAGCTTCCAAGCTTCTTCGCTCTGCTACCTGCAACATACGAGACGCACACGGAAAGGCTGATGAGCTGTCAGCCACGCTGGACCAACGACTGCTTCCAATCGTGGGGTCCGGATGAGACGGGGGGGGGATTGCAAAGTCTGTAATGTTAGGTATGGGTGAGTATGCATGCACGCTCCCGCCGCAGCCCTGCCTTTGGCCCCCTCCCGAACCCGGCCGATGAAAAAAGGCCTCCAAGCCAAGATGGATGGATGGATGGATGACATTCTATCTCTGGATGTAGCCTGTCCTGCAGTCATGCCGCTGCGGGCGCTCGCTCGCTCTCTCTCTCCCCTCGCCCTCTCTCCCCCTCTCCCCTGTTGTCGGTTCTCTCCTCTTCCCACCCATCCCCCATCTCAACCCAACCATTGCTTCGCCCCGTCTCCTGGTCGTCAAGCACGCGACGGTTGTGCGTCTCGACCCGGCAAAAAACTTCCGCTTACGACGACGAGGATTACGGTAAGAAAACCCAGCCTCCCCCAAAGCTGGATAATTCAAAACCGAGGACCATGCCCTGTATCTCTCCGTCCACCTCGCACGGCATCGCGGTGCAAGCTCAACGTCTTTTGGGCCTCGGGTTGCATGCACGGTAACCACCCTCTGCGCCTCCACCCTGGCCAAGGACCCGTCCCGCAAATCGCAAATCCGGGGGCCAAGACGGCGCCGAGCCACCGTGGGGGGACCCAAGCGGCCGACGAGGGGCCATCGGATGACACGCCCTGAGGTCGTACAAGCGTCGTGCGTCCTTGACACTATTCCATACATGAACGAGGTGATTACGAGGAAATGTACGCAAAGCGACGCCAGCTGACAGCCATCTCGTCTTTGTACAGGAGCAAACGAGTCGCACACAATAGCGGCCGACGGCCTGTTTCCTGGCCCCGGTCCCGCGACAGAGCGTCTGCAATGGTTCGTGTCCCGTCGCCATTTGGCGTGTGCATCTCGTTCACAACTCGTTTCCTGCTGCCATGACATGTCTATGTGTGACGCATGCGTGTGTCCTCAGAGCCCTGCCAGCAACGACTGCCTCTTGCGACAGCCGGGCCGGCTTTGCAAAGTGCCGCGTTTCGGAACTAAGCTGTCTAGCAATCCCGAATCAGCTCCAAGGCTGGACATGTTCTTCAACTTCCCCCCACTCCACCACTCTCCACATGCTGGCACTGTACAGTTCAGTAGTTCGCGAGACACCGCTGCGGCAGGCGTCCTTCCAGACACCCGTCTCCGTGCCAAGCAAAGCCAGGCAGGTTGTCGGTGGCGGCCGTTTTTGCCATGCCGCCAAAACTCCCAACGTCACGACATGGACATGAATCCATCCATGTCCCCCCCCCCCCAAAAAAACACAAGGCTCTTCCATGTCTTGTCTGTCCTGGCTGTCGTCCATGGCTCGAGTGCAGCCCCCAGACCAAGCAGCGATATTACTCCTACATGTTTTGCTCCTGATCTCCACAGCTTCAAACATGCCAAAATCTCGCAGTGGGAGGCGAGCGATCTCTGCCCACCGGGGCACGGGTCCGATTGTCCCCTTGGACACTGCTTGGGGAGTGTGGGAAGCCCCGGAAGCATTCAACATCAAGCCCGTTTCTTTTCCGTTTGGGGGGTCTCTGGTTCGCTACCTATCTTTGATATGTCATGCTCTCCTCGGAACTGCACGACATGTTGCTCGCACGGAGGCATGTACCTGCAACGACACAGGCGCCCGTCATCTTGTACGTATGCAAGCGCGCATTTCTGTGCCCGACGGGACTTGCGAGGCTGGTATCTTCGTGGGCTGCGCGTGATGTGCCAGGGGAGACAACGGGGTCGGGGTACAATGCCGCGTACGCACAAAGTGCCAGCTCGTCGACCACTGACCAAAACGGCCCGCCCTTGTATGTTGTTGCGTGCATATACGCAGGCAGCCAAATGAGAGAGCCAAGTGTACATGCTTGCTGGCACAACGAAGCCGATGGGTGCCGAGAACCGCCGACGTTCAGCGCGGCACACATCCCCTGCTCGTGGGCGCCGGGGGCCTAAATCTCCTCCATGTCTTCCAAATCATCCATGGGCGGGTAGTCGCCAACCTCGACCCGCTCAGGACGCACAAAGACTCCGTGCTTCAGCTCCGAGACCTCTCCCCAGTAGCGTGTGCCGGCAATGCTGCCATCGTTCTTTCCCCCCGGCTCGTCGAGCTGGACTCCGACCCAAGCCCCGCTGCCCCCAGGGATCTCCGCCACCTCACCCACGTACCGGACGACGCCTCGGCGCGTGTCCTCGCCGCCGACGCGACAGCGCTTGCCGATCTGGATGCCTCGGAGCAGCACTTGCTGCTCCCCGGCATCCAGCCTGGCTTGCTCGTGCCCGGGGGCGTCGGGGTCAAATCGTCCCAATTTCTGCGCCCTTTTCCAGGCTAGGACCGAGTCGACCTTCTTCTCGTACTCTTGCTCGGGCATGACGTATTTGTCGATGCCAGACGTGTCGGTGTAGTTGGGGCGAGCGCCCGGGGGTCGAATGTCCTCCACCTGTCAAGTCGGGTCCACGTCGGTCAGCCTCGTCTTACCGCTTGGATGACCAAGGAACGGCCAGGCGGACCAAGGAGCGGAGCCATTGGTTTGGCTGAAGCTCGATCCCGGGGCCTCCAACCCCCTCTCTCGGCGAGGAGAGAGGGTGTGGGCAGGGACGGCAAGGAGAGGGCAGAAGAGAAGGAGGGGAAAAAGAAAGGTGAGGTCGGCGGCTCCAAGCATGGTCCATCTCCTCCATTCAATGCGGCATCCAACCTCATGCGAGCAGGAAATGCTGAGACAAACTTGTCACACGGGGAGTCGACAAGAGAGAGAGCGCGCGGCCCCCACCCGAGCCTTGACCAGGGCTGCCTCGTCTCATCAAGGGGGGGGGAGGCAAATGAAATCAAGAGCATGCCGACTTACATGCAGCTCTGCGTAGGGAGCCAGGGGGAAAGTGCACAATCGGATGCTGTCCTCATCTGCCGCGTCAATGGGGACGCGTTCCGCCCCTCCAGGCGCCTGGAGTGTCAATTTTTGAGACGACGGGGGGATGCCTGTGACTGTTTCGAGCTTTCCCTTGAGCTGGCTGATGGTCCATGACGGGGTGACGCGCCGCTCCGCCGCGGCGTTATCTGAGATGACCTGCAGAGGGACATCGGCCATGGTGCGAGCGTGTCGTGCCTTTTTCTTTGCCCTAACCAGCTCTTGAAGCTTGGCGGCCGGGGGGGCGTGTCTCGTACGAGGGTGGATGGATGCGGGGCGTTGACGGGCACTGGACTGTCTGTACATGCAGCGGTGGTTGTTCTAGCTGGAGGGCAAAGGATAAAGAGAGAGGCGATGAAGAATGGAGAAATGAAGCAGCAGCGTGAGAACCTGGAGGGTGGAGCCGGGGGGAGGACGTCTTGGGCAAATGGGGTGTGGGGGGGGGGAGTGGCCAAGTTGCCCAGGTACCAGTTGTCTAGGTCAGTTGTCCAGGTGCCGCTCCTACCTTAATGTACCTGGCACAGTGAAGGACCCGGAAAGGCAAGAATAAGTAACTTGGACAAGGACTTTCAGCAAGGCAATAGGTAGGTACCTAGGTACACAACAAACGGGCTCTACAGTACGGTTCCAGGGGCTTCGCAGAAGAAGCAAGTAAAAATAAAAATAAAATGAAAATAAAATAAAAACCTCCGATCAAAGAGATGAGCCATGCCCGTCATCGACTGCCCTTGAACGGGAGGAGCGGCCGCGAGACAAGAAGAAGAAGAAAAAGCCGTCGTCGCGATTGGTCACCAGGCGTCTCGCAAGGCCGGGACGCCCCCGGAATGGCCAATCTGGGCGCTGGCTGGGCAAATCAGCTGCCGCCTCGTTTATGCCCCCCCCTGGGCCACACGTCTCCCGAGGACCGAGACCTGCGGGTGACTGGCTGGGCTGCTGTGCATGTCGCAGTCACATCATCAGACAGCAAGGAGTTCGTCAGATTGTTTCTCGACTCCACCGCAGCGGCGCGCGGCGGACTACTGGTAGACCAGCCCCCGGCGGTCCGAACTACGGATAAGAGGTAGGCAGACAGTGCCGGGCCTGTCGAGCAGCAGCGTTGGTCATGACTCAACTCCGTACCCTTTCATCATTCCATGAATAATTAATAACTGCCGAGCCCAGACGCCAGACGGGCAGTGGCAGCCAAGCTGCAAGTAATATCGGCCCGCCGCTAGCTATATCAACCTTCGTATCCCACCGCCATTACTTGGCAATCGAGTCCGTGGAGCGCTGCTGAATTGAACATGCGAGCGGGATGCCGCCCTTTGTTTGGCTTACGTTGCCCGGCAGATGCTCCAAATTACCTGACCAGGTGTTATATGCTATATGCGTTAGGGATGCTCGGACAGCTCTCTCGGTCTGCACCCCGTGGTCCTGCGGTGTAACACGGCCCTCTGTACGATAAGTGAAGAACCCAAGGCACAGCCATGCGCTAGCACGGACAACAAGACGTCGATGCTTGGACTGAGCCGCGCCGGCGAACACACCTCCCAGCAAGGGACCGACTCTGGCAGCACTATAAATGATGCTTGGACGCCACGTATAAATAGTAGCACAGACCATGACTCGACCCGCAGTCCGCCTCTCCCATCAATGCTCGGCGGCGTGCCCTCGCACGAAATGGTGCGCATGGGCAATCAGAGTTCTTGTTATGCATGTTTGGGTTGTCAACATGGTCTGTTGTACAGTCTGTTGTACAGTCTGTTGTACAGTCTGTTGTACACACCATGCTCCCCGGTGGGCGTTCGGCCGCTCTTGATCCAACCAAGGCCGTGGCCCGCACGGGGGTTCCGGCCACCTGGTAGTTGTCGTGGCCCCTTGATGCAGCCAGGCTGCGAGACGGGGCAGATTGTGCGCATAGGGGGAAGAAGGATAAAAAAATTAATAATCCCGTTAAAAAGCCTGGTCCACCATACCCGTCCGTCTGGGGCTCGCTCAAGCCACGGTTGGTGCTCGCGACGGCTTCGTTCTCTAACCCTCCTCCCCCCCGGTCCCGTCCCGTCCCGAGCTGCGCCTTGTCTTGTGGCTTCAGGCATCACGCCATAACGAGCTCGGGTTTTTTTCTTCCGCTCTCATGTTTACTTTTTTCCCTTAGTCCCCTCGGAAGCAGACTGTCGGGATGCTAGCATGCTGGGTGCCCAGGGGTGGGCCGGGAGGACGGCAGAGAGGCTTCTCCCCCGGACTGTTTTGGCGGTGGTCAGTGCGATGGAGGGACATGAAAAAAACGTGAAACAGCTTGCAGAATCGTGACAAGTCAGACGTCGGGTGCGCCACCAGCAGCGCGGCGGCGGCCTTGGCTTCACCTCTGGCTCCCGTTCCGCGGGCGGCATGGATGGTGCGCGCCTGGGCTGACGAGACCAACAAACCGCCCAAGCCCGGGATGCAAGAATTGCTTTGCACTGCGCGAATGGCGTGTCACAGTAAAACCCAGTCAATAGCGGACGAGCTTTTCCCTGCCTTGTCCCTTCATGTTGCAAGTAAGACGATATTATGCCAGCGGCCCAGTCAGCCTCATCCTCGACAACGGCCTTGTTTCCCGACCACGCGCACAGACACATACACATGTATGCATGGGCGTGAGTGTGTGAGTGTGTGAGTGTGTGAGTGTGCGTGTATATGACGGAACAGACGCGGCGCTGTGCAGAGCAATAGTCTTGATACCTGAAGCTCTTGCGAGGCTGCCCGAGACGGCCCTCACCGCCGCGGAGGAGACGAGATGACAGCTGGTCAGAGCCGAGCAAGCAAAAAGAAAAAAAAAGCTTAGGCATGCAGCCGTCTGTATGGATCATGTACCCGCCCTTTGATCCCAAGATGAGGTGGGCAAAATGGGTGGTTGGAAGCGCTCGTCGTTCCTGGTCGGCGCTGCTGCACAGCATTGAGCGATGTCTTGCTGAGCGCTGAGCCGATACCTCGATACCTTCGCCAGACAAGTGAGCAGCACTGTCCTCACAGTACAGAGTACGGTACTCGGTACTGTACATGGGCCAGGGATGTGGGGTGCCTGTAGCGCCGCCGCCGCCGCCGGCCGTAAGACCCTTTGTCCACCCGGCATGGCTAGGGACGGCTAGCAAGCGGCCTTGGTTCACCGGTTCAGCCCACGCGATCGGGCTGCGTCTCAGTTTTTTTAGCTGCTCGCTGACCGGTTCATGACGTCGGCTCCGGGGTGCCGGGATTGTGTCGACAGCGCAACGCTCGGGGCCGTCCCGCCTCGATGGCGCTTGACGGCCCCCCCCCAAAAAAAACAAGGCCCGGCGGCGCCCCGGCCCATCCCCTTTCCCCCTGCCTGCCCGCCTGCCATCTGAAGCCTGACAGACCAAAGGACGGGCCGGCGGCCACGTATGATGCGATTGTTGGCACGCGCGTCCCGGATGCCAGAGCCGTGGAAGCCACACACATACACACACACACATACACATACACATACACATACACACAACACACATACGCACATATACACATGCACACACATATACACATACACACAAATACACACCCCACACACACCCACACACACCCACACACACCATCTCTGGCCGGGCTCGACGAAGCGTCGCGAGGCCGGAGCGCCGCTGTGCATGGCCCCGTACATACGCCCCGGCTCACTTGACCTGGCTTGACTTGACCTGATGGCAGCCGCTGCGCGAGGGGCCCTTGGATCCGGGTCCCAGGGCCAGCAAGGCTGCAAACAACAGTCGGCCGGCAGGTTTGCTCGGCTGCACTTTGGGCAGCAACACTTGCCGCACGACAGCCGCGCGGATTGATTAGGCACATGGCATGCCTGCCACACGTCGCACGCACGCACGCACGCACGCACGCACGCACTAGAGAGCCGGCCGGGCCTGGATACGTGCATCCATCAAACCGGAGGAGAAGGGGGCTGGCTGGGTTCAAACAAGGCCTTGTCGTCGTCCGGTGTCTTGACGTGGCGGTCACGATGCGATCAAACAGCTGCCGTTCGAACCAGGGGATGCAGCAGAACCGAGTGTGGAGGGGGTGGGCCGCTCGACCAAGGGCCGGCCTCGGCAACCATCAATGGTGGGCGGATTCAATCTCCGCCGCGCCTGATGACGCGGGTGCCAAGTACGTTTGGTGGCTTGGGCAGACAGGGCAGCGATGAACTGGTTCGCAGTTTGTCGACGAACCGTTTGGCGTGCCCTGGTTCTGTCTGACGTGGCCACACCAACACGCCCAACCCACCCTGGGAGAGCTGCAGCTGCATGGCGATATGTACGAGTACAGTACCGAGTACATATATCCAGCCTGACCGCCAGTTTCTTTGCCAGACTTTGGTTTCGCAAGGCGCCCAATGCACGGCCATAACGGCGCTCGTCTCCCTCGACACACCTGCCTGTGCGCCGGTCCATGGGCGGCCCTGCGGCGAGGCAAACACGCGAGCGACTGGACGAGCGCGAGTGCTGCTGCAAGCCTCACTCGCCCGCAAGCCTAGAGCGCTTTCGTAGGTAGTTTGCGGCCCCGGCCTAGATCAATGCCATCCGGGCGAGTCAAGGCCAGGCCGTGTGCCGCGCGTACACCTTGCAACGTCCACGTTTCTCCGGAGCATCATCATCGTGTCATGAAAGGTGCTCGATGCGACTCATTCCTCAAACTCAATACAATACAACAAGAACAAGGCCCAGATGCCGGCCGTGACGTACATGGGCTCCAAGCTTCAGCCCGCGTCATGTACAGCACCTATGCTGGACGTACACGTCTGCAGGCTGCATCTCGCTTGACTTGGTCCTACAGTACAGTACAGCTTCGCGTCGGAGACTGCAGATGAGCGGGCCAGATCTTGGGCGGCCGACAAGACCGCCTTGTTGGTTCTCGTCAGCTCTCGTGGATCGCATCGTGTCGCATTGCATCACTGCAGTCGGCTCGAATCCTCGGAGTCGGAACCCCACCCCGAAACCTCGCCCACACACGTACACACGGCTGCATTGTGTCACGAGCATGGGATTTGTCATGTTTCCGACGCCGTTGCTGAAGCCTGAGATTTGGGGAAAAGGTTCGTCGCGATTAACCTTGTCGTGCGTGGCAAGGCAGCAAGCAATGCAAGCCCGCCTGGAAAACATGGGAAAGAATGGCCCGGCCTCGTGTCGGAAACGGATTCGAAGCGCCCAAGACGGCCTCCTGCCCTTCTGGGGCGCCATTGAGGCCGCCATTGAGGCCGCCACGCGAGCTTGCCGGTCAATTATAGCGCTCGACTACAAGGACCCCCGCCCTACCAAGGCATGGCATAGTGCACGTATTCTTCCCTTGCAAGCAACTAAAAGGAGACCTACAGCACAGGGCACAGGACACCGGACACCGGACACCGGACACAGGACACCCACCCCCTTCCCCGGTGTTCCCTCACCCCACCCGCCCTCTCTGGCCCGTTGGGACTCCATTGAGACGGGGGATATGATGGGGCTGGGTAGCCAAACACCCGAAAACATTGGCGTTACGGCATCTGGACACACCAGCAGCATGCATGACTTCGTGGCCATGCGCTGGCAGGGCACTCGAGTCTGCTGCACGTACGCACGCACACACACACACACATACACATACACATACACACACACACGCACGCACACACACACACACGTACTGTACACTGTAACTGGATCCGCGGCAGTCAACAGGCGCATGGGCAATAAATCGGCCGGTATTGCTAGCGCAAGAGCCGGGAAGCTGAGTCGACGGGATGTCGACTATGGCAATGCGCAAAAAAAAGGCGACGGGAACAACAGCAAGAAGAGGGGCGAGGGGTATTGCCGGGGGGGTGCAGGGGAGTGGAAAGCCTAATTGCTGGCAATAGGCTGAGCGTTTCGAAGCTGGTGCTTGGCGATAGGTGCATAGACCGTTGCTCGCCTGGCCGTCACCGTCGCCATGGTTGCGTTGCCACTCCCCGTAGCCCGTAGGGTAACCAGTCCTGCCGCGGGCCGTCTTTCCTGATGCCGCATCACGACAGAGACATGTAACGTGCCTTGGCTGGGCGGGTACCCGGTGTCTCGATGTTTTTGTTGTCGCGGCAAAGGGGTAAAGCGAGAACGCATGCGCTCCACTGAGCTGGGGGCTATTTAGGGGCAAGTCGTAGCGGAAAGCAAAGGCTAGGTTCCCGCCAAGATCGGTGGTCAATGGCAGGCGTGATTGCAGTGTATGCGACTCACTTCCCATATGCGCCATTGTCTGGCCAGGACCTGGGGATGTCTCTTTATCAAAGCGGCTAATAAACGGCATTTGCTTCGCAATCCAGCCCGACAATCTGCAAGCACTTACAAGGTATGCAAGGAGGCCCCGATTACCATGGTAGGCAAGGCAGATGCATTATCCACCGGACCTCATCACAAGCTTTGCCAGGCCTCGACTCGCCCACCGACTCGCCCACCGACTCGCCCACCGACTTTACCTTTCTCTGCTACAAAGGGTGCGTTCGTCACCGTGTCATGCCCCGGACCCCGCTTACCGCCACGATTGTCTCTTGCCAACTCGCAAGGTATTGGACGATAAGCCGGCTGTTTCTCTCGAGTCGTCACCGTCAAGCTGAGAGAGCTGTAAGCCGTCGCCGCGTCTCGGCCAGCATGCCCAGCCCCAAGCATGATGTAACTTATATACACGGCCTTCTAACGCTGCATGTCTGAGGCTGCACGCGCTGAGATGCATGTATTCGTCACTTTCAGGGTATCAGGCCGCTGTGGGCCCAAATTGGCGCCGGCGTCTTCATCAAGGCACGATATGCTCGTGGGCGTTTGTGTCTGTGCTGTCAGGTTGAGCCTCGTGGCGTGGGGGCGTGAGCGAGAGTGCGAGCAGTAAGAATAGCGATAGCCTAAGCCTCGTTGGTAGAAAGGGAGTCATGGCCTTGCCGTCCCCAAGCATGCCTCGCCGTATACGTACCTGCACACAGGCAGAGCAGGTATCCGGGCTTCCATGTACCGAGCCGACGAGTTGAGCGCAGTCTGGCGAGTACAGTAGTCCTACCTACCTACGGTACCTAGCGACGCGGAGTTCTCGGCCCCTGCTCCACTGCAGCCCTGGCGCATGAAAATTCAATGCCATCCTCATAAAAAAAAAAGGGACCAGCAAGTAACGCAAACGCAAGTCACCGCACCAGATCCGCTTCGGCACCCCCAGACGAGCACCCCCAGACGAGCATCTGTCAAGGACGAGACGACAGTGAGGGACAGCAATCAACGACCAGCAAACGGCTGTCGGCCCTGACTCGTGCGCCTTCCAGTACTGGCTCTGAAGATTACGCATTCCGACCATGCTGACGTATACCTGCCTACTTGGCCGCGGTGGAAGAAACCAAGCACGGCAGGGGGTGCCCAAGGTTTTCCTTGGATACGTAGGCAGGACTCGCGAGATTCACCTGTTGCGAGGCGCCTCCCGCTCTTGCCCAGATAGCACACATACCTACCTGCCTGCTGTTCTTGGTACCTACTGTCGGTAAGGTAGGTAGGTAAGGTAGGTAGGTACTAGACAAACACGCTTACCTTGCGGTGAATGCTCACGGAGAATGTGAAGCAAGAGCGAGTTCATGTACAGAGTACTCGACTAGCTATCGTTTAAGGGCGGGAAAAAAAGAGAAAGGACCCTGGGCCCCGCCCCCCCCCCAGCTCTTTCTCTTTCTTACCCTCGGTCGCTCTCACCACCCCCCTCCTTCCTGTCACCACCGCACGCCCCTCCCCTACCTCCTCGCCCTCCCCCACTCCTTCCTTCCCAAGCTAAGGAACCTACCTCATCACACACTCCATGCATGTCTTTCCAATCTCTGGGTTGACGTTCATCATGCAGACTACCTGCCTCCGGACAAAGACAGGTAAAAACAGACCAGGCTTTGTCAGGGCACAAGAATCAGGCGGGACCACGTACTGTAGCTGGCTGATTTCAAATGGCGGGCGGCACCGTGCCGTACTGTACGGCTATCCCGTTCCTGAGAGCGCCATCTGAGGCCCAGCAGCCCTATACGGATTCCTGCGCTATACACTTCGTTTCGGCTGCTTCACGCGCTCGCATCGCCAGCCCATTTGCCATGCCATGCTCTTGCCATTATCGTTTCCCCGGCGAATCCGCTCCTTTTCGCCGACTTGCCCGGTGTTCTCGTTCCGGCCAGCTGGCGCTCTGCCTGCCCTTGCCTGCCTGTTGTCGGCAACCTCTGGGCTAACAAGCTGCAATAGTAGCAGTTGCTGTCTCCAATGCCGCCTAGATTCAATTTTTTCTCTCACCCTCAACCCGCCCCGGGCTGCAGAAACGGATACTGTACGGTAGTAGACAGGCATGGCATAATTAGCTATTTCGAGCCCGTCTGAACCCAGTTTGCCGGGCCACCCATCCTTTTCTCCTGCCTCGAACCCCTGTCCTTGCTCTTTTTCGCCCGCATTCTGTACCAGCAGCTTCCCGGTTCCTTGTCCGCCTCGTCTCCTGCGCAACCCCTGTCTGCCTTGGGTGCCCCCATAGTACCTGGCCCGGCCTTATACCACTTACATATATGTACCTACATGCTGGGCTTTGCGTGCCAAATAAGGTACTGGCAGTAACTTTCTTTGCCTGACGTCTTCGCTCCTCTGCGGCCCCCCCCTCCAAGGAGCGGCTCTTCCAAACCTCTACTTTTAGCTAGAGGAACCTTGCCTTACCACTGTTACTTCTTACTCTTGTTTCCGCTGCCACCTGATCTGTCTGCTTGCGGGAACCCGGCTTTCATCCTTTTTGACGTAGTGGCCCGTTGCCGCTCCTCGCTATCCCTCATCTCCGCCCATTGGTGGATGATAAACCCCGGCAGCACCAATCATAATGGTGTTTGCCCTCATAAACAAGACTACAGGAGCCTTTAACCATCCCCAGACGCCTTGCTTCTGTTTTCTGTTCCTCTCTCACCCACTCTTCTTCCTCCCCCTTTGCTGCCAGGAAGCTCCTCGACGACAAGCACCCGCGATATCGCAGCTCTCGATCGAACGTCTTTCCGAAACCGGCCGCAGGTCTGCTCTGCTCTCAAGCTCCCAGTCTCTTGGCCTGCCGCCTCGACTTGCCTGACAACAGGTCCGCTGCTTACTGGCCTCCTGCAACGCCGGTTCTTCCTTCCGTTGCTACATCGTGGCAGCTACAGCCTGTCCTTTGCTACACTGCGTCGGTTGGGCAACGCAGCTCGTCCCAATCGCGACGCAGCCAAGGCCGAGCGTTGCAGCCGGTCGTTGAGCTGGCCCAACTCAAGAGCCAGACTCTGCTCTGCCTCCCGCGGGCAGAGCCATCCTACCCGACCATCTCTCACCACGGCGTGGGTCTGCTTCGCGGCCCCGGGACCCTTGTCAACGGCCGCGGCGACAGAAGCCATACCCTCAACGTGGATATCGTCTCCCTCCTCAAGCCTTCCGACTCAAATGAGTCCACCGTCAACCCCCAGCAACCCCGACCCGTTTCCGTGCCCCAACCGATAGCACCGCCTGCTGCCCATGGGCAGCCTCCCGCACTGGTCATCTCGGCTGGTTTGACTGCTCCAATGCCCAATGCGCGCCGCAGCATGCCCCCACAGATGCCAGACCAGCCGGTGAAGAAGCAGAGCAAGTGGTCCCCGGAGGAAGACGCTCTCATCATCGAGCTCCGGGGTAGTGGCATGAAGTGGGAGGATGTCTCCAAGCGTCTGCCGGGGCGAAGCGCCATCAGTTGCCGCCTTCACTACCAAAACTATCTCGAAAGACGAAGCGAGTGGGACGAGGAGCGCAAAAACAAGCTTGCCAGACTCTACGAGAGGTTAGTCGTCGCTGGCCCCTTCCCTGACTCGCCGCCTCCAACGCAGTTCTATGCGTCGAGCTCTTGACTCTGCTGTCGTGGAATATTGACATGAGTGTAACAGGTTCAAGGCGGAAATGTGGGCAAAGGTGGCAGAGGAGCTCGCAGTGCCCTGGCGAGCCGCCGAAGCCATGCACTGGCAGCTCGGAGAGGTGGATATGGCTCGACGAGCCGGGGTCGTTCCCTTTTCGCTGGCGGCTGTCAACGTCGAGAGCGGGCAGAGGAGCGTGGCGCCGCGTCCCAGCACCCACTATCAGCCGCCGGACACCGGTGCTCGCCACCTGACGCCGCCCTCGCCTCGATCCATGTATTCGCGAAGCCAGCCGTTATCCGCCATGTCCGTTGGCCAACCGATGCGCGGAGAACCCATGCCTGCGCAAACCGCGATATCTGGGCCGGGCATTCCACCCTCGATGGTGTCAGACCACGGCGAGGTCTACTACACTGCGGGCCCAGGGCTTCCGCCGATACAGACTCAAGGGCAACCTCGCAACCCCGGTCCTCTGCCCAGCCTAGCGGAGCTGACCACCGGGGTGAGCCCGTATGGGACCCCAGTTCAGAGGCCGCGTTCAGGGCCGCTTGGGCCGCCGCCTAAGCATGGCGCGATGGTGCCAACCGCCCAAGGCTATCCGACGTCGGAACCTACGAGAACCAAGCGGCGGGCGAGTCCAGAATCGATGCATCGCGAAGGCAGCGTCCGACGACGAATTACATAAGACAGCCTGTCACGCGCGCCCGGATGAGCAGGGCCGACAAGTGATGGGGAGACGAGAATCGCAAGGCCGGAGGATTGGGTCGTATGGAGTCACTCATGCAGCGGGAGCGTGTTGTACCGTGTTTTCCTATTATTTTGTTTTCCACCTTGTTCTTAGGAAATGGGAAGGAGGGCTTTTTGGATGGGATGGCAGATACAGGCGGGAATGGTTTTGTCATTGGAAGCGAACCGGAGCATGGGGAAATGGCCATGAGGAACGACGGCAAAGAGAGGCGGGCGGTTGGCATTTGCTTGGGTGGTCGATCTCATGCTTGCAGAGTCGCTTTGGGTGGGGATAGAAGGCGAATTGGCGCACGAGATGGGGACTTTTTGGCGTGCTGACAGACGATGGACATAGTGAGTTTTGAATGACGGAAGGGTTACTACCTAATCGAGGGACTGAGCAGCATTGCATTGGGTAGAGACGGTTGCTAGCTTGGCCTGGAACGTGTCATGATAGAATTCAACGACCCTGTTTGGACAGTGGGGATGGCCGACGGGGGATGAAGACGTGACAAGTCAAGGGCGAGAGACGAGGACCCAAGACAACGCCCAGGGAGCTGCAGTTTCGAAAAAGGCTTATTCAAACTGGCTTTGGTCGCCCGGCTCTCGGTGAGGTTCCTCTGCGTTGTCCGAGCGATTACAAACCACCCACCAGTTGTCCCTTTCATAGCCGCTCTCCAACACGGAGCCTCCCGCGGCGCACACGTCGTCCTCCAGCTCCCCTTGCCTGTACAAGTGGTAGTAGCGCTGATACGTGGCTTCCGGCGCGCCCTTTGAGCGCATGACCCACGGCACCAGGGTATCCTGCTCGGAGCCCTCGTGCCAGCCCCTGCGGCTCCCGCCCTGCTCGAGCGCCCAAACGTAGACGAGGGCGCGGGCGTCAGGGCCGGGCCGGAGGCAGCGCAGCAGCGCGGCAATGGCATCGCGGCGGCGCGCGCGCGTCGACAGGTGGTGGACGACGGCGATGCTGACGACAAAGTCGACGGCCGCGGCGCGGTAGGGCAGCGCCAGGCCGTCGGCGACGACGACGTGGCCGAGGCCGCGGCCCTCGGCGGCGGCCAGGCGGACCAGGGCGGCGCTGCGGTCCGAGCCCAGCAGGTGGACGGCGCGGTTGACGCAGAGGTACTTGCCGTTGCCGCAGCCCACGTCGAGGCCGATGCTGCCGGGCCGCTGGGCGAGCAGGAAGTCGGCCACGAGAGGCCACGGCTTGTGGCGCGTCGAGGAAAAGTGCGGCGCGATGGCCTCGTAGACGGCGTGCACGTGCGCGTCCTCGTACGCCTCTGGGGCTGGCTCGTCTGCGCCGCCGGCCGTCGCCGATGAGGCCGGAGGCTGCTCGTCCCGGGCGGTCGCGGAAACGCCTTCCTGCCCCTCCTCCGCCGCCGCCGCCGGGTTTGAGACGGCAGGGCTCGTCATGGCTTTACCAGATGGGAAATCTGATCGGCGTCGACGGGCGCTTGGCCCCTTTCCCTGCCTATCGCGAGGCCCTTTCGAGGAAGAGGGGGGGGGAAGACGCGTGGCAGCGGGAAGCAGCCCTGTGCCGAACAAAGAAAGGGGGGTATTAGTTTGGACGAGAAAATCACCACGACGGTTGTGAGACAGAACTGTCGCTCTGCAACCCATGTCCACACAAGCAAGGCTTTAGCGCCGTAGCGTAGAGTGTCAATCGCGATGGAGTGGAGGCTTGTGCTGCTGCACACCGCCCGCCGCCCTTTACGCACTCACCTCGGGTTCTCGGCGGCTTGGACCGATTGATGAGGCAATTGGCAGCCAAAGACCGGAATGCAGAGGGGATTTATCAACTTGATTTTTGTAACGTCACCTTGCTCTGTCGTCGGGCGCATCGCCATTGAGAGTTTGTTCGAGAGGTGTGGTTAAAGCTACGTCACGTGATGCCAGCAGAGACTCCGGAACGGAACGCAGCGCCCGGAGCGGATTAGTGGAGCCGGGCGGTACCTCTCAGTGGGGCCCATAACTACCTAACTCGCTCGGCGGGACGGATGGAGGTACGAATACAACTCGGTCCAGGGCCAGAGCTATATCTTAGTAAGCTATAATTGAGCAGCAGGGAAAGGGGGTGTTCGTTTTGATCTTCGCCCCTTGTCAAATGACCGCCTCTCCAAGGCACTGCAACTCTACTCTCCGAGCTTGCAGGAGCCCGTCATACGTGGACCGTCGTCTCTTTCCGTTTCGAGACTCTGGCTCGTGTCTCGACTCGACAGGTCGTGTCTCAAGCTAGGCCGATGATGGGTGACGGCCTACCCGCAGCATCCTTCGATCGACGCCGGACAGTCTCATGTGGTGTAGCAAGGCCGCATGAGACCAGCAAATCAACTTTGCGGCCCGTGGGCGACGGTCCTGTCGAACCAGCAGCGTGTTGTCGTCATTCATGGGAGGGAGGTTAGGGGGGCCAGAAGCCACGCCCCCCCTTGCGACGACCTATGCTGAAGGGAAGCTTGGCGATACCTATGCAAAGAAGGAAAGAAACTTTCCATGAGATGAAAGAAGGAAAAATTGGACTAGAATAATTAAGGTTGAGAATGTACACGGGCTTTGCTGCAATAGTCGTGCCAGAGCGCACGTTGTCTGCGTCGTTCACGCCATTGCCTCACCCCGGTATCCCTGTTCTCGAATATTGAGTGCTATGTACTTTTGCCCCAGAACCTCATGCGCCTTGTCGGACGAACACGAGTCACAGCGAGAGGCCAAGTCCCGGGCTCGTGGGACCAATGACCGAGGTCACTGGCAACGGGACACTCCGTCTCGTGGACTGACATTGCACCGTCGTATCTCTTGGGCAAGTGGGCTTTGGTGCCAACATTCCGGCTACCTACATACGGGACTCTGCAGGGGTGGGCAAGGATGGAGGGTCGAGGACGACGACACGCGTTTGTTTGCCGAATGGTCCCCAGGGTCCCCTCCCCTTCCGAGCTCGGCCTGTCCGTGGTGCCTCCGCCAACATGAACCCCTTCCGGGAGCAGGGGACCGAATCCGCCGCAAACCATCCAGAGCAGACGAATCGCATAATGTTCAAACGTCATTTTATTCGCGACTGCCGAGATATCCCGGCGGTCTTGGCACAGGTCGCGCGAGCGACAAGTTGTGACACGCCGGGGTTGGCAGCACTGGGCCGCGTTTATTACCCAGTCTGGCAAGTCGCGACATCCCGCAGTCGCCCGGCTCGCCATCCCAGAGCCTCCCCTTCATTGCCTTCCCGTGTTGAGCGGGCTCTTTTCGTCAAAGACGTTGGTCGTGATGAGCTCCGGATACTCGACACGTCCTTGCTTGAGGACCGACTCCATCGTCTCCATAATCGCAAGGCTCTCCGACCACGGAAGCGTGTCGCTCTCCATCTTGCCGTCCCTGAGGCAGCGCGCGCACTCGTCCGCCTCCCAGAACATGCCGTGACCCCAGTCGCGCTTCGGGTCCTTGGGGATGGGGCAGTCAACCACATCAATATTGCCACCTCTGCCCTCCTTGATGACCTTGAACTCAGTCGGTCGGTAGGCCGGGTGGGAGACTTGGATCTCGCCCCTGGAGCCCTGGATCCGGACGGCTGGCGCGCTGTTGCTGCCGTCGGGATTGGTGGCGACGAGCATGGACGCGGTCGCAATGCCGACGCTCCTGCGCTTGGGAAACTCACACATGATGCTCGTCATGCCGTCTACGCCGGTCTTGTACTGAATCACGGAGGCCATGACCCGAGGCGACTCCCTCTGAGGCGCTTGGTGATAGAGCGTCTGGAAGACCCAAGTCAAGGCGTAAACGCCCAGATCCAGCAGCGCCCCTCCCGCCAAGTCTTTGTTGACGAGGCGATGCGAATCCGCCAGCCCAACGGTGCCATCGTCTCTGCCATTGGTCTCGTTGAGAGACAGGTCGGCTTGGGGTGCCCCGCGTGGTCAGCTCATGGTGAGTCGGGGCTCAGGGCCGAGTAGGTGCGGTCGTAGAAGGCAGGTGGATGGATGCTCACCAACTGTGCGATGGACGGAGCCAATATCACCGGCTGCGATCATCTCGCGAATCTTGATGCTGAGGGGAAAGAACCGGATCCAGGCGGCGTCGAGGAGGAAGAGTCCCTTGGCGCTGGCCGTGTCCACGAGGGTCTTGGCTTGGGCGGCGGTGACGGTGAGAGACTTTTCACATAGGACATGCTTGCCGGCGTGCAAGGCCAGCATGGCATTCTGGAAATGGTGGCTATGGGGGGTGGCAACATAGACAATGTCTACCTGGGGGTCAGCCACGAGCTCCGCATACGACCCGTAGGCTTTGATGGACGAGGGGCCGTCTATCTTGGTGACGAATTGGGTGGCCCGGTCCACGGAGCTCGAGGACGAGACGGCGACGATTTCATGGCGGACATCGTAAACCTCTCTGCAGGCGGGATCCGTGAGCAGATCCTTGCAAAAGACTGAAAGGGGTCCATTGTCAGCCAACCGGCACTCGTACTGGTAGACAGACACGGCCGGCTACTCACCCTCGGCGATCCCGCCCGTGGCTATGATGCCCCATCTCAGAGTGTACGGTGACGCCGGTGCCATGGCAGCAAGACTGATGGCTCTCTACCGGACCACAACCGATTCGCAAGCCGAAGGCAGACGTCCGACCCTGATGGGCTGGGTGTGTGCAGCGGGACCTTGGACGGGTCGCGAGCGAGTCGAGGGAAGAGAGCTGTCGGGGTGTTGGAAACTCAACTCAGGAGTGGAGGATTCCAAGGTGACTTTGCTGGCAGGCGGGGTGTGATTTTGGGGGAGCAATCATGGCGATGTTGCGATGTTGCGATTGGTGCGCATGCCGCATGTGCTATACCGAGGTAGTAGCTGTCGATACACTGTGTATCGGCATCTTGATTCACTTGATTCATGAACGACGGCAAGTGTCGATTCAATCAATTCTCGCCTCCTTTACACCAGAAGTGCGAAATGGCAGCGGCTGTTGGTGGTTCGCCCTTGTAACTAATTACTTTTCTGGATTGGTATTTGCCGTTGGACTGTGCTGGTAAAAGCACTGCTGCCTGTCTGCTGCCTGTCTGCTGCCTGTCTGCTGCCTCCTGTCTGCTGTACTGTGCGTCGGGCGACGACCCATGACGCCATTGTTGCGAATTCGCGAAACGTTGCAACCAATCCTCCCGGACATGTTGCAACCAAGACAAAAGGCCAGTCACGGTTTCATCGCTCGAGACAACTGGCAATTGCTACCCACAGTCCAAGCCCCTTTGAGTGACCACACCCCGACAGCAAAGCCTTTCTTCCCCCCTCACCCAGCAAGAAGCCATGGCACACCCACCGGCCGTCGGAGCGCAGGCATCCCGGCTGGCGCGCGACCTGGCGCTCCTATCGTCGGCGCGGATCCCCAGGCTGCTTTACGGCACGGCCTGGAAGAGGGACCAGACGGCCGATCTGGTCTACATGGCGTTGCGCGTCGGCTTCCGCGGCGTCGACACGGCCGCCCAGCCGAAGCACTACGACGAGCGTGCCGTGGCCGAGGGCGTCCGGCGCGCCGTCGCTGAGGGACTGGTCAGGCGTGAGGATCTCTTTGTGCGTTCCGGTTCCGAGAGATGGAGAGAGAGAAGCGGAGAGGGCTGACGACGGTTCATGGTCATGATGAGTGATGGGGGGTTCGCAGATTCAGTCAAAGTTCACGGCTCCCGGTGGCCAGAGCCATTCGATGCCGTATGACGCGGATGCACCGCTGGCCGAAAAGGTCCGTCAGTCGGTCCAGTCGTCCCTCGACATCTTCACCCTCGAGGACCAGGAGCCGTACCTCGACAGCGTCGTCCTCCACTCGCCCCTGGACACCATGCAGGAGACCATGACGGCGTGGAAGACACTCGAGTCCTACGCCCCGCACCGCGTGCGCAACCTGGGCATCTCAAACGCCGACCTCGCCACCGTCCAGGCCCTTTTGCGCGACGAAAGCACAACCGTCAAGCCCGCCGTCGTGCAGAACCGCTTCCACGCGCGCACCGGCTTCGACGCCGCCCTCCGCACCTTTTGCCGCGACAACGGCCTCGTCTTCCAGTCCTTTTGGACACTCTCCGCCAACGCGCCCCTCGTCCAGAGCGAGCCTGTCGCCCGGGTTGCACGCATGGCGGGCGTCGAGCTCGCGGCCGCCTACTACTCGCTCGTCTTGGGCTTAGGAAATGTCACGGTTCTCGACGGGACGACTAGTGAGGCGCACATGAAGGAGGACCTGGAGGGCATCGAGAAGGTGGGCCTCTGGGCCGAGGGCAACGGGGCGGCGGACTGGGAGGATGCTCTGAAGAGCTTCAAGGCCATGGTTGGGGATACTTGAAAGGGATGCATCCGCTTCCGGTTCGGGTCTAATGGCTGGGCAAGGGGGGGTATGTATCGTATAGATCCCGTCGCGTCCAAGAGATGAGTGCGTCGTCATGTCCATGCGCAATGCAAGCTCAGATGGAATCAAAGATTCGAGATATGATAATGGAGCCGTGGTCAGCAACGACCCGTGCAGTTGCCCCCGTCTTCTCTTTTCATGGATAACCTGCTCTTTATATAACCAAGTGTTAGACTGTGAGTGGGTGCACGGCAACAAGGGCCTGGAATCGAGTCGACAGACAGCTACTTATTCATGGTGTTCGTGAACGTCGGCTCCAACTCATTCCTCGTCACGTCGGCATTACCGCCCATCCTCCGGGTCACGTCAAATAGTTTCTGAATATCTTTGGCAGCCGCTCGTGTTCCCGTCGCCCTCTACGGCCGCAGCCAGGAGGTAGAATGGTGGACCACCGGTGGCACAAGGGCCTCGCATGCTTGCCACGAGCACTTGGCCGCGACGAGCGAGGCTCCCTCTAGCCGGCCATGGCGGTCATCGTGCGTTATGCATGCAGAAGCAATGCTGGCCTGCGCCTCCGGCCGCCCTAGCGTTGTGGCTTGTTCCACCCGCAGCTTGGCTACAAGTCCTTGGCAAACGTGTTGGCAACAATAAACGGGAAGCATGCCGTTGCTTCTAGATAGACCTGACTTTCACGTTCAGTTCATCTTGTTGGCCTGTCAAGAGCGATGTTGCGCGAGGTCAGGGCCCCTTACCTTGACATTGTCTGCGCCAATCTTAATCTTACCCCACGACACTGCCTCGTCGGGCCTGGCACCGGCGTCACTTCCATCAAACTCCTGGGCCGTGTTGATGTAGACGGCCGACTCTGCGCCGTTGCGCATGAGGCAGGCGTTGGCAATGTGGTGCTTGACGACGCCTCCGCCGAGAATAATCATGCCAGCCCGCTTTGCCCGCACGGCGATGGTGTTGATTCTCCGAATATCCTCGACGAGGTCAATCTTTAGCTGCAGCGGCGAGACCTTGAAGGTGTGAAAGTACAGCATGTCGCCAAGGCTGCCGTCGGTCAGGGCCGGGCAGAAGACGGGAATGTTGTTCTTGTATGCCCAGTAGTAGACGGATCGCTCGTCGTTGATTTCTTTGCCGAGGCGATGGATGACTTTGGACGGCGTCCAGTTGATCTCGTTGTCGGTGCCCTTGCTGGCCTCCTGCTCCGCCAGCAGCGTGTCCAGGATGGGGACAACCCAGTCTTCAAAGGCGCAGTAGTTGGCATTGGGGACGACGAGATTGCCGATGCGATTGAGGCCTTTGCGGCGCAGGTCAGCCCCCTCGGCGCTGAAAGAGCCCATGTAGGTGTTGCCGAGGCACTTGATCAAGTCTTCTTCTACGCCGCCGGCGGTTGTGACGATGCAGGACACATGGTTGTGCTGGACCAGCCAGCGAAGGACTCCTCGGAGACCCGACGATATCAAGTTGGATGTGTAGCCCAAGAAAATGGTCGTCTTGTCCCCAGAGTCGGCATCTTTCCACGCACGCTGTTGGCAGCGGCGAAACGAGAAGAAAGAACGTCAGCCCCTGGTTCTGGACAAGGTGCACAGGGAGACGCACCATGTCGTTGATGATTCGGATGGCCTCGGCCATGGACGACGCCTGGAATCCCATGTTGCGCATACCGAGGAATAGATCCTCGGCGGTGATTGGCCCCTTGAGCTTGTCAAAGTCGAGCTCCTCAACCGGCTGTGCCTCTGGGGGCATCTCTTGGGATTTCTGGAGAACGGCATTCTTTGCCGCAGACGGCGGCGCGCCACCAGCCTCGGGCTCTGTCATGGACGATGGCAGTGCGTGAAGATGCGGTAGTTTACAGTTTAAGTCACGCCTTTCTTTCTTGTTTTCCCGGGGCGCCCTTTTTGGGGGGGGATGGATATTTTTCGTCTGTCCCCCACAGATTACTCAGAAAAGGTCGGGTCCGCCGTGGTTCGTCTGGATTTTCTCCAGCTTGCGATCCTCCACTCCTCTTGTTCACACCTTTTCTGTCTGCTTTTCAAAGTGGCAAAACAAAAGATGGAACCAGGCCAGAGAAAGGGCACGCAATTCTCGTCGTCCTTGAAGCCTGGAATATTTGCCGTCGGATGCTCAAGAACGAAACGGGTGGCTTTCGGATCGACATCTGACAAGGGGCCCACCAAATAGGGACGATGCGGCCCCAGCTTAGGTAATGGCCGAGGATCGTTGGGAGTCGGCTCCACCGAAGACGGACTAGCGCGCGCGGCAGTTTGATCCAGAGCAAACCACCTTCTCTCCTCCTCGTGCAAGGGCCTAAGCGCCACGCGATCTGAAGAGAGAGAGAGCGGGCTGTTCGATGCTGCAAAACACTTCCTCGCATTTCATCCCGCCCATCACCGCTGTACCTGCCTCCCCCGCCCGCACTTCGCCCGCACGCGCCGCTCCCGTCCGCAGCTGCTCTCTCTCTCCACCTCGTCCTCTTTCGAGGCCTCGTGCCGGCCTCCCATATCGCCTGCAGAACCGCATCTCGTCCCTCATTCGACGACAGCTCGTCTTCCCCAAAGTTCACGTCGACGGCGCCGCGAAACCCGATTCACAAACCCACCCCCTTCCCCCAAACCACGCCAAGACCCGACTGCTGCCAGCCGTCCCTCGTGTGCTCCCCGGATGGGACAGTCCAGCGCCTTGCACGCTGAGACTCGGGCTGCTGCCCGCCATCCGAAATGTACGTACTGCCCAGCTCGCATCTCATCCGTGACAATGCCAGCTTGGCGCAGACGCAAGCGCGGTGCCGCCGAGCAGCCGAGCAACAGTGGCAACGGCCGGCGACCCGCGCAGCTCATGGGCCCCCCCGCTCACCCCTACCCATCGTCCAGGGCCTCTAGGTACTCGAGGTACGAACCCGACCGTCGGTCAAGGTCCCCCAGGGACCGCTCCCCAGACCGTTTCGAGAGGAGCTCTCAGTATGGCGAGGGCGACAGACGACGCTCGTCGGCCGAGGCCAGATCCACCTCGTCGGGCTTCCAGGCCAGCCGCGATTCTTTCGGTGATCCTATGCGCAGGGAACCCCCTCGTGGGCCCAAGGCTCTCGTCGAACCCCCGAGCGGCCCAAGGGGAGGTGGCTTCGCCGGTGACTTCAGAGGGAGCAGGGGCCGAGGTCGAGGTCGAGCCTGGCCTGCTCGGGACGACTCTAGAGATCGAGGTCGCGAGAGAGACATGGAATACCGCGACAGGTACCGCGACGACAGGAGCCGAGACCGCGACCGCGACCGCGACAGAGACCGCGACTGGAGGGACTCGCGGGACTTCCGCTCCCGCCGCTCGCCTGTTGGCAGAGCACGATCGCCGGTGCGAGACTTCCGAGATCGGGATCGGGATCGGGATGGGCTCCCTGCAGTTGATGCGGACAGAGCACGGCGCGACTCTCGAGACGGCGGTCCCCCATCCGCAGGCTCGACATCCTCGGACCCACAGTTCGGCATGGCTCCTTTTGGGCGGGGAGGAGGTTATATCCGTGGTCGTGGGAGAGGTAGTCGGGGTGATTGGACATCCTCGGACAGAGGTCGAAGCCGGACGACGTACGACGACCGTGGCGACCGTTATCCCCGAAGCCGCAGCCAAGAGGGCCGCTGGGGCCGCGAACGAGACGAACGTGACCGTGGCGACAGGTATCCAGACCCGGATGCTCGACGCGACCTTCGTGACGATCGTGACCGCGGCGAGCGCGATTTGATACGGTCCAAGAAGGAAAGCCGCCTACCCAACCCGCAAGACCTAGCCTCGCAGTCCAGGGAAGTATCGCCTCCTCCAGTCGCTCCCTCAGCACCGGCGTTTGGCTCTGTTCCGAGTCGCAGCACAAGCGGTGGCGATGGCTCTGCATCGGTTGGCACGGGAAAGCCTCCACCGACAGCCCCGAGGGCTTTTAGCGAACGCCCAGTCTCGGCCGGCCAAGACTCCACTCTTCCGCCCGCAGGTCCATCGAGAAGCCTGACCCATGACCACCCTCCAATTCCTGTAGGACCTCGAGCGCAGCAGCAACGCCCTTCGAGCAAGCAGTGGATTAACCCTAACTTGAAAAAGGTACCGGAGTCGCCCAAGATTATGAGGTCGCAGACTTTTGCGCAGCCGAGTCCAGCCTCGTTGCGTCGCGGAAGCTGCCACACCGATCAGCAAGCGGAATACAGACGATCCGGCAGTAGCGACGCCAAGTCGAACCCAGGAACGTCGAGCTTTGAGGAAAGGGCTCGCTCTCACCACAGTGCCGAGCCAGGAGAGATTTTGTTCAAATCCGAGTCGGATACTCGTCATCAGGGGGGCCGTGGGGATAGAAATGCAACGGCCTCCACCTCGTCGGGCCTAGGTGCCTCATCTGAAGCTGCGAACAAATCACGAAACGATCAGAGCTTGGGCGCCGAAGAACCAGCGGAACAAAAGGCTCAGGGGACGAAGCGGAAGCGGAGGCCAGTCGTGGTTCCCGTTTTGCGATTTGCGCTGCCTCCCAAAGTGTCGGTGCCAGAGCAGGACTCGGAGTCGGACGATGACGACATGGCTGATTACTTTGACATGGAAATCCAGAAGACCGAGGCTGAGCTGAGCAAACTGCCGGCACCAAGCCTGCCTCGAGACGTAGTCGCGAACTATGCAGCCATGTCTCATGGGTCGATGGTCCAGATCCTGAGGGAGGGCGAAGGCCTGACGAGCATGCTAGGACCGCTCCCCGAAGAAAGTCTTCTCGACATCGGCAATCCAGGCGAGCAGGTCTCTGTCGAGCCAATCTCAGTTGAGCCAATCTTAGTCGAGCCCGTCTCGGTCGGGCCCAAAGAACCAGAAATGGAAGAGGAGGCGGCCCCTGTCGCCAACGAGGTCAAGGACCCAGCAACTGTTGACGCACAGGCGGACGAGCCGACACCTCCCGCGCAAATCGAGGCAGCCACAAAGACGGAGGAGATGGATATCGACGTACCGAGCGTGGACATCCCCGCAGCGCCCGACGCTCCATCGGCCAATGTCGAGCCTCACAATGAGACCCTGGGAGCAAGCCCTGGCCCCGATACCGTGACAAAGGAAGAGGACCCTCCGGCCAAAGACGACGGACCTCAAACGGTTCCTCTGGAAACAGTTGGGCAAGGGTCGAAGCCTCCTAGCACACCGTCGCAAGTTCCAGACGAAGATGACGACGAGACAGAAACTGAGGACGAGGCATACATGAATGTTGAAACGGTTCGCCAATTCATGAAAACTCCGCCCGTCGACAGCCTCCCAGACTACAGTTGCACACACTGGACAAAGGACGAGGAGTTCCTTGCAACGCTGGAGCCGGACTCTGCAATAAACGATTTCGTAGCTGCGCATATACGCAAGGTTCACATGCAGGAGGCCGAGGCGCTGAGTCAAAGTCAAAAGGAGTATGCTGAGAACTATGTCCGTTACCTTGGCTTCACCATGTCCAAAGACCCAGTCGCTGTGAAGAGCAGGGATAAATTCTCTGTTGCTGCCCCGGCCCCGGAAGGTGGCGGCGCCGTTACGCCAGAGACTAAACCTGAAGGGCGTGGGACGGGCAGAAGGTTTGCGACCGAACGCGACCTGGAGCGTGTTCTCCAGGCATCCATGCGCGAGGACGAGGAGAGAAAGGAGCGCGAGCTCAGGGCCAAGAAGGAAAAGTACCGCAGCGATAAGGAGGCTGTTATACCCGACATGCTTAGCCGCGAGGAGATGCTCATGGCACAGTACATCGACCGATCAGGGTTCACGCCACAAGACAGACTCGTCTCGGCGTGGCATGTCCTGCCGCCCGTCAATAACTTTACGCAGGAAGAGGCTGAACTCTTCGAGAAGCGATACCTTGAGTTGCCGAAGCAGTGGGGCAAGGTGGCGGAGGTCATCCCGAATCGCGACTTTGGCACCTGCATACAGTACTACTACTCTATGAAGAAGGATCTCAACCTCAAGGAGAAGCTCAAGAAGCAGCCTAAGCGGCGCAAGAAGGGTGGAAGAGGGAAGCAGAGGTCTAGTGCACTCGTGTCGGAACTCGGAAATGGCGAGCAGGAGGGAGACGACAATCAGGAGACGGGGGAAAACGGAGAGAGGAGGCGGCCGCGGCGTGCGGCAGCTCCCACTTGGGGCTTTGAGCAGCCGGCAACAGACAGCGAGAATGCAACCCCAGCAGGAACTCCTGGTCGCCGCGGCGTCTCTGCTGCTGCCAAGGGCGATCAGCCAGAGAAGACGGATGGCAGAAAAGGCAGAAGAAAGGCTGCAAAGGACAAGGAGCCTAAGGCCACCAAGGCGAACCAGGCTCTGGCCGCCGCATCCACTCCGACTGGCGGGAGAGGGCGCTCACGCTCCAGCTCGCGCGCGCCAAACTCAGAGTTTCCGACACCAGCGCCCCCTGATACCAGCGTGCGCATGCCGGCTCCCTTGGAGCAGCAGCAGCCGCCGCCGCCTCCGCCGCCACCCGGCATACAGCCGCCATTTCCTGTGCAGCAACAGCTCGCCCAGGGAGTTGAGCGGCCGAAGCCTCTTGCTGCGTCGTCCATCTCAGAAGTCATGGCAGCGCCATCCCTCAGGCCGGAGCCTCCTCCACCGCCCCAGCCCTCGATGACCACTTTCAACTTAGCGCAGCCTCAGACGGAGCGGAAAGCACCGACTCAAGCCTCGAGTTACTGGAGCGTGTCCGAAGCTAACGACTTCCCGCACCTGCTGCGGGCATTTGGATCTGACTGGACGTCGATTGCCGCCCACATGGGCTCAAAAACCGCCGTCATGGTAAGCCGTTTTCTTTCCAAACTCGCCGTCGATTAGCACGCTAACCACTAGTGATGTTCCTCTCCAGGTCAAGAATTACTTTGTTCGGCAGAAGGATGGCAAGGCAGAATGGGAGGCAATCGTGCAAGAAGCGGATGCCAAACGCGTGCGAGGCGAGAAACGGCCCGAACCTCCACAGCCAACGGTTGGTGGTCGAGGTAGAAGATACGACAACACAGGGGCCGGCGCATCCAGACCCCTTGCCGTGGCACCGGGCATGGATCTCCAAAACGAATCCCCGCAGCCCAAAGTGGAAGTTCCCCCACAGCAACCTCGCCCCCCGACATTTTCGGGCTATGGCGTCGTCCCGATCGCACAGGCACCGGCTCAGCAAACTCTTGCCCAGCCCAGCCAACAGTCGATAGCAATGCAGCAGCATGCTCTGTCTCAGCCAGCGTCGCAGGCCATGTCGCCCTCCAGTCGCCCGCTACGAGCACCTCTTCAGCCCTTTGGGTTTCCCGATCGCGAACGCGAACCGCAACCGCAACCGCAACCGCAACCGCAATCGCAGCACCAACACCAAAGAGTCCCGCTTCCTCAAAAGGCTGGCGGAGGCGCTGTCCCAGAGCTCCGTGAACAACGCCCGCTGGCTGCCGCGCAGCCTCTTCAGCCTGCCCGTCCTGACGCGATGATGGAGCGGCAGAAGTTGGAAATGCAGCAGCAGAGAGAGCGGGAAAGGGAACGCGACCGGGAACGCGACCGGGAACGAGAGCGAGAAGTCGAAAGAGAACGCGAGAAGGAACGCGAGAAAGAGCGTGAGAGGGCGCGCGAGAGAGACCGCGAGCGAGAACGGGAGCGCGAGAGGGAGAGGGAGCGCGAGAGGGAGCGCGAGCGAGAGCGGGAAAAGGATAGAGAGCGTGAGAGAGAGAGGGAAAGGGAGCTTGTGCGACAGGCAGAGCGACAGGCCATGAGAGTCAACCAGGAGATGGAGCTGGCACCACAGCGCCACTACGATCCCTACGGTCACCGCCAGCAGCAGGGCCATGGGAGAGAGCCACTGTCTCTCGGCAGACCACCATCTCAGGAGCCTTCTCGGTCTGCCATGGTCTACCCTCCGCCCGTTGCACAACAGCAGCAGCAGCAGCAGCAGCAAGCACCTCACGCAGTACGAAATCTCATAGGCGAGCCTGCGGCTGCACACTCGCCGCCCCTGGGCCCCCCGTCATCGCGCCCAATCTCGTCTCTTCAGCACAGGCCATCGTCAGGGCCTGCGCCAGAAGCCTATGGCCTCGTGCCGCCAGCACAAACCGCTTCAGCTCCAGCTGCTCCCAAGTCTCGCCCGCCAGAGCCCCGCAAGACCTCTAACATCATGTCTCTGCTCAACGACGATCCCCCGCCGGCGGCAAAGCGCGTCAGCGACGTTTCGAGCAACATGTCTGGCCCTTCGGGAACGCCTCCACCGCAGAGCATGGGCCGCACCCCTCCTGGCCCAGCATCGACGTCCCAACTCCGCCGCGAGGCAGAGCCGCAGTTCTCACCTTATGGGCGAGTTCCCACGGGAGGCGCATCTGCCATGCCACCCCTGAAGCCGACCTACACAGGCTCTCCCAGCCCGGCCCAGCACATGGGCTCGGCGTCAGCCGAGCGAGACTACTATAGGCAGCATGCTTATACGTCAGGACATCACAGCAGCGGTACCAACTCTCCCCAAGCGTCGCATCGTTATCCCGCGCCTTCGCAGTCGGCTCAGCCTCAGTATCAGCCATCTAGTGGTTACCATGCTACTTATGTCGGCGGTGCTCCGGTCGCCCACGCTGCATCGCCGCCGACTCAGTATGCGGTCCACGGATCAGCTTCACGGACTCGTGAAGTGCCGCAAGGTGGGCGAGATAATGCGTGGCCCCATCAGGGCCATCAACAACCACCAGCCAACATGCAGCAAGGCGGCGGGTGGCCAAGCCAGCCGCCCAAGTCACAGGGACCACCTCCGCCCCAGCAGACTTGGGTCACTCATTCGAACACGCCAACGCCATCGACCTCAGCTCAGTCTTGGTCCTCGGCCCCTCCGCCACAGCAAGGCCACCATATGAGCATGCGAGACGAGCGCGGCGCCCCCGTCTATGCCGGAAGCTCCCAGCCGCCCCAGCATCGATACGCTGCACCGGTGCCCCGTGGTCCGGATTCGATGACGCCTCAGGGACAACCGTATCCACGATATGCCTCAACGCCCGGGCCCGTCGCGCCAAGAGACCCCAGGGAGCAAGGGCGCAGTTACACTCCCGGGGTGTACGACGGACGCGGACCGCCGCCCCCCGGCCCTGGATATCCCGGTCAAGAACCCAGGGAGCTGCAGCTCCGAGATGGACGAGACCCCAGAGACCCCGGAGATCCGCGGGAGATGATGGGCAGAGGTCTGAGGCCGCACGAGTATGGTCACCCGGATCGATATGGACGATGATTAGCGAACATGTCGGTTTGCGGCGCGCGGTAGTGATGAGGGCATAAAGCGTTGACAACCATAGGCGTTGGGTAGGGAGGAATGGTGTGTTTGGCATACGTGTGGCTGTATTACTCTTGTACTCATATCATGTATTCTTGTTGGTTGAATATAGAAGCAGCCAGCCTTTGTCTCATGTCTGTCTCGTAGGAAGCTCACGCACCTTGGACGGGGATGCAGGAGCAAATGTCTGTACCTTGCATCTGGGTAGCATCCGAGTGGGAGCAAAAGGCGTCGGTACCTGGTAATCAGCCGCCCCGCGCCGATCTGCTACCCCACGCAAGCCCACAGTGGAGTGAGGGCTGCTCGTCTGGCGCGCTTCGTCGACTTGTCAAAACCTCGAGCAGCCGCCATGACGTCCCGCCCGCAGCATCACTCGTCGGCCACCGAGGGCCCGCGCGACAAGTCGTACTTTGAGCAGCAGCGCGAGGCCCTCGTAGGCGAAATCGCCCTGGCACGTTCTTTTCCAACGACATGTGGCTTGGAACGCGCAAACTAACCGTCGCCGCAGAGCTTCGAGCATGTCCTTGCCAACATCAACAAGCTGAACCGATCGCTCGAAGCCGTCGTCGCCGTGCGTGGAAGCCCGGCTTGGATTCCAAACCATTTGACAGGCACAGCGGAGCTAACTAGTGGTTGTCGCGCGCGGCCAGGTCGGCAACGAATTCTCCTCCGTCGAGGCTCTGTGGTCGCAGTTTGAAAACGTCATGGCCAAGGACGACGAGGCGGCCAACAAGAGCGAGCAGCAGCAAGATGGCGGGGGCGACAAACGCGACGACGAGCCCTAGGAATCGGATGCGTCATTGCCTAGGTACGATCCGGACAGAAACGAGCCCCATTCACGATGCACAAGGACGCGAGTGAGCATCAGCAAGAGCATGTTTTTCTACATCCTGCTTCCGTCCCTGACGACTCGACGATGTCATGTTACAAATAAAATGAGAAAAAGGGAAACACCGCGGACAATAAAAACCAGCAAACAGTTACAGGCAAGCTCGCAGATATTTACCTTGCATCCTGGGTCGAGTACAATCCCGTCGTGTCCCGTCCTTTCCCCTTCCATGCCCTCCTCGCCCTCCACATTTTGAGGCAAGGGGAGAAAAGGGGGACCAGGCTCGATGCTTGTCGCGCAGTTTTATATACCATGTTCCTCCCGAGTTGATAGTGCGACAGTTGGTGGAACAAAACCCCCGTCTCTCCAGCTCACCGTCGTGCCGTGTTTCTTCCCCTCTCGGCCTGGGCATGCGCGCGCGCTCGATTTGCGTCCGTATTGTTCGTCGTGGTTAGAGTCGTGAAAAGAGGCAGAAAATCAAGTGTTTCATGCAGTGGTCATTACAATGCTGTAAAACAGAGCCAGCAGGCGCTCGGGGCTGCTCAGAGAAACTGGCACCTTCTCTTCTTGCGCTTCGGGATTCGGAAGCCGGGCATCGGCGACCGCTTGCCTCCAGAAGCCGACGTCGGGGGCGCGGCGGCCTCCTGGTTTCTTCGGTCGTTGGCGACAACGGTGAGGATGGCGTAGTCGAAGATCTCATCAACACCACGCATCTCCTTGCTACTACATTCCATGTACGTAGCGCTCATCTTTTCGGCAACCGCCATGCCCTGCTCCGTGGTGACGGGCGTCATACCCTGCGTCTTGAGCATGTCAATGCAGCTCTTCTTGTAGCGCAAGTCCGACTTGAGGCCGACGAGGACGAGGGGCGTATACGGGCAGAAATGCAAAACTTCGGGATACCACTGGCGGGAGCTGGTTAGCATGGCAATCGCGCTGAGGGGGGAGGGCGGTGGTACCTTGTCAAGCACGTTGTCGAGCGAGTTGGGGCAGTCGATGGCGAAGCAAACGAAGATGAGGTCCGTCTCCGGGTACGACAGCGGCCGGAGGCGGTCGTACTCTTCTTGGCCAGCAGTGTCCCACAGAGCGAGCTCGACGGATTTGCCGTCGGGAGGATGCGTTGCGTACGAGATGTAGTTCTCAAAGACGGTCGGGACGTATTTCTATGGCGCGTCAGTCGTCGGCCACGCATCGTCGTTGGCGCAAACGCATCTTACCTGTGGAAAGTAGCCTTGGCTGTAGCTGATGAGCAGGCACGTCTTGCCGCAGCCTCCGTCGCCGACGACAACAATCTTCTTGGAGTATGACGGCGGCTCCGTCACTTGCGTCACGGCCGACTCGCGGCCCGAGGAAGTGGTGCTGACGGTGCCCTGGCTGGAGCGCGTGCGCTGCTCCCTCGGGGCCTGGTCATAGCTCGCGGGCGCATAGTACGAGTTGCGATACTGCGACGGCATGATTGCGACAGTATGGGACGGGAGAGCGGAGGAGGGGGGGGGATGTTGCACAAGAGAGAGAGAGGGAGCTCGAGGGCCCAGTTCCTCGAGGAATGTTGACGGGCGGGGGTGGGCCTTTATCTGATCGCGACGCACGCCAAGTAAGCCAATCGAAAGTCGGGGCGATGCGGGCAGGATGCGACGCAAGAGTCAACAAGAGTGCAGCTCCCGAGAGAGAGAGAGAAGGTTTGGGGTGAAGACTGGCAAACGGGTGGCAGATGGTATGTCGGGATGGAGGGTTCTAGAGGCGGGAGGCGGGCGGCGGATAGAGGTGATGATGGGGGGGAGATGGGGGGGAGATGGGGGGGAGATGGGGGGTTTGGGGAAGCGCGCGCGCCCAACAGTTGACGGGAACAGGCTTGCGCTCTATGTAATCCTCCCTCCCTTCTTTGCGCAGGGCAACAGGTGCGCCAGGGCAGCTTTGATTAAGTGAGACAGCCGAAGCGCAGCCGTTGACGGGGCAACGAGAGTGGTCATCCCTTGCAGGAGCTGGCGAGCCAACCAGGGCGAAGCTTTGGGTTAGCTTGGGGGCCGGAGAAATAATGGCCCGCACATGCTACGCACACAAATTTTCTCCGACTTGCATGCATCCAAGGGCCATCCATCACCGCCCAAATCGATCCCCTCGGCGCCAGACTCACTCCTTTGGCTCGGCAGCCGGCGGCGTGGCCATGATGCAGTCCCAAGATCCCAGCAAATATGTCACCCTCGTGTCTGCCGATGGCTTCGAGTTTGTCGTTTTGCGCGACGCGGCCATGGTGAGCCCCATCATCAAGGGCATGCTGGATCCGAGGAGTGCGTGATTGCCCATCCTTGGCGTCGTCCCGGCCTGCTCAGACTTGGGCTGACCTGCCGCACCTGCAGGCCAGTTTGCCGAGGCCAAGGACGCTCGCTGCGTCTTTCAGGAGATGAGGTGAGCTCTACTCGACGCATTCTGACCCATGCCCATCGGGTTCCTTCCACCCAGGATGACGAGATCCAACTCTGGCTTCCTGCACATTCACGCATGTGTCGGCATGATGGAACCGCCGCGGGCTCTTGAGCCCCGGCCGGTTCCGCCTGATTCCTCCAACTACACTTGACCCGACCCTTGAAAAACCTGAGCGCATGGCCCTGGCTTGCACCCGACCGCCGCCCGCGAGCTTGCAGCTGACACCTTGGGATTAGCGGCATGGTGCTCGACAAAGTGGTCGAGTACTTCCACTACTGGTACCGCTTCCGGAACAGCGAGGACGTCCCCGACATGGAGATTCCCGTCGAGCTCTGCCTTGAACTGCTGGCCGCAGCCGACTACCTGGGGTTGGATCAGTAAGCTGCTGCGCGCCGATATGCCCGGGACGCTCCTAACGATGCCGGACAGGGCCAACATGAGCATGAGGTGACGACCGCTTTCTACTTCGAACGCAGTCCGGGATCTGTGGGACTTGCGGCGTTTGGGCGTATCGATGTGTGTATGCCGGAGTTCTCGGGCTAGACTCGCCGACCAATCTCGGTCAGCTCGGTTTTCCAAACGGCCATGTGTGTCAAACTCGTGACAGTCCTCGACCCGAGCTCCAAGTACTGGACAATGCTCCTCGAGAAGCACCACCATTTCAGCATATGCGTTCTGCTCCTTCACTCCTCCGTGGGCCAAACGTCTATTAGAGATGGAAGATCGACTCATCCCCCTCACTCTGCGGGGCTTGATATGACGCATGAAGCTTTCTGCTTTTTCTGCGGGGATACATTCTTCTTATTACTTGTGTGCTTCCTTTTCCAACAGTGCCGTGCCTCCAGCCTGCTTCCCGCACGGCTTCGGGGCTGAACTCGAGAGTGCAGCGCCGCAGCAAGCAGATGTCATTGGCTTGGCCTTGGAGGGCGAGTTTGTCCCTTGCCTGACCAGTTCGAGGGCTGATGAGTGGGCGCCACACCTGCAGCGCGGTAGGGCCTGTGAAGAGCACGGAGAATCGTATATGCTCCTGTATAGTAGAGAAGCATGGCCAGGGTACATAGACTACAATGTCCCCAGCAACATCCACAAACGCGTCTGCTGCAGGCGCTCATCCAGTCCGGCGGTCTTGCAGGGGCGCAAGCCAGCTGCATTGCATGTGCGGTTCGGTGGCCCTCGGACGGGCGACGGACGTTTCTATCCATACGAGCAGGAAGCTAGCCTTGTCTTGAAACTTGGCGCCGTCCATCGGCTCCCATGCCGCAAGGAGAGCTTGCTCTTTGCCGACCTGCACGGCGTCGAGCTCGTGACTCGACTTCGGCGAACAACGAGGACGTGCTGCGCCTGGCATTGTACCTTGCGTGGCCGGTCCATGTCTCTTCCTAGCTATGAGGCATTAAGGCCATATTCATATGGACAGTTGGCCTTCCTGTGACCCGGTACGGACTTAACGTCTCTCACAAGGCGTGCCTCCAAATGGAAGTGAAGTCTCGCTGCATGGCCAAGACTTGAGTTTGCGTCCCAGTGCAAGGTGTGAAGCCTCTCTTCAAAATGGGTTGCATGAGGCCATTACTTCCACGGACCTGGCTATAAATTGACCGTGGCCAACAGTTGCCTGCTCTCCTTTTCCGGCTCGTTTCCTCCTCTGATTACTTCACAAACGACCATCGCGGAGCAGCCATGGCGCAGCAAACGGTATTTCATTGTCACGGGCATGTTCGGGAGCTCGATCCAAGTGTTGATGGCGATGCCAAGGGCGTTGGCACTCAGAGAGGAGTAGGTGAGCATTATTGCAGAAAGAGGCTCGAGGTTGAGGCACAGCATCTAACCGCAAGGACGACGCCACGGCCTCGGGCTACTTTGAGAAGAATGGCGGTCGAATGTCGCCCCCCCACGCCCCTCTCCCCATTTGCCCCCCAGGGTAAGGGGAGTGAGTTCATCGTTGAGTTTCTCCACAGTTCCATCATGTCACTACTGCACGCAAGCGTGAATAGAAGTAGATCTCCGAGCCGAGAAGGGGCCCATTAGGCCCAGCCACCGCAATTTATCCCTCTTTCGCTCGCAGCGCATGCTTTAGGCTTCCAGAATCTCGACTTCAAACGTCTGCGACTGCCGGGGCTGGTAAAACAGGTCCCAGGTACGCTCGGCGATATACTTTGGGTTGAGCTTATGGTTGGAGGGATCGACAGCTCCGCCCACGACGACGAGGGCGACATGGACGCCTCGCGGACCGTAGACCTTTGCCATGGACTCGGCCATGTTCCTCTGCGCGGCCTTGACCATGGAGAGAACAAAGAGGTCCGGGTCAGGCTGCTGTGGCAGGAGAGAGCTGGTGATGATGAAGGACGGCTTTGCGTGGGGATCGGACTCGGAGAGGTGCAGGAGCTGGGGCATGGCCCATTTAGCGACGACATGCAGACTGCTGCACATGATCTGCCCGTCGTTGCATCAGTCTGAGGAGCTGACACGTCGAGCCACAGCCAATGGCCTGTACGTCTGTACGTCTGTGAAGTCGGGGCATCCCGATTCTTCCAACCGGGCGGTCCAAGCAAGGATGGGCCCGAGAAGCCTACCTTGAAGTCATATACCATGTCCTCCTCGTCAACCTCGAGCAGCGCCGAGGGCTGTACGCGGGCGGCGTTGAAGAAGAGGCACTCGACGGTGCCCAGGTCGCGGTCTATGTGGGTCATGACGTCGCGCAGACGCGCCAAGTCGGTGATGTCGGCCGCGTAGGTCTTGACGAGGATGCTGGCGGGGGCGGCGGCCTCGACGGCGACGCGGTCGTCGGCGAGGCGGGCGGCACTACGGGCGACGAGGGCGATTTTGGCGAAGCGTCGCGCGGCGAAGAGGGCGGCGACGTGGGCGCCAATGCCCGGGCCGGAGCCGACGACGGCGAGGCAGTTATTGCTTCTTGTGCTTGCCATTCTGGTTCCTCTATCTTTCTTATTCAATGCTGTTTGGATGGTGAGCAAGTGAGGGTGAGCATGGGTCACTGTCCAAGGCGCTGGAGGAGCGGATAACGGGTGGAGGCCGTGAAACCCCGCACAGCTCTACGCAAGCCACGGTCTAGGCACCTCGTACAGTACCTGTGCTGAGATGCTTGTCAGTCGACGATGGGACACAGATGGCGCTTATGCAGTGGTGGTTACACAGAGTCATCCCATCTGCGCGTTGAGCTTTGGGCTTATGGGGGAGGCGACAAGACAGACACATCCCTCGATGCCCCTATCTGACGATGCAAGTCGACAGGAAGAGCTACCTGAACGAGGACCTTTCGTGCTAATGATATAGTTGGAGAAAAGAGGGTATATTGAGGAAGTTTGCCTTGAAAGGAGCAAGAGTTCGTGACAAACAGCCTACCCTATACGCAGTCGTTAGAGAGGGGAGATCGCCACGGGCAGCGGCTGCAATTCTATCAAGTAGTACGTTAATTTCCATCTACATAAGGAGCCGGGTGAAATGAGGTCCAAAACTCCCGTCTTTTTTCCCAACCTCATGAGTCCTTTTCTTCTGTCCCTGTCAATTGGAAGCTGCTCGCTGGCTTGTGGAAGGTCGGTCCGGGGCAGGTATTTTTCCCTCCCCAAAACAGCTCACAGCCAGCCACTGTCATCCCCCGGCAAGGCACCCCGACCTTCTTCAGCCAATACCAAAATGAGCGACGGCGGCATCTTTGAGACGCAAGGCGTCCGCGTTGCCGTCGAGGGCTGTGTAAGCCCTCTGGCTCCCCTCGTCAAGAGTTCAACTCGTGCTTCGCTGACTGCAGCGCTCAGGGCCATGGCACCCTCAACGCCATCTACGCCTCGGTCAACGAGTCCTGCAAGGCCCGCGGCTGGGACGGCGTCGACCTCGTCATCATCGGGGGCGATTTCCAGTCGGTGCGCAATGCCGCAGACTTGGCTGTCATGTCTGTCCCCGTCAAATTCCGCCAGCTGGGCGACTTTCCTGACTTCTATTCGGGCGCGCGCACCGCCCCTTACCTCACTGTCTTCATCGCCGGCAACCACGAGGCCAGCTCTCACCTCTGGGAGCTCTACTACGGAGGCTGGGTAGCCCCCAACATCTACTATCTCGGCGCCGCCAACGTGGTCCGCTTCGGGCCCCTTCGCATTGCGGCACTCTCGGGAATCTGGAAGGGCTTTGACTATCGCAAGCCGCACCACGAGCGGCTGCCCTTCAGCTCCGATGATGTCAAGTCCTTCTACCACGTGCGAGAGCTTGACGTGCGCAAGCTGCTTCTCCTCCAAACCCAAGTCGACGTCGGTCTGAGCCATGACTGGCCGCGGGCCATAGAGAAACACGGCGACTCGGAGTGGCTCTTCAGGAAGAAGCGAGATTTTCGTGCCGAGTCCGTGGATGGCACTCTTGGCAACGCAGCAGCCGAATACGTCATGGACCGGCTGCGTCCGCCCTATTGGTTCTCCGCCCACCTTCATGTCAAGTTTGCGGCAGTCAAGAGTTACGACAGTCCAGCCCAGAGCCCGGATGCCTCAGACAATGGCGGCGAGATCGTGTCCGCCACTGCCAGAGAGAAAGAAGCAAACCCCGATGAGATCGACCTGGACATGGACGAGGAGGGCGGTGGTGACGGGGCCAGCCAAAAGGGACAATCCGAGAACAAGGATGACAACAAGGCCGTTGAGGAAACGAACCAAGTGCCCGAGGAACTACGAGCGCAGCTGCCCGCATCTTTTGCTCGTCCGGCGCCGAGAGCCAGCACCAAACGCATCCCAGGCCAACCCGTTCCACCGGGGATCACGAACAAGCAAGTACGGTTCTTGGCCCTGGACAAATGTCTCCCGGGACGGCACTTTCTCCAGTTGTGCGAGATCCAACCCTTCAACCCCCAGGCGCTCTCCGCACACCCGCCAAGGAAGACAGCTCCCCGATTCCGCCTCCAGTACGACCCCGAGTGGCTTGCCATCACGCGTGTGTTTCACCAGACGCTCACAATTGGCGACCGAAATGCGCAGACGCCCGAGAATCTTGGCGAGGAGCATTACCTGCCGCTCATCGAGGCAGAGAGAGGCTGGGTAGAGGAACAGATTGTGAGCAAGGACAAGCTGGATGTCCCCGAAAACTTCCAGGTCACGGCAGCTCCACATGTCCCCGGTACGCCGGAGATTGTCCACGAGCAACCTGAGGAATACACCAGCCCCCAGACGGCCGCGTTCTGCGAGCTCCTCGGGCTCGAGAACCTGTGGAACGCAAGTGCGGAGGAGAGAAGGGCAAGGAGAGAGCAGGGACCGCCGCCGTCCGAGTTTCGGCGGGGAAATCGGGGTGGATTCGACGGGGGGAGGGGTGGGAGAGGACGGGGAAGGGGACGGGGAGGCGGCAGAGGGCGAGGGCGCAGAGGTGGATGGTGAGCGAGTTGTAGGTAATTACCGTAGGGTACCATATCGGTAGCCGTCTGGGCAGAGACCAAACCAAGGTGGAAGCTCCTCGGCTGGGGAAATGGCTGTCTTGAGAGCTGTACCGTATTCTCAACCAACAGGAGCAGGTGCCTGAAGCACAACAAACATGCACAGGCCTCGTGGCGTGTGCAAGGCAGGCGATCAATGCATGAGGACGGGAGACATGGGATTTGTTCATGATGAACTTAAGCGGGCTGTCCCGCGTAAGAGGTAGTCACAAGTTTCTTGAGCCGAGGTTTTGGTGGGTGGATACCTGGGTCTACAATCTGTTCCTCGGACGCAAGTTGGGCTGAAGTCTGAAGTCATCGGCAAGGTAAATTAAGTGGGGCGCGATCCTGCGCTGGCCGAGCAAGTGCCCCCTGGCAACCGCTGGAACCGGCAAGAGCGCAGCTGCGTGACGCCGAATAAACAAGGGCGCGACATTTAATCTTTTCCTGCGCAAAACCATCTTCCCATTCCGCTCTTGTTTCGCGCACATGTGACAATCTTCTCGATACGGACGTCGTCACAGCATCTCGCCATACATCCATACTGTACATTCATTGTACGCTCCCAGCGCAGTCAGCAAAAGGCGGGCTAATCGGCCGGCCATAACGACGCAATCCAGTCGTCATCCTGCCAAACGGCGACTCTGAATTGCATCCGCCTTGCGTATGCCACCTCCGCTGATACATACCGTACATACGCACGGCTACATGCCTCCCCATCCATCTCGGATGCTGCGTTGCCCCGGTTTCGCTAACCGCTGGAATGCAGGTCACGAGCCTTCCAGTTCGCCGGCGCCGCCCGTCGTCGTCTTCTTCGCTGTCGCCGCCCTTGGCCATCGTCGACATGGCCCAATTCTTAACCACAGTGTCAGTTGCTCAAAGTCCCCAACCGCGCATTCACAATGGCCACCGCCTCGCTTCGATACCTGAGTCCAAGATCCGTCGCGACCATGTCACGTCTGGACAACACAATCATCCCCGTCCACGAGGACCCTCCCACCGAGCCCCTGTTCGCAGCTTCTGTTGCTGACATGCAGAGGGCGACAAGTAGCAACCAGCGGGCCAAGAATCAGTTCCGTCCTCGCGCCGGCAAGGGCGGAGCGACGAGTTACCAGCTGCGCCAATATGCCGAGGTCACGCTGGGCGGTGGCAGCTTGAGAAAGGCCGTCAAGCTGCCTGAGGGCGAGGACGAGAATGAGTGGCTTGCCGTCAACAGTGAGTGGTTGCGCAATCTGCTCGAGAGGCGCTGGCTAACCCAGCTCCTGTGCAGTGGTGGACTTTTACAATCAGATCAACCTCCTCTATGGAGCCATCACCGAGTTCTGCTCGCCCCAGTCGTGTCCCGAGATGAAGGCAACCGACGAGTACGATGATGCCGCCCGCGACGGTGCTTTGAAACGGCTTGGCTGACCAACAACAGGTTCGAGTACCTTTGGCAGGACGGTGATAACTTCAAGCGGCCGACCAAGATGCCCGCGCCCGCCTACATCGAGCAGCTCATGACGTGGGTGCAGTCGAGCATTGACAACGAATCCGTCCTGCCGAGCAAGATTGGTATGCATCCCCGCTCCGACCGACGCCACGAGGGCCGCCAGCTGACTCGGGCGCAGGCGTCCCGTTTCCAAAGTCGTTTCCCGCGCTCGTGCGCCAGATCTTTAAGCGCATGTATCGCGTCTACGCCCACATATACTGCCACCACTATCCCGTCATCCGCGAGCTTGGCCTCGAGCCCCACCTCAACACCAGCTTCAAGCAGTACGTGCTCTTCATTGATGAGCACAGCCTAGCCAGCGGGCGGGACTACTGGGGGCCCCTGGGCGACCTCGTGGACAGTATGTTGAGGAGCGACTGAATGGAGGCATTGACCGGACTTGGGCTTTGTACGGTTAATAGGAGCTTTGGCGTTGGGATCTTGCACCAAGGGGTCGCATTTGCACGTTATTCATCGTTTATAGAGCTGTGGAAACTGGGCAGAGCACGATGCCACTTTTCCTCCATCCTGCTGGCTTTGGTGACGAAAGCGCATTGTAAGTTGTTGATCGGTTTGACAACACGAAATTGGAACATCCATGATGTCTCATGGTCTGCGCTCTGCCACATTGAACCTGAGCAATTATTCTCCCGAATTGACACTCCATCGGTTTCTTTAGACATGTAAACTCGAGAAATGAGCAACCGCTCATTGCACTTACTGCCGAAGGACGCACTGCAGACGTACAGTGGTTGAAGTACCAAGTTCGAAGTAACCGTATTATGTAATGCAAGTTGATGCCTCACAAGCAGCCAAGGCATCAACTTCCAAAATTACCGACGTTCGCTCTACCACGAGACCCGACCAAGCACCGCCATCAAACGCCCATTTCCCCCATCCCCCCAATTGCCTCCTCCAGCGACCGCCATGCTCTCCCGACAAGCCCTCCGCACCGTCCGGGCCGCTGCGCCTGCGCGTACCGCAGTCTTCCGGGCGGCGCCCTCGCGGACCTTTGCCGCGGCCGCCGCCTCGGGCAACGAAGGCCAGCCCCCCGTCGCCGTCTTTGGCGTCGATGGCACCTATGCCACTGCCTTGGTACGCCTACCTCGTCGAGCTGTCATTTCCTGGTGTGTTGGAGGAGACGAGAGAGACAGCTTGCTTTTTCTGGGCCTGCCTTTTCTTTTTGGGGGAGGAGGGGTTGGAGTCGATTGACGAGGAATTAGCTCGTGATCGTGGACAATGAGGCTGTACGCGTCGAGCTGCCATGGAGGGCAAAGAGGAGCAAGAGAAAGACGACGACGACGACGACGACGACATGTGGCAGTGCGCTGACCTATGGCCCCGATTCCTTCTTCTAGTACACGGCCGCCTCCAAGTCGTCGACGCTCGACCCGACGGCCCGCGCCATGGCCAACCTGGGCAACGTGGTGGAAAAGGACGCCAAGCTGGTGCAGATCCTGTCGACGCCCACGCTGACAGCCAAGGACAAGTCGATCATTGTTGGCGAGCTGACCAAGCTGGCCGGCGGCGCCAACGAGACGGTGAAGAACTTCCTCGACACGCTGGCCGAGAACAACCGCCTCGGCCTCCTCCAGGGCGTCTGCGGCAAGTTTGGCGAGCTCATGTCGGCTGCCCGCGGCGAGGTCGAGATGACGGTCACGAGCGCTCAGGTGTGTTTTCCCCCTTGCCCCTAAACCCAGACCAAAGGAGAGCGAGCGGCTCAGCCCGGCTGTCGTGGGACGTGGACGTGGGCGGCTACTGATAATCTTGTCTGTGGCCACAGCCTCTCGATAACAGGACTCTTTCGCGGCTGGAGAATGCCGTCACCAAGTCCGCCTACGTCGGCCAGGGCAAGAAGCTCAAGGTCACCAACACGGTAAGAAAGCCCCTGGAAGGAAGAAGCCGTCGGGCAAGCTTGCTCCACGAATCGCCCTCGCATCTCACCCCCTCGCTGACTTGTCTGCCACAGGTCAACTCGGACATTGTCGGCGGCCTCGTTGTCGAGATTGGCGATCGAACCATTGACCTTAGCGTCTCGTCGCGCCTCACAAAGATGAACAAGCTCCTGTCCGACAGCCTGTAAATTACACAAAAACCATCAGCATGTCTGTCGACCAGTCTCGCCGTCCCCCCTGCCTTTTTTTTATCCCCGTCCCCACCCCTCCCTCTCTCCTACCAAGTGTGCTGCCCATGGACGACTTGGGCTCGAGGACGCCGTCCAGGTCACTGGGCCCTAGGGTGAAAGCAAAAGGAGGGGCGAGGCGAGGCGGAGAACCCTTCATGGTAATGCAATGACCCAGGGCAGCATCTATGTACAGGGCCCGAGTGCCCATCATCCAGCAGTGTAAAAGGAGTCGAGGCTTGTGTGAAGAATAGAGGCCGTTACCTGACATGCCACCCCTGTCGGCTTGCGCCGTGACTTGACCTAGGCCAACCGCTTGGCCACCTGGCTTTCCACTTAAGCACTAACGACGCAAGCTACATGATGCAGACGAGCAATCGTAGAGCTACGGTGGACCATCTAACCAAGATACTTTCCTCCTCGCTCACGGACCTCATTGCTCACTAGAAAGGAAGACGCGAGACAGAGGTTCCACCAAATCTAAAATGTATCGTTCAGAGGATCTATGTATACTTTTTTACGTCTAGCGTCTCCAGGCGATTTGATGGCGAGCGGTCCGTTCCTCTTGAGCGTATATTATATACCTCGACATGATTGTTCGAGCGTCGCGCTTTGTGCTTCCAACTCTTGCCGTCCCCCGGCTCAAGCCCGCGCCTCAAACTCGTCCTCGTGCTGAAAGTCGCCGTTCTGGTCCTTGTAGCGATTGAGTTGATCCGAAATGTACTGATGCAGGTGCGAATCCGCCTCGGCCTTTTCTCGCGCCCGACTCGAGTCCTCTGCGTGAACCGAGTCTGTCGTCGAGTGAGCGTCGTCGTCGAAGCCGTTGACGGACGCGTCAAAGTCGCTGCGGGCGCCAATGGAACGGGCGGTCGATGAGCGTCTGACCCGTTGCATGCCCGAGGAGCGAGGCGTACCCATGTCGATGCTCCGTTGAAACATGTCATCAAAGTAATGCGCCATACCGACCGATGGGGTGCGCGGGGTCTGCGGAAGACGGCAGTTGACGCTTCATTACGCGTTAGCACGTTGCCGTGTTCTCCCAGGCTGCATCAGACTTACCCTGTGTCATGGATCATGCGGGCAATCAGGCCTGTCCAGCCGCATTGGTGGCTGGCTCCAAGCCCTCGTCCCGAGTCCCCGTCGAAGAACTCGTGGAACCAGAGATAGTCTTTCCAGTGTTCATCAAAGTCCAGACGATCGTCACCGGCGTTGACGCTTCTTCTTCCGTCATCGGTCCGCACAAAGAGGTGCTGGAGGCGGTGTTGGATCTCTTCCGCAACCTTGCCCAGATGCATATAGTCGCCGCTGCCCGTTGGACACTCGACTTGGAATTCAGGACCGTAGAAGAGGAAGAAGCGCTGTATCGACTCAACCAGGAGAAAGTTGACACACAGCCAGATGGGCCCTCTCCAGTTACTGTTGCCGCCGAACAAGCCACTGTCGGAGTCTCCTGGCACGTATCCCACCGTGAACTTCTGGCCGTTGACATCCATGGAGAAGGGATGGTCCTTATGATACTTGGACAGCGATCGAATGCCGTGATTGCTGAAGAACTCTTCCTCGTCTAGCATGCGCTTAAGAATTTTCTCGAGTCTGTCCTTGCTGACAATGGAGAGAAGGATTCGGTTTCCCTTGCCTCTCTTCCGAATGCTGGCCATTGTCCTCTCGGCCAGATCGCATCGGTTGTTAACGAACCACAGAACTCTCTTGCGAAACGAGGGTAGCCTATTGATGAGCTCAGGCTCGAGCGTGGTTGTCGCATAGAGAGGGATCAAGCCAACCAGTGATCGCACAGGCAGCTGCTGAATCCACGGGCCTCCCCACGATATGGCGTCGTAGTAGAAGCCATCCTCCTCGTTCCACAGAGACTGTTCGCTCTTCTCCCCCGCGCGGAAAGTCATGGCATCGCTGATGAAGATGAAATGCTCAAAGAACTTTGACGCAATGTCCTCATATATGCGACGGTGCTTTGCCAGCTCAAGGGCGATGTTGAGCATGGACAGGCAGAAAAAGGCCATCCAGCCGGTGCTGTCCGCCTGTTCCAACACGCCCCCGGTCGGCAGCGGCTCGGATCGATTGAACAGGCCAATGTTGTCCAGCCCGAGGAAGCCTCCCTCAAAAACGTTCTTGCCCTCGGTGTCCTTACGGTTCACCCACCAGGTGAAGTTGAGAAGCAGTTTCTGGAAGACACGCTCCAGGAAGTCGAGGTCCTGGCGACCGTACATTTTCCTCTCAATCTTGAAAACCCTGAACGTGGCCCAGGCGTGGACTGGAGGGTTCACGTCACTGAAGTTCCACTCGTATCTGTTTCGCAGCTCCGTTAGTCTACGCTCGCAGGCATGTGGCTCGATGAAACTCACGCCGGGAGCTGTCCGTTTGGATGACAGTACCATTCTCGTGTAAACAAATCCAACTGCTTCTTGGCGAAGTCGGGGTCAATCATGGCCAGCGTGATGCAGTGAAAGGCGCTGTCCCAAGCGGCGAAGAAGGGGTACTCCCACGAGTCGGGCATCGACAGGATGTCGTCGCAGTACATGTGCTTCCATTGCGTATTCCGGACTCCCTTTCGGCCTGGAGGGGGGGGAGGAAGCATCGAAGGATCGCCGTTGGCCCAGTGATCCCAGATAAAGTGATAAAACTGCTTCGTCCACATCATTCCTGAAAACGCTTGCCGCTGAATGTTGCGCAGATCGTCTGTCATTGGCAGAGGGCTGATTCTGTAGTAAAAATCGTCGGCCTCTTCTCTGCGCCTCTCAATCAAGTCGTCAAATTCCTCCTCGTCCAGGTAGGCAATGTCCTTCTTGGAGAAGCGGAAGCGCACAACTACAGCAGTCAGATTAACATATTTCCATCGCAGCGCGGCGCTCAGGGATCCTACCGGCGCACTCTCCCGGATTGACTCCGCCATCTTCGTTGAAAGGAAACCACGCGGCGCATTTCGTGCCCGTCTTGGCCGGGTTGATGGCATCTTCCTCACCGCCGACAATGTGGCGATGGAAGGCGTCTTTGACATAGGGTTGCTTATTCTCCTGGCCGTACAAGACGTCAAAGTTGGTATCGTTTTCCGTAAACAAGAGTTTGGGAAGGACATCCTCTCCGCTAGACCCCACCCCAGGAGACGGTGAGAAGTTGACGAAACGTTCGCCAAGGCTGTGATGCTTGGACTTGGCCGCTATTTCGGTGTGAGCTCCGATGGAAGGCTTCTTGTCGGCAGCTTCTCTGCCCCAGCTCCAGGTGTTCCGAAACCAAACGTGGGGTACAATGTGGAGAGGGGCTGGGTCAGGGCCCCTGTTCCAGGCGGTGACTCGGAAAAGAAGCTCGTCCGGATCATCCGCCTCCTTAGCGGTCTCGATGAAGATGTCCCAGTACCGGTTTTCGTCGAAAGCCGCCGTGTCGATGATTTGATACTCCTTGTCCTCTTTGGACCTCTGGGCGTTCTCCTTGAGTAGCTGTTCGTATGGGAATTTCTTCTGCGGATATTTGTACAGGAGCTTCATGTAGGAATGCTGCAGCGGGTTAGCGCCAATGGGCATCATGTGCATTTGGATGCAGTTGAAGTCATACAGTCTGTCCACATTGGTCAGCATACTGTTGTGTTCTGCGCCACGTGTGCGATGTCTTGGAATTGACTTACCGGAGTGTTATCCAGATGAAAATGCGCCTCCTTGATACTCTCACCGTGGTTGCCCTGCGGGTTGGACAGGCCAAAGAGCCTCTCTTTCAAGAACTCGCTGATACCAGTCAGTCGTGTAATGCTGGGGGGAGATCAAGACCACGGCATACTCTTGTTCGTTCCAGAAGCCAAATGCAATGTTCTGAAGCCCATGAGTGTCCGAGACGCCGGCAATTCCGTCCTCGCCCCATCTGAAAGCTCGCGAGCGGGCATGGTCGTGGGGGAAGTCTGGAGCAACAGTCAATCAGTGGCTGAAGCAGTCGAGCTGGGAGTGTTCATACGGCTCCAAGCATCTCCGTCAGAGCTGTAGTCCTCTCTCACTGCAGAAAGTCAGTCAACTGGCCTTGAGAGCCCCTGGAGGGGAGGGGAACTGAGTACCAGTGGCCCATTGGCGCTCCGCAACGTATGGTCCCCATTTCTTCCAGTATTTGGTGCGCTCGCGGTCCTCTTTGAGGCGCTTCTCCTCCTCGGTGAGGAACTCGTGTCCATCAAAGACGACCATGGCGCAGATACGGAGGGAGCTGGAAGGACGGGCGAGCGAGGTCGGAAGAAGAGCTTGGGAAGCCGGGAGCTCGGTAGAGACAGGGGGAACAAGGTAGCTGAGATGTCAGGATCCCCAATGCACTCAGCGACGGCAACTGAAGGCACTGTTGTCGCTGAACGTAGCCCGCTTTGACGTTTTTGATTTCTCTGGCGAGCTTTGGAGAAGAGAAGGGGAAGGTCTCCGGTGGCGATGGATGGTGTTGGTTGCAGCTTGCTTCCGAGGTACCTTGACGGCATATCAGCACCCTCCATCTCCAGCGTGGGGCGCGCTTGTAGTGGATATCCGTGGACGGAGCAGCAGCTATCCGTACGGAGTACACAGATGCGCTTTGCCCGCAACACACACAATCGAGCGTGAACGGCGTACCACAGAGCCGCCAATCAAGACATGACGGCTTCATGCAGAGATAGGCCCCCTGTCCCAGAGCCATCGTTATCGTTATCTGCTAGTTTGCCTTCACCGCTACATGCAAGATTCGAGGTGAGCTTGGAGCGCTTCTCCGGAGCAATTGGTCAGCGCCATGGATCTGAACCGCGAGCCGTCACAGATACAGGCAAGTCGTCTGGCCGGTTCCTGAGCCAAGGTCGCAACACTAGCTCGGCATCTTCCACGCCGCTCCGTGGTTGGACAGGTTCCTGGGCCGGCCTGTTTGGAATGTTTCCCCGCGATGATGGAGACAGATTAGACGCTGAGTTGTTGCTTACTGTACTCTACCTCTACACGCACAGCAGGCGTTGCACAACATAGCGGCGTGTTCCAACAGAGCTAGCCTCCTGACCCGATAGACGGCAACCAACAGCTCAGCCAGAAAACGCGACTCGAACGCGGACCAAGGTGACGCAATTCCTCGCCAGAGGCAGTCAACACTTAACACTTGCCCATGCCCAATCAATCCCCCCACCAGGCACGCGTGGCGGTGCGCTGCCGCGAGCCACAGTCTGAGCCCGACTCTTGGGCCTTGGCGTTGATGAATTTCACGTGTCCATCAGCCGAGCCGATAGCCACCCAAGTACCTCTCCGCCCGAGGGACCTGGTCCGCTGACTGTGCCACAGCCCCTACGGGACCTCAGGTCTAGCCGGCAGGTATCGCAGTACCGCCCTCTACTTCCAATCTCAACTGAAACCCCCTTGTCCAGCATCAACTCCGCCACTGGCTTTCGTGGCCTTGTCAAGCATCGCCCCGTCGCCTCCCTCGGCCTTTCGCTCAAGCCACGATGTCGGACGACGCTTCGCCATTTTATTGACCAGTCTCCGCGACGCGAGCCGGCTCTTGAGCATATCACATCGCTCGGCCCGGCGATACATTTATCTTTCTCCCCCTCGTCTTTCCCCCTTCATTTCCGCCTTTGCCATTTCTGCCTTCTCCTGTCGGTCCCGTCACATCGCTCACCATGGCCGACTCGGTCTCCTTTTTGCGCCGGCTAATTGTCGAATCTCCGCCGGGAGAATGGGCTCTCAACCAGCTGCGCAACTTGCTCATCGGCGCCCTGCGACAAGGTCCTATACCTCAGCATGTTGCCTTTGAGATGGACGGCAACCGACGCTATGCTCGTACTCATCGCATGGAGACTGTCGAAGGCCACCACCGCGGCTTTGAAGCGCTTGCCAGGGTTTGTCCTCCGAGGCCACGAGCACCACGGACAGGGTGCTAATGCGCGTCGTCTAGATAATGGAGATTTGCTACCGATGCGGCGTCAAGGTTGTCACAGTCTATGCTTTCAGCGTCGAAAACTTCAACCGCCCGAAACACGAGGTCGAGGGACTTATGCAGCTTGCAAAGGTCAAGCTGGAGCAGCTCACCACGTACGGAGACATTCTCGACCGCTACGGTGCCTGCGTGCGCGTTCTCGGGCAACGCGAGATGATCCGTGACGATGTGTTGAAAGTCGTGGACAAGGCTGTTGCTAGGACGAGGCACAACAACAAGTAGGCCAACCATGGCCGGCGCGTCGTCGCCATTTGACTGACGCGACTCTAGGACCGTCCTGAACATCTGTTTTCCATACACGTCGAGGGCAGAGATAACCACGGCGATTCGATCGACTGTGACCGAGTTCCTTGCTCCGCCGCCGCCCAAGAATACCCCCTTCTCTCCCTCCCGCATACGGCAGAAAATTCTGTCTAGCCAACTCGAAGGACGAGAGCCGCTGCCTACCATACGAGACGACTCTCCGGAGGCGTCTGCTCAGACTGAGAGGGAAGAGGGCGACAAGGACGTGGACGCTGATGGGGACGGCGGAGACTCGTCGTCGACAACGCTGTTCCCTGATTCACCGAAGCAACGCCCGTGGGAGGCGGAGGGCCCCTACAACTCATCGAAACTGCCAAACCCTGAGACCATTACCGTCGAGACACTCGAAAAGCACATGTACACGGCTTTGGATCCCCCGCTGGAGCTTTTTGTTCGGACTAGCGGCGTCGAGCGGCTGAGCGACTTTATGCTTTGGCAGTGCCACCAAGATACGCACCTTTTCTTCCTCGAGTGCTACTGGCCGGATTTGGATCTCCAGCATTTCATATGGGTCATGCTGGAGTGGCAGTGGAGACAGAAGCAAAAGGAGAGATTCGATTACTCTGATGCGGCGCGGAAGAGCACGGGACAACAAAGGGTGGAGTAGAGCCGTCGCATGGATACCCAACAGTTGCTTTGGAAGAAGGATATGTTTGATTTTGACTTGTACCTGGCCATCAGCAATAGAGAAAGCATAGCGCTGCTGGTTTACAGCTCTATCGTGGCACTGCTCTTTATGTGGTGCCGTGCCTTTGCGTGGACAAAACCGACCACCTGATGGGATCCCGCTCTTCCTTCATCAAGCTGGCGTTGGCGCTGGAATGCCTGGCGATGACGAAATCCTCGCTCTTATCAGCTGATAAGGCACCGGGCACAGTTTTCCCCAACGGCGTTTTGGAGGGCTCGGCTGTCGAGTTTTTCCGTAGCGCCCCTATTTTGCAATCGTGGCTAGTGCAAGTGGGCCTGGCCATTGGGGGGGGAGGGGCTGACGGGGAGGCGGATGAACCTGAGCCGAGTCAAGCCATTGCGGCCAGTGACAGGCCTTGCAGTACCTGAGTACCTAGGTACATAGGTAGCCTCCCGCGGCAAGCAGGTAAGTTAATAACTAACCACCACCTAGATTCGTCAAACTGGGAGAGAAAGCCCGAGCAGGCGATCTTCGTCACCGCCGTCCTCACCACCCTTTGCACGCGCCATTTGGCCCGCCTTGGTTGTCGACACCGTGTCACAATGGACTAGAGCGCTCCTCATCTCGGGTCTTGTCTCTGTTATATATTCCCCCCTTCTAAATCATTTCCGCAGTCGTTCTCCCCCGTCCTCGGCAAACCCGATCTTCCTGAACCCACAGCCGCTGATCTTGGAGACGACGGCCGCGACTTGACCAACCCTCGTCGTCCCGCACCCGACAGACCGCCGCCGCCCTCTGCCACTGCCCGCGATGAAGTCGGCCAAGCCTTCGTCCTCGGACGCTCCGGCGCAACGCAGATCTCAACCAGTTCGACAGACGCGCACGAACCCGCCGCGAAATTCCGCCAATCCTGCCCGCTCTGCCGCCGCCGGGAGAGACTCGTCTACCAACACTGGGCCTTCGGGCAACCAGCCCATCGACGTCTTCCCCGCCATTACTCACTTTGCCGACACAATCACTGCTCTCCCCAAAGAGCTTGTCCGACACTTTACCCTCTTGAAAGAAGTAGACGCGAAGCTTTTCGCTCCAGAGGACCAGCTCTGCAAACTCGTCGCCGCCGCCGCCAAAGCTCACCCTCCCGAGCAGCGAACGAATCATGATACACCGAACCTCACTGCGTCAGGGACGGCGCCGATGGTCGCGCAGAAGAGCTCGGCGGGCCCTGCCACGAGCCAGGTCGCCCAGTCGGCGTCGTCGACGGACGAGACCCGCGCAACCGCCGCCGGTGTCTTCGATCCTTCCAACCTCCCTCGCCGACAGTTGTTTCGACAGACGGCGTTCAAAATACAAGAGATGCTGGTTTCTCTCGAGGAAAAGAACCATGTGATTTCCACGGCCAACGAGGCCCTCCAGCGACAACTCGCCCGAGTCGAGGATGTCTGGCCATACCTTGAAAACGAATTCAGCGACGAGGCCAAGTGGGGGAGCACCTCGCACTGGGCTTATCCCGAGAATCGATCTAACGGCAAAGCATCGCACACCGAACGAGCCCGCCGCGACGGAGCCGCTGCCATTTCAGCCGCGGCCCAAGCCCTAGCGGATGAGGCGGCTGCCAGGAGCGACGCCCGCAAGCAGGCCGTCCAGGCCAAGCGAAATCAGAAGAACCAACATCACGACTCCGAAGCCGACGACCACGATGGTCGTCAAAAGGGCGAGGGCAGTAAGAAGTCTCACAACAGCAAGGCCCGCAAGACCGCCGACGGCAATGTCGGGCTGGGCATTTCCGGAACATCCAACACGAACGGCAATCCGCCTCAGAAGAGACGTAAAGTCGAAAAACCTACAAATGGTGCCAACGGGGGAGCTGCCATGGAACGTGCCATGAGCGGCGTCCTCGGCAACAATGCGCCCAAGGCCAAGACGAATAGCCCAAGAGGAACGCCAGTCCCCGATGGACCAAAGAAGCGAAAGGCCCTCCCTTCGGGCAGTGGCCAGTCCAAGAAGAAGTAAGTTGTCCTCTGTTATGTGCGAGCTCTGGGCCGGCGTACCCGCGTAACCCACCCACAGCGCTCTTTTTGCATTCAGGAGTTGCTAACAGAGCCCTTTCGCGACAGGAACGGTGCCCCTCGCATATCCCCCCCGTTCACGTCCTCTCCCGTCATGAATGCTTTGCCCGAGCCCAAGGCCCATGTCCGCGTATCACCAGTCCCCGGCAACGCACCTCGACCGGCGTCATCACGAGCTCGGAAAAATTCACTACAGTCTAATGCAGACAATGGAAAGGTAAAAGCGCCTGCATCAGCCCCCATCAAGCCTAACGGGATTGACCCTGCCACTCCTGACTTGACTGTGCCGAGTGTTTTCCCACGACCTGGGGTGGAAAACAGGGTCTCCAAGGAATCAAGTGCTCCTGCCAAGCCGGAGTCTACCAAGAACGAAGGGGATCGGGCCGATGGCAGCTCTGGGTCGGCCACGGGCACTGCCAGTAAGGAGGGGAAGGCTGATGAGCCGGAACGCAAGAGTGAATCCCTGCCACCGCAGCCCCAGGTCGCCGGGACAGTGACAACCAAGAGCGGTAGAGCCAGTAAGCCCTCGACGCCTGCTCTGGCGAATGCTCAGGAGCCGGCCCGGCCCAGGTCGTCTAGGAACGCAGATAACGGCGGCGGGAGCAAGAAGAGCCAGAAAAAGAGCAACCCGACGCTTCCACCACTGGCACCCCATGCAGCCAACGTTGCTGCAAACGGGAGTATACCGGGAGATGACGAGGAAGGCGAAATCGACGTGGACGAGCCAACGTACTGTTACTGCAATAGCGTCAGCTACGGCGAAATGGTGGCGTGCGACGCCGATGGATGTGAGCGCGAGTGGTTCCATCTTGCGTGCGTCGGCCTCAAGGTCGCTCCGGGATCTAGAAGTAAGCATGCAACAATCTCTCGTCCGCATGACGAGATGCAGGCTCAGCTAACGTGCGACGCCCAGCGAAATGGTATTGCGAGGACTGCAAGGAACGCCTGAACATGGCAGGGAAGAAGATGAACAATCGATAGACAGCCTGGCCCAGGCTGCCGTGTTGGAGGGGTGGCTGAGTCTGGCAGGGCCGAAGCGAGAAACGTTGGCCAAGGCCAGCATGTCGCTATGGTGTTTTGACCCGGACTCGGCTGCTGTGTACATGAAACTCAACGAGGCGTTTTGCTATGGGACACGGGGTTTCGGGGACAGCAAAAGCTGTCATGGCTGTCGATATGCGAAGCTGTCTGGTTGCTATTCAATGCACTGTACAAAAAGACGCAGTGCCGGGAAGGGACAGCCAAGGAAAGGGATGGGATCCAGCGGTGCATTGCATCGGACATTTTGGGCGTCTGCAACCAGCCAGGCGGGAAGCTTGGCGTTCGGGGGGAGAATATCCCAACTTGATGAGCGGGCGATATTGGTCGCCGCCGTAGACGCGAATAGAGAGTCGCCGTGGGAAGTTATTATGTAAAATGGTGGCAAGATGGGCGCCTCGTCGACGATGATAGGTGTCGATGGGGTCGAGGGGGTGAGTTGTCAAGGCACGGTGGCTGTCTCGTACTGTATACATACCTGCCGCGGACTATGGAGCTACAGATACAGAAGAGGCAGCAGGAAGACGAAAGCGCGGTATGCGTACGTTTTCGTGGCTCATGGAAGTGTCAAGGGGGCCAGGGCTCTGCTAGAGGGAGAAGATGCAGGTGCTTTTCCTCGGCTGGCATCTGCCATGTCGTCGTCGCCCACCTTGACCTGCCTACCTCGGCAATACACTACAGCACGGCATGTACCTTATTTTAATGTAAATGTGTCCCTGGGGAGCCGTGCAGACAGACGTGGATTGGCGGAGTGTTCATGGCACTCGAGGGCTGTGCCCAAAAAGGGTTGCAGTCCGCCCGCGCTCACCCATGGAAAAGAGTGAGGGAGGAAGGAATGAAAGAAAGGGGGAGAGAGATGGAGGCAAGACGGTATCTGCACCCGTCGTACAGTACACGCATGGCCATTTGCTTTGAATGTACGTACGTAATGGGCAGCACCCGCATTGGCTGCCCCCGGGCCTCGTCGAAAGTCTAGGCTTTGGGCTAAGACGGATGGAAATGTCTAGTGCCAGATTCCTATTCACCAGGGCCGCGGCACGATGACGTAGCGGATCGTGTGTGCCTCGACGACTGAGTGACAGCACCGGCGACCTTTTGCAGCCGACGACGGTGAGCAGCAGTGTACAGATGTACTGGATGTGGTTGCGCCGACGTCGGCGGGATGCGTCCGAGGAGATACGCGGGCGACTCACCCAGCATCCATGGAAGAGATGCTGCAAGGCAGGTCGGTGGTCGTGCAAGTCGGATCAAACGGCTTTGCTGCGAGGTCACGAGCACCTTTGTTTCCGAGCGACGCACAGTCATCGCCTTGTTTGGGACGTGGGACGTGGGACGTGGGACGTGGGACACGCCATGGCGAGTCGGCGGTTGGCCGAGTTCTTGGCGGTGCGGCGCGGCGCGGTGCGAGCTCATGAGGCTCTTGGAGATGCATTTTTTTTTTTAGGTTCTTCTTTCAGCTGATGGGAATTGGAATGTCATGGAAATAGGGGTGCTGTAGGTAGATAGACGTGCGAGGCATGTACATAGGTACAGTATTAATACGATTAATACGTGCAGGCAAAGAAACGGACCGTTGCACACACAGCAGAACTAAAGAGGAAAGGGCGGCTGGCCTCGGTTCTCTTCTCCGCGGCGGCCCACTAATACTTACCTACTAAAGAGCAGTTTCGTAGCGGGGCATGTAGGTACTTTCTGTACAGTATCCGTACATACCTCTCTGCTGGTTTAGTACTTGTTGAGCATCGAGACCACATGGCCAGACCAGGGTTCCGGGAAGCACAGGGGGAAGCGGCGAATCCAGGCTGCTGGGAAGGGGACTGACTGGTGACTGGCCGTGTTGGGCGGGGACGTTGCATCCTCGCAGGTACTAGCAGAGACAATATGGGGTAAGTGTCTCTGCTGGCAAAAGCAACCAAGCCAACGTGCCTCGAGGGCAAGACTTGTAGCACGAGACCAACAAGACGACGGCCGGCTGTCGGGCGGACGGGCTGTCGCCAAAGGAGACAGGGCCAAGAAAGGGTAGGATCCCAGAACAAGTTACTATAGAGGATGAGGAGGGAGAGGAAGAGGAAGAGGAAGAGGGGCCCGTTGGCCCGCTCTCGGCTGCTTCGGCGATGCTCGGAAACCAGAACTTGCCGCGGGGGCGAGCCTCGGACTCGCTCGGATGCGGCTGCTTGTTCGTCGAATGCGGTGAATGAAACCATCGGGCAACTATAAGCAAACCATGCTTGCATTTTTGTTTGACTCTCGCCGGGCCGCAATACCTGCGTTGCTGCTGCTTGCTGCTTGCCGCTTGCTTGCCGCTTGCTTGCTTGAGCGGCGGCGACGTGGCTGCTGCGGGTTGAGCACCCTGGCTTCTTTGACAGGGGGTCCCTGACCATGACAAGCCAGGTCCATCATGTAATTACTGTACCTCGCGTGTGGAGCTGCAGGGATTTGAAGAAGAAATCATGGTCCTACCAGGGCAAGGGGTTCTCGAGGGCCAGGCAAGGCGCTAGAGAGGCATTGCAGAGACCCGAGTTTCCATTACCACATTCTTACATACAACATGCACCGCTGGCCTTTGCGACACAACGCGACGGCCTCGACGGCAGCAGAGAAAGGGGTTTGACCGGCGGAGTCTGCAGTCCGTCTCTGCCTGCCTCTTCTCTTCTCTGGCCCCGTGCGCCCCGTGTCACCATCGTCTCCGCACCACCAAAAGATGCTGCACTCATCCCCATCCACGTGTCTACCTAAAGGTAGGTAGTAGGTAGGTAGGTATTTTGCCATGTACGAGGTTGCGGTGTGACGGGACATGAATGCTGCTGCCGTTCGTGGCGAGGAGGCGAGTTGGGCCCCTACAACCAAGGGGGCGTCGCCCATGGCAAAAGGATGTCGTGTGTGCTAAAGTATGCGTACTGTACATTATGTCCGCGTGTAAACCGAAGCCGCAGAAATGTGAGTCGCATGCCTCTTTCAGCGATACCGGCCAGGGTCTCGCGTGTCCTGTACAGCTTCGTACCGGTACAACGGAGCGTGGCGTTCGGTAGATGCCTCAGCGCACCTACAGTACTGTACTTCTTGCGGCAGGCAGCCAGGGTGACGCTCTAGTAAGCTGCGGCTTGTGCTTTTTTTCCCCCTCGTCTTCGACAGAGCATCTGTCGAACCCTGCCTGCTCAGCACTGCACCGGCAGACAACCAAATGGACAAAGCAGACGGACGCGGAGAGAAGGCAGAGGAACGAACAGGCAGCAGGTAAAAATGGAGCCGGGGAGGAAAAGAAGAAAAAACTAGCGCGCTCACCTGACGTCTTCGCAGGCCAGCCTTTGGATTTCTATTACTCAATCCATCCCCCGCCATACCGGGGCGCGCCCATGTACTTGAGAAGGGTACTTATGCATACATGCAACACGTTCCCGCCAGTGCGGCCGACCCCTGGGTGTCGCTGTGTCTCCAAATGTCTTGCATTGGGCGTCTTATAACCTAAAATTCGCGACCGACAGCCAAAGAAGCCTTCGTCTTCCCACCTTGCGCTCCTCCTTCCAAACCTACAATATTTTTCTCGGAACAGCCCATCGTCCCTCCTTCCCCGCTCCCGCCGCAGCCTCTTCTTTTTCTCGTCAACTCCATGACTCGCTGAATCGCTGAATCCTGCACTGCCTCATCTCTCCGCTGCTGCTGCGTCAAGGCCCTCGATCGCCTGAGACTACGCAGACTCCCAACCTTGGTTCCTCGCGGCTGCCACAGCAGGGCCTGGTCGTCCAAGAGCGACACCCTCGCCCCTCAGCAACCCTTTCCAACCGTACGAGCCTTCGCACGCCGCAACTCGAGCCCGCCTCATTACATGGCCGCTCCCAGCGAAGCCGGGCCCCGCCGGGTGTCCGACTTCGACACGTCTATTTTCAAATCCAGTATGGCCCGGGCTCTTTCTCCCTCCGATACAGGCTCGCGATCCTCCTTCTCCTCTGTCCGAGAAAACGACGATGGCCTCGCCCAGACCTTTACCCGCTCCAAGGTCTCCTCCTACCTCGAGGCTCCCGAGGACGTCTTCGACGAGTCGCCTTCCAACGACATCCCCCAGCTCTCCTTTCAACCCCCCGTCACGCACCCCCACAGCAGACTGCATGGATTCTGGTTTCCCCCGGATAGCTTTAAGGGCTGGAAGCAAATCTCCATCAAGGGAAAACGGGCCAGCCGAAGCTGTGAGGATCTGCACAAGCTGCACATGGCCTGGGATGATTCGCCCGCTCCCGTGCCCAAGAAGCAGCCGGGCAGCTACCCGAGAGGGCAGTCTCCGCTCGAGACGCTTCCAAACGAGGTTCTAGGTACGTGGCGAAATGCTTCGTTGTCCAACGGGGGACCGGGAACGCTAACTCTTTTGTCCAGGTGCCATTATCGATCTGCTGGTGGTTGAAATTCCACCCAATGGGCTCACCACCCGCAATGCCGACTTGATGGCCCTCCTCTTGGCCTCTCGAGCCATGCACGCCGCGACCCTCAACACCCTCTACCGACACATCACGATCCCTCACTCGCGCATCTTCCGCAAGTTCCTCACTACCATCAACCAGTATCCGGCGCTCGCCACCATTGTCAGGCGCCTGGACTTCAGTCATTTCAACCCTTCCATGATCTTCTCCACCGCGAGCGAGAGGGCCCAGACCCAAAACCTGACGACCGAGACCCTCGCCCAATGCCTGGAGCTCACCCCTTACCTCCAGGAATTCCTCGCCCAAGAGTACATCGACGACGATCTCGGTCCCGCCGTCCTCCAGAAGCTACTGTTTGACATGCCCCAGCTGCAGGCGCTGGACTTTTGCGCATGCTCGTCCGCCGCCTTCAGAAACTCGTTCAAGACCGTTCTCGATGTGCCTTGGCCCGCGACGCTTTCCATCACCAAGCTCTCCTTTCACAAGTGCCTGAGCCTTCCGTCTACCGTCTTCGAGACCATTCTCCCTCGCCTCGGTCGCCTCACGCACCTGGATGTCGCGGGTACGCGAATCTCGGACGAGGCCTTGGAGATGATTCCCACCACTGCCAGGTTGACACATCTGAACCTCGCAAAGTGTAAGGAACTCTCTTCCGAGGTGGTGGTCAAGTTCATTGCTACGCACCCGGCGGTGACGGAGACTTTGGTGTTTCTCAGCCTCGCAACCGAATCGAACAACCACCTCTTGCTCGGCAGGGAAGATGTGGACATTCTGCTGCCGCAACTCCCGGCGACGTTAAAATCTCTCAGTCTGAGGGGAAGCCGAATGGACGCTTCTCACGTTCCCCAGCTCATCCGCCTCAGCCAGACTCTGGAAGAGCTGGCTGTCGGCCGTGGGCTAGACATGAACGACATCCACCGCATCTTTAAGCAAGACGACGGTTTCTTGACGCATAACCTCCGTTACCTGGACATCTCGGAGATTGACACCATCATCGGAAGCGCCAGTGCGCTGCTGGCTTCGGCCTCAACCCCGCTCTGCGTCATCGAGATTGAGGAGCGCGCCTACGAGAGGGCGGCCAAGCTGAATAGAAACCTTGACAAGGTCGGATGGACGACTAGCGAGTTTGGCAGCCGATACTGGCTTGTCCGCAAGCCCGGCCGCGATGTGCCGACGGAGCACCAGCGGCGATGGTGGAAAATGGGTGCAGAGAGCTGGGGGATGAGGAAAGTTCCAGTTGCTGCTGCAGAGGTGGGCGGCATGTATGGATCTTTTATGTTTGGCAGGCGACTCTGACGTTCTGTTTACGAAACGGCATGGGCAAACGGCACCTCTCGACTCGCTTTTCGCATGGTGTTTGGGGTTGTTAGATACCACGAGATGCAACTGTTGCATCCAAACCCCGAGTCAACTCGGGGCAGAAACATCAAGAAAAAAAGTGTCACTTGCACACATTGTACTGCAGAATGTTAAATCGGATACGTTCAAAATAAGTCAAACCATGTCTCTTCCTCCTGACGAAACTGGATCTGTGACGGAGCATAAAGGATTAAGCCGCCAGCGGGCCTTATGCCGCATGCTGCTTGGATCGTAAAGTTCGTTCTTAAGGCACATGAATTTCCGCCTGCTCTCGGGAGTAGTTGGTGAGATCAAATGAGCCTCTTTAATAAAGTCATTCATCCCCATACCTGAACCACGAGGTCTGCGTGGCAGGCGCGCCTCGGAATGGAGCCATGCCGCAAGGGCCGTGACTTGCGTGGCTTGACGTGTTTACACCAAGTCATGTGACTGCCTGAGACTCGGAATAACCTTGGTCCGGTGTGACAAGGGACGTCCGCTTCCGCGACGTAACGCCAGTTTGAAGACCTCCTTTGCTCCTCGACGAGCTTCACCCTACGCCATCCGCCTGCACTCAGTCACACCTGGCGCCCGAGCCGCACCGCCATGGCTTCCAAACAGGACACGCCGTTCCGCTCGGCGGAAATGAGCATGGTGCAGCTGTATGTCTCCAACGAGATCGGTCGTGAGGTCGTCACTGCTCTCGGAGAGCTTGGGCTGTGTCAGTTTCGAGACGTAAGCGCTCCACCGCCTCGATCAGCCATCCATCGCCAAGACTAATGCATTGTGTTCATTAGTTGAACGAAGATGTCAGCGCTTTCCAGCGAACCTACACCCAAGAAATCCGGCGCCTGGACAACGTGGAGAGACAGCTTCGTACGTTGCCCCGAGAGCCGCGATGGGAAAGCTTATCTAAATATATCAGGCTATTTCTACGGTCAGATGGACAAGGCCGGAATCAATCTTCGAAAGCTTGATCTCGACACCGAGCGCCTCGCCTCTCCCTCAACATCGGAGATCGATGAGCTGGCTGAGCGAAGCCAGAAGCTAGAACAGCGAATCTCGGCTCTTAACGACAGCTACGAAACGCTCAAAAAGCGCGAAGGCGATCTCACCGAATGGCGTTGGGTCTTGCGCGAGGCCGGCAGTTTCTTCGACCGCGCCCACGGCAATGTGGAAGAGATCCGAGCCTCCACCGACAACGACGATGCCCCTCTACTCTCCGACATTGAGCAGCACAACACGGCGCCCGAGGTGGAGCGATCCTTCTCGGGCATGAACATCGGGTTCGTTGCCGGCGTCATCGCTCGAGACCGCGTCGCTGCCTTTGAGCGTATCCTGTGGCGAACGCTTCGTGGAAATTTGTACATGAATCAATCCGAGATCCCGGAGCCCTTGATTGATCCTACCAACAACGTGGCTGTCAACAAGAACGTTTTCGTCATCTTCGCCCACGGCAAGGAAATCCTTGCCAAGATTCGCAAGATTTCAGAGTCTATGGGTGCCGAGGTCTACAATGTCGATGAGAATAGCGACTTGAGACGCGATCAGATCCATGAAGTCAACAACCGACTCGAGGACGTGCAGAATGTCCTGCGCAACACCCAGACCACGCTCGAGGCGGAGCTCAACCAGATTTCTCAGTCCTTGTCTGCTTGGATGGTCTTGATTGCCAAGGAAAAGGCTGTTTACGGCTCTCTCAACCTGTTCTCTTATGATCGAGCTCGACGAACCCTCATTGCAGAGGCATGGTGCCCCACGAATGACTTACCGCTCATCCGATCGACTCTCCAGGATGTCACCAACCGAGCTGGTCTTTCCGTCCCGTCGATCATCAACGAAATCCGCTCCAACAAGAAGCCACCGACCTATCTCAAAACCAACAAGTTCACTGAGGGCTTCCAGACCATCGTCAATGCATACGGCACTGCCACGTACCAAGAGGTCAACCCGGCAATGCCCGTCATTGTCACCTTTCCGTTCCTCTTCGCTGTCATGTTTGGTGATTTCGGTCACGCTGTCATCATGCTGTCGGCCGCGCTGGCCATGATCTACTGGGAAAAGTCGCTCAAGAAGGTGTCGTTCGAGTTGTTTGCCATGATCTTCTACGGCCGATACATTGCCTTGGTCATGGCTGTCTTCTCGATCTTTACCGGCCTCATCTACAACGACGCCTTCTCAAAGTCGATGACGCTTTTCTCCAGTGCTTGGGAGTACAAGAAGCCAGAAGGTTGGCAAGAGGGCCAGTCTGTCGACGCCGTGCTGAACACCGGTGGCTACCGCTACCCCTTTGGCATAGACTGGGCCTGGCACGGGACCGACAATGATCTTCTTTTCAACAACAGCTACAAGATGAAGATGAGCATCATCCTTGGCTGGGCTCACATGACCTACTCGCTGTGCTTCTCGTACATCAACGCCCGGCACTTCAAGAAGCCCATCGACATATGGGGCAACTTCGTCCCTGGAATGATCTTCTTCCAGTCCATCTTCGGATACCTCGTCATCTGCATCATCTACAAGTGGTCTGTTCAGTGGATCGATTTGGAGAAGAAGGAAGTCCTTGCAGCGCCTCCCGGTCTCCTCAACATGCTCATATACATGTTCCTCCAGCCAGGAACTTTGGATGCTCAGCTCTACCCGGGTCAGGCGCCGGTACAGGTTGTTCTGCTGCTGTTGGCCTTTGTACAGGTCCCGATCCTGCTTTTCCTCAAACCCTTTTACCTCCGCTGGGAACACAACCGTGCTCGTGCCAAGGGATATCGTGGCATAGGGGAAACGTCTCGGGTTAGCGCACTGGATGGCGACGATGAAGACGAGGCTCCTGTGAACAGGCACGGCCACAGCATCGACGAAGATGGAGAGGGCGTGGCTATGATCTCGCAAAACATCGACGACGAGCACGAGGAATTTGACTTTGGCGAGGTGATGATTCATCAGGTCATCCACACCATTGGTAGGTGGAGGCGGCGAAAGACGCGGTGTCTGTTGGATACTGACCTTTTGCAGAATTCTGTCTCAACTGCGTTTCCCACACGGCGTCGTATCTGCGTCTCTGGGCTCTCTCGCTCGCCCATCAGCAACTCAGCGTCGTGCTCTGGGACATGACTCTGGGTCCATCGCTGAAGATGCAGGGCGCCGTCGGCGTCATCATGATTGTGGTGTGCTTCTACTTGTGGTTTTTCCTCAGTAAGTTCAACCGCCCTGCCCCCCATGCCCTGGCTCGGAGACTGACGGATGCGACAGCCATAGCCATTTTGGTCGGCATGGAGGGTACCAGCGCTATGCTGCACTCCCTCAGGTTGGCCTGGGTCGAGTCTTTTTCCAAGTTTGCCGAGTTTGCTGGATGGCCCTTTGCGCCGTTCTCGTTCAACACTCTACTAGAAGAGTCGGAGGACTTGAAGGAGTACTTGGGATGATTGCGCTCGTCTGAGACGTTTTGCTTCCGTGGTTTCGTTGCGTAGAGCAAGTAGCTAAAGCTAGCTCCTTTGTATCATAAGCTCACTACATCCTAGACTACCTTGTCCAAGCTCAGTATAGGCATCCCCCCTCTGAATGACATAACCTGGTCGAAGGACGGGCGGCGTTGGATCATTGGCCTCGTATGACAATATTTTGGCTACTGCCTCCCCCCTTCCTTCATGTCCCGTTGCCCCAACACCGACGGATCAGGCCCAGAGCGGAGCCGTGACTTCGACAGCCCGCTCCATGACGGCCCTGACACGATCTGCAAACACCTTGTTGTTACACTCGATTTCCAGGTCCTCGAGCCAGACGGTGGCGACCATCTTGTCGACCTTGATGCGCACGCCGGGAACGGGTATGCCAATCTTGTGCAGGCGCTCAATCTCCTTGCTGCGCCTCTCCTGCAGCGCGGCCTCCTCGCCGGCGGGGTCGTTGCCCTCTGCCGCAGCGGCAGCAGCATCCCCATCCTCGTGCACCATCTTGGTGTCGTCGTCGCCGCCATCCTCCTCCTTCTTCGGGCCGATGCTGTCGTTGTCGTCGGCGGCGGGTGGCAGCTTGGGCGTGTCGACGGGGGAGACGTTGTCGGCGCCAAACTGGGCCTCGAGGAACCAGAAGAGGCGCTCGAGGCGCTCGGCGGGCGGGCAGTTTGCGTGCGGGTTGCGGCCGGTGGGCGCGGCGGGGCCGTGCTCGTGCGTGTGTTTGCTGTTGGTCGAGGAGCGCTTGACGGCGGCCGGGGAGCTCTCGACGGAGAAGAGGACGGCCATGACCGAGTCCGCGATGCTGTCGTTGAGCATGTTGCCTTCCCACTCGAGCTCCACCTCGCCGTTGGTGCGGTACCGGACGGCGATGCAGCCCATGACGAGATACGCGGCGACGAGGGACGAGACTTCATCGTCGACCGCTTCCACCGCCCTCTTTTTCGCGTCCGCTTCCACCTCTTCCGTCTGTTCCTCTTGCTTTTCCTCGTCCTTCCCCTCTGCGTCCTCCATGATCTTGTCGCCCGTGTCGCCGTTGGCCGCGTTGCAGCCACTGAGATTGCGCATCTCGGGGAGCTCTTCGACGGCTCCAAAGGTCCCCTCGAGCGCCCACCTGATGAGGTCGATACCCGCGGCGCTGAGCCTCAAGCGCTGCTTGCACATGATGGTGGTGGTGTTGAGGCCAGCGTACTCGCGCAGGTCCTCCGGGGCCATGAGAGAGAGCTTGAAGTCGTTTTGCACGAGCACGCCGGTGACGAGGGGCGCGTCGGCCGAATCGGTGGCGTTTTGGACCGGCGGCGGGGCGGCGGCCAGCTTGCCGACCACCTTTGCCGTCTTGTCGGCCTTGAAGGGGATACGTAGTTCCTCGCAGTTGCGCGGGGAGTAGACCTTTACTTTTGCTGTTTTGTTTGCATTGAGGGACAGGAGCTTGGACTTGAGACGCATCATGTTATGCTGCTCGCCGTGAACAAGAATCTATCAAGCCACCGCGTTAGCCTGCATGGAGAAAGCCAGGGGTAATAGAGAAACATGACATACCACGACCGGAGCCGAGACTTCCTCAATGAACTCGCGGTTCTCCACGCCATCAACGTGCGCGGCAAATGAGTACTCGGCAACACTGCATCGCCGCGGAATAAGCACCTTCTCCGAGTCGCCGCCGGGCGCCCTGCGAGCCCCCGCCGTGTTGCGTGACATGACGGCCTGGATCTGGTCCGGCTCGTGCATAATCTGCCTGGCCATGGTGCCCTCGACGCTGTAGCCGGTGATGATGACGCCGTTCTTTTCGCTCGGCGCCCATCGCTCAAACAGCTCTCTGCTGACGCCGCTCTGCAGCATGCCGGGACTTGCGAGCATGACGCAGCCACCGACGTCGTCGAAGCGATCGAGGTTCTTGAGGGACCGGATGTACTTGAAGTCCCAGGGCCCGCCCTTGCCGGCTCCGTCGCCCGTCGCCTCGGCCTCAGCCATGCGCTCGCGAAAGAGGCGCTTGATGTTATCGTTCATGGCGCCGACGTAAGTCTGATATACAATCATGCACTTCCTCGCCAGGTTGCTGGCATAGTAGATGGGGAACCGCTGGTACTCGGGATGCTTGCCCCAGTACTCGTCCAAGATGAGGAGCAGCTCCTGCGCTCGCCCGAGCGCAAACACCGGCAGGAGGGCGCGGCCGCCTCGGTTAAGAATTCCAGTGATGGACTTCATGAGAGCCTGTTCGCGCTCCAGGCGAGGCACGTGGGACGCGATGCCGTACGTGGACTCGGTGATGAGGACGTCAATCTTGACGCCTTTGGGAACCTCGGCAGAAACTAGGTGTCTGTCCTGCTCGCGCGAGTAGTCGCCGGTGAAAAAGATGTTGAGGCCGGCAATCTCGATGAGAAACATGGCCGCTCCCAAGACGTGGCCGGCCGGATAAGGGGTGATTCGTATGGATGAGATGGTATGGGTGGTGTGGTAGTCGATGGCCTCGATCTGGGGAAAGGTGTTGAGATGATCCTGTTCCGTGTAGACAGGCTGCGCCGTCGCGTTGGACGAGGTGCTGCCGACGCGGACGCTGTCTTGGATAAGCCACTTATAGATGGCCTTGGTAGGGTGCGTCATGAAGACGCGGCCTCGGAAGTTGGTCTTGGAGAGGACGTATGGCAACGAGGCCGCATGGTCGACGTGAAAGCTGTTGGCTCGTCGTCAGCTCCTTGATGCTCGACGTCAGGCTGGACTGGGGAGCTGGACACGTGGTAATCTGCAGAACAGACGCGACGGCTTCACCAACAGCAGAGCGGAAACGACAGCAGGAACAGGTATTGTATTCATCTGTCATACAGGCAGAGACTGGGTGGTTCCGCGAGGTGACCATCACGACGGGGCTGCAGAGATGTCGGTGCATATTGGAGAAGCCCCCGTCCCATTACAGCAGTATCGTCCAGCTCTTTGACCCAGTCCAGCCCGCTTGGGTGTTTGCACACGGAGGCGGAAGTGACTTACTGGCTGATGAGCAGCACGTCGACGGTGCTGAGATCGAAGTCGTCGTAGAACGGAAGCGCCGCAAGACCATTGTAGGCGGGATGCTGGCCGGCGTCGAGCTATATATGTGTCGGTCAGCACCTGAAGAAGCAGAGAGACGGTGGCTACTAACCATGACCGTCTTGCCCTTGTACTGTACGATGTGGCATGACCGCCCGACTTCGTTGCCTCCTCCGAGGCAGAGAAACATGAGCTCATCGGACGGATCGACGGGCTCTTCCGCCACCGTGGCGTGCATCGCAGACGCCTTTCGCTTTGACGCCATGGTTACAGGCTGGGCGATGCCGAACCGAGCATGAGGGTATTCACTGGTCCGAGGTCAGTGTCGCCGAGTCGCGGTGCGCGCATGCAAGCGACAAGTCAATGGAGCAGCAGGCGGCATTCCATCCGCTGCTGCACGCGAGTGTGTGGTGGACGCCGGTTCAATAGCACGGCTCACCTATTGTTCGGGTGAGTAGAGGAGTGCAACTGAAGGCAGGCAGAAGGAGGCTATTCAGCCATTGAGCGGCTAAAGATCGGGAGCAAGCAGCAGTTGGTGCTGCGCAAGGAAGGCGGCTCAAGCTCACGTGACTTTAAATTTACGCAACCCCCGTTCTTCCAACGTAGCTCCGTTCTTCTCATTTTGGAGAGCAAACCACCGACGCCGCTCACGACGACTCTCCACGCCCGCGCCCGCGCCTGCTGCATCGTGCCCGCCTGAGAGAGGGCCTCGCCAATATTTTAGGGACGCATATATCGATACTGGACACTCGGCACGTCCCCGCGGGTCGGATGCGACGAGCGACCGTCGCTGTGGCAGGCTCTGTTGCCTGCTGAATTCGCAGTCCCCCCTCTCCCCCCCCAACCGCTGGAGCCATCGAGCAGCGCGCATCCTCCGTCGCCGCGGCCAACGGGTGTGCGGTCGAGTCTTAGCCATGGCCCAGCCTCAGTCGCAGGCCACGCCTCGGGCCTTCTCGCCGCCCCAGCATAGCCCATCGCCAGCCCCAGCCCAGCCCGGCTTCGCGCTTCCGCCCAACAAGCGAGTGAGAACAGACGGTCCCGTCTCGCAGCCCGGATCCCCCTATGCTGCTTCGCCATACGCCGCGAGTCCTGCTGCCGCGGGGACTCCTCCCACAAACGCCGGATCGCCAACCTTCTCGGCAACGCCTCCGGTATCGGCAGGCTTCGCGACGGCGCCATACACCAATGGCCATGTCCCAGCCGGCCTAAATCTGCCCGATATACGCTCCGTCTCTTCGCCCTCGATTCTTACGCCACAGACAGCGTCGGCGCCGGCCCCCCAATACACGAATGCGACAATGGCGCCTATCGCTCCCTCGGCAGCTTCTCCGGCACCAGCTGCCAATCTCATGGGCCCGCCGCAGCGACCAGCAGAGAGGCCAACTAAGGACTACGAGTACGACGTGACAGATTCTTTAGCTGGGACCGGAATCGACCTGCGCGCAGAAGAGCAGTACATGTCGGAGCTGTACTCAAATGCGTTGGACACAGGCTCGGACGCCAGAACAGGATTCGCCCATCACCCGGCAGGACCCAAGTCCTCGTTCTACGGCGCTGGACCGGCTAATCAGCCGCCCGAGTCGACTACTGCGCAAAACCAGGACCAGCTGGCTGCCAAGGCTGCCGAGCAAGCCTGGGCCGAATCCTCGATGCACCTGGCTGCCCAGAGGACGCAGGAGATTAATGACCCTTTTCTTCTAGTGGCACTTCTCCACAAACGCGCAGAGAAAATTGCACGGGAACACAACCTCAGTCTCAACCTGGACATGAAGAACAATAGCCAGACAATGGGCAAGATGCGACCTCCCGAGCAGTTCCCCACGCCCAAGGTCACAGTCCGGATGGAGCCCGGCCCTGATTCCATCATGGTACAAACGACCGGTTCCTACATCCCGCACGACTCTTTCCTCGTTGACCAGCTCGCCCTCATGTCGATAGCCGCAAAGCATCGGCTGCGGGAGCTCGTCGAGGAAGCCGACACTATGGCTAATAACCGACAAAAGACATCTCATGGCGACGTGCCCGAAGAATGGGCGCTTGCCGCGGCGCCGATGAACGTCGAGCCGCTGGAGGCCATGGATACGGCTGTGACGTCAGCGGAGACGGGCAGTGTGGGTGATGCCGGCACGGGTTCGCCCAAACGTAAGGAAACTGCCATCCCCGACTCGTTACTCGTTGCTGACAAAGTCTCTAGGCTCGGCTGATGCAGCGGAACTGGAAGACGCTCCCGCAGCGCCGGCCAAGAAGTTCCCCAAAATCGCGCCCAACATGACGATATCTATGAGGGATAGGGCCAGGCAAGAGCGGGAGTGGGAGGAAGCCCGGTTACGGAAACGGCAGCGGCGCAAAGAGGGTGGCACAGACGCGGGGACGACGTCTTCGCGATCGGGAAGCGTCGCCCCGGGAACGCCAGGAGCCGTAGCGCCAGAGCCTGAAAAGGCACTGACAAAGAAGGAGATGAAGAAGAATCAGGCTCTCAAGGCGGCAGAGGCGAACAGTCATGCCAACCAGAATCTGACCAGCAGCATGTTTGCGGGCCTGGGTGGCAAGGGCGGCCTCTTTGGCAAGAAGAAGACGGGCAGGACGTACGACTGGATGAACGTGGGCCGGGGCGGAAGCGGCACCAGCACGCCGACGCGAGGGACACCTGGGCCCAAGGGTCCAAACGGAACAGCAGGCTCTCCGGCCACGGCAAACCATGCGCTGACGACCGAGGGCCGCAATCGGCTAGGGACGTGGCGGGAGGACAAGGAGAAGGGCAAGGCGATTCAGCTGCGAGACTGGATCACGGTCCTGGAGAGGGACGGCAGGGAGCCCAGGGCGCTCTCAGCAGCCTATGTGCACTTGGACACGTCGCACCCCAGGTGATGGACGACGATGATGCTCGCCCAGGGAAAAGGCGGAAGCAGGCCGGGCTTGCGGCAGATACCCAGCGCCTTGTATTGGGGGTTTTCTTTTCTTTTCCATGTTAGCCCGGCGTTGACAGCAGGAAGGCTCGGGATCATTTATAGGGGCGAGGCTGCGTGTCGAGCAGCACACGGTGGACAGGGCCAGAAGGCGTGGCCATGATGCGCTCGACGCTGTTCTGGAATGGAGCAGACGACATCAAAGTTTGACAGAGAATAAAAAGCGGGAGGGCTGGAAGCCAAAAAAAAGGAAATTATGAAAGAAGAAGTGGCGTGTGGTGTGTCGGTGCTCATCGTGCGATGTTGCCTGGGAGGGTGCCCATGTGATGCTTGCCTGGAAGAGGGGGCTCTGGGGTGCTAAAGTCGATCCAGGGTTCTTGAACGTTGGCGCTCCGCATTCAAGCAACGAATGCCAGGGCGTTTGTCTCCAGCAGGGGCCTCCATTGAGGGCGCGGGCATGGAGCGACATGGTGATGGTGGCGCACAAGCTCGGGGCGGCGGTTGGCCGATGCAGGGCCTATTCATTATTTTTAGTGGCAATGGACAATGGGAGAGCGATGGATTTTTAGCATTCAAAGGCGGAATAGAAAGAGGAGTAATGATGCGTGAGGGATGAGAGAGAGGCGTGTCGTGGAATGCCTCCCTGGTCTTGGTCGGAGACGGCAGTGGTTGGTGCGGGCCAGTCACGGTCCAACATGTCGGCGGATGGGTTCTGCGGCCCCCAAAGGACGGCACTGCTTTTGCGTGCCACGGTTCAGGTGTGCCGTCGAGGGTGGGTGTGCAGGTCGTCGACATGGTTGCCGCACGGTGATTGTGTCTTGGGCGGGTGCTTGTCCTTTTCTCGCGGCGGGCAAGGAGGGCAAATGTTCAGTTGCGGCGCGCCGAGTCCAAGATGACGGTGGAAGCGAGAGGAGAGAGACAAGAGACAGGCGAGGGTTTTGATGGTTATTACCTAATGCCTACCTAAGCGTCCCTATCCGGGCTCGCCGACATCGTGGCCTGCAAGCTGCCGGCCCCCGCCATGACTAAATTGCAATTGGCATACGGACAGACGAAGCGCTGCCAGAGGCCACCGTCGCACATCCAACACGTTGGCCGAGACCCGGGCTCTGCTGTGACACCGGCTTTGCTCCCATCACTCCCGCGTCATGACGACGACTTTAGCGGTACGTCGAGGAATCGGCTCTCCGTCCGTGGCCATGCTCCCACGATGCTGGGTCCTGGGACAGGACGCGCAGCCGACGACGGCGGCATGGACAACGACGCCGCTGACGGGTCGCAGGCCGTGGGCCAGATCTGCGCGACGGCGTGTGTCAAGGCCAACCTGGACCAGTGTGTGAGACTGGTTGGCAAGGCGGCCGCCGGCGGCGCAAAGGTATGCACTAGATCCTGTCGTTGGGCATGCCCTGATGACGGCCATTGCGCATTGGCAACGTCCTCGAGACAGTTTCCAGCTGCCTGCTTTGACACACTCGTCGACTCACCGTCGCGCGACCACACAGGTCCTCTTCCTGCCAGAGGCGTCCGACTACATCGTGCCCAGCGCACATGCGACGCTGGACCTGGCGGCGCCGCAGTCGACGTCGGCCTTTGTGCTCGGCTTGCGGGCCGCGGCCAAGCAGCACTCGGTCGCCGTGCACGTCGGCATCCACCACGCCGTCGGCGGCCAAGAAGCCACCGGGATGGTGGTCAACCGCGCGCTCTACATGGACGCCGACGGCGTGGTACAAGAGGCGGCGACGTACGACAAGCTCCACGTGTTCGACTACGGGTCTCTGCGGGAGAGCAGCACCGTCCGGCCCGGGACGAGGCTCACGGCGCCGTTTGACTCGCCCGTGGGCCGCATCGGCAGCCTCATCTGCTTCGACGTGCGCTTCGCCGAGACGGCCGTCGCGCTCGCCCAGCCGGGGCCGACCAGCCCGTGGCGCGACCGGCCGGCGCAGATCCTGACGTACCCGAGCGCCTTCACGCTGCGCACGGGCGAGGCGCACTGGGAGACGCTGCTGCGGGCGCGGGCCATCGAGACGCAGAGCTGGGTGGTGGCGGCGGCGCAGGTCGGGCGGCACAACGAGCGGCGGGCCAGCTACGGGCGGAGCATGGTGGTGGACCCGTGGGGAACGGTGCGGGTGCGGCTCCGCGGCGCGTCGCCGTCGTCGGGCGAGGGCGACGAGGGCGCGGTGGGGGAGATTGGCTTCGTCGAGATGGACATGGGCCTGACGGACCGGGTGAGGGGCCAGATGCCTCTGCAGAGACGGACGTGAGTCAAGACAGCCGTCTGTGCCTTGCCTTGGCCCTGAGACAGGCTTGGCCGGGCGAGGCGTGCGTCTATCGATGCGTGACTGACCTGGGCGTTTAGGGACGTGTACCCGGAGTGCAAGAATGTCGACGTCGAGCCGTCGTGACGCGTGGGCACGGCGTCATGCAACCACTTTACGGAGTACTCACGCGCAGAGACACACCAGGGGGGGGGGAAACACGCCAAGCAGTCGCTCGAGCAGGCCACTTGGGAACAGACAGGGCAAGACGTGGAAGCGCACGTCGGCTGCGGTTTCGTGCGCGTGGTTCTTGCCGGGCAGCCACGGACGGAGCGAACGGTCGCTTGGCTTCTTGTACTGCGCCCAGAGGCGTCGAGCATGCCAGTCGGACGCGCAACAAGGCGAACATACGTAATGGGCGGCGCCGGTAATAAACGAAGAGTGCGTCTTAGCAGCAGCAGCAATATTGATGCACTGGCACAGAAATGATTGGATGCGATGCGGACCGCAATGGCTCCATGCCGGGGCCCCACTCGCCGCGCCCCGCAGTACAAGGTGCGTTGCCCTCCCCACTCTTGTGCCCCCCAGGTTTCCGAGTTCTTGGGACGACCCACCCGTCCAACTTGTCAGGGTCCTGCAGCGGCCTGCCTTGGGACACGATACCTGTACAGATCCCGGCGGCTTTTTTGCCTTGATTTGAATTCGTTTTTGCCCGTCCCTGTCACGCTGTGGCTTCTCGCAGTTCAAGGGAGGGGGCGAGAGAGGAGAGATGTTTGGCCCCGGCGGTCAGTCATGCTTCCGCTCCGCCCGGAAGAGAGAGCTTGTATGTGTGTATGTGCAAAGCGCCGCCGGCCGCGGAGACCAGGCATATGAAGATCGTGGTGCCCCCCCGGTGACGGGAGGATGATAAGCCCGTGGAGGAGGCTAAAGAAAGAAAGCAAGGGACAAGAGAGCACTCGGCAGAGTCGGGGACGACAGCGAAGGCTTCCCTTCAGTCGGCGAGCAAAGCCCATCACCACCATCACCTTCTTCCTTCCCGTCTCACCCTCTTGCTGCTCCGCGCAACAACAAAAAAAGCAATTCCACGGCGCGACTTTGGCAAAGACGGCGACCAAAGCAAAGCCCCTCGCCTTTCCAAACCGTGCTTGACTGCCGGCTGCACCCCCTCCCCCCCCCCGGTCGCACACACACACATCATCCCACCAGCAGCACCAGCGAGCCGGTTCCCCTCCCCAAACTCTTCAACTCTCGCCCTGTCTCGGCCTGCTCGTCCCATCGTCTTCATGCACGGGCGGTACCAGACATGTCATAATGACAGAACAGGACAAGCTGAGCCCTCTCTCTCCGGCGCGTCCACCTCACCCCCCCCTTCCCCCCCCAAAAAAAAACCAGGCCAGGCCGGATATAACAAAAGAAAAAGGAAAAGGAAAACCCTCACCCCCACCCAATCGCGGAATAAGCCTTGAGACTTCCCCTCCCCCTGCTCTCTCTCACACACACACATTCGCTCCCCCACACACATACGCACCCCTCCCTTTCTCTCCCGCTGTGTGAAGTCCATCCGCTAGTATGGCGTGGAAATCTCTCTCTCTCCCATGCCGTGTCCCGGCTCTCTGGGCCATCTCGCGGAGGTGAGAAATAAAAAGGGGGGGGGTAAGGCGGACCTTGCATTAGCACCTGCACAACCTGCTAGAGCCATCGCTGACAGCGGCACGTATCTCAGGTACCGTGCTGCTGTATTCGTAGGCGAGCAAGGTATAACTGCTACTGCAGAGTACAAGTGGACAGGACACGCTCAATCACGTCGGTCCTACCTAACGAATGCCTCGCGACGCCCAGACAGCCAGCTTTGTCCCGGGTGCCATCATGGCCCCCAGAGTACTGTTAAAAGAACAAAAGAAGGGGGGGAAAGTCCAAGCACCATGAGATACTACAAATCCAGGGAAAACAAGGGGGGGTGCGGGTTTTCTTTGCCCGTCCCGATATTCGTCGCCTCTGGTGCCATCAAAAGCAAGAAATGGATGCCTAGCCACTGTATGTACCTACAGCGCTGGACCTCAGACAAAGCCCGGCCTGAAACCTGCAACCAAGGCACGAGTAACGTAGGGCACCGGCGCCCAAGGGGGCGACAGAGGACGCGGCTTTGGCGGCCACGAGAAAAAGAAACCAAGAGTGTAAATTTCTTCTCACTCACGCTCGCCATCACAAGTGACAACGTCGCCGCACGCAATGGAAATGATGCCCTTGAAACATTTCCCACAATAATGCCCTTCTCCTTTGTCTCTTTGCGCCCACGTATGTGCCTGTACCGACTACATTCCGTCCTCGCCGCTAGTACGAGCTCGAGAGCCAAGCCGCAGCCACTCCCAGCAATCTGGTTTCCCCCAGGCTCTGGTCGCTACAGTACAGTCACTACGCTCTCGTCCAACCTCATCAAACTTGTGCCTGTAATCGGCCTGGGCCTCGGTTCCTAATATTCTACTGTAGTACAGTCCTCTAGCAAAAGAAACGACTCCTCTTGCCGTACAGTGGAGACAACGACTGGGGTATCATTCGTCCCAGGGCCACCTTCTCTTGGCTGGCTTCTCGCCAGCAATCTTGTACATAATGGTGATACAGACAAAATTCTCGTTGCCAGTCCTCGAGTAGACGGGACAAGAGAAAACACGCAGTTGTCGGAGAGGGGTGGGGCATAAAAGACCGAGTCCCGGTCAAGTCCATATCTGAGACGCCCACTTCATCCCCCAAGTCATTGGCGATCCTGGCCCAAAGTTTAGACATGTCCTTGGTGAATGCCCATCACCCCTCGTCAAACCCGAATTTGTGGTTGCCTGTCGACAAGAGGCCCATTGGTACCCGACCTCAGAGGCGGCGCCAAATGGCCGGATTTGCATTCCGCGGGGGTGCGCATTTCCGAGCACACCAGGAGTAAGGTCTCAAGGCGCGACAAGATGAGTTGTGACGAGAAAAGACGCCCGTCTCGGCAGAAAGGCGACAAAAAATTAAATGAAAGGCCAAAATCGAGCTTTCTTGACATGTCCCGTCTATATTCCAACGCCGTGCACTCTGTCGTCAAGACAGCCCAGGGCGAGAGCGCCGTGGGTGTGCAGAAAATTTCAAAATCATGTTCTTTTCCGATCCGTTTCCCCGAGTCCTTGCTGCTGGTAAGCAAGGGATGGCACCGAGCCGTAGTGTATTCAGTCGACAGGAATGTAAAGGAGATAATAGAATGCTTCGTATCCGGATGCATTATACAGAGGTTGTACACTCGCAGGCCCTCGAGGCCAGAAGAGAAGACGCGCAAGGAGGTGGACGTGGTGGAAGGCGGGATTGCGCATCATGGCAAACGGCCAGTGCCCATCACCGCGGTTGCGGTCGCGGCGGCGGCTTGGGAACGCCCGTCGTGTCATAGGCTCCGCGGCCCATGTTGTAGAGGCTCGATTGTTGGGTCACCATTGTCAAAGTGTTGATGTGTGTGCAAGGTAGGCGACAATGCTGTAAGTCGGGGTTCGAGGTTAGCGGACATGATGCTTGAGCAAGTCGTGGTGGAATCCGGGCTCTTATACATGGCCAGCGACAGCCAGGGGCCAAGGGGGCAGCGACTAGTCGGGCAAAGAATGGCGAGGCAAATGGGCAAGAATCGAGGTCAAGCGACAGTGACTCACCGGATGAGATGTCGTGGTGCGACAAGAGGTAAAAAGAAGCTTGCCTTGGACGGGGCAGTGGAAGCGGATTGGTGAGCAAACGGTGGCTTTGCTTGCGAGAATTCTGGAGGGCCAGCCGGATTGGCGACGGGTTGCGAAAGGTGACCAATAATATTGCTATGTTTCGGGAGAGCAGTTGAGGCAGAGCGGAACGTGGTCGACGAGGCGAATTGTATCGGCACCGGCGCGTTGGGACGAGGTGTAACACGAGGCGAGATGCTGTCGCAGGTGCAGGGCGGCGCAAGCGGAGGGTTTCTCGGTTGGACGACAGACAGGGACTGGAGAGGCGGCCTGGGCTATGGGCGAGACGAGGTGCGCAACAGTGGCTGGCCCGACTTCAGGTGATGCGGCTGCAGGTGTTGACGCCACTGAAAAGGGGGGGTGGACGGGTTCCAATAGCTGTCTGGGGCCAGGGGTTCCAAAGCGAGTCGCGCAGGGCGGCGATACGTCAGGCGGGCACGGACAGGTTCCTGGTGCTGGCGCCGAGTTGGATAGCTCAGACGAGGCCGCCAAAGCTAGGCAGCTAATAAGGTAGGCAGCTGGAGGGACGGGACGGGTGGCGCCCTGTAAGTGTTGGGCAAGGCGGCTTGTGTGGGTCGGCAAAGGGTGTCGTCGCGGGTTGAGGACGACGATTCTTCCTCCAGGCGCGACTATGAGGCGACGACAGGCAGAGCAGAACAATGATGCGGCTGGACAAGAGGCAATTAAAGAGAAAGGCTGCTGGATGGAGGAGATGGGAGGCCAAGGGAGAGTGAGCCGACCAAAGGGGGGGGCCAGGCGTGGGAGCAGGGCGCTTTTGTACGAAGAAAGACGTGAGAAAGAACGAGCCCGGCCAACGGGCAGGCTCGCCTCTTTTTTGGGGGAAAGAAAGAGAGCCAGTGCCAGGGATGGAAGGAAGGGGGGGGGTGTCGGCGTTCTGGCCCTCGACTTTTGCTTTGCTCTGCTCTGTTTGAGGGGTGTGCGTCTGTGCTGGCTTCCAGGAACAAAGTACAGGGTACGAGCCTCACGGCTCCAGTGACGCAGAGCCCGGCCCGTACCCTGCACCTGCATCTTCACACCCCTCTCCCCCCCCTGGTCTTCCATCGCCCCATTCTGTACCTTGCAGCAGCAGCAGCAGCAGCCTTGGAGCTTTGGCGCAAACGCTGGACCGACGTGCATGGGAGAGAAGGAAAACGGAAGAAAAGAAAATGGGCCCTGGCGTCCCAGCGGACCGGGATGCGCTCACTCCGGGGGGCCCTGGCCTGAGCCCTGGCCTGCCCGGCCCGCTGGGGAATGGAAAAGAAAGAAAGGCCAAAAAGGAAGAGGATAAAAAAGGAGAAGGCATCCATCCATTTGACACACCCATGTCATGTCGCTATTCCCAGACCAGGCACGGAGTACGTACTGGCCATCATGTACTTACCCATGTTGCTGGCACGGGTCTCTCCCAATCCAGCTGGTCTC